ACCGATCTATCGTTCGCTCGCGAAGGTTTTCAAGCCTCACGTTGGCACTGTCAAACCACAAGCCTAATCTCTCAGTACTACCCTCTGGCCTAGCTTCTTGCGTTTCTCTTTTTGCTTACCTCTTCCTCCCTTTGCACTGTTGCCATCATCGCATTATTATAGGTATGGGTATAGGAGTATCACTTCCGTATATACCCTGTATATATTCTCCGTACCATGAGTTGGTTCTCAAAAAGTCGCTGTGATCAATGCTTCGAGTTGTATCTAGGGGCAGTTCTTTTCATTTGTCGCTCAAGGCTCCAGTTACTCAACCTGAGTTCAATGTGCACGTCTGTCTGTCTTTTTCTTGAGAAACGGAGGTTTCCGTCGTTTTCCTCTGCCTGGTGCTATGACCCCCTCCTTTCTCCCTTCCCGACGAAGAGGAAGCGTTGATGGAAGATTTGTCGATGGCTGTTTTGGGGAACATGTCTTCCCACCAACACACGAGGTAGAGACCGTGAGCGAAGAGGCTCGTAGGTACTTGATCACCGGGGGACGCAAGGGATCGGTCGAGTAGAAGTGGGGGTTGATGGCTCAAGCTGCGATGGGCCACAAAAGTGTCTGCTCGAGTTCACTCCCCGTGCGTTGCCCATACATCATCTGGGGGACAGCGGATGATGAGCGCGAGTAACTTGGTAGCGGAAGTCAACAAACCTCGGGAGCTTTCTCTGCCAGAAGTTCTGTGTAACCTACTCGCCTCACCCGACTCTTTTGTCCCTCCGCGAGCCGGAAAGCTGTTGCCGACAAGGGAAAATAGAGCTAGATAATCCTGCAAAGCGCGGCTCTTTTTGCTCGATCTTTACGCCACAAACTTCAATACCTGTCTTGTTCAACCCCACTGACCGATTTTGCATCGATCTCGGTCATGGCTGTCACTGGGATGGCGGGCCAACGGTCCATAGCGACATTCCCTCCGCGCTTTGGGAAAGGCAGGGCAGGGGGCGGGGAGATGGGGCGGTTTCCATGCCTCTCGAGGTGGCTCTTAACAGAGGACGCCCCCATTCGGAAGACAGCCTCGGGGAGGATACATCGGCTGAACACGGGAGGTATCCAAGACGGCCCAAAACAAAATCCATCATGTTGACTGCTGGGCTCAAATCAGAACCAAGACTCGGACGGAAGGGGTCGATTTGTGCAATGAGGCGATGGCAGCCGGCGGCTTGTCTTCACCTTCCCGTGTGACCCTGGATCGTTGGTCATTGATCAAGCTCGTTCAACCGGGCCCAGCAGAGTGGAGAAAAAGGATGCCCCAATAGTGAGAGCTGTTCCCTTAGCCGGCTCCTCACTTGGCGTCCGTTGCATTGAGCGGGGAGAGGGGACGGCGACCTGTGCAACCACACTTGCTGCCTCCTTTTCACTCCTTCAAAAGGCGTGATGTCGTAGGATGTTAGGGTGTCATGAAACGTGTTGTTCTATCTACTTCCGCAACCCGCCCAAAGGGAAGAGCCTTGGGATGACGGGTTGATAGGGCTGCCGGGCCAAACAGCGGCCCCTCCCAAGCTTTATTCTCGGAATGCAAGCCTGCAGTCATGCACCCAACTTTGAATTTTCATCATATCATTCAAGAGGATAGGGAGAGGGCGGCAGTGAGTGACGTGTGGGCCAAAACTACAACTAGTCACTCAGACCGAATCAATTTGAATACTCCGCAGAACCAAGCGCGAGGCTTGACGGAAATTGGGGAAGTTGGGCGTGCCCACGCTAACCCGAGACAGAGCGGATCAGAATGCTAGTGTGTGTTAGGGTCCTTTCCCGCTTCTTTCCCGCTCGGGAACCCTCTTAATTTGGAGCAAAAACGGGAGAGGCTCGTCCCCTCATCCTTGATGGCGGGTCATCAGCTAAGCCTAATCTAGTAGTCTCATGCCTCTTGAAATGCGAGTACTTGGCTCCTGGGAGGCGCCTGCCAATGGGTGCCTGACAGAATGTTCCTTCGGGTTCGCTAATGGCAGAGATCACTGATCTCTGCATGTCGATTCCCAGTGCGAGCTGGGCTCAGGATGTGAGGGGAATGGCCAGCCAGCCAGCCCGAAGCATGGGCGCTCTTTATCCAATTTTTTTCTCCTCTCTCCTTCTCTTCGACCCGGCATTCTTGCCCACAGGTCGCCCGCATGTCGCCCACAGCGCCAACTTCGGTATGCTTGATCAACTTCAATGTTCTCAACTGACAATTTGCTGGCTTGAAGGGAGCCTGTCTGTTGGTTCGCAGCCCCAGAATGTGCCGTCCTCCAGCATTCCTGTCGGAACATCCGGCTCCCTGATAATAGATATTGATCCGTTGGTCAGCAAGCCCCGCCCCAATTGATTTCGGATTGATGGCTCCTCCAGGAGAGGGTGTCAGACGGGAATGGGTGCAAGGAATAAGACGGAAGGTATTTGGACTCTGTAGTACATGTACTTGCACCCCAAACGATAGATTGCACTTGTTGGGCCTGAACGGAGGTACAAGTTGTCGAGAGGCAGGTTGGACTGCACGAGCGAATGGACGAGTGGCCCTGGGCCGTTTACAAAGCGATGAACAGGACAGGGAAAGAAAACCACGCTTGCACCCTCCCAGGACTCACCTTGACCGGTGAAATAGTCTCTTATTGCCAAAAAGAAAAGAAAAACACTTTGAATTCTCACCGAGTCCCCTTTCCTTCCTCCCTCTCCCTTCCTCGCGCGCTCGCCCGGCCCCGCGACGCAACTTCTCAGGCTCTGCCGACTGCCCATCAATCAACCTGCTTCGAGAGCTTGAGCCAAGCTCGAAGCCCCTTTGCTCTCGTCGTCCTCTAGCCCCACTTGCGCCTTTGAGCCACTCGCCACTGTCAGCTCGAGAGATAGCAGGTTTGAGTCAAGGTCAAGTGCTGGTCGAGTAACCCAGCGCACTGCGACGCTTCAAGGCAGGCTTGTGGAAACACCTGTGGACAAGCCACCAATCGGCAGAAAATCACCCAACTATTCCCACGAGCTCCAAAGCTCTAGCAAGCTCTCTTCTTATCCATTCATTAGGTAGAGTATTATGTTTGATGCTTCCTTCTACGCACATCACAATCCCTCACCCCATCTTGGCAGCACCCTCCCCCACCCTTCCTCTCCTCTCCCAAACGGACGCATGCTCGTCGCATGCTTGGAATACACACATACACACACATACACACACATACACACTCGTACACACACGTACACACACGTACACACACGTACACATGCACACGGGCAAGCCAACCCACACACCTCCAACCATTTTCTTCCTCCCCGTGACCCGTTGTACTTGCACAGTACACAATGGTGGACAGAGAACTCGAAATCGCCTCAATGAAAATTACCCTTGCTCATTGCATAAATAAACTGAGGAGACAAGTCTCCGCCACCAACCGTAGCTAACGCAGCTTCCCTCAGCCGCTCCTGCCTTGTCCAGTTCGGCAAAATCCCGGGCCTTACCCACAGGGAAAGAGTTGATATTTGAGAAGGAAGGGGAGGGTTTCGAAGAAAGAAGAAAAAAAAGAAGAGAAAAAAAGGGGGAAGGAAACCCATCACAGATTGTAACGCTGTGACCTGACCGGTCAGCGAAGGACAAGCCGAAAGAGGAAAAGGAAGAGTCACCAAGAAACGAACCAGCCAACAAGCTAACCCACTCCCCGTTTATCCCGTGTCCGAATCCTGGACTGTGGCCACAGCGAAGAACACTATCGTCACCCGCTCTTGTCAAGGAGCTCCTTTTCCCTCCCACCCTCCACGCCCCTCGAAAAGCATAATTAAAGTGACCGCTTTGAGCTAGCACACGTGGCCCAGATTACATCGAGGCCATCGTCCTCTTGGACTGCACCAAATCGGACAGGTACAGTTGCAGCTGGAGGTGCCTCCAAACGGTCGCTTGGCCAGGCCAGACCAGCAAAACAACCCTACGCGGTTATTTTCGCTGCTGGACTCGACACTGCCATCTCAACACTCCTAGACCCCCTTCCTTCTTCCCCTGGTCGTCATTTCTTGAGCCTGAGTCGAGCACACTTGCCCACACATGTGCATCTTGACGCAGACCCTTCCTCACGCCCCGTACCACATTTCTTAGCCGTCGGCTCGCATTTACCTGTCGCATGGTTATCCTTCCTGCCGTTCAGCTTCATCCGGCAACGGATCCGGCCTATCGATTTGTCTTCCAAGCAAGCCTTTTCGCTGGCCCGATTTTCCTCCCCTCGGGGGATTATCTGCACGGAGCCCCGCTATCCATCTCCAACCCATAAACAAACGAGCTTCAATTCGTTCTAGAATCCGCTCTTCGAGGATTCCTCCCTCTCGACGCTGAGAATTGTATCTTGGCTGGAATGATATGGGCCGGAATGAGCCGGCTGCCTCACCCACCAAACGTCAACTGGTCCCCCAACCTTGATTTTCCATCCACGGCCGTCTCTCAGTGCCACCCGTTTCCGTTTCAAGCATCTCCTCATCCCATTAATCATACTCCCCCTACCCCTCCCCTCCCTTCATTTCGACCCCATTATCTGTCTACCAATATCGCTTCCAGTACCCTTTCCGACGCAGCCCTTCCCGTTCGTGATTCACCTCACCATCGCCGATTTTCAGACCGTCCCCACGCACCGCTGCCCGGTTCCCCACAAATTTCCCACCTTCCGTTCACCTATCCCTTCCCCTCCATCATCCCCCTCCCCCATCCATCCCTCCCTTGCCCCGCTGCGCAGGTGCCTCTCCGAACAAGGGGAGGTCTCTTGGGATCAGCCCGGTGAGCGACGCACTTCACCGACCCGACCACAGGCGCGGCCCGGCTGTGCGCCGCGGTGATCTCGCTCCGGGTCCTGCAGAATAGCTCCGACTAGCGTCCACAGTTGTTCAATTGCTTGTTTCTCTTGTCCTGTACCCTGTACCGTACGACGCCACCAGCGGTACCTCCCTAACACGTACTTCGACATCCTGCGTCTTCCGCTCGTGGGTTTCGCTGGACCTTTGTCCAACACACCACTGCGACCATGGTAAGAGCTCTCTCTCTTCGTTGTCCCCATTGCCGGCAGATTGCCTCGAATATATCATCGATCCTTTTCCTCACTGTGCTTCCCCTTTCCACTTTCACTCCAAGCCTAAACGCCCGCTCATGCTTTGCTCGGCCTGTTTCGTCGTCTTTTCCATCATATCCCCTGTGTTGTTCTCCACATTCACATCACCGACCATCCCGGCACACCTTTGTCCATTTGTCACGTTGAGCTCGGGCATCCCCTCTTCACAAACGGCCGAATCCACCTCACATGGTTTTGCACCCCAACTTCGTCATTTCTTCTGTGGCCAAATTACGTGACGCGCGAGAATTAACATCCCCACCAGAACACACTCAAGCGGCCACGGCCACTCGGCCATGAACCCGAGCCCGTCGAGGCCCTCGTTAATCCATCCCCTCTTGTGACATACCCTTCCTATGACATACAGTTCACAGACCTACCCACCGGCGAACGCATCAATATTGAGCAGACCGCGGCAATCTACGGGCTTACTGGTGTCCAGCTTCATTGCATCGTGTGGAACAGCATCTCTAGCGGAACGAGCGATTTTGACCCAAGCACTCATCACTCGAAACGCCTGAGAGTGAACTACCCTTTGTGCCCCACCAACTAACGCACGAGTTCGGCGGCGGCGATACAGACAGGATGTCTCACATCCCGTCCTCCAGTCATGAACTGGAGCAAGTCGGGCCAAACCCGAGCCTCGATGGTCCCTACCCGCTCGGCTTAGATAGTTCGCGGATAGCAAGCAGCCTAGCGAGTCTGAAAGATGCTTGTCAAACTTGCCTTACACGCTGCGATGGTCATGACAGTGCGTATCATTTTACGGTTACCCCTAGTGTATCATGTTTGGAACTCGCCTGAAGTCCGCCTCATCTGATACCTTGCTATCCGAAGGCTAACCCGCACTTTAGGTTACTACGCGATCGCGGTGCCGCGACCTTATGATTACGAACCCAGCCGGCCATACGTTGTCGAGAAGCCCCCGTCCATGGGGGTCATCGCCTCTGGGGATTTTATCAACCCAGTTCTCAAGACACATAGCCCGCCCTCGTTTGTAGATGAAGCGATACCCTCAACACGCTATCTTGCAAGCTATCCCGCGCTGCAACCCAGCTCCCAGGCCGGCGTGGGCCGGGTAGATCCCCGAGACCAGATGGGCTATACGAGCCAGCCAAGCCCTACCGGGTACTACGACAACGAAGCCCATTTTGCCCCTGCGTTAGCTCTGAGGACAGAGTTGCCGCGGTCCGAGACCATGCTACAACAGCAAACCATGGCTTCTTCCCATCTCTCTCCGCAATTTGCCAACCCCTAACCCATCGCCCATTGGATGCCGAACCGGATGACGCACTCCCACGATTTGCCAACGTGGCCGAATATCACGGGAGAGCGCCACTGCCTGTTGATCCTGCCTCCTACTGCGACCCCATGCCGCATAGCTCTGCTCTAGATGGCCTGCTTACAAGCCCATTGAACCGTCCTGCCGCGAGACGAGGACCGTTTAAAAACAACGATGATCGCGAAAAGACAGCCCAGACAAGGAAAATCGGCTCCTGTGTCAGGTGCAGGATGCAACGCATCAGAGTATGACCTGACCTACCCCTGGAGGTGGCGGCCCCATATTGCCCATTATGTACTAACTGTACCCGCCTTCTAGTGCTTCATTAACCCCACCGAACCAAATGGGCCTTGCCTTACTTGTCAAAAGGTGTCAGCAAACACAAAGATTCGACGGCTACCGTGTCTACGTTATAAGATCACGGATGTACGTCTGTTCAAGCCTGGGCAGGTCCGTGGTTACGAATGGACTCGACGCTGGAGGGACAACATGGTCGATAACATTTCTCATTGGGCCTCAGACGAGATCAAGGTTATCCATGTATCGGAGGGCTACACCAGGACACCCGTTGAGCTTAGGGTCCGCCAATTTTGCCCCCAAGAAGGCGACAAACTGACGAGATCGTGGGTGGCCAACGGGTCAAAGAAATCGGTCGACATTCCCCTTACGCGATCGTGGACCTAGAGGCTGCTAGAAAAGCTTACTCCGAACACATTGACGACGGCATCATCGATAGCTTCTCCGCCGTCGTGAAATCCCGCAACGACCTTATATGGAATACATATGTCTTGGCCTTCAAAATGGCACGAGATGCCAGCTTGTCCAGGGACGAGCGAGACTTGCTTTCGCTAGCGCTCAGATTGTGGACGGCAGTGCGCCTAACAACTAAATCAACTGTCATTGTCGGTAACGAGAGACTTGGGATGCCACCCGATATCATGGATGAATCAAGCCCCATACACGGCTGTATCCCTTTACCCCCGTCATGGGTGCCCAGCTGGACCTAATTCTTATCCATCAAATTCAGTCAGCCCTGCGCCGGGAGATGCTGGACAAGCTACAAAAATGATCCAAACGAATAAGCAAAAGACGTGGCTGACAACGTACCTTGTCATGTTCATTTTACTTCACAATGTTGCTTTGATAACGAATCACGACGCTGGCTACGCCCGAAAGCATGGTATGAATGTAAGTAGCCTCCCTACCTTATTATCCACCTTCCTTCTCCTCTCCATGCTTGGAGCCGCCTGCATGACCCGCACCTCTAGGCACGGGTAACGGACCGGTGAAAATTTTCTAACTGGCGCCATCGATGCCGCACTGACTACTAGAAGCGATATGCAAGAGAGGACAAAGTTAGGGAATACCACCTTGGTAAGTCCTGCTACATCTGAAAAAGACTAGGCGAATTTTGGGACAAACGAAACCCGGTTGGGCCGAGGGTCGGGGGACCTTGCTGACAGAAACGGCTGGATAGGTGCCAATATTCTGCTCGCCTACTTTCACTACTGTAACAAGGGCATCTATCCCTTCTCGAACGACTGCAAAGAGCAAGACTTGAGGACGCTTGCGGAGCTGGATGAGTCTGCAATCCGTTTCGTGAAGGAAACTCGGTCATTTGCATCTGATCACAGTACGTCTTCATTGGATTGGCTGAGCTAGTCATGCCCCTCCCCCTACTCTATTCTCGGGTTGTGGTATTGGTTGCTCGAACCCGAGGGTTTGGGAGAAGTAACGCTGCTAACGTGATGGTTTGTGCAATGCAGAGCGTCAGTGGCAGAGACTTCACCAAGAAGGCCTCTTTGAGGATGATTACTTCTTCCTCAGCCAGCTTTTTACCGAGAACTGGGAGCCCCGCTCGACCGTGTGATAGGGTTGGCTTGGGTTGTGCTCTGGCCCAACCAGGAATCGAAATACCGCGCAGCGCCCCATGTCAGGAAAAAGAAGGAGGGCGCAAGGAAAGCCCGCCCCTCCCACCCGGGTCATATGCAATAGAAATCAACGTCAAAAAGCTAAAGGCATCGCTCGCTGCTCCCTGTCGTCTCATGGGGATGAGGAAGATGGGCCGTGGCTTGCATATTAATCGACAATGGCGGCTCGAAAACAAGGTTATCATTGGGTTGGAAGACTGAGGGTGTGCACAGGTACCAGTGAGAGTCCCCGCAGTGGTGCCCCACACCTGGCACCTTGGCCTCAGTGCTCCCTCTGTCGCAATGCTCTACCCCCTTTTTATGTACTATATTTCCTCCCCTCCCATCGTAGCTTTGCTATCGACGGAAGCGGCCCCTGTGAACAGCAGACGACTCACTCCCCGCCCTCGCACTCTTTGTGTTGCTGGGGCCAATCCGGCTGCGACAGCGCGATGTGGGTGTAGGGGGCGGATGATGGAAAAAGATGAAGCAGGCGAGATTGGGCGAAGAGGCGGCAACGCCGTAACGCAGGTCATGCAGTATAATTCTACACTGACTCTTGAAGCCATCTGCAAGCGATAATATCTTAATGAATTTCAAAGAAAGCCGTTGATACTTGTTGAAGGTCCTGTCTCATTTCTCTCCTTTGCCGTGCTGTACCCATGCACCTTGTGCCCACAGCATGCAGATCCACTCACACCAGTTCCTCCTTGCTTTCTGGCCGTTGATGCCGCCATCGAAAACCTCATCGGGCTCACCCGCCGAGAGTTCTTTCCAGGGGCGTTCGCTTGCTCGCTCGGCGTTCCGCCCCCCTCCGTTGTCCCCTTTTCGTCCACCGGATTCATCGGCGATATGCATGCTCCTCAGAGCATGGGTACTTGTGCAATCGTCCAGCCAGTACCGAGGTATGGGCTATGGAAATAAGACCCTTGCACCAGTGATAACGGGCGTGTGTTCTCATGAAAAGCTCTGTGAAGACAGCCTAGGAGCCCGTGGCTTGTCGCTGACGAAGCCTTGCTCGTTCTCCCCGATAAAGCCGGTCTCCTCATGGTTACACAGGTCCCCAACCTTATCCTCTGACGGGAGGACCCAGAATTTTCAAAGTTTTGTCGTCCTCACCCCTAATCCACTGGTAAAAGAATGAGCGCATATAGTGGACAAGTAGCCCGGAGCTAGGAGCTTGCATTTCCCGACAGTTGTAACTGGTCCACCGCAGTCGGACCAATATAAGTATGCGGACATCTGCAGGCCGTGGGTAATGGCATCCATATATCACTGTTAGATTGATAGTCATGCTACCACTTAGATATGTCGCTTTGTGCAGCTCCCCTCCCCCAGCTTCTACCCCTACCCTCCCTGACCAATCTCGCACAGAGCCCCCTCCTTCTTTCTTCTCTACTTCTGCCTCCTTGTTTTCTTTATGCCTCCGTCGTAGTATTCTCTCCTCTTTGCAATGGCGTGTAAAAACATCTTAAGCCCTCAACTCAAAAGTCATAACTATGGTTTCCTCGTGGTACCATGGACTTGTAATATTCATAGCCACGAGTTCCGAGGCCTGATAGGCATAAAGTGTAGATCTCCCTTTCAAATAAAGGGCACAAATGGATCTCACTCAAAGGAACGTACCTGAGCTAGCATACCTGAGGCCAGGTCGTTGAGAATCGGGTGGCCTGCGGACTATCGAGCACAAGACTCTAGTACGAGAGCGTATCAACCTACAATGGAGGGGAGGGTGGTTGAGAAGAGAGTGGTTTGTGGGCAGAGGAAGGGGAAGTCCTAGTTGGACTGAGGCCTCCGGACGACCATGTGGCCAGAGCAGTGAAGGCACTCGCTTCCGAAAGGCGAGCAACTCTGTGTTCAGTCCGTTACCGCTTCCACTCCCACTAACTTGCACACATTGACTGTGAGAAAAAGAGAGTTGCCAAACCCGCCCGACATGGTTCAAGTAACGTTGGAAGCGAAGCACATGCAAGCCGAGTACGCAGTGTCAAATGTCATCTTTGAAGCACCACGATAGGGAGAGAGGCTGCGGCCACACAACATTCAACCTTCAACTAGTGAGTCGAAGGGGTTGGCCAAACTAGCGAGTTGATACCTCTGAAAGTATAGGAGTCGAGAAAGAGGAATTAAAAAGGCATACAAACAGACCAAAAGGAAGAATGAAGAATGAAGAATGAAAAGAACAGGAGTGAAACAGAGAGAGGGGTTTACTGGTGTCGATACAAATGTAGGTTGATCCTGGCTGAGGCAGACAGACGTAACCCTGCACGAAGGCAGGAGCGCCCCATTGGATAACCTCAACTGATGCAGCACCCCTCGAATAAAGTAAGCCGGTGAGCCTCCTCCTTCCTCGCCTCATCCGTCTCATCGACCGTGGATACATCTCTCCATTTGCTAGTCTGCTTCTCCTCTATTACAAAGATACGGAGAACACTGAATACTTGCCTAGTCATCCTCGGCCTTTTTCGCGAGCGTTTTCGCTCATTACAACAAAAGAAGTAGGTTGACGAAGGTGTCGCGAGTGGTGTCCTCTCAATGCCAGATGACATCAATATTCCCACTCGCTCAGTTAATGAACAAATAGGAGAAGGGGTCGACGAGGTGGTCGTTTCCCCTTCCAAAAAAAAAAAAAAAAAAAAAAGAAAAAAATCAAGGAGAAAGGAAAAGCAAAGAGGGAGGGAAAAGGAAAAAAGAAAAGAAAAAACACCCCCGTCCGCCCCACCTTCACACATCCGTGTCTCTATCTCCCTTCGCACACCGGCCATCGAATCCAGCTTGCTACTGCTCCCAAAACAATTGCAGAGCAGAAACCACCACCCTGGCCCAAAAAACAGTATTGCCAACAGGCCATTCCCAACAACCTTCTGAGACGGCGCGGGGTGGCGCCGGATCTACAAGCTGAACGAACGCATCTTGGCTTGGAAGAACTTTGTCTATGCCCCATCCGTAACATTTGTTTGCAATTTAGGGCAGGGCTTTGGGGCAGGGCTAACAAGACGGTTCAGCTGAAGAAATGAAAACAGCATGAACCAAACCTTTCGGTTCGGACGAATAACAATGCTGCCTGGGGGTCAGTGTCACTTACGCACCTCCCGGGCCCTGTTCGGGTGTAGATTTGGACAGCCGGTGGCCAACTGCAAAAGGCATTGAGAGATTCTTTTATTTGGATATTTGAGGGGCATCTCTGCTTGTGGGCGATTTGGGCACACCCTCGGCTCTCAGTCAAGGGGGGCGTCTTCCCTAGTCGAACTAGCATCCGATGCATGCGCAGGCTCAGACAGTCGCCTAGCTCACTCCAGGTCGGGTTGGATATCGGACCGGTGAGATGCCGCCACGGTGTTATGTGATCGCAATTTACTGATTGATACTATCCATGGGTGCTCGATGCTATGCTTGCGGGTCTGTTGAAGTTGCAGGCCTAAGCCCAATGCATGGTGGCGCTCAAAAGAGAGAGAACTTGCTTCTTCGATGAACATTGGCCTGCTCTCGTGCGCAGCGGCTTTTCCCACCAGAGGCCAGCCATAGGCCAGCCATTGACGAAACATCGTATGCGCTTCTGCTCGGCAGGTTCTGTATACTGCCGAGGTTCGGGGGCAGAATACTGCAAGCAAACTGAAAGGAGAGACCGGAAGGGAAAATATCAAAAAAGGAAGGAATGCATGTCTGCTATCCTCACGCTTGCTCCGTCTGTCAGACCCTTTCGACATCAATGGAATGATACCTTGACTGCCAAGCCGTGTGTGTAACCCACTTCCTCAACACGGTACACAAGCCAGATATCTCGATGAAGGGAAGAATTTTCAAGATCGACGCTTCTGCTGTATATCATTTTGCTGGTGGCTTCCCGTTTGCTCCATTCTGAAAGTGGATCTTTTGGGGGAAGTATCCCATCATCCCATCATCTCATCCTACTTCGTAGCACAATGGGCAGCTCCGTTGGCGGGGCCGGGATTTTGAGAATAGAAAGCCACGAGCGGGGCCGCATTGTTAGAGGTGTCGTGAGTCCCCTCGTCCCCTAGCTCTCACAAAAGGCAATCTACCACGAGGGACAGGGAGACAAGCGACACTGCACTAGCTTGGAAAGGGCCTATGTTGTACCATTGTACCACCCGAACAGCTCCGTGGTCCATTTTGTGCCGCGTGCTCTCATAAATTCGCGTTCAGGTGCAGGAGCCCACCCCCTTTCTCTTTCTCTTTTTTTTTTTTTTTCTTTTTTTTTCTCCCCTTTCTTTTTCGCACCATCTTCCACACTGGCAGCCTCCTATTACCTCAGAGATCCAGGGATGTCTCTTACTTGTATTATCATTACTGACCGTTCCAGAATGAATAGCCCTTCCTCGTTGTTAAACCAGCCACATGCGTTTCAGTCGTTCCCTATTATCGCATCAGAGCTTCAAACGGCGGTCCACATCACCCAAGTGACAAGGACTTTTTGCTAGTCGTTGGACAATGGATGGACATGGGCGCAAATGAAGCCAACCCTAATACCACCAGTTGCATATCCGGTTCCGATTCCGCTCCCGCATGGAGGTAGCAGGTAGCAATGGAGGATTCGAGACGCATCACTCCACGACGTGGCTAAAATTCCTTCGCAAGGGAAAATGATTATCCATGGGCTGGCCGACCTCCCACCAGGTTGCTCCAAAGAACGAAAGGTATCCAACTTTCAGAAGGGCAGAAATCGGACCTAGAAAGAATGACCTCGACAAGATCCTCATTTGTTCCCCCGCCCCTTCTTCACTCCCACGACTAGACTATGGCCGCTCAGCTTCGCTAAATGATCTACTGGATGATTATCTTCTGTCCTCAGAGCCTCAAGGTCCGATTCAGCGCGCGGGGTCGTTAACCGTGGGTGCCTGGCTCGCCGGATAGAGCCTCCGAACAATCTCCCTCTTCGCATGTTCGCCCTGCCATGCGCGAAGCAAAGTCCGTGCAGAGATCCCCCAGAACTTCGGTCCTTGGATGCGACTGATGACCCCAAGCAAGCGCGTCTGGCTGGGTCTACTATAGGGCCCGACCTTGGCAACGGGTGGTCCCTGCCACTTTTCGACACCCACCTCAAGTCGAGTTTGCCCGATTTGGGAGAAAAGGAAGAGAAAAAGAAGGGAAAAAGAAGGGAAAAGAAACGAGGGGTGAAAAGGCCAGTACCAGGGCTTGAAGATGAAAATGAAGCCTCCATGTCTCTCCGGTCGAGAAGGGAAGGTGAACAGATAATGTCACTTTGTCAAAGAGCGCTGTGAGGAATTGATCGAGGGGAGTGACGAAGCTCCAATATTCCCACCCCACGTCTCAACGTTCGTTAACGTGAGGCGAAGAGGCAAGACTGAAAATGGTCAGTGCTCATGCTCCGAGCGTTTAGCACTAACACTGTACTCGACAAACAAGAGCACGGCAGGGGTGTTATTGAGCTCTAACCCCTGCTGCTTTGCCCAATCGGGGAGGTGGGGTGGCCGTCGCCGCAACTTTGGCATCTCAGTCCCACGTCATGGTGCTGGCTGCTGGCGGCTGGCGTTCGGCATGGCGTTGGTGCTCTTTCCGCTCATACCTCAACTCACATCTCAGCGATTTGATCAAGTATTATGCCCGTACCCTTCTCGAAAGGCTGCCAGAACTTGGCGCCCATAAGCAGTGTGCAAGTCTTCCTTCACATTCCATGCTCGAATACCCGGGTCAAACCGCCCGGCCCTTCCTGCGGTTTTTGCCTGTGGTTGATCGAGCCCGCTCTTGCATTTTGCATATCAACTGGCACCCCCAGGCACCTCCTCCAAGGCCTCGGAGTACCTCTGCTTGAAACTAAGAGCCTTTTGCTTTTTCTCACTAGGACCACAGCTTCTTTTTGGGTAATGCCGCCCCCTCCCTTCCACCTTCTTCCTCTAGCCCTCATTTGTGCCTGAGAAAGAACCCTGGATGTGCCACATATATTGGCGGGTTGGGGCATGAAGAGGTGGATCGTTGCGACGAAGCAGGAGTGGATGCGAAGGGCAGATTAGTTCCTTCCCTGCTTCTGGTCTCTGGTGTTTCAACGCCATTCCCACTGCCATTCTCTCGGTTTTAGACCGGCGTGTGTGCTTGTTCCTGATACCTCCGAACACGAGAAAGGCCCGCGTCGTGAGCTGACCGCTATTAACTTTTGACGTTTTGGAAGTCCCCTTTTCTCTTCCATGCCTCCGTGAGCCACAGCCAACTCAATCTCCCATCGGGCACAACAGCCTCCCCTTGACGTAGATGCAGGAGACCCTTGGTTGCTCACCTACACGCCCCATTCCCGGTCTAAAGCAAAGAATTCATCAAGAGGTTGTCATCCGGCTGTAACGCGAGCAATGTGTGGGTTTTTTCCTATTCCCGCCTTCAAGGTAAGGCCCAACATCCAGGTTTGACCGGGGGCGTGCGATTCGCATCTGGCGGTCTCCTTTCACTTTCCACCGTCTTGATGAGAACTACCCACAAAATACCCACTTGTGAGAGTCGTACATACATCTATAGATCCATCAATGGATACATTTTACCCTTGTATTAGCGCCTCCCTTTGCCTTCCCATTCTCCCCTTCTCTCGGCACGAAGCACCTTTCTGTGATACGTCCCAACCCCGTCCTCACTTTCACTATTCCTCAACTTCCTGAAATCCCAACTCACACAATCGCACACCCCTCCCTCGATCCCACACTTCTAACTTCCAACCTCCAGCCTCCAACCCCATCTCCATTTCCAGCTCCTACTGCTTGACCCTCGTCCTCTGTGTTCTTATTCTCTTCAATACTCAACCACATCCCACCCCTCCCTGGTGTCTGGTGTCTTGAGAGCCGCAGACTCGGGCCCGGTCTAAACGAAGCGCGTAGAGTTCCCACCGGGAGTCTGTGCAACATTGCTCGACCGACATCCACCCCCCTCTTCCTTCCCCTTTCCCCTTTCCCCTTCCCCCTTCACCCGTCTTCAACTTGAACCACCGGTGACCCGACCCTGCATCTTAATTGCTGTTGGCACCCTAGCCTCGTTATTCTTTTCCCTATTTTATTTTATTTATTTTGAGTAAATGTAACACGCCTTGCGCTCTTGACAATCCACCACCTACCGGGTGTCTTCTCAACACACAACTTGGATCACCCTCCGCTCCGGGCTGGTACAACACGGACGTCAACACCATAGAGGAAAGCGGATCTCCCAACGCGCCTCCCGGGGCCCGTGGTGCCTTCCCTTTCCCGACGGCCCCGTCAAGCGGCTGCGGCAGGTACCCAAATAACCGCTGCTGCCTCCCCGGTCGAAGAATTTTCTCTGCTGGCTTTCGACGTGGATGTAAATAAGTCCCAACCTGGCACGATTCACTGCCGAATACTCCCCATCGCCCATCACGACCAATCATCACTGCTTCTTCTGCCGCTCGTATTTCATCACTGCTGTTTTCAACCCCTTCTTCATTTTACTTTCTTTTTTGTTGGGGTCGCGAGATTTGCTCGACTTCGCTCGATCTCTGATCGGTTCTGTGGCTGCTTCGGAATCAGATGGGGTCTATGGATGCGAGGCCATCTTCTACCTTCCCAATTTCGTTTGTTCTCTGACATATATATCAGCCAAGTCATGAGCACCTTCCGCCCTCGACTATCCTCTATCAACCATACTTTACATCCCAAATTCGATCTTGCATTGCCCTTTTCTCCCATCCTACCTTTCCCTATTTTAGCAAAACTTTTTCCATTTGCATTCTTGCGCTTCTCAAACAGTTGCCGCTCCCTATCAGGTCTCCCTCTCCTATTAAGACGCATCACAACGAACCCCCTCGTTTCTATGTAAAAGAATCCATATCTTTCGTCTACAGCCAGCTTTCTTTCTTTCTTTCTTTTTATTTTTTCTCAAGCCAAAAACCGTACTGGTTTCCGTCACCTCCTAATCTTGCATATTCCCCTTATCTACCTCCCTATTTCCTCACCGGCATACGCTTGACCCTAATCCGAAAATCGGGCCCGCCGGACAATACTATCTTCGAGCGCGGCACACTTGATCCTTTGGCACCTGAGCCCGAAGTTAGACAACACTCCCTCGCTCCTAAGGCCTAAACTCGCGGCAGCTAGCTGTACCCTTCCTTGCCTCTCGCCAAGCAGATTTGAGGACTCTAAGGACCAAAGGCAACAACTTTGAATAATGGCCCCAAGCATAGTCGGCCCCGTGATTGACTCGGGAAACGTCTTGGTCCAAGCACATCAGTCTCCAGAGCCACACCGGGTCCAAGAGAGTTCGGTGCTCCCCGCGGGATTTCCAACCGCGCTCAAGACGGATCTTGCATGGACCGGCCAACAGTTCAAAATTGATAATGATTACATTTTCAAGCTTCAAGCCTCGGATATTTTCGAGGTAGAGGCTGCTCTTGAACACTTCAAGGGTTAGTCTGCCTTTTATTCATATTTCCTTGACGCTTTCACTGCTTCCGAATACTTTCTAGGCCTCGTCCCTCTCCTGCCCCTCCCCTTCCCCCAAGCGTTTCATTCCTTTCCGTACCAATGCACCGTTAATCTTGTCTGAAGCCTTGCGTCTAACATGCATGACTTTTGCCTTCTAGCGCTAGAACTCGACGGAAATGATGTCTGTCCTGCCAACTTTCCACTTCCTAAGCTAGGAGGGAGCCTGCGAGGATTGGCACGGGATCTTTACGATGGTCGTGGCTTCTGCGTTGTTCGTGGTCTTGACCTTCAAAAATATTCAGTTGAAGATTACACCGTCATCTGGCTCGGAATGCAGAGTTATATTGCTCCCCAGCAAGCCCGCCAGGACAAGAAGGGGAACATGTTAGGTAAATACTTGACCCCTTTCCCATCACTCCTCCTACAATGGGCGCGATCGCCTCTCTGCCGTTCGGTTCTCATATCTCACTGGCCCTGTGGCTTTGTTGTCTTCCCCCTCCCCCTCCCCCTCCTGATGGATTCTTTTTCTACACGTACTCTTCGTTTGTCAGGTGGGTACAAGGTACGGAATTAACAATTTATGTCTGGACTAGTACATATCCATGCAGATAAGTCTTCAGAAGTGAAGGCCGAGCATCATCGTCACTCTACCAATGCCATTGTAAGTTTCCATCGATTCCAGTGTGTTTTGTTCACCCATGCACCAAGCTCAATCAACGGCTAGCGGCTGACTGCTGGCAACCACAATGCTTGCACAGACGTTCCACACAGAAGAATCAGGCGACATTGTCGGCTGGCTCACGCGGAGCAGTGCCATGTCTGGAGGAAGGTGCATTATCGCATCTGCGCACACAGTCTACAATGTACTCGCTGCAGCCCGTCCGGACCTTGTCAGGGTTTTGGCCCGCTCGGACTGGCCATTCGCATTGTAAGACCCGACATCAAAAGTGTGACAGTGGCCAAGAACTGATTCAAACCTGTGCAAACAAGTCCCCATTTCCAGTGTCGGCCCATCATCTACTTTCACGAGTCGAGGCTTATCATGAACTTTGGTCGAACTCCGCTTATTGGAAATTCGGTTCATGTCCGACCCAGCCATCTGCCATCCCTGTCCAACCTTCAGCGCGAGGCGCTCGATGCGATTGAGGCCGTCGCCCAGGCCACTCAGATGGAGATCCAAACCCAACCCGGCGATATGCACTACATCAACAACCTTGCCGTTCTCCATCGCCGCGATGCTTTTGTCAATGGCGATGAACCGACGGCCAGTCGCCATCTCGTTCGGATGAGGATCCGCAATGATGCGCTTGGATGGTCGATCCCACCCGAGCTCGAAGATGAGTGGGACAAGGCCTTTAGCGCCCATGGTGATCGCATATGGCACCTTGAGCCAATGCCCGAGGGCTTTTTCCCCTGCGCATGTACACCAACTAAACCGGGGCTGGTCTCCTTGACCTAGCCAGACTGTCACGACACATGGGGTAATAGGGGCGTTGGTTGCATTGCATTACTGTTTTGTCAGCTTTTAGACGGGATGGCCTTGGACGCCTAAAGACGGAGCAAGATCTCTTTTTCTTCATTGTGCTTCTGATGCGAGCTGAACAGGGCAAGCTATCGGAGCGGGACTAGGAATTGGGCATTGGAAAGCGCAAAGGGAAAAGGGGAAAAGGCACAAAAAGTGGGTATGTGCAAGGGATCCATGAAAAGGTTCGGTCAAGGGTCAAACAGGGTTCCTGGCGTCACTGGGAGTTTTGGTGTTGCCCAGCAAATTAATTTGCATCTGTGGTCTCTCCCTCTTCATCTCTTCTCTCTTCTCTCTTTTCTTTCTCTCGGCCTTGAAAATTTTGAATGCGTATCACATAGTGTAGGCTCTCCATAGCTTTTGATTGCTTGAAGAAACTTTTATTAATCGTTATGCCTTTTCACTAGACGAGACAGACCCCTCCTTTCCCCTTTCACCCCACGTTGCGGCTACCTGGCCCGCTTTCTCTTCGCCATCAACCTTGATCACATATATACTTTTTTTTTGTTCTTGGGGGACTTCGTTCGGCGACGAGGCGTCAGTTATCCCGCGCGCGCGAGAGATTGCTATCCTATCCCCTATGATAGTTCCGTACACACTCCGCGCGAGTGTTTCAATTCACCGTACAGCAGAGTCGATTCAAGCCTTGCACCAAGTCTCGAAGCACTTGGTCTTTCAGCTGAGCATGGATCCACTTTCTAAATAATACAGGATCAGTCTAGGATACAGAGGTGGGACGCCGGGTTGACGCAATTGCTTCTTTTCTTTTCGCACTCCTCAGTAGTAGTGCTAGAATGAGCTCAGCTTCTCGCTCCCACGCTAAGGAAGGGGACATTCACAACGGAGGCGATGGAGAGGATATGGCCTGTGAGCGAGGCACCGCGGCAATATCGCACAGGACGATATGTTGACTGGGCAGTAAAGGCATCTACCGTAATTTGTAGTGCCTAGTTTTGTGGATGAAAAACATCGTGGAGCAGAAGCTGTGCTCCAGAAGGGTGAAGGACGATTTGGGATTGACTTGTCGTTGGTATTTGGTGTGCAGGGGTTACCCAGCTCAGCTTCGAGGTGGTGAGCACGGACCCCTCCCATTGGGGGAAGGGACACCTGTGGGTGTGACAAGCGCGACAAGGGGAAGAGGATCGATGGATTGGAGGACCTGGCTCGCTTCACACAGGATACACACACGCAGCACGGGTCACAGGGAGAGAAGGGGGGACGCGTTGGCAGGTTGGGTTCTGCCAAACGCTGCATGCATTGTATTCGCTCGTCACTGCATCCCTGACAATGCAATTGAGAGAATGCTGGTGTTCGCGAGTGCTACAGGTTTCCACCCGACGGTATGGGATACGAGGCGTACAAGTATTTTGAGAAGCTTCCTAAGGTGGAGTACACGGGTTTACACAGATCCCGAAGGACTGATGGAGGATGAAGGAACATAACATGCTTGGAGAGGGGAGGTCTCTCAAGAGGGAGGGGGGGACTCAATGATGGGCCAAACCGAGAGGCACTGTCTTGACAGTCATAGTCATCAATGATGAGTGGGGTGGAGGGCGCGGGTGGGGAACAGCAGGAGACAACCCGGTTCCGGGACCGACATCCCAGCGTTCCGGTCTGCGCGAATTATTCCCCGCTTTCAATGTCGTTGGAAAACCCTTGGAGCCAAAAGACGCCAAGGCAAGGCGGAAAGCGCTTTTTCGGCCCCATGCTCTGCTCCATTCGGAAGTTCGATGGGGCAGCATGCGCTAGTCTGTGCGGTTCGTTGCCTTGCAGACCAGGGAGGGCAATCAAGGGCAATCACCAGGGCATCCGTGGGCAGATCGTCCGTCGGTCCAAGTCGCAACAAGGCGATGGAGCCATTTTCTTTCATCAGAACCGCGGGCAGTCTCTCTTTCTTTTTTCCTTTTTCTTTTCTCTTTTTCCTCCGCGTGTCTTCTCTGTCTCTGCCTCTCTTCTTCATCGCGTGAGTGTGTGCATGCGTTTCGAACTAACGGTTTGGCAGGGAGGCAGGGAGGGGAACCGGGGAACTCATGGCCAATCGATTTCCCTCGCTGACGCCGATATCAACGCAGCATTGCACAGCAGACGCCAGTGGTTAGAGGCCTGAGAGGGCACAGCGCACGCTGTGCCTCACGCTTAGTCGTTCCCTTTTATCTTTCTTTTTTTATATTCTAATTTTACATGTAATTTAGTTTCTCTCTTTTGTATTCTGCTAGTTGCCTTGTATTGAAAGTAGGATGCGAAGCCATTCGAGCTCTGCCCGACAAGCTTCATGCTTTCTCCTTCCTTACGAAGTATTTTTGTCGTCCCTTTTTTTTTTTTTTTTTTGTTGGTTGGTTGGTTCCGTCCAAACAATTCCCTCAACTCTCAACTCTCCACCTCTCGGCTTTCAATGTTTGATTTCCAAGTTCAATGTTGTCAAGCTATTATTAATATTGCTAAGCCAGGGTTCCCGGTCTGAGGCATAAGCCTCGAATCACTTCAAACCAAGCGACGGGGTGGGCAGGCGGCCCCCATGTGGCTGTTTCCAGTTATTCTGTCCACCCATCCATGCCTCCATGTGGGCATTTCGCGACCCTCGTTCGCACCGCCTTACAAGTGGTATTATTAAGATACTCGCGGTCACACTAAAACATGCTTGCTCATAATACCTAGTCCTGCTTGCCGAATTCCGTACCCAACTTCACGAGGCATCCCGGCCCTCAGCTCTCGGGTCTGCACCCTTGAACTAACGCCGGAACTCCTGATAATATTAGTTTCTTCATTATCCTAGTCCCTTCTCCCCCTCTTTTACTCTCTACGCCTTTTCTGTCCCCCTCCGCCTAGGTCGAGTGTAATCTCACCGAGAGCACTCCGGGCGAGATGGTAGGTGTGGTGTGGTGTCTTCCATGTAGACACCCTCAACTTCAAAGCTTCAGGTGGAAAAGGCTAGACTAAAGATGTCGAGGCGTCTTTAGCAAACCAAGCACCTTCCGCCCCACCATCGTTTATCGTACCGGCCACTACTGGCACGGACTGCCGCCCGAGTTGCACGCCTTGACTTCCCCGAAAAGGAGAGATCGGCGAAGCTGGACACGAGGATCTTCACTGATTGATACGCCTGAGCATCCCCTACTCATACACTCATACTATCCCTTTCCCCTTTTCTCCATTCACGGGCGACGTCCTCCTCCGATAGCCCTGCCTCCCGCCTCGCCCTGGCCCCGTTTCGCCGGATTTAACGCAACTCCGTTCTCCGCAAGTATGGGGCCGGTGGTTCCCGCTAGGTTTCGGACCTGGTCTCCAGCTTACGCGGAGAGGCATGGATTTTATCCACGTTCGGACTAGCTATATCTACGTTCTGGAGTGGTGCAGGCAGGGGACGGCTATGACGCATCCCGAGCCGTGGATATCCTGGATCAATAGCTGGCCCAAGTGTAGTGTAGCCTGGCCTAGCCCTCCGCCACATCGTCACCCATCAATGATCTCTCTCAGGTGAGTCAGCAGGTGTCGACTTTTCCTAGGTATCCATTACTTCGGTATATCCCGCGCCGCATACCAGTTCCCACCTTCCCCCTTGGTGGGACGTGGCTGGAGGCGCCTAGCAAAGAGAGGCAGAGGGCGACGGAAAGAGAAGGTGAGGGGGGCGGCGGCGGCAATGGCTGCCTTTGCTCGCGGAGATGGTGTCATGCTAGTAACGTTTCAACAGGACAATGGATCTCTCCGAGAGGAAACCGGCCAAACGCTAGGGGATCAAGGGAGAAACGAGGTGGCGGCGACCACCGGAGCGAAGGGTGGGTAAAAAAAGAAAGGAGAGGGGAGGAAGGGACAGGCCTTTCCCATTTACGGGCATAATTCCGAGGAGTGAGGGAGCGCGTGCAAGGCATCGCTGCAGCCATATTGGCTTCGTGCTAGCTCGCCGCCTATCACCAGTGGCGGCGCCAAAAGCAGCGTGCCTCGGGCTTCGACTTGTTTACGCTATAAGCCGAGACAGACATCGGAAAGCTGTCGGCGACCTACGACCGATTCATCCGGCTAACCACCGCCAGGGTCGACCGGGCTGACCATCCTGTTGAGCAAGGGGGCGCCCTTGTCGACCCCGACGGAGGCCTCAGCTTCTCCTCCGCCTAGGAAGATGCCGAGGATTATTGCACTTTGAAAGGGATCCAGAGGCGTCGTTGATGCATGCGTGGTGTATGCGCGGTGTATGCGTGGATGCGCGTCTGTGGTTGTGGGATCGATGGATGCGCACGTCACTTGACTTCTCTTTTCACCCGTTGACCCGTCGCGTTCTCACCAGTGACACTTGCCTCATGCGCGTCTATCGTGTGCGAATATGAACTGTCACATTTTTAGCACCGTCCCATTCAGCGAGCGGTCCACGGCTGTGGCATCTGTGCTAGACCGGTTTTGGATGCAGATCCAAATCCATTGTTGAATCCAGGGTCCACTCTCACCAATCCATCTTGTGTAGTGGAGTGCCTCTGCACTAGTGTAGACGGCCGCCGTGGGCGTTTGAATACTAGTTAAAACCCATCAAGCATCCATGGATGGATCTATTGCCTTGGCTCTAGTCTCCTCGCCCAGTCTGACTTGTACATATAGGCAAATGCTCCTTCAGGCCAGGGAAAGTACCGGCGAAACGACCTGTCCAGTGGGCCATGGCAAGAAATGGTGGGAGGGTTTGGGAGTAGGTAAACCCGAGTGTCCCTACAACCGAACAAGAATTGCTTTGCATCGTCGATTGACTTTGTAGTGGTAACGCCCATTCCTTGGCGATGTCGCTCACTTGCGGCGGACCACCCTCTCCGGCGATGGGTTGACCGTGCCCTTTAGCAGGCGGGTAGATTCTCCAAATATTGCAGGGATCTAAAATGGAAGAACATCTATCTATGGGAAAGATTTAAAGGGGGAAAAAGATAATAAAGGAAAAAAGAAGAAACCAAAAAACCACGGCTGCTGGCTGTAGTTTTCAGGTTTTCGTGGCCGCCGCCGGAAACCTGACTCGACGGCTCCAGCGTCATGATCGGCCGAGCTTTGAACGATGAAGCGGAACTCGCCCAAGTGAGAACCTGGAGGTTTTCCCCCGCGCAAACCCTTGCTGCATTCGATAAACATTTTCGAGATTAATTAGTAGCTTGGCAGAATATGGCAAACCAGGTTCATTGCAAGCCCAGCAATATATTTAGTGACATTGGGACAAAAGGGCGAAAACTAAGAACAAGTAATACAGCATGGGCAATCTACGCCTGAGTGTGGAAAATTTGGGTCAGGGTTGAAGGAGATGGCTATTCTAGTCAGAGGTTCTCGCGTCCGTCATCTGCCGGAGATGGCCGGAGGTAAGGGACATGGTGCTGCCATGACTGTACCCCTGTGCCGGCCGGTCCCGCCAACAAACAAGTGTCGGAGGGATCCTTGACCCGGATCAATCCCATCATTCACATCACACCAGCAACAGTAACATCCCGCTGATAATATCAAATGCTCCAATATGAAATCCGACCCTTTTCCCGTGAGAAAAGAAAAGTGGGGAAAAGGAGGAAAAGGAAGAAAGAAAATAGAAGGCTTGGGTTTCCGAATAAGTATTATTTGAACAATAAAAATCGAAGTTCACATCAAACAAATGAAGTTTGACGCAGGGGTAGACAATGTCCCTGGGCAGCCGACTGACTAATCTAGGCTCAGGATTATTCGCGGCTTGGCGGCTCATTATCCCCAGCTGCCGGAGCTGCTGGCAGCTGCTCTCTTTCTACGCTAAGTCGAGGACACGCCGCGTGAACGACGAGAAACGAAATCAGGGGATGGATCACCATCAGTTTTTGGCCAGAATCTTCAGAACGCCGTAGGCTTTCCAGTTCCGCTCCTTTTGGATATTGCGCTCGGCATCTATCCCATACCCTCACTCCTTACATCTGCGGAATGGCAGGGTTCTACCAGTGCACATAGCCCCGCGACCTAGTCCGTGGAGCCTCCTTTCTGCTCTCACGCAGATTGCGATTCATCCACCAACTTTGTTTTTCTTGATGACTCCTTCGCTCATCCTACCCGTCTAGATATTCTTTTTTTTTATGGAATTGGGGCTTGAGTTTACAAAGCCACGGTAAAAGTAGGCTTTAACTTGCCTAGATCTTGGTGTCCCGCCTCCACACAGCCTGGCCTGGCCCGTCCTTGTCAGAACTGCCCAGAGCAAAGCTAGGCTCGCCGCATCCACTCCTTCGCTCTTTTCCCTCTTGGAGGCCCCGTCTATCCCTCGAGCGTGGTGTTTGCAAAGCAAAAATGGCGCCAAATACAGAGAGTGCCTACGAGCTAGTCGACCAGCATGATGCCTATCAAGAGCCGGAACTGGAGGATACTCCACCTCCGAAGCCACGATACCATCGGAGTGCAAGCCGCCGGACGATCAAGGCTGTCGCGGTCGTTATTGCAGCCTGTTTTGTCGTATTCGTAGTCTTTCAGATCATCTCTAACGATGCCATTGATCGCTTCCGTAAGGCCATGGCTGGCGCTGGCAACGGCATAGACGACTGCCCGTGCCGACCTTCCAATGTCCCGCAGCACTTCCAGACCCGCCCTCAGCTATGGCCGGGGCCGACTCTCACAGGCCAGCCTGCATTTTTGGCTCAGACCGTCGCGTTCAAGCCCTCGGAGACCTATGTCCCGAACGAACCCCTAGTGACCTCTATCCCTATCCAGGGTATGACGTCGCAGAATCAAAGCATCTTCAACATGATGGGGTTAGTCGGCCGCATTTCGTTCCCCTCTCCACCTACTTCTCCAAGCTTCTTGATTAACACTCGCTCGCCACTAGCTATCTATCGCCCTACTTCCCATCCCCGGGTTTGGCGTTGATGAGTATCCGCTTCCACCTGGCGCACAGATCGTCCAACTTCATGTAAGAAAGACCGGCGAACTCTTCCTTGATCCCTGCTTTCGTAGCGTCTAGCATGGTGAAATGCTTGGTCAATACATTTTCCACCTTCTCTAACCGAGAGAGAACAGATGTTATCACGGCACGGGGCGAGGTATCCTACTCTGGGGTCTCAAGTCGAGCTCTTTGGTCAGAGATTGGCCGCTGCGGCGGCCACCTTCAAGGCCTCTGGCGCGCTAAAGTTCCTCAACGACTGGAAGTACGAGCTTGGTGCTGAGATACTAGTGCCTAAAGGTTGGTGATTGTATCAGTCGATGCCAAGAGCGCTACCAATTATTAACATTCGTCGTTGTCAGGACGTCAGGAACTCTATGATTCTGGTTCGTATACCCGACTAAATCGAGCGAAGTAGGTCTAAGGAGATGCCACATGCCTAACTCTCCACGTTTCTAGGAGTCCTCCACTCGTACATGTATTCGCGCCTCTATGATCCCAACACAAAGATCATCGCCCGTACTACCGTATGTACCTCCCCCATAGATGATGAACCCATAGCCTATTCTTGTCTGTTGATACTAACTATCCACCTTTGAAGACCCAAGACCGTATGCTCAAGTCCGCTGAGAATTTCATGGCCGGATTCTTCGGTCTTGAATGGTAAGACCCCTCAGCCAAAGTGAACCATTGGAATGGGTCTCCGAGCTCACATGTATTTCCTCAATCCCTAGGACGAAGAATGCAACGCTCGAGGTCATAATCGAAGCCGACAACTTCAACAACTCGCTTGCGGGATACTTTGCGTGCCCCAATGCTTTCAAGAACACTGCCCCCTTTGAAGCTTCAGCGAAATGGAAGGCAACCTATCTCAAAGATGGTATAGCCCCCGAACAAATGCGGCATGCCGCAACCGCCCTGCCGCACACACTCCCTCCTTGCACGTAGCTTCCTGGCTAACATCTCAAAATAGCAACGGAGCGCTTCAAGCCACTTGTGGGGGTTATGAGTGGACGGTCGACGATACTTACGCGGCCCAGATGATGTGTCCCTATGAAACTGTCAGTCCCATGTGCCATCCCAAAACAGCCCACCACAAGAAAACAGCCCTGTGTCAACCAAGAGAAACATGCTAACCATTCGGCTGCGCATACATAAATATATAGGTCGCGTATGGCTATAGTGTCTTCTGTGACCTGTTCACCTACGAAGAATGGGAAGGGTTTGGGTACGCCATCGATATCGAATTCGCCGGCTCGAGCGGTTTCCAGAGCCCCACGGGTGTGAGTGTCCCCTAATTAAACTACCAGTGCCGCCTCTGCCCCCATTTCGTCTATGTAGCATTGGTGCCTCATTCCCCGATCCTAACCACCATCGTTAGAGAGCTGTTGGCATCGGCTACCAACAAGAAATCCTTGCGCGCCTCAAGAACGAGACACTTGGGTATTCCCATTCGCAAATCAACGTAACCCTGGACAGTAGCACCGAAACGTTCCCACTCAATCAGAATCTCTACTTTGATTTCTCCCACGATTCCAACATTGTATCTATCCTCACGGCTTTCGGAATCAAGCAATTCTCCCAGTTTCTCGACCCGACCCGCCATCCAGGCCAACACAATTTTACCGTCTCGCACGTCACCCCTTCGGGGCGCGGCTCGATATGGAAATCATCCGTACCCCGATGCCCCTTTCAAGCGACCGTTCAGAGTATCTCGAGGGAGGCGAGACCAAGTATATCCATTTCATCCTCAACCAGCGGACCCTTCCCCTTGGTGTCAGCTTTCCCGAGTGTGACGCCTCTCGTCTCGACGGATGGTGCGAACTCGACACGTTTATTCACGTGCAGAACCGGATGTCGCAGCTAGCCCAGTACGACCATGCTTGCTACTCTAACCTTTCCGACTTCAAGTATGGAGACATCTCGGACGGAGCGCCGCCGCTACCCTCTAGCTGAGGTGTATCTGTGCGCCTTGTGAGCACTTGACTTACAAGCACCGCGGCTCTACAAAATACCGCGGCGCGTTTGCATACAATAGATGTAAAAGAGCCATCTTTAGACTGTAACATCACACCTTAATAATAAGACTATACATTGATTCATGCATAGATGAGCTCATAGACCAGCCCGAAGTGCACGTACGAAGGACCGCTCATAGAGAAAACAATGGGGTGGGACAAACTAAACACACACGTGTGGTTCTATATGACAATGTGAAGATGGAAATTGTGATTGTTTTAAGAGAGAATACTTTTATAATCTTTTAACAGAATCGGGTAGTTGGATCTGAAGTGGGTATTATACAAACTGCCGCCGGTGCTAGGACTTTCTATATACGAGGCATGTCGTGTCGCCCTTTTATATGTAAAAGGGCAAGGAAAATCATTCCCTCTGCGTGTTCCTTCCATCCATCGCCATTCCCTTCTTCTCAACATTGAGAATCCAAAGGCAAGGATATAAGAAAAGGGCGCGGGGAGAAGACCGACACTCCTATGTAGTTATAAGGAACCACCTAAGGGTGGAAACAAAGGAAAGAAAAGAAAAAGACGAGACGGTTCGGCTGAGACCACAGCTGTCTCGTGTCTAAAATTGTGTAGCAGTGAAAACGGAAAAGGGCAGAGAAAGAAACAGGCTAAACGAGATGAGAAAAGAAACACATAAAAGAAATGAAGCTAAATATGGTATCCGCCGAAAAAAAACAGATACGCAACCCCCAAAAGCCGGTAGGGTGTTGCATCCAAAAGTCCTTATCATGAAAAAAAAAAAAGGTCAAGTGACAGCGAGGAGGACGTAGGTCAAGGATGTCGGAGGGAAAAGAGCAAGTCGCTGAAACAGACAGACTTCCCCGTCGAGGGGAGGCTTAAAATCAAACGAAAACAACATCACCGAGGCTGCCTCGCTCACTCAGTCTTGGTGGGAGGCAGCTCGGGCTCCTCCTCAGGCTTGCCGTGGGAGGAGGAGAGGCTCTGGTTGTTGGATCGGGCCTGCATGATGGAGAGTTCCGCTTCACCGAGGATGGGGACAATCTTGGTGCTGGGGCTCTGCTCGGTCTTCTGGGGAGACCAGGCGAGGAAGTCCCTGCGGACCTCGACGTAGTCGTAGGAGAACTCGCCGTGCTGGTCGTCATCGAGGCCGAGGAGCTCAGCCTCCTCGCTGGCGCGGAGCTTGAGGCCGGGAATGAGGTCGATGATCTTGGCGATGAGGGCGGACATGACGAAACTGTAAGCGGAGGTGGCGAAGATGTAAGCAATCTGGATGTAGAGCTGCTTCCAGTTCTTGTTGAGGAAACCGCCGGTGACCTCGGTGTTGACACCGTCGAGGCCAATGACCCAGTCGACGGCGAAGAAGGCGTTGAAGATGAGGCCGACAATGCCACCGATGGCGTGCTCAGCGAAGACATCGAGGGAATCGTCGATTCGGACCATGAACTTGACTATAAGGGGAATATGGGGTTAGTAAACGCTTGTTGATGAGAGTGGAATATGGCATGTTGTAAACTTACTCTTAGTGCCAAAGTTGCAAGCAACACCAGCAACGATGCCAAGGACGAGAGAGGCCCAGGGGGTGATGAAGCCGGAGGCGGGGGTGGCGGCGACAAGACCGGAGATACAGCCGGAGCACCAGCCAACCATGGACCACTTCTTGGCCAGGCGGAAATCGAGAAGGCACCAGGTCATGGCGGCAAACATGGCGGTCAAGCAAGTGTTCCAGCAGGCCATGGCAGCACGGAGGTTAGCACCAAAGGCGGAACCGCCGTTGAAGCCGAGCCAGCCGAGCCAGAGGAAGCAGGTACCGAGGGTGATGAGGGAGATGTTGTGAGGGCGGAAGTTCATCATCATGCGCTCGTTGCGGCGGCCGAGGACCCAAGAGTAAGCGAGGGCAGAAAGACCGGAGCCGATCTCGACGGGGCCGCCACCGGCGTAATCAAAGACACCCCACTTGAAGGCCCAGCCGTTGGAGCACCAGACCCAGAAGGTGAGGGGGCAGTAGACGAGGGTGAGCCAGCAGAAGATGAAGACCATGGCGGGAGGACACGGCCGCGCTCGGCAACGGAGCCGACGACGAGAGCGGAGGTAACGGCGGCGAACATCATCTGGTAGAAGGAGTAGAGGAGGGCGGGGACGAGGGGGAGCCCTGGGAGGGAGCGGCGAGGAGCTTGCGGAGGCCGATGTGGGTGAGGTCGCCGATGAAGGGGTTGTTGGACTCGAGGGAGAAGGCGAGGGAGTAGCCCCAGAAATACCACTGGAATACGACAACGGAGAAGGACATCATGGTGACCCAGAGCATGGAAAGAGCAGACTTTCTCCTGGCGAGACCGGAGTAGAGGAAGGCGATGCCGGGCACCATGAAGAGGACGAGGAAGGCGGAGACGAGGATGAAGGCCTGGTCACCGGCCTGGTACCACTGGTTGACATTTTCGACGGCTGGAGGGAAGAGAAAAAAAGAAAGCGTTAGCACAAATGGAACCCGGATTTCAAGATGAACCAGTGTTGTTCTTTTTCTTTTTTGTGTTCTTTTCGCCGCTGCTACTTTTGTCTGGTTGCTGGCAGAGCTGAGAGGAGGGTTTCTTACCGGAATCACCGCCGAGCCAGGGATCGGTACCATTGAACTCCACAGGAGCTCCTGTATGGACGTACGACATGATGAACGAGGATAAGGGCCTTTGCTATATAGATGTGTATTGCTGAAAGGAAATGGAAAATAGATTGAAGCTACGGTCGGAGTGGACACGGATGGGAGGCTGCTCTCGTGTAGTCGGCAAGGAATGAGAAGAAGTCAAGGCAGGCAGGAATCTCTAGGTGCAAGCCGAAAGTCGAGATTCGAAGACAAGATGTTGAATAGACCGGAACCTCAAGTTAAAGGGTTCGATGTCAGGTCTGATGAAGGGTGTGTGAGTCGAAGATGGAACATGATGAAAGACGAGAACAGAGCGGGACGGGCAGGCTTTTCATATATGTGTAAGTGTGCCTTCGTATCTCATCAGGTCGGGTCCCTCAAGATAGCAGCTGTGTGTGGGAGAGCAACGAATTGAAAATTACATAGTGTTATCTATGGGTATGGACAAAAGTATTCCGTAAAGGGCATGGGGGCCGGAGCCGGGACGGCGGTGCAGAATAGTCAAAAAAGGGGGTGGGAGGGGGTGAGCGTAAGCGAAGGGGGTCGTGGTTTGGTCGGGTCGGGTTGTGTGAGTTGGGAGCGTGTGCAAGGGAATAACAGTCTTCCGCCAGCGGGAGTCGAGCAAGGGAAAATGGAGACAGGGGGGTGGGAGAGATAGTTCCAAGAGAGTGATAAGAAAGGGTGGCGTAGGCGGAGTCTGGGTAGCAGGAGGAAAAGCCGCGGGAGAGGGCGAGAAAGAGAGAGAGAGAGCAGGACGAGGCGTGGGTATGGAGACGCGGACACGGGTTCTTGGGTAGGGGCAAATCAATCAGGCCCAAGGTTCCCCACGCCCCCAGACCCGGTTGCAACACTTATAGGTCTAGTCTGCTTGGAGCACTCGCCCTTGGGCGGAACTCGAGGGCGCACCGCGGGAGAATTAGATCTATGGATCAATTGATGGAGCGAGGGCGGGTCCGTTGGGCACATCTCTCGCCCACCAAAGCACCAAGACAAAGCCAAGCACTTCGCCGGTACCGAGGGCCCATGGAACATGGAACATTGAAGCAATCAAAGAAGCCAAGCAATTCGACGTCTCTTCCCGCTGACACACCGTCTCTAGTCACCTTGTTGAGCCTCAGCGAGGACAGGACCCGAGGGGGGCTGCCAACCTTTGGTGTCTTGGCTATGGAGATGCCTGCGATAGCAAAACGAAGCTGAGGGCTTGGATGGGCTGAGGCATTTCCAGCTTCTGTCAGGCAATCGCCCAGCGCCGTCAAAGATCATGATCGATTCCTTATCTTTGGGCAAGCAAATACAAAGAAAAAGAAACAAGGGCCAGGGCCTCGAGATCAGTGGCTTCATCTGGGCCACACGACTGGCGTGATATGGTCTCTGTGACGAACCACCCCAGATCGAGCCGGCTGTTCAGCACGCACCAAAGGGGGATGGGGGAAGGGGGGAGGGTGGGAGGAGGTGGGATCTACTTGTAGGTCCCCCTGCGATCTCCCTTGTTGCTGGCCTTCCTGGGGTGACCCATTGCATCGCCTGTGCTGGTTTGCATTTGCACCAGCTAGTCGAGCTCGAGCTCGTCTTGTCGCCAGGCCTCTTTCCCCCGCCAGCCCTAACGAGTTTTCATTGCGGCTCTCTCACCTTTGGCCTTGCTCATCCATCCGGTCAATGATACGCAGGTGGATCGGTAGGGCGTGTGTGCTATTCTGAGCTCATGATAACCACACACACAAACACACATACACACTGACGGGCAAGATACAAGTATGTCCCGTAGGTATAGGGGTTTGGTCCCTTGTTCAGCTTCCGCTTTTCTCAACTCTCCAACTAATACACTGCACTACTCTCCCGTGCCACTCACTCCCCACCGCATCTTGGCCCTCGAACGGAAAAAGAAAGGATACTTGAGGAATGACAGTCAGGTATTACTTCATACCAAGTAAAGGGAGACGGAACATGGTGGGGTCGGGATCAAGAGGCAAAGCCCCTCTGCCAGGCTTTCGGGGAGAGCAGGGTTGTGTCCTGGGCTACCATCGTTTTCCGCAAGTCTTCATCGGCGGAATACGGCAAACTTGACCGAGAGAGTGTAGTTCCCGGGGGTGTGGATGGAAGGGGAGGGGGATGGGGTGAAGGGGTGCAAGTGAAGTTTGATGACCCACCAAAAGGGAACGGAAAAGAAAAAGAAGATGGAGAAGAAAAAAAGAAAGGCCAAAAGCCAATCTTGCCTCGTGTGAGCGTGTGCGTGTGTGCGTGTAGCTTGATAAGGCTTTTGCTGTGTCACCGGGCCTTATCTCGAGGCTAACAAATATTACTCGCAAGTATTGAGCCAATCTATGACAAAGTACACTTTCTATGTATGGGCCATAGTACCGGTACATCCCCACCTCCAGGTCATGCTCAGCCGAGCAAATGTCAGGAAAGAAGAAAAAAACTAATAATCCGAATCCACAGATAAGGAAAGAGCCAAAGCTTTTGGGTTCTTCTGATTGGACACGGCACCTCGCCGCAACGGCAGCCTCCCAACACCCTGTTCCCACATCTGGTCCCGAGCTAGGGGATGCCGATGCGATGGATGCAATGGATGCAATGGATGCAATGGTTGCCATGGCCTGCGATGGGATGGGGCACTTTGATGCGCGACGCATCGCGTATACCTCCTTCGACAAGGGGCCCAGTGTAGCGGCAGCGGTTACGGCCACCCTGGATTGCCAGGATGGAATGAGGGTGTCTCGTGTACACGATTTTTTCAGACATCGCCAATCTTGCCGGCCTCCAACACCGGATGGGAATGCCATCTTCTAATCTTTGTACATGTTCAGCTGAAACTTGGCGAAACGAGGTGAGCTCAGCTCCGTCTCCAGCGGCATCGCCAAGAGTGCGTGCCTGCGTCGAGCAACGTGTATCGCACCCCATTCCGCACTCATGATTACAAGCACAAGATGGAGATACAGAGCTTCTGACCGGGGCCCTCCCTTCCTCCTTGTACGCACTCGCCTGATCTGATGCTTGTCATCACTGCGTCCCCTTGTCTTGATATCGAACAAGTTTAATAATACTTGGGAGACAAATCTGAGATTGATTCATATTGGGCTTTGCTAACATTTCAGGCAGTCGGCGTGCGTACTTGTACTGGGGCTCACCTTGGCGCCGCCCGGGTGGAACCAAGAGGGCTGACGTACCCCCTCCCTTGTGAGTATTAAGGTTTATTATTACTATCCAATAAAAAGAAAAGAAAAATAAGAAAAATAAAGAAGAAACAAAAAAGAGAGCGAGATAGATACAGAGACAGAGAAAGAGAAAGGCGAACCGAAGACTCGTTCGGTATTACAAGTACGCTTCTTCCGGAAGCGGGACCCCAAGGTGGAAGCAGGGAGGGAGGGGGTGTTGCGTAGGGCCAACTAAAGGAATACAGAAAAATATTGATCCATTGCTTGCTTGTACAAGTAAGCTCTCATGCATCGCATCGTGGGTGGATCAATTGACATGAGCCGGCGTAAATGCCAGGGCCGGGCCGGCTCATCTTTGATCGAAGCGGCTTCTAGCAGAGTAAGATGGCAGAGGCTCCGTGATGTCTTCTTTACCCTGCCCCGTGTGGTGCGACAGCGGTGGTATTACTACATAGTATCACCATCCTCCGCCCGCCCGTTGTACGTACGCGAGGAAAGACGGGCAGCCATGAAAAATCACCATACAAGTAACAGATCCATGGATGGATGAATGGAGCTGAGTTGAGCAAAGAGGGTTAGGTGCGGTAAGCCCGAACATCCACCATGAACCCACCCTCGTTGATCGATCGGAACGGAAAGATTAGATGGATCCATTGATGGATAGATCAATTAATCGAAAATGAATTTTAGGGCTGCTTCTGGATATCGCGTGGTGTTGCCATAACATAGTACAGTACTCGATATACTTGGTACGCGAGAGCATTATTAGACGACCCGATTTCCAACGGTAAATGGGGCGCTGACAATGGCGCTGACAATGGTGCTGCCAGTCATCGAAACGGCCTGCCTTGACCTGATCAAATTGAATGCATCATTCATTGATGCAAATCAACGAGGTTGATCTTATCTTGGGATTTCAATCGCATTAGGTAAATTGACACACGCCCCCTGCCAACCCGGGTTTTTCCTCTTCCACGGCCTGTTCGCGTTTTTCCTCCCATTGACCCCATTGACCCCATTGGGTCTTTTCCGGTTGTCTCCGAAAAGCCAGGGTACAAAGGTACAAGACGAAACTATTAGAGAAACCGCTCTGTCATCGAAGTGGAAAGTCGTTGTCAAACACCGCCTCGCGACAGACAACGCCTGGCAGCTTGGCCACTCACATGCCAGGACGCTTATCTGGGGAAGAAGAAAAAAAGAAGACTAGACTGAGGCATTAGCTCACTTATCCCGTCGACATCAATTGATCAATTGACCAATCGATCCACCTCCGTCAGTCTTTGCCACGGATGCCCCACACCTTGCATCGCTCACCTCTCTCTCCCTGCCATTGCCATCCCGGCCATTCCTGAGCGAACCGCTGTTTTGGGATCATCATTGATCCATCAGCTGCAAACTGCGAGCGATTTATACCTTTTGTGTTCTGAATTCTCTTCTTGTATTACCCATACCCTCGATTAAACCTCTACCAAAGTTACTAATGGGGCAATGGAAGCGTGGTGCAAATGGAGGGGACTGGACTGGCCCCAGAGCTGGGGCTCGGAGCAAGGGCATGTCAGTCTTTAAACAGATCCAGTCTATTATCTATTCGCCCCTTCTTTGGCAGTACATCTGATGTAATGATGGATGTATCCATGCGGTGAGCCTGCCCAAACCCTTGGTGTGAGCACCGAACCCTGACGCGGGCGAGGTTCCATGTCGTAACTTGCTAGGCCCTAGCGGGCTGGCTTCTTTGTGCCTGACCTGTCTTGGAGAGGACGGAATCTCGTTACGCAAACCTATGTGTCGATTCCGATCCTTGGCTTCCATCGCCACCTTGACAAGACCCTTCTTCCCCTCTGACGCACCTCGCTGATCCTTTTCCTTCCCGTTTGAAAATCCCACTCCCTTTTGAGTGTGGGGATGACTCTTGGCTGCTATTTGACTCTCCTGCTTCTACCGGATTTACCTCGATCTACGAACGATCCATCAAGGCGCCGGCAAGCTGTCGATGTCATCCTTGACCGCAGACTGAGAAGCAAGACTCGCGGCGGCGTCTTCGATCCCTTCCTCCTTTTGTACGAACGCGCCCAAGTCCCGCCTCGCATCAGAATCAACGGGTTTTTGTATGTAGGAATATCTCCCAACAAATGGGAATATTGTGTCCTGTCCCCATAAGGCTGAACGGCTTGCCCTTCCCTCCCATCTTACCTACCTCGTCCGACGGCCCCCATATGAAGCCTCGATCCGGGGTAAACCTACCTAGCATCGTTGACTCTTGAGCCATGTCGCCATGCCGCCTTGCCAGAGCACGCCGTCTCTGGCGTGCAGACCGCTCTCCGCCCCCAGTTTGACAACGCCTTGAGCCAATAGCCAAGCGCATCACCCGGAAAGTGGCGAGGGAGAATGAGGGCAAAGGCTCGTCGTGTCGCCTTTTCGGGGGTGCAAATGCAAACCCGGCCCCGGCAGCGGCGTCCTCGAGGAACCGACCAGAGAGGGACGCCCCTCTTAGCTCCCGTGCGTCTTTCGGGCGGTATCGGAGCATGGGGTATACTTTAGGGCACCCCATGCTGCTACTACCCTAGGAATGCAAGTAATCAACCAAACCGAAGCCTGGGCCAACAATCATATCTTCTTATTCAAAAAAGTTGTCATGGCGTTTTTTTCCTTCTCGAAGACCGGTATTTGGCTCATTGATAACCTCGAGGCCAAGGCCAGTTGAAAAACCACCCGGCAACGTCCCAAGCAGCAAGTCACTCGGGAACTCTTGGCGAATCAAGCACCCAATCTTGGCTCTACTCAAAGATCGCCGAGTCTGATGACAATTGCGAACCTTTATGTTTTTGAAGTTGGCGGTCTGCACCTCCGTGTATCCACGGCCCCGCCTAATATGAGGAAGAACAATGTGGTTTACCTCTGCCCTCTGCCTTGTGCATCAGAGCTAACACTATGCCATGGCCGGGGTGGAAATTTTTTTTTTTTTTTAAAGATCTCTTCAAGAATTGGATCTTTGAAGAAGAGGAGAAGGGGGAAAGAGGAAGGAGAAGGAAAGGAATTACTATTGAAAAAAAAAAAAAAGGGACCATGGCAAACTAAGCCAAGAGAATTTACATTTATATTGTAGTGCAATGAAAGAAGTTTCACTATCTAGATGTGGCCGAGAGGGCTTCTTTAAACATTTTAGAAGTGATTGCCTGCACCTTCCCCCTCTTACAAAGAAGGAAAGCTATTTCTTAGAGTCAATTTCCTCAAGGTAACAAGGCTGATCTTAATAATGATTAAAAGGGCAAGAGTAGAAGAGCCTGCAAATGGGAATTCTTCGGTTAGTCAGCAAGAAATCAAGAGCTAGCAGCCCCACAGGCGCTGCTATGCTTATGTGGAAGGCGCCTTGCATAGGTTCTGCTTGCCAGGTTGCCAGGGTGGGCTGTCTTGAAGCCTACTGGCCCACCTCCCAAGATCTTCCTTGACGTAAGCCTCCCCTCCAACGGCTTGATACCCTCATCTGAACCTAACCATTGACATTCCTACAGCTCGTTAAAATCCAGTGCTGCAACCTTAAGTCTAGCATATAGAGGACACTTGGGGGATTTTCCCCTTGCCTTACAGCTATAGAAAACGCCTGCTTTTACTCGGAGTGTAGGAAAACCACTCAATGAGCACACTTAGCATCAACATATGCTCGATCAGCGCGCCTTGACTTTGTCAACCCCACCAGCACAAGATCCTCCACACTGGAGTAGACATCGCTGCTTCGGTTTACCGCTTCCTCTCCAAGCCAGGACCAGACTAGGAAACTGGGCCGATCATGTCGAAAATTAACTGGGTGCCTACCGACCTAGAGCTACGGGATGTCAAGGTGACCCCGGCGGAGGCCATCACGGCGGTGGATCGTGTACGCAAGACCCTCGTCCTCTTTATCGCTGTGCCTTGTAATAGACTCGACCCCGCTTATGAAGAAAGTGATGGCGCCTCTTTGGAACAGCACTAATGCCTAGTTTTAGTTCGGAAAGGGGTCTGATGAAGTTATCAAAGATTATGAGCTCCTGTACACGTCCATGGCCACCGTCGTAGATGACTGGTCTGACGAGGAGGGCCCTGGAGGGTCGGACGATGAGAATGAGGGATATGGCTTGCCCGCGGACCTGAGTCAGGGCTTTTCGGCCCCTCGACCTCAGCATCCCGCGCTGCCGAGCAGGCCGTTTGTACCCCGTCTGCAAAACTGGCGCATGAATCTCTGCGGCCTCTCCCAGGTGTACGGCCTCTATTTCGCCGCGTATGGTAATCGGATATGGGTCTACCGGCTCACTGGCCCCCTAGACCAGGGCCTTAGGGGACGGCCAGCTTTAGTTTTGTGTCCCCCGCTCCATCTACGCGGAGCGAATGGGTGGTCATCTAGACGAGGCACACAGCGATCACGCGAATCATTTGATCATAGGATTCCTCGGTGACATGGAGCTAGTTGTCACCGCCTGTGACAATGGAGATGTGATTGCCTATTACACGAGCGAAGTTGCGCGCTACATCTCGGCAATGATGGTAGATCCACAAAAGCAAGCCACCCCACCGTTGCCATTCTTCCACGAAAACGTCGGGACATCCGCCTGGGGCCTTGCTCTTCACGCAAAAACACGCTTGCTGGCTGTGAGCTCTAATCGGCACGAAGTGACGGTGTTCGCATTTGCCCTCAACCGCCTCACAAGGAGCTTCAGCAGTCTTGTGCGGCCACGAATGAGGCCGGCCGAAGCCGCCGTGCTTTCCCGGAAGCGCGATTGGAGGATAATGCTTCATCTAGGGCGATCTGGAAATAATATTCCAAGCATCGACTTTGTAAGTAACGACTCCGGGCATGCAGAAAAAGTGTGTGCTGTCGATATATCCGAGCAGTTTTGGCTCTTGGACATCTGGCGTCCCTGCACAAGCCCCACCCTCCTTCGACCTCGGGACGTTCACTGGGGCCACAGGCAGAGGTGAGTTATCTGAAGAGAGTCCCCGTAGCTCTCCCCTCTTAGCTCCTTTGTTTGCGTCTCTCTGACAACTTGCCCGCGCAGCTACTGGGGCGTGCTCGCTTTACCCGACAGCAGCTTTCTCGATGTTGGGACGCACAGCCCGCGCCAAGGTCTGGACGGAGAGGTGCGGAATTGGATGGTGGCGTTGGGGTTGAACAGACCCGTGAGGCCAGGCGGCACCAAACCTCTATACTGGATTGATACTACGTCATCCCTCGGCCGAGTCTTGATGAGCTTATCTTTTAACCCCGACCAAGATGACTCTACCTTGGAGCAGTATTCCCTTCGCAGTAGGGCGCAAGCGGACGGCCCAATGGCTACGGGTCACCTCGAGTTTTACAACGCCGCTCTCTCTCATAATCAAGCCGAATCTATCGAAGGGGATGGCGACGAGTCTTTGGTTGATGATATTGATGATGAAGACGAAGACGACGACGACGACGATGAAGAAGGTGGAGATGAGGCGCCGGCCGGCGAGACGAACACGGGTGCAGGGGGCGATGACGACTCCGACTCGATAGATATGATGGCCACCCAGCCCCCACCTGATCCGCACACCTCTTTCTTGTACCATACAAACGCCAACGGCCAGCTGACCTCACCAATCGACACAGCAGCTTCTGCCCTGCTTAGTTCCGCCGTCTCGAACTTGGCAACGGTGATGGATCCTCCCGATATACCTCCACAAACGACATATGCCTCCCATCAACATCTTCCGCTGCTCCCCTATCCACACTTGCCCCGGGATGTGCAGACGCCGCGTTCTAGCGTCGGGGCCCCGTCTCGCATGCGTATGCTTTACAAACCGCACCTAGGCAAGACATTTAAAGAGCCGCACACGTACTTTGAGAAAGACTTTTGGCTGAGGCGTAGAAGGGAGTACAACGAGGAAAAGAAGAAGCAAAATCAAGCCGGAATCGCAGCAATTGCCGACAATACCAGCTTCTTTGTCACGGGAAGCTACGATATACGGCTCCTATCCACGGATGCCGATTTCATTGATCTTTATTGCCAAGACCCCTTCAGGGGCCCCCGACTGCCTGGGACCTATACTCACATATACCGTACCAACATGATCCTGCATGTCCCCGAGTTAAACCTTGTTGTGGCTGGGAACCAAGCCGGGCGCGTAGCCCTGATTAGCTTGATCAAATGTGCTTTTGCCCAACCGCGAGTGAGGGGCGATCGGTGTTTCCGCGTCGACATGCTACTTCCTACTCGGCGCGAGGAAGCAAAGCGCAAACTCCGACCCAACGTCCCCTCTTCGGGGTCGCAATCGGGCCGGCGCCAGAAGTCGACGACGATGTCAACTTGCGACTCAGAGCAATTCGGCCGCAAAGGATTCCCAACGACCGGCAGTACAGGCTAATACTCCACTATAGAGATCACACAATCCTGACGTACCTCGTTAGTCGCATCAACCTAGACACCTTGCGTGTAATCTGAAGGGATCCCGTTTATGCTTTTTCTTGCCGACTTTCTTTCTCCTGCCTTTTTTTGTTGGTGTTTTTGTTTGCCTCTTTACTCATCCCTTCATCGTTAGCGATACCAATCGGCGGCGCAGGGAGTATGGAAGTCGGACATTCTGGCGCAACCGGAATTTGCAACTTCTGCTTTGTAGAGTTAAGCATGACTTTTGTTTACGAAGATATGATACTAGGGGTTAGACCAAGTCTGGCTAGATGGGAAATGAGGAGGGAGCTAGTGAATATCTCTTCATGATGCTTTTTGCAATTGAAATGTCTAGTTCTACCCAGTCCGTCCACATATCCCATCCGTATCTCGGAATCTGGAGCTATAAAATGGGGGAGATGAGATGTTCTCCGCCAACCCAACCGTAGTTCGCCCGAGTGCCTGTCCTTCTCTTGTTTTTCTTAATGAGGTGGCGCATTGCCTTTTTTCCCATCGATTTATAATGACAAGAACGAAAAGAGGAAATGTCGCGGTATCCCAAAAAGAAAAAGAAAAAAAAAAAAAAACTTGCCATGATACCCATTTCGCCTGGCATGTACACATTACATCCGCTATAGGAAGAGAACGAGGCGAGGAAGAGAGAGGTCCCACTAAGATAAAAAGGAAAGAAAAAGAAAAAAGGCAACTATTGTGTAGGGCCTAGCATCTGGTAGCTGGCGGACGATAGGACTCTGCTTTTGGGGATATCCCAATGGCTGGAAGCGCGTTTCAAGAATACAGTTCCTGGGCGTCGGTAGAGATAGGAGATAGGATGGGGGAGGGAAGGAAGGGGAGAAGGGGGAGAGCAGAGGGACAAGGCGGCGGAAGCTGCCATCTTGCTGCTAATGTCGGTTTGCCAATGTGCGCGGGGTGGGGGTGGTGGCGGCGGGCCAGAAAAGACAGGTTAGTTTCGCATCCTTCCGCCTGGCGTGCCGGGGCCGCCTGCGGGGAGCCCTTGCGCGAAGCGAGGCGGGCGGCGTTGACAAAGGCGACAGCCATCTGCCTCTTCTTCTCAAACTGGGCGCTCCTGGCGCGCTCGGACTCGACATACCTCTCCCTGAGGGAGTGCTCGCGGACGGCCATGTCCATCTGCTGGCGGTACATGTTGTCGGACCGCGAGCGCCGCTCGGCCTTGAGGCATATCTCGTCGAGGCGGCGGGCGAGCCCGGCGTGCACGGGGCGGGGACTTGCTCCGATTCGGGGCGGTCCGCCTCGGACGCGCCCCAAAAGCAGCGAAACGTCACCTTGGTCTTGTCGGCGTCGAGGCTGCCCCAGACAATGATTTGGTCGCCGTTGTAGAGCCGCATCCAGTGGTGGGCGGGGGACGCCGGCTTCTTGGCGTCGTGGGAGAGGAGGTGTTGGTTGTTGACCCAGATGCCGTTGGTGGCCTTGGTGCAAATGTAGAATGCAAACGACTCGTCATCCTGCTGCGCACGGAGCCACGGGTGCGGATGTCTGTCCCTAGCCGCGTCGAAGCCTTCCTTGTAGAGCAGGATCTTGAAGGCGCACTTTGGCACCCGCACCTCGGTCTTGGGCTCGTACATGTGGGTATTTTCCGGGCCTCTTCCCCACGACATCATCGAGTCAGCGATGGGGAGAGACACGTTGGTGACGGCCGAGTCCGGCGCGGATTCGATAAGGCCGACGACGCGATTGTGGTTCGGGTCGTCTTGGAGGGGTACAATGATGCCCTCCGTAGGCAGAGTGTCGGGGATAGAGTCCAAGCCATCGCTAAACTCGGCCATGCTGGGAGGTGCGGTGGACGGGATGTCGGCAATCCCGTCCCTAAGCTTCCGAGAGTCACGCCTCAGCAGCGTCTGGGGCCTCGTCGGCTGCGGCGGAGGGGCGTTTTCCTTGCCGCCCTCTTCCGCGCTCCAGTCTGTCGGGGGAAGTACTTCATTGCGAGGGCCCAGAGGGGGTGCCGGCCTCAAACTTTTGGCCCTTTTCGCGCGCCGCCTGCCGGAAAACGTCCAGTTGCAGCTGCGTCATTTCGGGGTAGTGCACGTGGTGGGTGCCAGCGTCCCTCCGGTCCCAGTAGACCGTCTTATGGACTGGCCGATCAATTTGACGGCCCGACTCGAGTCTTTGCACGGGCGGGACGCTGGCTATCAGCTTATATTCCTCCATGACTTCCTCCGAGAGCCCCTCAATGTCAAGCTCCGACTTGAGCCTCTTGATAGTCGGCTTGTCGCGGTCTTGTAGCTGATCAAACTCGTCGCTCGTGTCGTGACTGGGCTTCCGCTTACTCGTCGTAAAGTCCGTCGGCTGCATGAGGCGGGAAGAGTCACTCCTGGTGCCCAGGCTGACACCGCCGGCTACGGATTCCGTTCTTCCCAGGCTTTGCGATTGGACGTCGTGTACCAAGCTCTGCAGCTGATCCGCCGACTGATTGTGCGGGCCGATGGACGGGTGCGCATGGTGTTTGGGTTGCGAGCGCCGGTTGGGCGTGAAGTGGTCCGAGTCGTCAAAACTGTCCCCGGCCTCGGAGTCGAGAATAATGGTTTCTCCTGCGCTGTCAGAGACCGTGGCGCGAAGGTTTAAGCGGTGGGACGGGATGACCCCCGAGCTCCCAATCGCGGAGACGTTGACCTCGCCAAAAGGCGCGGCGCCGGCCGGGGATTTTGCGTTTGATTCTCTTTTTCTGATTCCTCGTCGTCCATGTAATCGTCATCAATCAGGTCAGAGATGACAGCGCGTGGACCGCGCCGAGTGAGGTGGACCTCCTCGAGGCTCAGCTGCGACGCGTCTGCCTGGAGCTCGTCATCCGTGATCTCGTCAAAGGACTCTTGATAGGCAGGATGAAGCGGAACGTACGACCCGCCCAGCCAGGGGTGGTTGCGCAGCTCCTGCACCGTTGATCGGATTTCAGGTCGTTTCTGCAACATCAGACGCAAAAAGTCGATGCCTTGTCGCGAGATACCCTGCTTCTCGAGGGGTTGGACGTTCAGGTCGGTGGTCATGATTTGGTTGAGAAGCTCCGAGTAGCTGATGCCTGACTTGACGGGATAGGGAGGTTTTCCAGTCAGGGTATAGAAGAGGACGCCCCCTAGAGACCAGACATCGACGGCGTGGCCGTACCGTTGGCCCACGGGCCGGCGAGCCTTGATCCGCGGGTTCCTCCTACCCATGTGGTCGTACTCTGTGAATTCGGTATATACTTCGGGCGCGCAATACAAGAGCGTGCCGCAAAATGTTCTCAAAAAGGTTTGCTCGCTGTCGACCATTTTGGAAAGGCCAAAGTCAGTCAACTTAACCTCAAAGGGCTCCACCCCGCTAACCAGGATGTTATCAGGCTTCACGTCCCGGTGGGTGATGTTGTTTTCGTGGAGATATTCAAAGGCATCGAGGAGTTGACTGGCCACAGATTTCACCGTGTCTTCCGGAAGGGGTCCGTAAGCGTTGATATACTTGCCCAGGTCCCCTCCCGAGATGAACTCCATGACGATGATGAGCAGCCGGTTATCCCAGTCAAAATGCTCTATATATCGAACAATATTTGGCTACACGTCAAGAGGGTTGGTTAGCAGGGGGTGAAAAGTCGGTGGTGGTTCGTTTAATCACTTGAGATACATACGTGCTTGATCCTTTGCATGATTCTCATCTCATTCTCCACCTTTTGATCCAAGATGCCGTTTTTCATAAAGTTCCGAGTGTCAAGCTCCTTGGCCGCGTACGGGCTCCCATCAATCTTGGAGGTGACGCGGTATACGACGGCAAAGGCACCCTTGCCAATGATGCCTACCCTGTTATACTTGTCCGAACCATCCCATTCCCGCGGGATCACGGCATGGTTGAGGGCGCCATTTGTGGGGGAGTGGCCGATTTGACGCGCTGATCGGGGAGTGGTATGCGCTTCGTGCCCTGGGCCGGCGGGGGAAGAGGTTGGGGGACCTGTGGGACCGGGGGTGACGGTGACGCCGGTACTCGCGCGCGCGGCGCTCTGTCTAGCAAAGAACTCATTCAGACGTTCCCTATAGGCGGTGTCATAGGCGCCATCACGTCGGGGACGCGGACCATGAACTCGAGGTCCATGTTTTCCTCGTGCATGAGGATTTTGATCCTCGAGCCGGAGTTGAGCATACGCTTGGTTTCGGCGGGGTTGTGGGATTTGGACTTTAGCAGCTTGCCGTCGACGATGGTGCCATTGGTAGACTGGTCCTCGAGCATGACGACACCGTACTCGTTGATGAAGATGCGGAAATGGATGTTGCTTAGCCTCCTGTACGGGTCATTTGTGAAGCACATGTCGCAGCGGGCTGGATTCCGGCCAAAGGTGAAGCCCATGAGGGGATCCTTCATACTAGCAGAGAGCTTGAGCACGACGACGTGATTGCCCTGGGCTGGCGGGGCCATTTGAAAGCGGCTGGCCTCATCTTCGTGGTAAAGGTCACCATCGACGCCGTCTACTTCGGCCCTCCCAAAGATGTGGTGCGAGTTTTCGAGAGCGATTCGGCGGATTTCTCGGCGGGCATGGGAGGAATGGGGGTGGAGGACGCAGACAATATCGGAAATATCATCGTCGGAAAAGCCCGAGTTTTGTTTGCCTATTCGCCTCGGATCAAGGACGTTCTGGGTCGCTAGTCAAGGAGGAGGGGCCAACAGGCAGCAATGGTTAGCAAAGGTACGCGCTCACCGACATGCGAAACGAGAATAAGGAAAGAGAGTCGGCCATGGCATCCCAGACATTTTTGCCAGGGCCGGGTGGTCCCCGCCATGGGAGGAAGGGGAGCAGAGAGGCAGGGTGCGGGCGGAGAACTAGACGGGCAATGAGGGGCGCGGGGAGGGTCTGGTCTGGAGAGCTAACCTTGAGTCGGCTGGTCATCGTCGCCGTCCATTGGCGCGAGAGTGGCGATGATAGCCGTCGAGGTGGCGCGACAGAGGGAGGAGGGCGGGAGGGCAAAGGTCGGGAGAGGGGCAGGATTTAGAGAGTGCGGACCGGCGTCGCTCGCTCGGGTGCGACTCCAGGTAACCACTACTGCCAGGCGAGGTCGAGGGGTCGAGCAAGCTTCCGAGACACTTGCTATCGCAGGATTGACAGACGAAAACGGGGTGTTGCAAGACTCATGAAAGTTGTTAGGCGTGTTGAGAAGGGTCGTGGGGGCGCGGAGAAAAAGCTGCAGTATCACAAGAAGCTACTCGATAGCTTGGGAGGCGGGTCTCAAAGTGGAAAGGGGGGAGAAATAATAGTGGGAGTTCGCGAGAGGGGCCAAGCCGGCAAAGTATTTCAAGGATGGCGGGCCGTTCACAGATTATTTATTCTACCCTAGACGCGCGAGGTCGCCTATGTGACGATGCCGAAACGCCGGTCCTTGGGGAAAGGCGGGCGGTGGTGTTGAGGAATGGATGCAGGCAGAAGAAAAATCCCCCAGGCACGCACTCTGCGTCGACATACGAGAGGAAAGAAGCGTAGACTGGCGATTAGAAACGCAGACGCATGGGCACCCGCGTGATTCCTTTGAAAGGGAGACAGGGGAGGGGGAAAACAAAAGAGAGGGAAGGGTAAAAGCAAAAGGAGAAGAAGAAAGAGTAGGGCACAAGAATCGCGCGGAGAGAGAATATCAACGCGGAGGAGACGCGAAAGGCAAGAGGCGAAAAGAAGAAGCGTTCATGTTCGTGGGAGCTAAGCGGAGTGTCGATTTTGGCGCGGGCCCTGTCGAGGGACGAGGTCCAAAGGATTCATCTTGGAGCCATTGAGCCCAGCGTCAACGTGTGCTGCCCTGGGCCCACCGATTGTTGACATGCACGGCGACGGGCAAAGTGCCGTGGCAGCGGTTGCTACTACGGGGTGCGTGGCACGAGTAGCCAAAGAATAGTGGGCTATTTTTTGTTATTTTAGGGCCCGCGAGCGTGTCCTCGTTGCCCCCTGTTCACCCCACCAACACCAAAGAAAAAGAGAAAAAAAACGAGGGGGAATGGAAAATAGGAGGGAAAGGGCCGCTGTTTCCGATTTGACAGCGCTATCCAGGAACGATTGGATCAGAGGCTCGCAAACCCCAGGCTTGAAGACGTGACGGGATCTCTCAATGATGGACCACGCCCATTCAACACTGGATGGACAATGGCCTGGCAGTGAGTCTTTGTCCTATTATTTCCACTCCACTCCCCCAAAGAGAACCCAGGTTCAGAAATTTGAAGTCTTTTTTTTTTTTTATTCAACGGAAACCTGTACCCGAAGGAGGAAGCAAAAAGACGAGAGAGAAGCGAAGAAAGTAGAGATGTCAATAGGGACAGGCGTCAAGGGGATCAGGTCAAGGGGATCAGGTCAAGGGGATCAGGTCAAGGGGATCAGGTCAACAGCTCACATGGGAACCCCTGAGATTTTTCTTTGTGAACTGCGATCAACCGACTCACCCCCGGGACCTCAGTTCTCCACGCTATCAGGTGCCCCATTGACCTTGACGATCACGACGAGAAACTTGGAAGGGCAGCATCCCACGTCCCTGGGAGCTGATCCTGGGCCCCTTTTCCCAGCATCACCAACATTCGATGGATTATAATAGAGTCTGTATGCTGTAGTGCAGTAATACCACACTTGGGGTTGGCTTCCTTGTTGAGACGGATCCCCTCCTGACCTTCCAAGTCGAGCAAAAAATTATCGATTTGACCCTTCCACTGCCAGCTCTCTCGTCAATTCCTTGTTGATCCCCCTGCTCCTCCCAGCCCAGCTGGGCAACCCGAGCCCGTCAGCGTCACATGCAGCCCCTCCACCCACGAGATGCACCAGTTGACATCCACAGATGGACCATTCACGAAGAACAGAGTGCTCTCCCCAGTGGACACAAACAAAACCCCTTCAGAAGTCGAGAAGGGACCATGCCGAAACATCTAGTACATGTAAAACAACTTTCGCCTCCCCGGGGCTACTTTCCTTTGTTTTCCTCTTTCTTTTGTTTCCCTCTTCTTCTTCTTCTTCTTCCTTCAAGAACCCACCAACACGGAAAGCCAGGGCTGATGTGGTTCAGCGATTCAAACAATCGTGAGTTCAAATCTATTGCTCGTTCTCAGACTGAAGGGGGCGGCACGCGCTTTCAGCCCCATGTCCCAATGATTCAAATTGGGTTGATGCCAGTCTCGTTCAATCAACCAGCGCTCCCGGCTCAAGTCCCTGCCCTGTCTCCTGCATCCCGTCCCCGGGGACCTGGAAATGAGCCGAAGGAGAGATGGTGTACAATGGGTTGGTGTGATACCAACCAGCTGCCCTGGCCTTGCCACACCCCCTTCGCCGTGCTTCTGGAACCCTGGAAGCCCCTCTTGCCCCCTTTCCCAACTTCGCAGCTCTTGGGTGCCGGAGTGTGGTGTAGACAAACTGACCCCATGTCGTGCGTGCCGTCATTCTTGCAATCATGCATGGTCCAAAATTGCTGGACCACAATGATGGCAAGGGAAATGGATGGATCTATGGATCCATTGTGATATTGTCGGCACAAAATGGACATGTAAAATGATTACACGACCTCAAGTGGAGTACAAGACTTGGGTCATAAAACACGGCGGATGACAATTTGTTCCAACAACACAAGCGCCCTCTTCCGATCCGTCTCCTCGTCCTCGTGGCCAGTCCATCCGATTGACCCAGACATGATGTGCTCACAAGTCCCAATTCAAATCACGGTTCCTAATGTTCAGCACCAGCTCCGTGTCACATGACCTTGCCATAGTCACCGCGGACCGACTATATGTACCTAACAGTACTTGCACCGTCTGAACTTGAATTTGCGTTTGCGACCTTCATGTTGTTGTCCTACACTTGTCCTGGGCTTGTCTCGGAATCCAAATGTGCAACACGAAGGCCTACATGGCACATCTAGGACAGACTTTCGGTTGCCGCGAATTGTGCAAGTATGGTAGAGAGATGTGCGAATTTTCCTTAATCCATGGAGCGTTATGGGTACTATATCGATGGCCAATGTCTACAATCACGGAGAAAATAGAAATTTGATTCCCTAAATGCTATCCCTGCCCATGGCCACTACCAACCCAAAAGTCGGGCTCGGGGCTAATAGATGCAACAACCGGTACAAGTAGGAAAAGTGCAATGGAAACATACCCAAAAGGCGAGTCTAGGGCCAAAGGCGAGGCAAGTACATGTAGTCTTCTATAAACCCACTTATACAGCGGGTAATGCCCACACCTCCGATGCAGTCTCTCATCCCATCATGCAAAAAGAGAACCCCAAAATGATAGAGAAAAGCCGGGGGAAAGATAAACAATGGTGAAAAAAGGAGACGAGGATATGAGAATAGGAACGAGGTAAACCTTGAACATAGAAGAAACTGGCGAGCCCCGTATGACATCAATCCAAAAGAACCCGAAAAGAAATATGAGCGAAAGAAAAATAAAAAAGGATGGCACGAGAGAACAAACCCAAAGAACAACAAAATCTCTTAAAAGGTAGTGAGAAGATGTCGCATGGAGAGCGGTTCCCCCGACACAATCCGGAACCCGAAAACCGAGTGAAGAAAGAGAGAGCTAGAAAAAGGGGGAAGGAATGCATAATTCATTCATCCACCTCCTTTCCCTGGCAAGAATACCTTTCAAAAGGCGGATCCATGATGAGCTTGTCCTCGTCCCCCTGTCCATTATTCGGAACACCGGGAGGCCCCATCATTCGCGGGTCTTGCGCTGGAGACTGGCGGCCCGTCGGGACTCTCGGGCCCGGCGGCATTGCATATCCTCCCGCACCCTGTGGCGGTAGGGGTCCACCCATCATGGAGGCATTCACGCTTCCTGGTCCGCCACCGTACGCGTACTGATTCTGATATTGAGGCCCGGGTCCCTGCTGGTACTGTGATTGCCACCCCTGTTGTTGGGTCGGGCTATAGCCCATCCCTTGGTACATGCCTTGAGGTGGTGGGGCGCCCATGTTCTGCTGTTGAAGTCTCTGTTGTTGTTGGAACTGCTGTTGTTGTTGGAACTGCTGCTGTTGTTGGAACTGCTGATGTTGCTGATGCTGTTGGAACTGCCGTTGGGAAATCGCGTGCTGAACTGCTTGAGTGTTGACGCCCTGCCTAATTTGCTGCCGCTCACGCTCACGAGCTTCGATAGCACCAACTAGTCCGGTACCCCGCTGAGCCTGCTTTCCGCCAGCCATGGAAATCAGAGGCGAGCCTGTCATGCGAGCAACGTGCTCCAGCTCCCTTGCCGACAAATTCGATGACATTTCACCCGCGCTTCCGTAGCCGAGAGCAGCACCCGCTCCTTGAGAATTCGGCCGCTGCAGCAGATCCGCCGAGCCATTGCGGGAGTGTCTTGCTAACGCATCCCCGAGGCTGTCCTCACCATGGATGAGGATGTTGGCGTTGTGGCGCGGGAGAGCGTTAGGAGGTTACCAGAAGGGGTTCGTGCGTGATGCGTCATGACAGGTGTGGCCGCGGCCACGGCGCGGTGCTGCACGTACTCTTCTACCGTCATACCAGCATTAGCACTTCCCGCAACAGCCGCGCCAGGCTGCCAAACAACAGACCGGCGGAGAGTATCGCCTGATTCTTGTCGACTGTGGCTCCGTTCTCCGGATGGGGACTTGTGGTGGATGGGTCCCATAGGTGGCCGTTGCAGCGGTCGTTGCTGGGGCGAAGGCGCCATGTCCTCTCTCCTACGCTGGGCTTCGTGAGGCACAGTCGGGCCAAAGTCGATGCTCGGAATGGCATATTCATCACCGGACCGGTTAGGCATCGGGGAAGGTCTCCATTGCCGCCAACTGTTCTGAGTACCCCGGCACGGGGTCGCTCCACGGACCGGGATGTCTCGCTCGATTTTCGGGTGCTCGCGTAATCGGGCGTCACGGCAGAGTCCGCATCGCTGTACTGACTGCTCTTCGTGCTGTTCTGCCGCTGCACGTCCCATGAGGCGCCGGGAGGGGGTCCTCGGTTATGCATCGGTACGTTGCCAGAGGGCATGTTTGGCGTGTTGTGGGCACGCGTGCCGGTGTACACACTACCCGAACCAGCGCTGCGCAGACTATCCTGGCGCTGATAGGCTCCCTGTGCGGGACGCGGGGACATGTTCTCAGCGACATCCCGGGTGCGAATCTGGTCAAGAATGGAGGGGTCAATTAGATCACCCCTCAAGCTCTCCAAACTTGGTGCCGGTTTCGGGGACATGTCCAATTGCGTCGCGTCAACTCTGCCTGGAACGGGTTTCCTGTGTGAGGGAGGGGACGAGTTGATAGCGGAGGCAACCTCATTCTGGAGCGCTGAGCGGCCTTGCGATGGTGCTGGTCGGCCACCTTCCCGGGTGGGAGGCGTGCTGGGGCGGTAGCTTCCGGCATAGGGACGTTGCATGGATTGTTGCTGAGGTGGCGAGCCGAAATTCGGGTTATCCCCGGGGGCCAGAGCGAACGGGGGAACCAGGGATGCCATCACGGGACTCGGTGTTGCGAAGGGGTTCTTGGTGAGCGCGCATCACGGATGCCGGGGACTGCGATCGAGTCATATCGGGGTCCGCACCAGAGGGGAGGCAGTGGGGAGTTCATAGCTTCACGAGACCGATTTTGGTTAGCAGAATCACCGACGGGGTTGGTGTTAGGATGTACCAGTTGTCTATGTTCGGCATAAGCTTGGCCGTTCCCTCGGAAGGGTCCGCTTTGATTGCCCCCGGGAGGAAACTCCAGGCCGCCGGCCTTGGCCAGCTGAGACAGCGTTGTGCTCGACAGACGGCTGTTGGCCCGACGCATCTCGGGAGTGTGGTATGCCTTTCCGCCAGCCGGGCGGGCATTGGCTCCATGATGCATGACGGGTGGGCGAGAAACGGGCTCGGGCGTGTTCATCTGCCTCATACCCTCCAGTTCGCGCACCGGCGTGTTCCTTGAGCCTTGGTCATCCTCGGAGCTAGATATCGTGTCAGGGGACGCCGCAGGCGGCGTATAATGAGCCCCATCAACCCTGGAATTTTGAAGTACATGTCCAGTAGAGTTATTGCCAAACGGCATGTTCATGACGGGCGGCGGGAAGTGGCCGTTCATCCCCGCCTGAGGGTCGGACGAATTCCGGCCATGGTTGTATGGTGGGCCAGGTCTCTGGCCACCAAAGGGAATGGTTGGAACGGCGCCGCCCTGGGGGATTTCATTCGGGGAAAAGGAGCGAACGGAGGCCGAGTCGTCAGTAAATCCGATGGCACGGTTCCTTGGCGGGAGTTTCCTGTCGTGCCAGTGCTCAGCCGGTTGCTCCGGCGGCTGCTACTTCGCTGATGCAACTTCTCGTTCTCGTCCCACTCATTCATCCTCTGTCCCGTCAAATCCTTTAGTCGCTTTCTCCACTCCCTTTCGGACCAAGAGGCACTGCCGTCCATGACGATGAGCTGCGAAACATCGAGCGTGTCCAGATAGCCGTATCGCCTATGTTTTGGCATAGCGAACATCAGCGACCTCGGGTCAAGGGTGCTCGCCACGAGTCTACCGGGCCGGCCGTAAAGACCAAAAGTGTCCCAGGTTGGGAACAAGAATCGAAGAAGCATTTCGAATCCACTAACGGCGGGGTGGGTCTCTGGCATGACGAAAACGAAACCTTCCGTCGAGGAGGGAGGCTCCGAGTGGATTGTGATGTTGCCCTCGATCTTGAGAAGGGTTGAGGCATCAATCAAGGATTTGGCCTGGGGGTAGATGCCGTATGCAGAATAAGCATCGGTGATTGTTGCAATGGGCCTTGCCTTTTTCTGGCGCTTCCCTTCCTTCTTGGTGTCGTAAAACTTGATATCGCCCTTGAGGACGGGGATATGGGACCGGTCGTAGGGCGACCGTTTCTTCATTTCCTTTTGAAGCTTTTGATACTCCTTCTCGTCGGGTGGCGTGATGACGCACCAACAGCGCCTCCACGGGACACCGGCACCGAAACGCACTCGTACCCACGCCTCGTTCTTGAACTTCATGCGTTCCATGATGATGTTGATATTATTGAGCAGCTTGCCCTTGCCCGCTATCAAGGCGCCGCTATAGGCCTCCTGAAGCGAGGCATGCTCGAACATGGCTAGTCTTATACTAGCAGTCCACTGAATGAGCGTATCATGGGAGTTGAAGTGAAGGAGGTACCGGTTGCGGCCGGCTGTTGAGATGCTCAGAATATTCTGAAGGGGCTGTTCGTCGGTTGACCTTGTTGGCAGCGACTCAATCTAGACGAGTGTTAGTAGCCCCGCCCCCGCTTCGAATTCTCAAAACGCTCGATTAACGACGAGACTTACCATCTTGATCGAGGCATCGGTGAGATTGATGAATTTGGGCAAAACCTCGCCGTCATCGCCGGCAGCATCGAGTTCCGCGGCATCCCAGAGGGAAAGAACGGTGCCCACAAGCTGGGCAAAACATTCCGTCCACGTCCTATCAGGATTTGGTCGGCCCTCTACAAGCAGCATATTAGTATTGGTATAAGGAAATGCAATCAGTCTCCGGGTGGTCGGGTGCCGTGAAAAAGGGATGGGGGAGATCGAGACAAGCGGAAGCTCTCAGGAATGTACAAGACGAACGCTAGAATCAAGCAAGATCATCACAGGGAGAGAGCAGAAACAGCTCGGTAAACAAGACACCCCTCCCCTCCCCGCCATCTCCAGGAAGAATAAACCCCTCCCAAAAAAGGAAAAAGAAAAAGAGAGAAAGAGAAATCCGCTTACGGGTATTCTGGTCGTCCAACTTTAGGAAGTATCCTTCTTGGTAGAGCTTATTTCCGTGTCCATTCAAAAAAGTGAACACGGGCTGAAGCTCGGGGATCATGTCTTCGATATCCATGAAGGGCGGTTGATAGGTCTGTACCATAGACAGTGGTCGTGAAGAAGTTCGTTTGTGAGTGTTCTGGCTGTTTACGGTGGGGGAGTCATCGAGGGGTTGGCTCGGGGAGTTTGCGCTCCAGAGGAGGGGTTGATGCTTGTGGTTGCGCGTTAGTCGCTCGTGTTTGGCTAAAGGTTTCGGTAGCGGCGGGTCTGCCACTCGCAAATGCTGAATCGCGGGGTTTCTGAGGGGCGGCTGTGGTGGTGGCCACTGAGTCTCGTGAGCCGGTAAATTGCGAGATGAAGGAGAGAACTGTGGAAAAGGGAAGGGGGAGAAAAGGTTAGCATTTATTGTTCTTATTATTATTTAAACGAAAGCAGCACCAGAAAGTGGTGGGTATGGTCGGAATGGCGCCGCCTGAAGAATATTGGACAAGGAATGGATGCGTATGTGTCTTGTTTCTCAGTTTGGTAAAGACAGCGCATGTGGGATAGTGATGTACACTTGGCACTCAATCGCCGCTGGATCATCTCGGGCTGGGGCTGGACTGGGTGTGGGTGCCCTGGGAGTGATCCAGGTCATCCGCTTGACTGGGTACGGGGTGGGTGTATGTGTTTTTTGGGCTTGCGACCAGCTAGGGTGTGTCGCTATGATATTTACCTCGATTGCGCCCCATGTTGACGACAGCACCAATTTAAAGCCTTTGGAGGGCCCAAGTCGATATTAGGCGCTCACTAAGAAGGGAGTGAGGAAAAAGAAAGGAAAAAGAAATAGACGAGAAGAAACCAGAGTTCAGTTGTTAATTTTTCTTTTCCGCTCTAGCTTTTGCCTATCACGCAGCAAACCAAAGGTGATCGAGAGACACGGGTGGAGACGAGCTGCAACCACGGCGTCAAAGATACCCGATGCGCTTCGGTCCCTGCGGCAGGTCGAGTCCTGGTGTCGACACTGTCTAAGTTTCAGTAAGTCGAGTCGGCTGGGGCGGGCGAGCTTTGGGACCAAACGGTAATCTGGGAGCGGCGCGCGAGTTCTGGTCGGAGGTCGGGTCGAATTACAATCGAGAGGCGCAAATGCAAACACGGGCGCGAGAAAGCGCCGAGTCCCGGGCGTTGGAATGTATACTATGACGTGGGAGAATTCAAGATGGGGGCGAGGAGAAAGAGGGAAAGGCAAAAGAGGGAATCGCAAGACGAGGCAAGGTGGAGAGACAGAGAGGGAGAGGGTGAGAAGGTGAGAAGGGGGAAAGAGAGAGAAAGAGAGAGAGAGAACAAGAAGAGAGAAAACAGAAAAGAAAGAATCCAGGCTAAGAAAGAAGGAGCGAGGGAGAGTCTAATAACGGAGGGAAAAAGGGAAAGGGAAAATGTGGACAACCACGTAATGGCGTGGATGCTCTTAAGGTTTCGTCGGCCGGAGGGTCAGCCAAGAAAGATGTGCGAGCCTGAAGTAGTGAAGAGCGGAGCAGGTTATTATGGGCCGACCTAGCTTGGTGGCTGCTGTCTGCCAGCAGATCAAGGGAACACCGGTAGATTGATAGTAACCGCAAGATGAGGACGATACATCATTGATCAACAAGAAAGTGGTTAATCGATGGCGGGAATGGTGGGAAGGGGGTGGGGGACGGCTTTTTGAGGGCAGCAATGATGGGGGCACACATCCACTGTCAAGCGTTAGGGTCCTCGACGCTCGACGCTCGACACGGAAGAAGAGGAAGGGGGAAGCGGAGAGAAGAATTCGAGGTGCGAATACGGCCAGACCATGCGAGGCCCGTTGCCCTCCAAGCTCGATCTGTGAGCCTCGAAATGGAGATTTCTCGTAAAGACGAAGCATCAGCCCAAAACGGGATAGGCGAGGCATTCCTCCAACTGTTTGGAGTATCAGCAACGGTGGGCATCAAACCAAGAGAAGCTCGTCTTAGTGGAACATGGAAGGGCTGCTTGACGAAAACGGGTCGGCCTTTGTCCTTGACCCTTGGCCAGGTACATCCATCAAATCAAATCGCTTCCATCCCTTCCGGACAGCTTGCGGCGGAGGTGGTGGAGGTAGCACAGGCAAGTACTTGGTACATGTACCATTGCTAGTGTCCACAGTCACCACGAGCATCGACCAAAGCCGCATGCCGATACGACCAAGCTCGAGAATTCCCAGCCCACTATGTCATTGCCCACCCAAGGAAAATGACGAAAAGAAAAGAAAAAAGAAAACAAGAGAAAAAGCTCCCTGACCTTCTTGATCCTCCACTCCACCCAAGGCATGCAGACCAGACCCATGGAGTACTGAATAACAGACAAGACGGACACTCACAGCTTCCTTGATGCTTTGCTTGCGTCCAATGGTCGATGGATAGTGCCAATGGATCAATGATGGAATGGATCATTGATCCATTGGATGTATTAGTACACACAAAATTCAAATAATGCAGGTGCAAGCCCGGAAAAGTACATAACACACTGCAGAGTTTTGGTGCCGACAGAAACTCGAGACACCCATCTTCCCGATTCCTGTGCCCTCCCCGCCTAAAATTCCCTCGTTCCTGACAAGAGACCTTCCGTGTTGAGAAGATTGATCCAACAGCACGACCAATTGTGCAAATCACCCGTGGTCCACCCTGCGATAATACTACTTTAAGGGAAATGCAACACGCGACGCAAACTACATCCACAGAAGGTAATAGTTGAGGACCGGAACAGTTGGCCTGATTGCCAAAAGGGCAGCACACATAGGCATGGGCCAAGGTCAACGGGTCTCAATCCCTCCAGGCCCAAGCGGGTATTCCGAGTTTCGTCTCGCTTGTTGATGGTATCATGTGCAAACCGGAATCAGCCTGTCCTCCCCCAAGTCTTGGCCTTTCACACGCACCTTGGCCACAAGTTCTTGTTGCACTCAGGTTTACAGCTTACAACCGTGGGAAAGACAATTGTCGAGGAAACCAAGAGAGGTTGGAAACTTCCATAATTTTAGCAAGCTTCAATGTTCCTCCAAGCAGGCCTTGCATCATGATAGCGCACAAGCCAAGAGAATGTTTGGTGCTTGACGGAACACGGAACAGCTAAGCTCTGGGCACCAGATACTCATGCATACACTTTCCTCACTCCGCCCATCTGGGAACTGAGAGCGAAAGCGAGCGAGTTGAAGGTCCGCCAAACCCGAAGGAAAAAGAACCCAGAAAAAGAAGAGGAAAAAGAAAAGGCGGGCCTCCTCGGGCGCTGACGAATACCCTCGCCCTAGCGTCTTGCGTTAATGATGTACTTGTGGACGCGGCCGTTATTCACGCTCCATCCTCCAAAGCATGGATTATGACAAACCGGAGATACTTCGTCCAGAGAATACATCCGTGGATGGATGTATTGGATCGCACACAAACACAAACTTCCAGGAGAACAATTCTGGTCTTTTGGAGGTGCGGCGTGACACCCTCCCGCCAGTCCCGTCCCAACTTACTGCAAGCACTATCACTCAACGCATAGCGCTAGACATATCTTGGAGGTCGGAACGTCAATCCAGTGGCTTTACGTACATCAGAATGACCAAACAATCAATGATGGTGAAAGGAGGCTAATCGGGCGAATAGCTCGCATATCCTCGAGAAATGGTTAAACCGGCATCCTCCTCTCCAGGAGCCCTTTGGTGCGCTGCAATTCAGAGCTGTGGCAAATCCCGCCCAAGACTTGAGCGAGGCTACCGGGCGGATGCTTTCAGGGCCGGGGCAGCGGGCAGCGGGCAGCGAGTTCTGAACATGGATGGGCGTCGCAACAGGAGCGGAAGAGCAGGTTGCGTCGAGAAAGATGGCCACGCCCACCCCTGTTGCGCTGGCGCCAAGAGGCTTGTCTGATCCAGTCGACGTATTGCATGACGACGTGATGAGACGATATCCCGCAGGGTTGAGCACGTTCAATGGCTACGCTAGGTCCCTCCCGGATGCTGCGGCGATACAATCCTCAGTTTTGCTTGCTCTCTTTTCTTTCTCCCCCGCCCTCTTCCACAGGAACCAGAGGAGGCTAACGACATCGCACATAAAAAAAATCCCCTCCCCCACAATGGCTTGCGACGCTTTCTCCCGGGGACTGGCGACTGGCGACCTACTCACTACCTACACGTACTGAGGATCTCAAGAGGCAATGGATATATACAAAAGGATGCGGAGGATGAAAAGGCATTAAGCCTAACCAAAACCAAAAAAAAAAAAAAAAAAAAGGAGGAACAAAGAAGAATTATTCTCCGTCAAACCCACTTCGCCATTTCGTCGCGTCAAGTCCACGAATCCATGAGTGAGGATCTGTCTCAGGTGCAAATGGGGGCTGTGTATTGTCTTTTGGCCCGTTCCCAGCCCCATGTAAGAAGAAAGAAACGGGATCACAGGTGGTCGTAACGCTTCGTATCTCCAGGGGTGGAAACCCCAGCTCATAAATTCTCCGTCCATCTCGCCGGTACGAGACATCAACCGATGGCGCTGACAACACGAGCTCGAGGATTTTCGTTGCCCTGAGGGCTCCCGCTGGCTGTCAGGGCGCCAAGAAAGCCCGCTGTGCCCTCACAACTACCGGCTGATAAGGCCAAGAACCATTCGGAGCTGTACGATACGAATGGTCCTGGGCCCGTCCCTTGGCCCCTTGGGGTCAGACGGGACAATACAAATGGGGTGCCTGGCTCGCATTCCTCTTGGATATCGGTACGGAACCAGCAATATCAATGATCATTATGATTGCCTACGCACACCAGAAGCCATTCTCGGGAGCACCCATGCGCCTCGGGGCCTCCATGGCTGTGCAGTGCAGTCAGAGTGCCCCTGGCGAATGTGATGACATCAACGGTCGGCTTTGACCGTGTGCGCGAAAGTCGAGCTCTGAAGGCTTTCAAGTCCCGGCGGCGACCCGGCCCTTTGGTCGCTCCTTTTATGGAATGGCGGGAGAAATCATATTTGAACCCACACATTCTATCAACCCATCATCCCGTTTTAACTCACCAGCGCGCTTCAACGAATTCGTTGATGAATGAGTACGGCATAGATGGAAAAATAGGACAGCCCTAAACGTGCTTCAACTTCATGTTGATCGTGAGACGAAGTACACGGAGACCCTCTACGATTTTTTCCCGTTCCATTCCTTTTATTATTCTTCCTTTTTTCTGTTATAGAAATGTCTCAACTCTCCCTTCCGTGCATCAAGAATTGGTTTCCTCTTTTCACCAACTCTTTTTCTTTTTCTTTCTTTTTCTTTTTTTTGGCGTGGGAATTCGTATTTGGACCCCGAAAAATGCTAAGCGAAACGGGCCGGGATGGCTGACCCAACCAGCACCTCTTCATCAACTCCCCTGGCCAATAGATCCAGTCATTCTCTTCATCCTCAAACGGGAGTCAATGCCTGCAATGCTATGAGTAATATGTGAGGAGCACTTGGTCGAGAAGGATCTATGGATCCCCTTTGATCAGTCCCATGCAATCATCGGTCTCCTAATAAAGAACTGCAGGACGAGCTCAATGCCCAGAATAGTATGTGGCCGAGGGCTCAACTCTTGGTCTGGCTTCATCAATATTCGTATCGCTCGGAAACGGTATAGGGGAGTAATAATCAATATCCCGAGGCTGCTTCCCGTTCGCTCGCTATCTCTCCGCATCACTGATGTAGTTTTCGTCCTCCATCTCGACAAAGTGGGTCGAACATCGGCGCTACTACACTACAGTCCTCTCCTCGACATGCAGCACTGGCTATTACTGAGCGCGTGTGCCCCGGTCATAATAGATCATTGGTGGCATAGATCAAAACATCTCGATTTCTACCACTGATGCCTCGGTACCCCTCGATTGCCCGCTGTCTCCGCTGTCAAGGTTCGCAAACTTGAGGGCAGGGCCGGGGACGATTAGGCTCCATTATTCGGAACCAGCACAGCTCGACAGGAGAGACACGCAGATGCACGCAGATGCACAGCTGATCCCCTTGCCATCATCATTCGTCATCAGTCCCAAGCGGGAGATTAGACGACATGGCCCGATCTTCAAATCAATGTCAGGCTTTTGCGATTCAACGCCGCGCATCCTGATGATGATGGACTGTCTCCTTCACGCTCTAGGCTCCATCTGGGGCTCCATTCCCTGGGGTTCCATTTCCTGGGGCTCCATTTCCGAACAACTTGAGACCGTTTTGGCGGCTTGGTCCTACGCACTCTCCCTCTCCACGCTGACCCACTACGGACTTGCCCTCCTGGACAACATGCTCGTCGACTGGTAAATTAGAAAAGGGCGGTCGCGCCGAAATCCCATTCATTGATGCAGATGTAAAGACTTGTCTGTCTCACATCTTATCTCTTGTCTTCTTTTCAATCACCATAACTTGATACAGTGTTGCAACAACTCATCTGCTATCTCTCTCTCAAAAGCCAGGAGGGCTCGTAGATCAATCGATGTATAAGTCAAGTCTTGGGAGGGCCTACAAATACCCGCATCAAATATAGAATATCAAGAAGGGGAGCCATCCAGCTAAAACCCTCGGCGCCACGAGATAGTAGACAATGAGTACATCCATCTAGCGCGCTTTCCCAGGCCCCCGCACACTCGGCTCATGGCTAGGGCAGTAAATGGGATTCCCTTCCTTCAAACATCAATACTTCTCTGATATTGTTGAGGTGTGTGTTTGGTCTCCTGTTCCTTGTTCTCCCGGTCCCTCTGCCCTTGGCTTGTCCAATCTCCTGCCCTGATTTACGTGCATCATATCATCTTCATCACAAAGAATGAGCTGCCTACTTGCGACACATGTATTTATTGGCATGGCTGAAGCCAATAGCTCCTTTTACATGTAGTTCATGTCGGCATACTGAATCAAAAACTACATGTAATGGATCATTCGTAAACCTTACATATACAAACATCTAACATTGAGATGTAAGCGAGGCAGTTCACTTCCCATGCTGTCCTAGGGTCTTCGGCTCCTGACAGTCATCGTCCCGCGAGATCCAGGGGCCCGGAATGCGACATGGATGGGATCGCCATCGATCGGTGTGAGAAGCCATCGTTTCTTTGAATGGAGAGCCTCAGCCTGCATCACTCACCGCACATGGCCCTCTCCTTCTCTCCGCGTGCACCCTTCAAACGTGGCATGGCTGGAACGTCCTAAACCAATTGCCACTGCATCCCCCTGTATTGTAAAGAAAGGTGATACACCAGACTGTTTTGGTTTCACGCCAATGGACTGCCGTTTATTTCGTCAAGTTCTGTGTACAAGCAGTGATGCAATAATACTATGTGATCTGCAAATGTCCAAGTTGGATCAGATGTCCATCGCCCACACCCCTACGCACACCTACGTCATATTTCATTGGTGCTCGAAATAGCCCGGAAAGCACAGGCAACCCAACTCATGCACCCCTCACGAGCCCATCCCCCATGCTCGTCAATATTGATGGATCTTGGGACCCTGCACGCTATCAGAACACCCACTGCCGAGGTATCAATCCGCTTCCCAGTACCTGCTCGAAATGAGCGACAACGTTGATGTATTGCTTGGAGTCACTCGGCGACTGAGGCTCGCAATGAAATGGCTCGCAATAAAGCTTAGATTTCACTTGGGAAGAACAGAGGGACCGCCCTTGTTTCCTTGGCTTTTTCTTCTTTTTGTTTTCTCAGAAAGAAAAAAAAAAGTTAATAGATAAACCTAAGAGTTCTGACCATGCTTGACATGGGGAGATGAACCAAATCAGCACAATGCGCCGTCAACCTTGAACCCAGGTCATCCAATGTTGGTGCAAAATCGGAACATGAAGCATTCATTCAATTGAGACCCTCGAGCAGAGGCCCCCAAAAATTGAAGACCCTGGAGACTTTGATCGGTTGTTGATGTGTCCACCAGTGACGAACCCGAGATAGAAGACCTACCACGTGCAAGGGAATGGGTAGAACTTGAAGCCTGGAGGGATCTGGAAGATGAGGAAGGTCAATGTATCCTATGTAACCTTAAATTCTAACCCTTTTGAGCTGTTGGGGACCGGAGTGTCCCTGATAGGAATAGATACGGATGGGTGGGCCGGCCAGCGTTGGTCCATTCAATCCAAGTGCTTCATTTTACTCTCTGGTGTCTGGCCGGTGATGTGGTAATCAAATCGATAGAGGTTGATTAGCACATGGTTTAGTCTGTCCAGTGACAACCCTGCAACCCAACAGTCATTCGCTCATCCAGTCACAGTTTGGCTATTCTATGCTCGATAGTCCTTTGCAATCGTCACTTTCCGGCCAGGCCCACCATCGCCCTACAGCAATCCCCCATCTCCTCTTTGCACCCTCTTCCCCCAACAGCGCCTTTCTCGTCCCAAATTCGACACCATCGAGGGTATGGGAAGATAGCCGGGATACGCCCGAACGCAAGGCTGGGGCATGCTGCAGATGCCGCCCACACAAGCCCGTTCCAGGCAGCGGGATCTGATGCACACCCGCCACCGATCTGAAATGCCAGAAGTCGATTACTGGCCGGACTATACCTTTCCTCATGCTTGGAGGGCGCCCGCCTCCTCCAGAAGCAGAAGCAGAAGCAGAAGCACCCTGCCACCTCGTGCTGAGATGCCCTTCGTTCTCGGAATGAGGACGCCACTACTTTAGCACCACGGCCGCTCCCCTTCACCCTCGGCCCCGCCCCGTCGCGATCGTGTCAACACGCCCAGCGCGCCCTTGCAGCGCGCACTAGCACAAAAAGATGGTCTTCAGGTATCGTCTCGCTCCCTCCGGCGTCAGAGGAGCCTCCCGGTCGCCCCCTACCGAAACTACCTTTTCGATTCGATACGGGCATCGCGCTCTTTGCGAAACGAGCCCCTCGACCCTTCCCCCACCCTTTATGTCCATGCCGTCAGCCTCGTTCTCAGATCCCCTTAGCACTTTCGATAGGAGCCGCGATCGGCGACGGCAATGGATCAATGGTGAGCTGATTCGCGGGCATACAAACGGCGACGATGCCGTGTATGCAAGCGATTATTTCATATGTGCAAACGACGGTGTCGGGGCTTGGTCCACAAGGCCCCGGGGACATGCCGGGTAAGCTTTCTCAATCACTTTTTAGATGTTTCGCGTGTTCCTCTGTTTTGCTAAACGTTCTCCTGCTCGTGTGGCTATCAGGCTGTGGTCACGATTAATACTGCACTTTTGGGTGGCGGCGATGGAGGACGATATGCTCAAACCCCGCGACCCAGGTCAAGAATATCAACCGGATCCTGTCGCTTACCTTGACCGAGCCTTTGGGCAAACTATCGAGGCGACTTCCTCCCCGAATGATTGCCAAGGAACCACCACGGCCTGTGGTGCTCAGCTACATTACAAGACATCCGTCGACGAAGGAGGACATGACACACCTCTATTATACGTCACAAACCTTGGGGATAGCCAGGTCCTGGTTCTGCGCCCCGCCGAGAAACAGGTGCTTTACAAAACGACGGAGCAGTGGCACTGGTTCGACTGTCCACGGCAGCTCGGGACTAATAGCCCGGATACGCCGCCGCAGAACGCCGTCGTCGATGTCCTCGAAATACAAGAAGGGGATGTTGTCTTGGCCATGTCGGACGGCGTCATCGATAACTTATGGGAACACGAGATTGTCCGAATCGTGACTGAAAGTATGGAGAAGTGGGAGAACACGGAGGAGCCTCGCGTGAAATCTCTCGCCAAAATGCAGTTTGCTGCATCTGAACTAATGAATGCCGCCAAAGTTATTGCCTTGGACCCCTTCGCAGAGAGTCCTTATATGGAACATGCGATAGAAGAAGGCCTAGCAAGCGCGGGAGGTATGTGACCCCCTTCCCCCTTCCCCTACCTTTTACCAAATATCCACTGATGTCGCGTTCTTTGATGAACTTGGCAATGATCTAACCATTGATGTAGGGAAGCTTGATGATATCAGCGTCGTAGCCGCACGCTGTGTCTCAAACAAATAGGTGAACTGTAGGGGCAGGAGATATCTGGTTCTTTTTTCCTTGCTCCAATCTTCGTTTTCTTTCGGATAGACATTCTTGGCGACATTATTTTCACCGTTTTCCTTCCCACCCCAGCATGGCGTTTGCGAGGAGAGTATGCAATGTCTTCATAAACAAGTATAGGGCAGGTTCACACCCTGGGTCGGTGGGTTCTCATATTATCTACATCCGGGAGATTCGGCGCCCACGTGTAAGGGACGTCTGCATTAATGCCTGGGTTGCGAATTCCATTCGCCTTTCTAATACCTAGTGATGTTTTTGGTATCAGGGACGAGCATGGATTTGGATGGTCAACGTCAGTACGCCAGTTCACAGTTGGTTTTTTGAGGGTTTCAACTATATAAATCGAGAGATGCTACTTAAGAAGAAAAAAAGAAGAAAAATAAAGTAAAAACTCCTAGGTCCGAACTTGATTAGCCTGGTTTATGATTGAGATACGTCCATCTGCACAAGAGCTGGACTAACGTGATATCGATTCTTTGGGAGGGTGGAGGGTTGATTGTCGAGACCAAGATACCAGGTACATGGTGGATGTATCGTTCCATGTAACTTCGTAGTTTTAGGTGGGGTGCGGCTCACCGACTTCACCGAGACAGCTCCTCGATAAGATAAGAAAAATTCTGGGCCATATTTTTTTCCCACCAAGAATTCGTCACTCACAATATCTGCGTGCGGAAACCACAACTCCCACGCCACAACCCACGACTACGACCCCGATTGAAGCGCCCGAGCTTGCGTTAACTCGCCATCTTGAACCCTATCTAGGGAACCCCTCAAGCCTTCCTCCCCTTTTCCTCGTTCCGAGATAATTCCAAGATGCGCGGCAAACGATCGAAGCAGTACCGGAAGCTCATGGAGCAATAGTAGGTTGAACCCGAGGGCCATGCGAGCTTAGCACCCATTTCTAACCCTCCTTCAAGCCAAATGCACTTTGGTTTCCGGGAACCCTACCAAGTTCTAGGTATGCGCTTCCGCCCCTGCTCTATTTCCGCGCTGGGTAGCCCGCTAACAGCGCGACCAGTCGATCACGAGGTTGTCAAAGATTGTGGAAAGTTCAAGATGGATCTAGTCTCCTGCTCAAGAAAACCGTTCACGGTGAAGTCAAGCCGCGTAAGGGTTTCCCAATATCACCTCCCACCCTTGGCCCTTTTTTCATAACGACCGCTAATCTTGTGGATTCCCTAGTCATAACACAATGCTGTATCCGCCACCTATACGCGAGTAAATCCGAGCCGGGCATGGACGCGATAATCGAGAATGCGAAGTCGATGGAGCGACGCTTCTGCGGACACCACCCGCAAGACCACCCCGAACCTTTGGACGCCGGCGAATGCATCAGCGCCGTCGTGGACGGGAAGAACTCGGGAAGGAATAAGCACAGATATGTTGTCGCAACGCAAGACATTGAGCTGCGGAGAGAACTCAGGGCAATTCCGGGCGTACCCCTCATCTACATCAACAAGGGCGTCATGATTATGGAGCCCATGGCGTCGGCATCGACAGAAGAGAGGACCAAAGAGGAGAGGACCAAATTTAGAGCCGAGTTAAAAACGAACCCCGTGAAGCGGAAGAGGGCCGACGACGAAGAGGAGCCCAAGGGGTCCGCGGTCACGGATGGGGCCAGCGAGGCGCAAAGTAATGCCCAGGCGAGTGGTGAAGAAGGGCCGCAGAAGAAGAAGAAGAAGAATTATGGGAAAGCCCGCGGGCCGAACCCCCTCGCAGTAAAGAAGAAGAAGAAAACTGGACCAGGACAGAAGCCTGCGGCGGCGAGAAAAACGGCGGCATAGTTACAAAAGCGGTGGCAGTCGAGAAGTTAGCATCTGGCGCATATGGATGGGCATATAGGAGTTTAATGACACTTTGTTTTTCTTCCACCTCCTCACATTCTTTACACCCCCAACGTCCTTCATTTCTCGTGGTCATGGTCCTTTGTGGCGAAATCATGTTAGGGCATGAATGCCGTGCAAAGCTATCGTGTTCGAGGGGATATCGGCTCCCGCAGGGTCGGATGGATACTCCAAGGCCTACCGAACCCCCACGGGTTTATATCGATGTGACTCTTCCAATGTTATGCGAATAGGTAGAAACTTCTCATGTAGTCTATGAACATGTGTTGTGCCTGAAGTTTTTGCAGCATCAGACCCAAATGCCGATTGTTCAATTCTTTGTGTTTGACCACGAGAGAACAATTCAAAAGCCAAGGCTACGTTTGGCGGTGCATTTTATCAATTAGCTGATGCATTTTTCTTGGAAACTGAAGTGTTTAGAATCATCATCACATATATATATACATAAGGATGGATGTACGTGTACGTGTACGTGTATTGGATGGACACACTAATAATCGATCGGGTGCTGTCTTGAACATGAGGTGATCTCTCATCGCTTGTCTTGGGGGCCGAGCTCGGCAAATTAACGACATCCCATCTTTCAACTCTCCTTCAACTTCACGTTTACAGGAATTTTTACACAATTAGACCTCGACCGACACGTCGTGGTCCCCGGCCACCCAAACTCCAAACTAGCTTGCGGCTACTTTAATCCGCCGTGCAGAAAAACATAAAAAGCCGCCATCTTCGTTCTTCCACTCCCCTCACGTGTAAATCCGCAAAACTGAACGCACCAAGCGGAGGGTCAGGAAAAGGGAAATCTAAGCTCACAACGGATCAATTAATACTTATACGCCTAATCAATATCGACAAAAAAATGCAGGCCACTTCCCGCCTCCTACAGTCCGCTCGCATCACCCTCTTCACCCGCGCAAACTGTGGGCTTTGCGACTCAGCCAAGTCAGTCCTCTCCAGACTCCAAACCACCCGCCCCTTCGCCTACCGCGAGGTCGACATCATCAAGCCCGAGGCCCAAGCATGGAGGGACCTTTACGATTTCGATGTCCCAGTGGTAAATTTCCCCATTCCCGTTTCTTGAACCCCTTTTCCAAGGTAGTCGAGTCGCCTCTACCTACCTGGTCGAGTTGGCAAGGATCATGCCTTGAGCTTCTTCGCTGAGCCGCCTGCTTACGAGCATTGTTTCTCCCCCTTCAACAGATTCATATTAGCAAGAGCTCTGCGCCTCAGGAAGACCCAACGCTCGCGTCCAAGGCGGCGAAGCTCATGCACCGGTTCACCGAAGAGGAGGTTGCGGCAAAGATGAGGACCGTCGAAGAGTCAAGTTGATGTATGGCACGCATGGATAGGAAGTCCCCGGTTGTTCCATTCCAGTCCGAGGTCCATTGTTTGGGTCATGGCCAAGTACGAGACACGCGGGAGAACACATTCGAGTTCTGAGATGGGCGAGGAGAGCGCAACTTTCAGTTATCACGGCTTGCTAAGTTCCAGAACTACGCAACAGCCGTAAAGGCGAGGCGACGGTTGGTATTGATGCGAAGAGACTACATGTACATAATGAACCCCTTTGGGATACGTAGCATTCAACGTCTCCTACCAAAGTAGATAACACCCATTTATATACCACATCCCATGATGAATCCACAGGATTCATCTAAATCATTGAACCAAGGAGCCTTTGAATGCAGAACAACACACATCCGAGGAAAACAGGCACGAGCCCCAGGGCCACCACGGCCCCCTTTTCTTCCTCTAGACAATTGAAGGATCGAGATACCACCCCTAAAAGAAAAGTTCTCCAACCATCTAAGCCTAGGCGCCCAAGCACCTTGTCCGAACACCGGAGCGGGTATGATGCCAACTCAACGACAAAAGTATACAAACAACCCCATACGCTCCCTTATCTACAATTAGCCGCTTCTATTTCATGAGCTTCCGAATTAGGTTTCTTTTCTTTATTTCCACAACTGCATCGGTAGTTGAACCAAGGGCGGTTCGTCAGCGGGAGCGCGGGGAAAAGAAAGGCCAACGCCAGCCAGCTGCTAACCCTCCAGCCATTCCGAAAGCAAAATCCATGACTAAAAGGATAAAAAATAAAGAAAAAGAATACGTGACCTCCTTGTATGCAAGTGACTCCTACGGATGCGCCTCCCGAGCTAAGCTAAGACCCAGCCATGACGGCGGAGAAAAGAAAATGGGGGGGCGGCGGCGGGATAAGAAAAGAGACAAGGAAAAGGAGAAGAGGGAAAAAAAAAGAGAAAAGGAAACAAGAGAACCCCGAGTACACCGTCGTCAACGCTCGTATTTGGGAAGTGGCTCAGCATGATTGTGCTGTCGGTTGGGGTGCGCCACTTCGTTGCTGTATGAAAAGTGAGGGCCATATTCATCCTCGTCTGAAAATACTGGGGCCGTAGGCTCGTCCTCGGCCACGGCGGGTGCCGTGGCTAAGCCGCTGCCTGAAGGTTCACAGTCATCTGGGAAATCAGGTGGGGCACTGGCTTCGTTGAGAAGCCTTTGCCGTTCCATCTCCTGTTTATCCGTCCTGGTCTCGGTATGATTTGGCTCTCCAGGTTGGCTTGGCCCGGCGATTGCAAAGTGAGGATTATCGAAAGTCGGTGCAGAGGGCGATTGCACACCATCGGGATCGTCAAACGCAGAAAGAGGCGGTGCGGATGGCCCAGGTAAATCGTCAGCGTCGTAAATGTTATCATCAAGAGGGGCAGAAGGGGCAGCAGGAGAGGGGCAGACCCTGACGCCTCGGGTTCCACCGGTGGGGCGCTCGGGAGAAGCCTCTGCTCTTCGAACCGTACCCTCTCCTTCTCCGTGAGATGACTGACGTCGGGCAGGACTGGGGGTGGGATGTAGAGCGGCGCAGGGGCCTCGGGTGGCCCTAGACCTCTGGGGGTATGCGGGGGCGGAGGTGGGCTAGGCGGTGGAGGAGGGCTGGATGGGGGTCCGTAATGTGCATCGGGGAGAGGGGATGAAGGAGTGGCAATGTAGCCGTTCAGGTTACTACCGGCGATTAGTCGAGGAGAGGGAAAGTCGCTTCCGTTATTGTAGAGAGGTCCGGGTCGGTCGTTCCTTGACAGTGAGGACCCGTCGTCCTGGCTCGTCGACGAGGTATTCGGATGGTGGAGTGTTCGTCTCGAATTAGTCTTGCCTCGCAACCGTGCGGTATCTAGCGTTCCTACAATAATCTCTAGGCCGTCGGAAATGACGCCCTTCTCACGCCGCAAATGCTCCGTGTTGATGATGTTGGTTGACCACGAAGTGTACGATGTGTTTGTCTCGTTGGTTGCGCCTGCGCCCAGAACGCCGAACCTTGTTGGTGCCGCCTCGCTGCTCTGGAATTGACTGTCTAGCCTCCCCCGAGGTCCACGACAACTTCCAAGTGATACTTGAAACTAATCATATCCCCGGAACATTGCGGATGGTTGGAAATGAGTCATCTGGCACCTTCATTGACACGGTCACGCTGGTGCTTAGGGACTGAGGGTCGATGATGAGGGGCACGACTGTCTGGCAGAGGTCTTTTCGGAATATGCTGGGCGACGACTTGTTCGAAAGGGAGAGGCTTAGGGTTGGTCTTGACCTGGTTGGGCCCCCAGGCAAGGATGCGGCTCTCGCGCCATCCGTCATTGAAGGTATGGTCGGATCGATCCTTCCCTGTCTATAGAGGGTCACAATCACGCCGTGCATACTTCGAACGTATTTGATATGCTGAACTGTTACCCTCACCGGTATCGTATCGCCAGGGAGGCATCCTGCTCTCAGCAGCTCGATAGTCGTTGTTATCGTTTTGGCGTCAACCGCCTGAAGCTTGGCAACACTTGCGCTTCGTGCTATCGCGGGGGTGGATGTCTGCGAAAGAACCTCGGCTGCAGGCAGGCTCAGGCCCGTGCTTCCCGTGAAGTTGCTCTCACCACTCACGACACTCCGGGTGTCCGCTAACTCGGTACTCGTTTGCTGGCTGATGGGCAGAGGTTCTTGGACAGGTTCTTCGGATAGGATGGATGGGACGACCGATTCGACGTCAGATGACGGCCGGTCTATGGTCTGCTCTCGCCTCAATGTGGAGCGGTCGTTGCGACTCGTCTTTTTCGACGCGTCCTTCTTGAGATAGGTTCGAGAAAGATGATGCGCGGGCGGGGTGGCGGCAACAGACCCACGTCAACCGTTTCTATGAGGGAGACTTTGCGATCACAATGCAGTGTGGGAGATATTGTCGTCGGTCGTGTTAGCGTAGCCATGATGTTGTACGAAACGGTGCCCCTTTCGAACTAGACAGACACGGACGGGGGTTAGAGTTGGGAGGCGTAGGAGCGCGCGGCGGGGGGGAGGAGAAGGGGAGTCCAAGGTGGTAGGCACGTACGTCGATGCTGCTTGGGAGGTCACTTTTGGTGGGGAAGACCAAATCAAACTTGAACTCGTATCTCCCAACATCCAATCTACCGTCGCCGCTCAGCACCTGCTCGTCCTGGAAGAGGGAAGCATAACCCTTTGGAGGAAGTTGGTCGCGAGAGGTGCCGGATGGAATGGGGCGGTCGTCGAGGGCAGAAGGGCCCTTCCAGACACGGACGAAGCCATGGAGGGCGACTACGAGGTGGGTGATGCGAAAGGGTTTCGTGACGACGAGGATTACGGCTCCTTGGACATGGTCGCCTGCAGAATAGGTGCGGTGGGGTTCGTCGGCGCGTATGTGGAAGTCCTCTGAATTGCGCTTGACGGATCGGAGGGGATGAGGCGGTTGAAGAAGGTGCCCATACCCGGTCGGTCGTATGGGAGAGTGGTAGAAAGCGCAATGGGCGTGCGTCGGTTGCAGTTGGGTGTGGGCGAGGACGGCAATCCGACGTACGGCGTGTAGGAGAGGAGGGGAGGAGTTGATGGTGGAGAAGCAGGCAAGAGCGACTAGAGGTTCGATGGAATCAAATGCCAACCCGCTGTTGAGATTTTGTTTAGTTGGTGGCGGGGTGGTGTGGTGGCTGGCCTCTAGTCGACTGATTAATCGGACCTGGGGGAGGGGTGTTCGGGTCAATGTCTGAGCTCGAGGACGAAGGCGGGCGATTGATTCAGCCTAGTGTTCAACGCTTGTTGGGTTGGTACAAGTAACATTGAACATTGATCAATTGAATCCCGTCCCTTGCGCGAAGTGCTGGCGTCCAAGCATCATCAGTGGACGGTACATATACTATGTAATAATGCGTGGACAAAAAGGTTTGAGCGCCAAACTTCATTGGAAATGCATTGGTAGATCTATCACCGATCCTTCCACTATCCAATAGATCCAGCGGTGCGTCCATGGTCGACCATCTTGACCATCAATGTATCTGCATACATTATTTAACGTTGGACTGCGAGATCGACCCACCGATTGATCCAGTTTATCGATGTCTACCTGGATCCATTGTATTATTATCGATTCAAGAGATGCATGAGCGCACTCACTCTTCTCCATGCAGCTCAACCCCCATTGCCCTGGCTCGCGCGCGTTGACACTCTCATTGTTTTCAATGTAATCTACAATTGATTTGCGACGTGTGGCTGGCACTCGCAACCCGCCACCGCCGGTGAAACGGCGGAAACGATCAAGTGGATCACGATTGTCATGTATTGATTGAAGGTTTGAAAGTTCGTTCCATTGCTGTTTTCCCACCCGCGGTGATCAATTGAAATGAATTGCGACATCCAAGATCGTTTCGGTCTCTGGTCCTTTTCAGAGGGCGACATGCAAGAACATCAATACATGTACACTAGAACCCAGCAGACAGGCTCAACCTCCATAACTCGTGACTCCACGCACGTCGGCAGGACAGGCGATCTGTTCCGTGATCCTCCCGCTGTGCGCTCCACTGTAATCTATCTCAGTGATGCAATCATTGGCAAGAGGAGACCGGACTGGACGGTCCTCGCCCGTGGAAGCAGCTAGAAGAAGCAGCAAGGCATCCATGCGTCAAATTCCCTTCTGATCCACCACTCATGCTCACACTCAAACCATTGAACGGATGCCCCCTTCTTCTTCTTCTTCTGCCATCGACCCACGTCTTTGGAGTGAAGCGCATGGGTAATTGATCCAGAGCCTGTGAATAAGATTATAATCCATGCCCATGTCCGGGCCCTTCAGTGCAGGCGCAGGGATGCGTCAGGTCTGAAAGTTCTTAATCGTGACACCCCGTCTCGGCGGGTTGAACAAGGCCAGAAGCAACTTGGCAACATCAATGGATACTCCCATGAACCCAGCGCCTGGGCCACACCAGCTTAACCTCCAAACAAATTGAGGATTGTGCACCAGGGAATAACAAATTTCTGTTCGGATGGCCGATTAAGCTATTAGGTCCTTGCCGCATTCGGGTCCAGGCCGACAGGAGAATAAGTAAATAGATAAGATGAAGAACAGAAAAATTACCGAGGGGCGGTTCATCTATCACTTCAATGTTCAATGTTTGGTGCCATTGCCTCGCTTCATCCTACATTATCGGAACTGCAGTCCGTTTCCGTTAGAGAGCTCCTTCTCCATGTGCGTTTCGAAAATTTGTGTTGATAGGAAGGCGGGCTTGCATAAAACGTCCGCGACAGGGTCCTCTTCACACCACGAGTTGGAAGAAAATTATCAGACGAAAGCCCAATTCGGTTCTTCCCTCCTCTCCATATCCGGCGACACGCGAGGTTGGCTGATTCGTGCCGCCCCCAGCTCCTGTAAGATCCACACGCGGACACCCGAGCCCGTACACAGCCCCCTTCTTCTTTCCTCTCTTCACTCTCTCCCAGGCAAGCCGCCGGCGGGACGCCCAATCTGTCTGAAATAGCCGATCTTCAGCTAGCCATCTGACAGTAACCCTATGTTATTATCCGCCTGTCAAAAGCTCGACGGAAATCATTGGCGAGAAGTGGCGGGTGTGTTGTCATGTAGTGTGACTGAAAGGCGACATGGAGTCTCGAGGCCTTCTCCGCCGATGAAAACTAGCCGAGGCTTCTCGCTACTCGACTACAGCTCTACTTTCGAGAGCAGTTCTATACCACGCTTTGATCATGGGCGCCCTTGGTGGGCACAATCCTGCCTGGCGTCCCAAGGGATGGGTCTCAGATATGTAGTTATGTCTAAATTGTCTTTCTTACACCTTGTGGAATGGGAATGAGGCACGTAGGAAAAGGTGAAGAAGAAGAGAAAGTATTCATTGTGAGAACCCAGTGGCTTAGGCCCCCAGCTTCAATGCTGGTTTTCCTTTATTCAAGTTTGCGCAAAAATCTTGCTACGCCTTCTTTATGCTTGATGTTATGTTGCCCGGAACTCCATGTGTAGCCATGCACCCGAACGCCCAATTTTTGTTCCAAACCAATGCCTCATGGGTATTATACAAATGCTAAACCAGACTTTCAATCACCCGCAACCATCCCATGTATTAATCTCCTCCGTTTCACGACTCATTAGTATTCGAGAGCATCACCGTTTAATATGCTTTTAAGAATGCCCGCCCCGACACCATCGGTGGCCTGTTCCGCCTCCTCTTCGCCAACGCAGCTGGCGACGCGCTTCTCCTCACCTGCGCTGGCGAATCCATTCCATCGCCCGCGCCTGCTAGGGTTTGATTGACGACAAGACCGCCCGTCCTGCCGTCCACCGCCGTGATTAAACCGAGCGTCTCAAGACTTCCAACAACCTCCCTAAACTCCGAGCTTGAGAGGGGTGAAGGACTGAGTCGCTCTTGCACAGCCGGCAGTATGCATCAAAGAGCATCTTTACCGTCGGGGCGAGGCTATTCGACGACTTCGACGGCGTCTCTGTACCGTTCATGGATTGGCTGGCCCTGTTTCTCTTCTCAAATGCCACAAGTGCACAGAGCGCCGCCTTCTGCTGAAGGTTGAGCGTTTTCAATCGCTGATTCGTGCCGTTGCTGAAGGCGGCGGCAGTAACCTTGTTTAGATGCGAGATTGAAGCCCGGGAGCCGTCTCGGGGTGAGCGCCTTAAATAAGCTTGCCACCATTTGGCTAACGCTCGGCTGTTGATCCCGACACGGCGAGGATTCGTTGAATGTTTCTCCTAGTACCTTGCGCGAAGGCGTCATTTGAAGTACGGTTTCTCTCGCCTCGACCTCAAACTTGTGTTTTGTCTCTGCCTCGATCATGTCGAGTGCGCGCCGACAAATTTCAAACGCCCTCCGCAAATCGCCGGTCTGACTTGATACTTTGCGAGAGCAAAGCTCGACCGCTGCGGGGTGGATGAAGGGGACGTAGCCTGGTTGGTTCGAGTCCGCGGGCACGAGGCTCTTGAGGCGGGTGAGGATGATGTTCTTGATTTGCGGCGCCGTGTAGGGAAGGAAGGGCAGGAGGTCAGGCTTGAGATTCTTGGATTTCAATCGTGGGAGAAATCGATCGGTCAAGTCAAGGGCATTCGCGATTCCAATCAAAGTGAGACGAGACGATTTCTGCAACGACCACTCAAACATACGGTAGAGGCTTTCAAGCCCCATGGTGAGGATATGGTCGATCTCGTCGAGGATCACGAGGAAAGTCTGCGCGGATTTCTTTCTCTGAATGAACATGCCTTGAAGGCACTTCATCGCCTCCGCTTCAGTTGACGTTTCTTGGCTCTGGTCCAGGGCATCTAATAGTGTGACGTAGAGATCCTTGGATGACTTGATGCTCATGCAGTTGATGTAGGAATATTTGACCTCGGTGGTACTCGAAGCCTGCTTCGTCGTCTCTTGGACCATGGCACTCTTTCCCGTCCCGGGCGGGCCGCTAACGTACAGGCAGCCACTGGGGTTTGGGGAGCCCAGCCGCTCCATAAACTCATTCAATTGTCCTCGCTCGCTTTCTCTCCCGACTAGCTCGCCGGCATCGGCTCCTCGAGAAAAGAGCTGCCTCGCCGAGTGGTACAAGGTTGGCCCGCTAGCAGGCGTGAGCGGGGTTTGGGGGCGGAACGTTTGAAGAGCTTTCCAGCAGACATCACGGCGTGCCTGGGGGTGGCGGGCGATCGGGAAAGAGCATTTCGAAACCTAGGTGTCTGAGGGGTGACGGGGATAGGCTTAGAAGGAGAGACCTTGAGTCGGGTCGAAACTTTGGAGGCGGGCACGTAGATGTCATCTTCATCTACTTCGTCCTTGGCAGAGTTCGGATCATAGTTTTCGTCATTTTCCGTATCCTCAATGCTGTACTTGGCTGTGCTGCGCCTGCTTCGCTTTCGGGGAGTTTCTATCACCAGATCGACCTCTATTTGTTTTACTCTTGGTTAGTATTCATGCCGGATGGGGCCCGACAAAGAGCTGCGCTTACCCTTCTCGACGACGCTTCGAGTCCTCTTGCCTAGACTGCTGCGAGGCATTTTCCTCTTTGATAATTAAACTTTTCGATACCTCCGGAATATGGCATGCACAATTGAATATGAAGCAAGTAGTGATGAAAGCTTTCGGCAGGAGGAGGCGAGTAAAATGAGGGATTTGGAAGGTTGAATGGATGAAGTGCTTGAAAAGAGGCGGTGATGCTGTAAAAAGGGCACCGTACCAGGGAAGGTGGAAGCTGGAAAGGCCAAGGTATTTAATAGGTATCCACCCATTTCTCGTGTCTCGCGTGTCGTGACAGGAGTGTCGCGTTGAGCGCGTACCACTTAAAGGACTGGTCTCGGACGCGCGTGTCCCCCTTTGGTTGGAATCAATTTAACCCCTGGCCATTGACTCTTGGGCCAGCCAGCCAACCAATTGATCGTGGCACACTGGGCCAGCCGCCTGGCGCGTGCGCTAATCGTGGAGACCCAAGTCACTCTGGGGCATGGGCCTTCACTGTCCGACCAGTCCTTTGGCACTGTCCCGACTCCCTCATTGCTATGGACCGCTTGAGCCAATGGAAAGGCCCAGTGCATGAGATCTAATGGATCCAATTGATCCATAATAGATCTTTGTTCTGGTGGCAACTTCAAAGTACGAAGTACCTACCAACCAGACATGTCAAGCCTTAGGCGAGAGGTATCCGTCGGCGCTTTCCATCGCTTCCGGCCGGAGTTGGCCGTGGAGCACCTCAGTCTCGCCCAACGCTTCTGGCCGCCACCTCACCCAAGGCCCTATCTCCCTTAGGGCGCTGGGCATGGAGATAATGGATCTATCCATTGGATCGATTTGCCCCTACCCCTAAATATCTGACAAGCTCTTCCATACAATTCACTCTGAGGACATTCTTAGCTTTCGAATCGTTGAAAAGCAAAGATCAATAGGTCTTAATTCAATTATTGCGAAAAAGGAAGGAATTCCGGCTCGCTAAGATTCGCCGTAAAACCCCTCCATTATATCGGTCCAGCTCCTTTCCCCTCCCATACCCACCCACTTGGGCGCCCGAATCCATATCAACGCTTCCATGCGCCGACCAGCATCATGGCATCGCCAGAGTACAACAGAGATGTAGAAACCTTTCGGGCCATTGAGTTTCCCATGCTCCAAGGTGTCTATACACTTTCCTTTTCCGTTCGTCATCGCCGAATAGCAAGCTAATGTTCGACGAGACGACTTGTATCTTGACCATGCCGGAACTACTCTTTACCCCAAGTCGCTCATGGAGAGCTTCACTCGAGATATGATGACCAGTCTTCTCGAAATCCACATTCTCTTTCTGCATCTTCCCAGTTATCTGCGTCGCGCATAGAGAATGTTCGATTACGCCTTCTCCACTTCCTAGGGGCTGATCCATCTGTGTATGACTTGGTGTTTGTGGCGAATTCCACTTCCGCTGTGAAACTCGTTACCGAAGCCTTTCGTGCGGTTCCCGGTGGTTTCGCCTACGCCTATCACCAGGCTGCCCACACAAGCATCGTTGGGATACGAGAAGAAGCGGAGCAGAGCTGTTGTGTTGATGACGGAGCCGTAGAAAACTGGCTCTCGGGATCACACCCTTTGGGAGGTAGCAGCGGAACCCCTCCACTGCCGACCCTATTCGCCTACACGGCCCAGTCTCATATGGATGGGCGGCGCTACCCTCTATCTTGGGCGCATAAACTAAAGGCAGCCGCGTCACACGAGTTGTACGTTCTCCTAGACGCCGCATCCTTCGCTGCCACGAGTCCCTTGTCCCTCAAAGACGACGAATGTGCACCCGACTTTGTGGCAGTCAGTCTATACAAGATTTTAGGGTTCCCTGACCTAGGAGCTCTACTCGTGAGGAAATCAGCTTCCCATATCTTTCGCCATCGCAAATACTTTGGCGGCGGAACGGTGGAGATGATCGCATGCGGAAAGGAACAATGGCACGTACGAAAAGCGAGTCCCTCCACGAGCAGCTTGAAGATGGCACACTACCTATCCACAACATCATCGCGCTCGACTCTGCACTTGACGTGCATGAAAAAGATTCGTTTCTATGACGAGCGTCTCTTCTCATACGGCGTACCTTCGTAACCGACTCTTTCACGGCTTGGCGTCCCTCCGGCATTACAACTCCCAGCCCGTATGTGTGATGTACTCTCCAGACACCCCATATGAAAGTCTGTCCATCGATGCAGGACCCATAGTTGCCTTCAACCTCCGAAGCAGCGGAGGGGAGTGGGTCAACCTCGGTGAGTTCGAGAAGCTTGCTGGCCTGAAGAAGATTCATGTTCGCACGGGAGGCGTCTGTAGCCCCGGAGGCATAGCTGCGGCTCTCGGCTTGACGCCCTCAGAGATTAGGAGGAACTACGCGTCTGGCGTTCGGTGTAATGGACATTCCGACTTTGTTACCGAAAAGCCAACCGGCATAATACGAGCTAGTCTCGGCGCGATGAGTGTCGAGTCTGATGTCGACCGGTTCGTGGACTTTATATCCGACTTTTACTGCCAAAGAGAAGCGCCACCTAAGCCAGAATGCGCAGCAGAAGCATCAAAGGAAGAGCTGCCAGCTCGTCTCGAAGTAAAAGATATCATAGTCTACCCGATAAAGAGCTGCGGCGGATACCATGTGCCTTCCAATCTGCCATGGAGAATCAAGCCGGAGGGCCTGGCCTGGGACCGCGAGTGGTGTCTTGTACACGAAGGGACTGGACAGGCACTGGCGCAAAAGCGATACCCAAAAATGGCGCTCTTAAAACCGACTATCGACTTTACAAGTGATCTCCTGCGGATAACATACCAAGGCGAGAGGCCGAGGGGCGTGCCGGAGACCGTCACTGTTCCCCTCTCCTGGAGCCCAGGGTCGTTTCCTACTAACACATTCCGTGTCCTGTCCTCCAGAGTCTGCGGAGAAAGAATCACCGCTCAGGCTTACACCTCTCCAGAAATCACAAACTTTTTTCCAGCATCCTAGGTGTCCCTTGCGTCCTTACACGCTTTCCCTCAGAGGGCCAAGGACGCAATTTGCGTTCTTCAAGAGTGATGCCGACAAAGAACCCCCGTCCAACGAGGAGCAAAACCGTTTGCATTCCGGGAACCTTTCCCGACCCACCGAGCCCACCCGAGTCTGACTCGGAACCCTCGATCCCTCTTCTTCTCTCCAACGAGAGCCCCATACTAGTCGTCCACATGGCCAGCGTTTCTTTCCTGAACGACGTCCTAGCTCTTACGCATAAGCCGGTCCCCGCCGCGCAATTTCGACCCAACATCATTGTGGGATCCAAGGCAGACACCCCGGCTCTAGCGGCCTTCTCCGAGGAATCATGGAGGGGACTGACGTTTTCTTCGGTCGGTCGTCCCTCGCCTCGAAAGGGCACCTTGCGTGTCCTGGGAAAATGCTATCGATGCCAGATGGTGTGTGTGGACCAGGACACGGGCGAGCGAGGAGAGGAGCCCTTTGTGACGCTGGCGCGGACGAGGCGGGTAGGGGAAAGGTGCCATTCGGAATCCATGTTTGTCTGGAGACTCGAGATGAAGAAGAGGACGGAGCCCCGATCACCATTTCTGTTGCAGATCCTATCCAGGCACTCTTAGGAGGGAAGACAGAGGAGGGCTAGCATAACGGTGGCTACCACCACTCTTTATTTTTTTCTTCTTCTTTTTCTGTACCCTCTTTTTTCCTTGGCCGGGCATTCAACATTTGCATAGTGGCCATCACGGGCGCTTGGGGAGTATAAGATGGAGGCATGGTTCGGGTTTGAATTCAAGGATATCTAGCGAATTTACGTAGAAATGAGAATCGTAGCGGCATCTCAATCTTGTTGCCCAGATACGAAATCCCCGTCCGACTGCCTCCAATTGCCAGTGTTTGACAGCTGAGTTTGCCAACCCAAAAACCTTGGTGGCGTTGTGACGAGCATTGGGGACACAGATGGCGTGCACTTTACACGCGGGCTGCCCCCAGGAGACGCGACCAGCCCTGCTCCGACGCACACGCAAGCGCCGCACCTTCAAAATTCTTGCATGCCTATTTGGCGCGCGGCCGGGCCGTTCGCCGCGAGAAGTTGAACCGCGAGCTGTCGAACGCCGCCCCATGGATCCCGGGCGGATGTTCGAGGCTTTGTGTTCATTCCTTCCTACGCGGGTGCGGGCCAGCAGCGCGGTGATTGTTTTGGTGGCATGCGATCGACCTCCTCGGCCTAGTCCGAGACGCTGGCTCCGGAGCAAAGTAGCGGGATGCGCGACACGAACATGAACGGGGGACACGGCAGTGTACTAAAGATGTCCGCTCGCGTTCGTGGCTTCCCTCACCCTTACTATCGCGCTTATCTCCTTCAGAAAGGTCGACATTCGTTGAGAAGTTGTGCGGGTCTCCAACCCATCACCGAGATAACGGGGAAGAGGCCCTTCCACAAGCGATATCAGGCAATTAGATATCACGGCCGGGCTATTAAAGATCACGGTTTACCAGTTCAGCCATACACGTCGGCCGGTCCAGCTGTCACCCAGACCCCCGCACCACCCACCGCCTACCTGCCCCCATTGGGTGGCAGGTAGATGGCTGAGCGGGAGGAAACGGGGACCGGGTTGTTCCAAACGCTTCCAAAGTACGGGAGGGGTAAAGAGAAAGAGAAAAAAGGGGGAAAGAAGTAGGCATCGTGACCCGGTGCCCTTGTTATGCGTTGGAATAGGTAGTTTACCGTCGTGCCAAGGACGAATCAGCGCGGTAGAAGTCAAATATCGGAGCTGCCCATCGATAGAGTCGGTTGATGGGAACAAAAATAGTTCGTTAACGTCTCAGGCAAACCAAGAGAGAGGAGGCGGCGATTATCGATTAGTGGTTCACCTAGCCAGGCCAAACAACGACATTTATTTTGCACTCGTGGCATTCATGATCCTCATCTTTAAAAGGAACAACGAATGAGCATCGGGATCAAAGCAAAAGAAGGGAAGGAGGGGGGATGTTGAACAAGACGTACCCGACGCATCATTCAGATCGTGACCGATGATCTAAGCAGGAAAAGAGACATGGTCGAATGGAAAACATTCCGTGTGTCCTCACAAGTCCGAACCGAACCTGAGTATTGAGGCGTGTGCCCGTTTGTCTAGAACGACGTACCCTCATTGACATTAGTACAAGTCGTGAGGCGTACCGGACATCCTGTACTGTGGTCTCCTAACAATTCAAAGAATGCATCTCTATGAAGTCCAAACTAGCGCGCGAAAAAGGGGCAAATTAGTACAAATCAACACAGAGGAGGTGCCCCAAGAAGCGAGAAAGAGCGTGCACAAACCCGGACATTGACGCGTTAAGTCGTGACGGAGAAAAAGTCAAGTCGTTGATCATCATGATCATGTCGTAAATGCATACATAACCCCTTCTACGAACATCCAAGGTATGCAACATTAGTGGGCAGTTTTACGTCGTACCCAGGACGACGGCCAAACGGCGAGCGCGCTCATGTTCTCAGCATGAGCATTCGCAGTTCCCGAGGCCAGGCATGCACCACTTTAAAGGGGCTAGCAGGCAGCGAGAGGCCAAGGAGGAATAAGATGGCCATCACATCAAGCAAGGTCCATCAATCAAGTGAAGGCGACAAGCCTGACCATAGCGCCATCGCAAGATCCTCGACAAGGAGGGGCTTCCTCGGAGACAGATGGCGCGGGTTCGAGCGGTGCATCGATGTGAGGTGCATGTCGAGAAGGGGCTGTGATTATTGAGGGACGGGTTTCGACGCGACCCCACAAACTCAAGGTGGTGAGATTCTACGCGGGCCTGTGACGATGTGGGGAAATATATCGACTGCCATTGCGGACATGTCGTCAAAGCCAGGCATGGCGATGCAAAGGCACGTTAGGCCGGGCTCGATGGTGCACTTGGGAGCGCGTGATGTCGCATGCTTGCGAGGGCTGGTGATGAAGGAGGAAAATCCGAGGCGAAGAAAAGTGTCGACAGGGGGTTGAATAAATACATGTGCACCTCTTGGACAACAAGGTTCCGGGTGTACATGTAATTTCCTCGCTCAAACTTGGTGGATTATTCCATGGACAAATGGCCCAGGCAACCACGCCAAACGCCCAATCTACCGAGTACACGCACATGCCACCGTCTTCCTCTCTCTAAGCCAGGTCCGGACAGCGAATCGTACAAGTACGAGGCCCGGCCAGCTTCGCACCCCGGTATCACAAGACCTCCAAGCTCTTTAGACTCCTCTAGGAGTTTTCCTCTAGGAGGAATACTTGAATGAACAAATAGTATTACTCTTTATACTCGAAGTTCGTCGGACTCTTCAACTAAATAAACAGCCCTGGCTACTTGGCCAAACAATATCCAGTTCTTGTCGACCTTGAGTGGAAGAGCAGGTGCGACCTAGCAACCTTGAGTCATCTCGCCTCGCGGTATCAACAAAGGGGGTTCTAGGAAAACATTGAACCTTGAAATAAATGGACCTTGTGGTGAATAAATATTCTTAGAGAATGAAGACATACTAGACCTGATGATTAGATGATGGGCTTTGTTGCCCAACCTTATCTTTCTCTATCTAGTTCTTTCATAAGCCTGAGCACAATGCAAACAATACGGGAAGCCCTGATTAGGTTACCTAGTGTCAGAAGGTAGAAGTCATCTACGAGTCCTTCGCAGTCGTCTCTTTCGGAAACCCGTGGAAACAAAGCCGGCGCCGGAGCAAGTTTGCTATATGAACTCATGTCAAGACGTGATCCGCCGTGTTCGGTGAGCTTCAAGACCTGGCACCCCTCCGCTTATATCACCCATGGCGAATGCCCGCCCACAGCATGTGCATCGAAATTGTCCATTATTCCAAGTGCCATCACGAGCGCGAGCGGCGCCTCAAAAATGCGTGCTCCAGAAATACCCCGGAAGTTCCTTGCCATTCACCCTTTTTTGGCCGCCTAAGTCCGTTCCAGTTTACCCATGTTCCGCTCCGAAAGATCCCGGGACCGTTACGATGGTCCGTAAGTGGTGTTCCTCGGAGTGCAAAATGCGCCACGCTAATCGCGCAGAGGAGGGATCCTCGCACCCGTCGGGTCCAGGGGAGCTTGGCCACACTCCGTCCTCGGGGCATCAAAAGGGGCAAAATCTGAGCCTCCCACGCGCTCCTCTACTCGATGGGCAAGGCGCAGCCACGGTGCCCGTCCCATCACCTCTCAGCGGTCTATTTAGGGAGATGCCTCGTCTGGAAGATATCACCCGTGATCCCCGAAGAGGGATCATCGACTAAAACGGAGGTCGTCCCGTTCGCGCAGGGCCGGCCATCAAAAATCTGGAGAGACAAGTAAGTCTGCAAGCCCTACGACTCCAGGTGAACAACGGAAGAAAGGGAGGGTGTGGGGCGTGCTGAAGAGGAGAAGAAGCGTGGCAGGAACAGACTTGTCCTTTGTGTGCCGAGATGCTCGAGCAATAGAAACGGGCCAGGCACCACATCAATGGGCCCGTGAAGAGGATGAGACGGGGGAAAATGAACCCAGTATCCCTCATCACAGCAGCTAGCCTTCCCCATTGCCTTAGGCCGATGAGCGAAAGTGCTTAAGGACTGAGAGGGATCAGAGACTCCGGCCCGGCCAGGGTCCCCAATGCCAGCGCTCTTAGTCCATTATCCCTACGACAGAAAATTAATGTCAGGAGTAGATCATGGACTGAAGATCTGTGATAGCAAGATTTGTTCTCAATACAACTAGGTTTGTACAATGATAGTTTGAAAAGATAATTAATTTCATGCGCTAGGCTAAAACGCTCGGAACCAAAAGGGTAAGATGTTGGTGAGATAGGGGTGCTTGTGCGAGAACACGAACGCGATACTTTGCGACCCTTGCGTTGCTCTCACAGAACCCCACCTTGCTTAGGCAGAAGGAAGGACGTGGAACGGGGAAGAAAGCTAAATGCTAAACAGTGCTCGCCTTTATGCATTAGGAGGAAAAGGAAAACTGGGCGTGAAGAAAAGCTACAAGTAGATTCTTCTGCGCACCATCAAAGGCTGGGTCGGGGGAAGGGGACTTCAAGAGTCAAGGGAAACGAGTTGAGACACTCGCGCACACGCAACCGGTGAATGAGTCCGCAGGCTAGGAAGTGTAGATATATACACGAGAGGTATGTTTATGAAAAACAACGTAGGAAGACGAAGGGAGAGCTCAAGGGTAGCGTGACGAAGACGGCCCTATAAAGGATGTCTGCAGCGGCCGCTCTTAAGGAATCCCTACTTTCAAGGGATCGAGCACGAGGCATCCAGAGCGCGGGAAACGGGAACGGGAACGGGCATTTGTCGATCCGAAAGGGGGCTACAGACTGGCGTTTTGCTAGCGTCATTGCGTTCACCGTAGATCACGGCATCGCAGCGTAAGCAAAAATAGAAAAAAATAGCCAACGTAGTTGGCCAAGTTGGCGCCATCAGCGATCAACTGTGAGTGCTCACTCACTCGTCTCGCCTACTGCCCCTTCTTGTCCTTGGTGGCCTTGAACTTGGCAATCTCCTTTTGGACAGCCTTTTCGACGCGAGCTTGGAGCTCGGGGCGGTAGCCCAAGAGGAACAAGAACTCTAGCCAGACGAAGAGGGGGCAAGGAAGAGGGCTTGGAGCAAGTTATCGAGGAGTGCAGGGGCGCGGCCCTCGAAGGCACCATGGCCAAGGAACTGAGCGAGCCAGCAGACGATGTGGACAGCGAGAGCAACCTTGTTAGTGTTCTCGGGGTCCGCAACCTTGAGGTAGTTGGCGCCGGCCGCGGCGCCGACGCACAGGATAGCTAGGACGGTGCCGGCCACGGGTTCAAGGAGAACATAGAGACCACCCCATATGAAGGATGCAAGAGTGCCCAGATTTGGGTCTAGGTACGGCACCGAGAGCCACTCCGGAATGTCAAAGAGGGGACCCGTATTTGTTGCCTAAGAACACGTTCAGGACTCGCAAACAGCCAGGGTTTCCACACGCCGGTCCTTCCGGGAGGGCTGGGGAAGCAGGAGGATATGTGGGAAGGGGGTCTTACGAGGGCAAAGGCAGAGAACAAAATCAAGGGCACACAAATCATGTGAATTATCACATTGACTGTGTTATGGTGGTAGGCACCATACTATACAGGACACAAGATCAGTCTCAACCCTAGCGTGAGTGCGGAAATGGTGCTGGCCCCGGGAAGGGGAGGCCACGAATTGACGAGCTGGGGTAGAATTACGAAAACGAGGTGCTTCTCAAGGTCGAGAGACATAGTGAGGTGAAAGACAAGGTAGGTTTTGGGTAATGATGATATCGGCCGTAGGCTAAAGATGCTGTTATTGCGTTTGGCGTGCTATGTATGCAAGTCCGCCGTGACCGAATCCGGGATCTTGCGAGGCTATCCCGGAGCTGGATAGGATTCAAGGTGATGTTCGCTTGCAAAGGATGCTGCAATGGATAAACAAGGTGATTGCTAAAATCTAATTTCTTAAGATGCCAGGGGATGCAGGAGGAGGGGAAGCTAAAGTGGATGCGGAACGATAAGATTGTTGGGAGTGAGACTCATTCATCGAAGAGAAAAGGAAAGGGAGTCGAGGGGGAGACTATGAGGTTCAAGGGAGATTTGTTGCCCTTTTGGACTTTGCGTGGGTCTCCCCAGTCTCATCCGCACAAGCAGTTGAGTTGTACTTTTACAAGCCCTTTCGGCCATCAGGCCGCCAGCTTCACTCGCAAGGGCCAAACGGGGGGACGGAGAGTACACACGAACCAGGTACTGGGACCGGCATGCCACCAAGGAGCTGTGACTGAATCTCCAAGTACCAATCACACCCAGATCCATCCTTTTTGTCTCCTCCCTCCCCTCAGTGACAGGATCAATCCCACACCTCTCCACACCCCACCACCCAGTGAGATCGCGTCAAAGAGTCGCATCTTATGGATCAATCCACATCGGATGTCAGACCCCCAAGTATTAGTGCTTGAGGTTGGGCTGGCCTGATGGGGCCGTGGCATCGCAGGCGAGAGAGCACGAGGCACGAGCAATTTTTCCCTTGCGCCGTCTTGTCTATAAACCCAGCTCTGAGCCTCGGTGCTTTCAAGCTTGCGATATGCATTTCCGTAGCGCGCCTTGGCTTAGCTTTCTCCGTTTACCCCAGGTTTAGAGCAAACAAGGGTCTGAAATTTTGTCCTTGAAGCACTCAAGGGGGAATATCACTGAAGTGGAATCCCTTGCCCCTCTTGGCCTATTTGAAGTGCGCACGATTGTCGAGCTTAATACTGCGAGCGAGCAAAGCTTATTTCAAGTGTGAGCCTTCCCCAAGATGCCAAAACCCCCGTCCCATCTGAAGTGCCAGAGAGAGCGGATGTAAATTTCATGTGATTCTCCCAGTGGCGCACCTTAAAAGCTGCATCCTGCCGAGGTCGTTACTGCAGGCAGTGTGCTCGAACAAATAGGCATGATTAGCCCGTCTCCCACTGGCTGGCCCAATTCGAGTGATCCAGACCTATTGAGGAAACACTGTGTGAAAGACCACCACCAATATTTGCACGGTGCCCCTGAGCGCCACATGGCCAAAAAATCAAAAGTGTGGCTACATGTGTGGCTGGAGGATGAGCTGGGATTGACTGGAGCAAGCACACGACGGAAATACCCACCAACGATTCTGAATGATGCTCAGCCTTGTTCAAGCTTCGTGATTCACTTTGTTTTCGCCGTGCAGTCCCTCGTTCCATCTCTCTTTCACGGCTATAAAAAGAACCTACCCCTGGATTTTTCGGTGAGGGGAGGCTTCCACAGACAACTCTTAGGGTCTTCTTCTCTCAGCCGCCGACCCTCCCTTGATACGAGATTTTGCGATCGATCGTCCCCGAGTATCGAACAAATTCGATTTCCGAGTCCCTTGTCTTTGCCCCTGGACATAACAGCAACCCAGCCGTGCCAACTGTTGCGCCCAAACCCGAGCATCAACCCTCGTCCGCCCAATTGTACATCACTTGTCCATTGGCACGACGGGCGATCCGAACACCCCTATTCCCGACCGAGACCGCCTCCTCCCCGAATCCCCTCCCCGCGCTTCTAGACGCGTGCCAACCTTTCTTCCACATTCCATCACCATGTTCTTCCTTTACAATATGGAGCGCAGGGTCACCCTGCATCCATCCTACTTTGGAAGGAACATGAAGGAACTCGTAACCACCAAGCTCGTCCAAGACGTCGAAGGCACTTGCGCCGGAGATTATTACATCATCGTTATCATGGATGCATTTGATATCTCCGAGGGTCGCATCCTGCCGGGAACTGGTCTCGCTGAGTTCACAGTTGGGTATCGCGCCGTCGTGTGGCGACCATTCAAGGGCGAGACGGTACGCTTTCAGACGCCTGAGCATCTACGACCGACTGTCCGGTGTACCGCTGAGCTGACCTTGGGCTGAACTAGGTTGATGCGGTCGTCGCGTCGGTGAACCACCAAGGTTTCTTTGCAAACGCTGGCCCCTTGAAACTTTTCGTGTCTGCCCACGTATGTTGCTGCGGCGTTGCTAGGGCCCTTCACCCTAGGATACGGCTTTTTGTGCGCTTTGCTAACGCCCCATCGCTACTTTGCAGCTTATCCCCAGCGAAATCAAATGGGATCCCAATGCTACACCCCCTCAGTTCACCAACAACGAAGATATGGTCATCGAAAAGAGCACTCAGGTCCGCGTCAAGATCATCGGCATAAGGAGCGAGGTCGGCGAGATGTGGGCCATTGGAAGCATTAAAGAGGATTACCTAGGGTACGTTTCCACTGTGTTCTTCGCCTCACGCCCTTTGTGCACAATCATGACATGCCGACCTAACACTTTACAATAGCTGTCTTCAAGAGAGCTAAGCTCGCTCATCACGCCTGGTAAGTCAAGGGATGGCGAGGCCAATTCCCCTCCTCGCCGCCTCAGCATACAGCCACAGGCCACCTCTGGGGTTGCTCCCTGGGCTTTCCCGGGTCCCTCTCAATTCATCATTCCACACAACAAAGAAAACAACTCTAGGAACGGGCCCTGAGTACTCAAAGTGACCCCTTTACTCGGAGAGTCGCACGAGTTCATGTTTTCCACCAGACCACAAGCGGCGTGTACCAAGAGTTGCCCGCCACGGTCAGGTCTTCCATTTTTACCAAAGCTGCGTCGATAGTAGTAGATTGCAATGCAAGGCGTTTCGGGTCATTCTGCAAGGGTTGGGAAAACATCGTGGCCGCATGGAGTCTCGAACCACACGCAGTAGAGTATGGCGCTTCGGAACTGGTCGATACATTACCTTGCATAGACCAGAAAACGGACGGTTAAACAAGACGTAATAGCATAAAAGGAAAAAAAAAGAAGATAAAAGCACAGTTCGAGGCAATATTTCTCTGCCGTCCTCAAAATATCAAACATACCCGATTTCGGAATCCATGTTTGCAAGAGTATCACGGAATTTGTTTTGGTTTCTTTTTGGTATCCTTCCAAGTATATCAAGCGATTGTGTATGTCTATCTGCATCATATGTTCATAAACGGCGTGGTCTACTTGTGGTGAGACTGGGCCAGAGATCATTAAATCGTAAAGCACGCAAACTTATTTCCTTCGACAAAGCCGATTCGCCCCCGCCAAAAAAAGGCGCACAAAGAAAGTGACAAGAAGAACAAAGGAAACGAAACGAAGAAAGGAGGACAGTGAGGTAGGAGTAGGACCGCCACCGGTTGATATCGATATCACGAAACCCTATCCATCTAGCTCGGCAAAGCGCGTCATCCGTCCAACCGTGCTTGTGCTCGGGTGGGGGATCGTTCTCATCTGCGGCCGTTCCCCTTGCTCGTAAGGCATGTCATGGGCCACGGAGCTATAGGCAGAGGGCACATGCGTCGTGGCTTCCGATATAGACCGGTTATGATCTCGCGTACCGGGTGGGGAGCCGGTAGCGGCAGCGGTGCCGCCGTAGGATTGCCTCGACGACTTTCCTCCGGTGGAGGAGATGTAGCTACCGCGGTGGTGGCGGGAAGAGGAAGGGATGGGGGCCGGGGCGGGTGCGAGGATGAAGTCGGGCGGAAACTCGCCTTGCGGCTCCTTCTTGTTCTTTGACCGCCTCCAGAGGAAGAAGGCAAGGACGCCGATCGCCAAGGCGGCGATGCCGGAACCAACGCCGATGCCGGCGATAGCGCCGGTAGAAAGGCGGCTGCGGCTCCGGGTTTCAGTGTCCGGCTGAAGGCCTGGCGTCTCAGTAGGAAGGATGCCCGTCTGAGGCATGTCGGTCGGATCGTAAAACGAGGTACTTGTGGACGTGATTGTGCGTGTAGTCGGCTGCCTCGACGATACGGTTACGGTGGAAGTGCTAAACACTGTCTCTCGCGCGCCCAAAACCCTAAACGAAATCATGTTAGTCACCCGCAACGGTTGTCTCTGTTGGATGGGAGTAGAACATACTTGGTGCTAGTATAGAATATGGTCGTCGTGATGGTCGTCGTCTCAAAGTTCGTCGTGGTCTTCCTATCCTTGACCGTCGTTCGCGCAACGACAGTTGTCGTGACGAAAACGGTGGACGTCGACGTGCCGCCATCATTTTGGCGTCGAAGCAACTCGAAGGCGTCGGCACTAGTAAGCGTCGTACACTGGCTCGACTCGGTCGGGGAGATGGGCAGGACGGGGTCTCTCGGGGGTGCAGCTGGCCGCCGAAAACGAGTTTCCTCCACAGCACCTCGAAAACCCCAAAGCGAGAGCTCCTCGTTGCCACCGGGGCGGAGGCTATAGGAGGCGCCTCCCGCTCAAGAAGATGCCGCTTCGCAGCGACGGTTGTTGTCACATACGTAACCTCTGTCTGTGTTCCTTGATCGGAGGTGATCGTTATAGTGACGAGGGAATTGAGGGTAGAGGTGGCTTCGACTTGGACATGCACAGTCACAACCTCGACTTCGGAATGGGTCATGGTTGTCTGAACAGTTTTCGTCGAAGTTACCGTGACACTAGATTCACCGTTAACCTCGGGTCTATCTAGAGACCTATCCATGATCCATTGCAATGGATCTATGCAAACGGCCCCTCTTTCCACTACACCATCATCAACGCCCGGAAGGAGGCAAGGGGAATGTGTTTTGTATTTTAACTTACACCGAGACCTCACATTTTCCGTTATTACACTTCCGACCTTTGTCACAACAGCCTTCACCACAACAAGTTGCCCCTCCGGTGCAACACGCTTTCCCGGGCAGCAGGTGGCACCGGCATCTTCACAACACCACCGATCAGAGCCGAGTGAGCAGCATCCGCCGCAATCGGGGCAAAAGCGTTCCTTTTCGGCGAAGCAGTAGTTGCTTCCATTCTCCAAACACTCTCGCTTCCGTAACCAGAGGGTTTGATGGCCATATTGTGGCTCTAGCCCATTGCTAGCGGGCCATGGCTCGAGAAGGACGAAGGAGATGTCCTCGATCAAGCTAGGATCGTGCAGCTCTGTGGTAAGATCTGAGGTAGGCCAGGGATGCACAATGGCGGGGAACATCAACGCCCCGAATGCAGCTGTTGCAATGAGACGAAGACTGAGTTGTAGCCGCATCTTCGAAACTCGCTGCGATGCATGAGGATGCAAAAGACAAAACAAATAAGAAAATTCTAGGAAAGGGGCAAACGGAGGGTAAGAGGGCGGGGGAAGGGACGAAAAAGAAAGATCGCCAGGCTCAGCCTACACTAGTTAACACGAGCAAGATGGGGCTCGGAAGGATATTTTTACGGAGAAAAATAATAAGGTACAAGCATCCGGTGCGCACACTAGTCAGGCCAGAACCGGATCTGACGGCGCCAGAGAGCAATCGCAGCTCAATCAATGTCATGAACGACTGCATCGACCCGTATCCGTGGCAAAATGGCGCTGCCCTTCGCCACCACGCCGACCTTGGCTCGAAGGTGGAAGATGGGGCTGCATCTCCGGGCTGACAAGCGTGGCACAAATACCATCCGGTCCCAATGGGCGGTCAAAATGCTACAGAATCATTCTTTCCTGCATGCACCAAGGAATGAAGGTCAAAACAATAGACCAGCCACCTTCCAGCTGGACATGGTTGCTGGTAGTGACGCAGCTCCAGGCCTGAAGATGCGGGGGCATGTCGAGGGGGCTGGTGTCCTTGGAGAGGGTTCTATCCGTCTTCTTGCGGAGGAGTGGCCAATCCAAAACAATGGGTAACATTCCCATAAAAAATGGAAGCCAAATGCAGGTTTTTCTTCCCTCGTTTTGGCCCTCTCGCTTTCCTCTTCCAGACCTTGTCCGGTCCTCGCTTAAGAAAGCCTGGGTCGAACGACGTACATGTTGCGAAGGCTATATCTCCGTGCGAACGGGCAAGAAAATACGCTGATCCCGCTCAACTAGGAGAAGGAGGAACGGGAAAGGAGAGCGGTTGGTTGGAACCAACGCACCACACATCAGCCCTGCCGGTATGACAAACTCGAGGCCCGAGACTGGGAGCCCGACAGAGGCGGAAGAGTGGTTTTTGTTGGCAGGGCCATTCAGCGCCATCAAATCCTATTTTAAGGCCTGGGAGAGTGATAGCACGGAGGATTTTAATATGGAGAAACCTGCATTTGCGTTGCATTTGAAGTCATGGTGGGGTTGAGTTCCTCATTGGTGCTTGGTGCTTGGCAACTCTCCCGTGTTCGTGATATCATCAGTGATTGCCTGAGGCAGATTCGAAAAAAAAATGAGCGGGCCGCCAGATGGCAGTTTTCTCAGCTTACTCCTTCACGGCCTTGGAAGGAAAAGGGTGGGTGGGTTGCTGACAGTGTGGTTGATGGCTACTCTGATTTCCATTGATTGCAGTTGATCGCGATTGATCGAGTGCACAGGCCCCCGGTCAAACTATTTGCCGACACCCGGGTACGCCTGACGCTGTTCGAACGAGCCTTCCCTTCCGCTGGTTGTCTTTGGGAGAGGGTGGGGCTCCTTCTCCCACTTACCCGAAATGGATAATATGTGGGTCATGAAACGAAGACGGAGTGATATCATTGGATGGTGGTTTTCAGTTTAATTTAACGCGAACGCGTAAGAACGCGTCGTTTGGCGCGTAGTCTTGACGAGCCCTCGAGTATCGCATCGCGACGCAAGGAGATCGATGTCCATCAAACATTGCCATGAATCGAGCTGGCCAAGACGTCACGATGGTGGCAGCCCTGGGAACGGGTGGAAATCGAAATGGGCCCTCATTCATTCCCTTTCCTTGTTACTCTTTTCATATCCAAGGCCTCGATGCCTGCGGCACATTACTTTTCCTCTGGCATGTACGCCATCTCGATCTCGAGAAAGCAGATCGAGTACTTTTGCCCCACGGTGGTCCCTTGCCTGCGAACGAGGGAAAGCTGGTCTGTCGAGGACAGGGGAACGCCATGATGCTGCATGGAGCTGGGGCCCCATCTCGCTAAATTACCTGCAGATGAACTTGAAACAAGAAAAAAGAATTCCTGTTCTTGTCCTTCCCCCAAGCAAAAGAAGAAAAATCAAAGCGTTGCTGGCTGCTGCATCTCTTATCGTAATGCAGCGGACAGATATCTGATCACCCCCAGGAACCGTCCCCGCGTGACGATGAACGCAATTCAAGCAAGATGAGGAAGGGGGCCAAAGTTGAGTGCTTTTTTTTTATGGTGAACAACAAGACGATGTGGTTGGTGGGGGTTTGATGAGTGACATCCCTCTTCCCGAATCATCGACCAAGGAAAGGTTCCCGAGGTGTGTGGTCCTCTCAACTCGACCGCTTGGGGGTGCCCGTGGATTCCGCCGCGCGCAATCCGTCCGTTCCTTCGTTCTTTGTTGAGAGTTCCGGATATGTATGAGAGGGTCTTCTGTCTCGAACTGGCGCCTCTTGGAATGCCAAAAACAGATCTCGTTCTCCGTAAACTGTTCGTTGTGGATTCCCTTGGAAAGGATCTATCGTGTTTGACCTCTTCGGGAATTTGCTGCAGGTACAGCATGACCTAGACTCTCGGTGGTCAACCCCGCCCATGTTTCTAATCTCATACACTTGTCTCTCTCATTTGGGACTCGAGCACATCTCGAAAGGGCTTGGGCATGCTGGAAAGGATGCGCATCATTGGATACATGCGAGGATACAGTAGCAGCACAAAAATGGTCAAATGATCACTTAGCCTCGCCAAATCGGGCTAAAGGGCATAATCGAAAGACGGGCGCGCGCCGATAACAAATTGCCGACGGCGGATATGACTCCATGTACTATCCGGCAAGGGTCCAGAAAAGAATTCGAGGTCAAACTGACCGTTCAGGCGCACACGAAGCCCTCCATTCCTCCTTCGATAACCTGTAGTCCTCCCAATACACCCAGCATGTGGGCACTTTCGAGGACAACCATGTAAAACTTGGGCGGTTTTGCTACGAGCATACTGTCTTTGAGCTTCTTCAGGAACATTGAAGATGAAGACAGACGATGCCGTTAATTGTGTAAGATAGAGTTTGTTCTGGATCATCACTGTCTGAGGAAATTCATAGGGATTGAGAGCTTCAAGATGGTGCCGGTCTCTTAGAAACTCTTCCACGCCCACATCTCTAAGCCCACATCTAGCCTTGTTCCAACCACATATTCATTCCCTCCTTCGATTTTCCATTCTTGTATTCAATGTTCACTTTCAGGACCCTTCTCCAAAGCGAAGGGCCCAAAACCAAGTCTCAGTGAGTCTCAGGATTACAATCCCTAGCCGGACCTACCTACCCATAGCCTCCTAACCTAGGTTTGCGGATAATAGAGGAAACGGGCTAGGTTGTCTCGTCTATGTTTGCAAGTAACAGAAGAGGAAATGATGGAGGGAACAAACCTTCGGGCTAGGTGGGGCCATTGGCAGATGGTGGTTGTCGCTATGTCCCAGAAAGGGCGGGATGGGCAACTGTCTCTAACCAGGTCTCAGTGCCTGATAGTTTATTAAGAAGCAAATTGCGAGCTATCACGGGCAGGTTTTTCCCCTTCCCAGGCTGAATTCCCGGATTGCCACTGCCTGCCTAGCATTCTTTTTCTCTTTTGTGCGGATCCTTATTACCAGTCGATATACCGATGAAGCACTGCAATAGCATAGACAATAATGACGTCGACCCCGGTATATTGGGGTCTTTTTTTTTTTTTTTTCGCCTCTCCTTGACAACGCGGCTTGGAGTATTCCAGTGCGCCGGCATCAGTACGATGAAACTAGGTCAAATATAACCTCTATTTCAACAAATGATCCAAGGGACGAAAGCTCCGTTGCTAGTGGAGAAGCGGCCGGGCTTGGATCCTTCATAGCCAGCGGAGGTTTCTCTTGTAGGTGCGAAGAAGACGGCCGCATTGCGGACTAAAGCCTTCCTGCCGTGTTTGACCCCCAGGAGGAGAGCGAGCGGAGCGACAAAAGGTTCACGGAAAGAGGGTCAGGGCTGAGACTCGCCCAATTCGCGGCAGCTCGGACACACACGGGATAGCGTTAGGGATAGGCCTCCTTCGCTGGGCCGAAAGGAAGTTTTGTCAAACACTATTTCCCCCAGGCGTTCGCAGACGGTATTAGTGGCGAGAGGGCCTTCTTCTCTTCTTTTTTTTTTGTTAAGACGCCCTTCCTTGTCTGGGCCTACCTTGGGGTGCATCATCGCATCACGGACGGACGGTTCCTGCAGTGCGTTTTTGCGCGAATCAAACTATGCATGGGGCATCTCTCCCACCTAACGTGGGCGTTTCCGGTAGAGGCATGCAGGAGAAGATCGAGGCAAGAGGGGAAGAGAGTGTGAGAGAGAGTGTGTGTGTGTGGCCAGAACAAGGTGAGCTGTGAGGCGTCCGGACAAGGTGGAAGCACGTAATTAACCCTACATGCCGAACAAGGAACAGCGGAGGCTCCGTCTAGGACATACATGGGAGCTACTGTACGAGAGGGAGTGGGGAGCAGTCCATAGAGCCGGCGCATCTCGGAGCGGGGAGAGAAGGACGCAAGGAGATCAAGCTGGCAAAAGACCAAGTTAGAAGCGATTGACCTCCAAGCTCGAAAGAAGAAAGGAAAGATGGGGCAGATAACCAAGCGCTTGCGCCGTCAAGGCGGCGGGTGGGGTACTAGTGGTGCAGGTCTCGAGTACAAGACGGGTGTCCCGCGGCCCACCTGGAACACGGCCGAGACACTCGAGCCTCATCTTGCGCGCAGTCGGCGCGCAGTCGAGGGCTGTACCGCAAACCTGCTTTTCAAGTAGATTGGGCGCTCCAGGGACGAGGCTTCGACTCCAGGCTTCTCGGGGTGCATGGTGGACTCGACCTCTCTCCTCTCGCACCTTGCCTTTTCCTCGCTCCACTTGGACGGGGTTCCCTCATGTCCAGGCCGGTCCTCGGGAGGGAAAATCGCAGCCATGGGTTCAGTTGGGGAGCCGTAGCGCTTGGAATAAGAAATTCTACTCTTGACGCCGGGGCCACGGTCGATGCGTGGGGAGGGAAGGGGAAAAGGGAATAAGAAGAGCACGGAATCTTCTCTGATTTTTTTCTTGTCGGGTGGTCAGGACTATTGAAGTCAAAGAATCAAACCTCAAGGTCATCTCCTAAGAGTCTCCAGCATTTGATTCCTGCCCTTTGGTGTGGGGGAATCCGCAGAGCATAGCTCTACCATCGACTCCTCTTTCCCGCGCGACATTCGACCGGCAAGCGCACTCCAACAAAAATCGCCGGATTAATTGAATTCCCGCCTCGCTCGCAGGTACCGCGCGTTTTTGACGCTCGCGCGAAGCCGTCTCCCTTCTCGGCCGTGTCACCCCCTGCCACTCTGCCACTCGCCGCTTTCCCACTTTCAACTTTGATCATCCGCCTTTGCCCTGGTTGCCCACCTGCAACTAACCCCTGTCGCTGGCCCATTAAAATCCCTTCCTCCCTCCCCTCCCCATCCGTCCCCTGCAACCCTGGCTCGCCGAGACTTTTCATTCCACTTTGAACTCTTCGCTCTCCTCCCGCTTAGCGCTCGCGCCCATCCGCTGTCAAATACCCTGTGGGCAGCATTCTTCTCTCCCCCACCCACTCAATTTACCCCCTTCTCTCACCTCCATTCCTCTCCAACATCGATATTCCACTATCGCCGCCAGACTTTCATAACATCTTCGGAACCTCGCGCTTCCAAAATCGCCAGCTCAGCGCATTAACACATCGCGACCATCGTAGCCTTCAGTTCTCCGCGCATTTCGACCGCACCCCGTAAAGTCGCGTCGCAGTGACGCGCGCCTCACCCTTTCCCGCCCCGCCGGTCGCCAAATCGCCAAATCGCCAGTCGCATCGCGGTCGCAACTTCTTCCTCTCTCCAAAGAAAATCGCTCGGTCGCGCCGCCACAGGCGGAATTCAATTATAATACTTGGCGTTCGAAGACGCTCACAAAGTTAACACCCCATACGAAAAAAGTGAAAAAGAAAACTCGCTGCGCAAGACTACCACGACCATGTTGCTGCCATCCGCACTCCAGTGCGACTCGTCGCAAACGGCCACAAACCGCCTGCAAGCAGCGCTCTTTGCCTCACCTCCTGCTAGCCCTCCCAACGCATCGGCGCACACGACGTTCAACAACATTGTCAACACTTGCCGCTCGCTTCAATCTCTCATCTCATCCCCGGCTAGCAACTCCTTGCCGCCAGTTCTTCACCAACTTCCGACACCCCCATGTCCTATGCTGAACCTCCCCTCTCAAACTTCGGTTGCGATCACGCGCTAAACCCGAGGGCTCCAACGACTATGCGCTTCCGCGCAAGCGAATAGTAAAACGCCAACCCCCGCGGCGTCAACAAGAGAAGGCGCGGCGTGGACGATGACATGGGACGATGCGATGTTGACAACGATGAGTTTGAGAGCGATCTCGAGAGCTCAGTGGAAGCGGAAGAGGCGGAAGTACCAGCCGCGCCTAGCACACCCAAGCGCGCAAGGTTGGCGCCAGAAGTGATGCCCCTCGGTCTCGAGAGGACCGATTACCATGACCTCCACTGCGCACAAGCCGAACTTGGTGAGGGCCTTGGTATAAGTCAAAGCCATGGGGGCGTCGATGAGTGGACCACAGAAGACGACAGGATTCTGGTTGAGCTTGTGCTTGAAAAGTTGAAGCTGAGCAAGTCCGACTGGCAAGACTGTGCTCGGAGTCTGGGGAAGGATCGCAACAGCGTTGGACGCCGTTGGAGGAGCTTGATGATCAACGGCGACGTTGGCCTCAAGACTAGGAGTAGCCGGCGTGCGAAGCTTCACTCTACCTGGAGGTAACGGTGTCACGACTTGTTACCCCCACCTCTTCGCCGCTTCCGCCAAGGTTCACGTATCATCACCGCGCTGGACATTTATACCACACACACACACACACACACTCTCTCTCTCTCTTTAGAATTTTCCTACTTTTGTTTTCTTGGGTTTTCTACCCTAGGGCGGCGTTATTGGAAAGGGGACAAGGCTTTCCACCCACCTACACAAGGGGTGATGTGCAACAGGGGTGTTTGGGAGGCAACTGATGTTGGGGTTTTCAACTCGAAATATCCTTCTTTTATTATATCCACGTTGCTATTTAGAAAAACCTAAATCAACATTTATCTTCAAAAACTCATCCCAAGTCCCGTCCCGGCTTGCAAAACTGTAGACCACACAACACGAGGTACTGGCACCCCTCCTACGGTCCCCAGATCCGTTGATTGTTCCCTCTCAAGCCCGCCCCTCAGTCTATCAAGCGAGAACCGAGAAGTGGTACACGTGCCCCCATCGCTTCACAATCCCCACGTCCCCAAAACTGGGGAGGTTGAAGGGGCATCATATCTGCCGGCTACGTCGCACCAGTAAAGCGAGCGCAGGGCCTAGTTTCTTGCATAAACTGTGTGCCTTGCCTACATGGAATGGCTAATAATAAGGGTCCGCCGGGTTTGGACGAACGTGCTAATTCTGAGCCGCAAGAGGCCACTTACACCTTTCACAACATCCATTCCATTGACTACATGTACATTGGAATAGTTGATGTACATCCGATGGATCAATGGATCAATGGATCAATGATACAGTGGGAGATTCGCCGGTTTTCAGGGCTCAAGCAGAGCTTCAATGCGTCAAACGGGCGTAATCGTGGCTTGCACAGACCGTCTAGTGGGGTTCAATTCCAAGGTTCATCGATCCCCTCATCTATTTATTTCCTTGCCTCCGTTTTTTTCTCGTTACTTTTCCTCCTTGCATCCAATGCTCGTCCCTCCCCTCGTGCCGCCGTGCGTGCTTGGACGGCCAAGAGCACGGAGCGCGAATGGGGACTGGAGAGCCCGCAAGAAACAGTTTGGAGTCCAGCCCGTGTCAAGAAACGGTCCTAGCCCAATGTCACCGACAAATTGATCTAAAGTCCGACCTTTGGTGCCCAGTGCTCATGTGGACCAAGAAAAAAGTATAAAATGGTACCCAGGTGTCTGGGAGTCTATAGTACGTCTGTGTTATAGGTTGGCAAGTAGGATATATCAAAGGTTGATGGATGGCATGCAGCGAGCGTGGCTGGATTCGTGGGGGACCGCACCCTTAACTAATATCATCACTCCCAGATGAAGTTGGAACGCAACATTACGGTAGGACAGGTACCAGTGCCCTGTGACCATAGTTTCCTCATTTATCGAATCTTCGAAACACGTAGCGCGAAGACTTTTGGGATGGGGGCGTGGGGCGTTGAAATCCTGCGCGGTCTTTGGGCTATGTTCCCAATATATGGGCAACCATGGCGTTTGATTGTCATGACTCTCTCAAGTGCTCTCTAGCCTTTCATCACCATCAACATGCTTGAGCTGACGCCATGGCAGTGTTACCTCCCTGCCTCCGCTCTTCGATATGCCCACCGATGTATGGATATGGCCTCGCGTCTATTGGGCTAACGTTTCCTCCCAGAATTTGGCAGGGTCCTCTCCATGACCCCCGGATATCTAGGGAGCGGCCCGTTGAAACATCCCCTTCGCAGGGTTACAAAGTCACCGCCGATACCCGATACTGGTCCCCTTCCAACTCATAGGTGTGTACTACGGTACTCCTCGAAATTCGCCGCGGAAGAAGTCTCACTCCTCCGTTCAGCCAAGAGGCGAACAATCCGCCTTTCCGCCGTGCCGTTTTTCGTAGACACGAGTCAGTCCAGTGACCCCTTGCTAGGATGCCTTTAGGTGTTGCTTCTCTCTCCCTAGCGGCGCCCGCGACTGACTCGGCTTCACATATGCCCATGCTATCAACGGAATGCATGGGCTTCCACTTCCACCGCTTCGAGCTGACCAGAACCTTGACGACCCGCCACAGCCATCTCCATGCGTCTCGTCGCTGCTTACACGGCAGGCACAGCTGTTTACAAATAAAGGAAAAGAAGCAAATAAAGGCCAGTCGGCCACCATAGATGTGCAAGAACTCGGGTGCAAGCCTCCTTTTTCCTTTCTTTCTTCAGAAACCCTTATTACCTCTTCCTTCTCTGTCGAGGCACTCGAGCTGCGCCCGCCGCCATATATTGGCGAGGGCGCTAAGCGGTATGGTTACCTCGCACGACAGGCCAGCCAGGTCGTCAAAACTGTGAGAGGCTTGAACTCGTGAAAGCTGAGCCGCGTGGAGTGAGGCTTTCTTTCTTCTTTCCCCTTGCATCTGCTCGACGACTGTTCATACATGTAGGCGTATGTATGTAGAGTTCCGAGACAGGGCTGCATGGCTTACAAGTTTAAGCCTCTATTTAGGGTAGTTCTTCTCTATATATTTTTCCCGGCACTATTCGACGCCATAAACCTTTACCGACCAGGAAGTCTCAGTTCGGAGAGCCCTTCACCGGGTTCTTCTGTTGACCTTTTGCCTCCCTTCGCGTCACTCGTTCTCCTAAGCACAGTGCATACTCTCTCTCTCTAAGAACTTGGAGAGAAGTGCATTATGTCCCAACCAACCGGGCCTAGCCCCCATGTTACCCCGAGACCACACGCCGAAGTGCTCGCCGGCTGTGAAAGGCGACACAGTTCGGGTCTCGGCAACGGCCGGACAGAGCACAAGAATCCTCTTGCGTTGGTCCGGGCCCAAAATCCTGATTTTCGCCATCCGAGCCCTAGCAACGTCCTATCACGAGCCAAACATGGCTTGGGAAACCAAGTTCGACCACTTTATGAGATCATTGGCTTCAAGTCCCTCGGATTGCCCTGGAGGGAAGTGCTCATCGGGTGGCACTGATTGATGTGTGGCGGACTTGAATTATTATTCGGGATGGGCTATAATGGGAACAACTCTTTTCAAGCTTACACGTACTTGGTCTCGAATGATCAGCTCACAAAGTGAAGCGGAGAGGGATTTTCATTCCCCCATAGTACACTATGTCATATTGGAATAACAACTTACGAAGAAAAAGAGCCCACGCCCTCCCCACATTCCCGGAACTGGACAGGAGGGGGCAGAGGGGAAAGGTTAATTGGAGTTAATATTATCTCGTGACAATCTGCTACATGGAATGGATGCTTTGGGCTGAGATGACAAGCTTCGAGTTGAGAGTTTTTCTATCTCCTATTCCGCAGACCCGCCCCTCCCCATGTGAAATTAGCAGAAGAACTATATCTTAAATAAGATATATAAAAAGTAAAGAAAAAGATAAAAGTTTGGACAAAAAGACCAAAAGAACCCCTAAAAACTCCAACAAAAGATACATCAAAAAACGGGGACCAAGAATTAGGTCCGCCTTCAAAACCTTGCAACCCCACATTGACCCCTCCACGAGCTCAAGCTCCCCACTTTGCGCACACTTCAGCCAGCCAGCCAGCCAGCCAGCCCAGCCAGCTCACCCTCGTCCCCCTTTCCCCCATTCCCTCTTAGAAATCCAACAAGAAGGCAACCGATAGAATGCCACCGACCCTCGCGAGCACCTGGGCCGTCAAGGCCACGGCAGGCGAGCCCGTCGCCATCGTCCGCGTACGTAACCTCCAGTCCGTCGCACGCATCGGCGCCGACGCCTGGGGCCGGGCCGGCAAGCCCCAGCCCGTGCTCATCTCCGCCGAGGTTTCTCTCGCCCGCCCGTTCGCCGAGTCCTCGTCTACCGACAAGGTCGAGACGGATACGGTGCACTATGGTCTACTGAGCAAGGCCATTCTCGCCACCCTCGACGAGGTGGACGCGGCCTCCGTCGCCGGAGGAGCTGTCGTGTCGTTGCGGCGCCTCCTCGACACAATCTGGTGGAAACTCACGAGCCTGGGCGTTGACGGCTCGCCCGCCCCGGGTGCCGTTGACGATACAAAGGCGTTTCTCAACCTCGCAGCCGTCCGTTACCTGAGTGTCACCATCCACCTGCCTAAAGCCACACTCTCGGGTGCAGGAGTCAGCCTGACGGGCATATCAATCTTCACTGCTGGTGCACTCGGGCCCGAGGTAGACCTGTACGGCCTGCGCCTGCAGCTGCATCGGATACAGGTGCCAATCTTAGTCGGAATCAACAGCAACGAAAGGGAGGCGAAGCAGTTGGTTGTTGCGGATGTCAAGATTGACAACTTCGTAGAGACTACCGATATACACCCCCTTCTCGAGAAGGCCATCTATGATGTAAATTGCCCCTTTTCCTCCACCTTCTGATCCTGTCTATCTCTCTCCCTTTTTTCTATGGTCACAAAACACGACGTCCAAGCAAACTAACCGCCCTGCGCACGTCAGAGTATGTCCAACTCATCCTTCGGCACCCTCGAGGCTCTTGCGGTAGACTTGACGGCAGCCCTCAACACCTCACGAGGCCAGGTTCCAGCTGAGGTTCCCTCGGCAGCCGAGTGGCGTATCAATATTCAGCTGGAGAAGCCCGTCGCCGTACCTCTTGCGGAGGGCGCAGGGATCGAGTTCCTGGCGTCTGCCGCTTCTCTCTAAGCGCTAGCTGACACGCGATGCACGCATAGTTAGGGGTTGGATAAACTCCGATGGTGTTTACGGCTCTCTGTTGGAGTATGGCGTGTCCCCATTCGTAATTTCTTCAACAAAGTCCATATCTGGATCAAAGAGCATAACATGGAAGTGCTCCACTGCGCCTACCGATTTCAGGCTGCTCCAGTTTCTGAACCACAGGACCTAAAGAGGAAGCGTTAGTTAAAAGAAAGAGAGAAAGGTATTCACCGCGCTGGCTGGACAGGCAGAACGTACTTGGTCTTTTGGAACTCGGGTTCGAAACGTCTTGTTAACATATTCCTCGATCTCATTCCTTGCGTCAATCGTGAGGTCTCCCGTCTCGGTGTCTTCCTCGAGTACAAACTTGGTCCAAACTAGGAGGTGGACAATACGGGAATCGATGCCATAAGGCCAGTCGTTGTACAGAATCTTGATGTTGTCCGCGCAAGCAAAGCGGGGGCCTTGAGGCTTCAATGGCAAGCGCCAGCCGAGCCTCTTCTCGAGCAGGAACTTGGACACCGCACCGTAATCTTGCTTGATCTGCCAAGTGAAGGCGAGATAGCGGCGTAGATCCGAAGGGAGGCGGCGGAGGTGGTCAATTCGATTTGCCTTGACCTCGATTTGAACGTCCTCCCATGTCATTGTTTGGTATTCTGCGTCAGGAGTGCCGATGATTTTTGGTCGCGAGCCTTTAGGTTTCTCAGATATTCCGGACATTCTTCTACCCGCTGGTCCTCCGGGACGTTGACCTGCCAGTATGGCAAAGTTCGGTGGGCTCGCCCATGGTGCCCGCTATCACCGGTACAAGCTAAATCTGAAGACTAGTGTTTGTCTGTTCGAGTGCCCGCTATCAACAAAACTTTGGAGTGAGCAGAGAATGTCAAATCCTTCTAGGGTTTTGAGAACAGAGAACAGGGCGAAATGGGGCCGGTGGTGGTGGCGGTGGTGGTGCTGACTTTCACTTGCCTCCACTTGTGCCTTCCTAATTCACACATCAGCATGAGGCCTGCCTGCTTTCTGCGCCTCGGCCACGACTCGACGAGAGTGTTTTCCTCCCCCTCGGGCGGAATGGAGCATGATATGCACCCTCCTTCGTCTCAGCCATTTGGTCTTGCACCTTGTCATAATGTACACTACCTTAAAAATTAATCTATGAAGGGTCCACATATATTCCATACGAAATGGGCTGGCACAGTACTTGTATCAAACTATCGCGAGTTTAATCCGAGGGCGGATATAGTGATATTGAACAAAACTTCCGAGACGACTATTCCTCCTCGGTTCATCATTTCCTTTTCCTTCCGCTCTTTTCTTTTTATATGAAGGCGGAGAATAATACTACAACAATACTACCCCTAGTATTGTTTTCAGGCATTCTTTGCCGGAGCCGAAACGGATTCACACTGAAAATCTTCGGGGTCTTAGTCGTTCCCCCGACGACAGGAGGCGTGTATTGACTTTTACAAACCATCGTGAGATTGAGTTTCAAGGACTCAGTTCCTCCCAAGGCGGGGCCCGGGTGCCGGGTCTCACTGAGCAGGGCCCACCAAGGCACAGCAAGGGTTGAAGCCGGCCAGGGTTGACCTGACCTGAGAGGGAGCGTTGGGGACCTCCAGCGTCTTTCTCCGAGCATGGAGGAGTACGTTGCATCTAATTCCCCCTTATTTAGAGGTGCTCTCTGTTGCGGCTGTGCTGGGCAGCCAATCTTAGCCTGTTCGTTTTCATGATGCTAGCGGCTCCATCCAGGGGAAAGTGAAAACATGACACTCCGGAGAAGACTCTAAATATGTAATGTAGTGTACATGGTGTACACGCTACTTGGCCCACAGGTGCGAAAAGCTTTGCACAAGCACCCGTGAACAAAAGTGGGAGAAACACCAGTCTTGCAATCTTGCCTGGATTGAGGGGTGACCTAGTGTAGGTGAAAGCTAGTACGAAGTAGCTTCAAATGTTATTTGATGCTTTTCCCACGCAAGGCTCACTCCATCAATGGCATGGACAAGGGCACGGAAACAAAGGGAAGCAGAAATAGCTGAGAGAGCCGGTGATGAAGGAGAGTTGGCTGCTCCCCTTGGCGCTTGTGGTTGTCCCACGTGGTTGGGATTTGTCTCGTTTTGCTGGCCCCAAGTGGCCCAGTGATTCGTCCACACGGTGCCTCTATGCTACAGGGTGGCTCTAGACAGGATCGTCGATTGCTGCCCTTTCGAGATTGTTTTCCAAGATTTATTAGCTTGAGCATTTTAACTCCGGGAGCGGCTGTGGGACGTCTTTGTCTTCGCGCAAGCAAAGTTGAGACAATTTTCTATCCGGTTCCATTGCAGCCGCTATTGAAAGTTTTGCGCTAACCGTCGATCGATTAAGGCCCTTGGCTTGCTAGACTCGGCGGGTGGCGCCCACGACAATGTTGACAATGTCCGGAAATTGGCCAAGAGCCTCCCAAGTAGGAGGGAAAGGAAGGAACAGAATTTGGGAAGCCCCGGGGAAAGGGAAAAGAGAAAAAAGGCTAGGAAAATGGAGGGGAGGTGAAAGAGACTGGATCTATCGATCTTCGGACGTAGTAATCGGGCGTGCCGGCGCAAAACAATACACTACACCAAGACTCCGTACATCGTGATCCATCTTTTGCCCACTCCCTCCTCGGTTCCCTGCTAATTCCTAACCCATGCTCCGATGAGCATTCGGGCTTTTCTTTTCCATGTTCCCCACGCATCTGAATATGTCTCGAGGCCAGTCCAGGCCAGCCGCCTCCACCGCCCTTTGACCATGCATTCCTCCAAGTGGGCTAAGCAGAGTAAAACGGGGGCAAGTCGATGGGTTGGGAATCAAGCCTTGTTGCGGATCCCGAAGATGGATGTTGTTGTTCGAAGCGCTTGCCTCGCATCGTTAAAAGCTCGATGCGTATTATCAGCCGCCTGAATTGGGACGGTGGCGCGAGTGAATCTGCTCGACTACTAGCTGGAGAGAAATCTCCATCTCAACTGCTTGTCTATTCCCGAACGGCATCAACCGCAGAACGGTCAACGATCAATGCAGCCGAGAAGAGTTGAGAGATGGAGCAACGTGAACACTGCACCTCTGATTGGTTCAAAGGGGTTGCAGAACGCCACCAAAGGAAGCTGAAAAGAGCTTGTTGCGTATGCTGAGGGCGATAACGACGATACAACTCGATTAGGCGAGTGGGTACATAGTACGAATGGTGGAGCCCGGTTCCATCACAATGCGGCAGCCAGAGGAGGTGGCCAAGCAAGCCAAGTAGCCAAGGCAGATGTCGCGTCCCATTGATATCAAGTCTGAAATGTGGATGAACTCTTCTCATTACCGGGCTCTATCAATATCCCTGGCAGACCCCAACGGTAATTTATCCGCTAGTAGAAGCTTCATCATTGCATTGTCCGGGCCTGGTGAGAAGAGGGGAATGAGGAATATTGACAGCAATGGACTTTTGAAGCTGTCACCAAACGCCTATCGTGAGTTGTTGCTATTACATTGGACAGGACCCTTTTGGTGAGATGACGAAAATTCTTGTTCTTTTGCGGAATCACCCGACGCCATCCTTCCCAGATTGATGACTCCGAACGAAGCCGCCAACGGGAGATGCTGGCCGACCCAGCTCCTAAATAACTTTTGCCGACCACCCTAACGCATGCTCTTTATCTCTTCAGGCCATATCCCAAAATACAATCACACCCGCCTTGCCGTTTCTCGCCTCTTGGATGAGCAGAAGCGACGGATAGATGATAGCTTTCTCGCTTCTCGCTTCTCGCTTCTTTCTGCCGTGTTCCTGCGCCCTCTTTCGTACTCAACAAATTCGGCGTTTCCGCCGACTTTTCCTACCACGTAAAATCTAGCTAGTGTTAGTGTTTCCAGTTTTGTCGGCTTTAAACTTGTTGGTGTGCAGAGTTTGCCCTTTTTTCTCGTTATTGGAAAACCCGCCCCCTTTGTCGTTTCTTTACCCTCCATCTTTGATCTGTCGAGGTGATATGAGTCGCGCCTGCCCACCCCAAGGCGAGGCGTTCTCCTGCAGTGCAACCCGCCCTGCACTGGATGGGATGGATGGAAAAGTCTTGAATTATTTCTATTTCGATAACTCGAGCTCTGTTTCTTTTATCAGTTTATCAACTTTGCCTGTCACCCGGAACGTACATGTAAAGAGTGACTAGAGTGCCGGTCTCTTCTCACGCCTCCCATCTTCATCCTTTGCTAGTCATCGTAAAATCCTCTCCGAATGCATGGGCTTGAGGGAAGGAGCCGAGAGCAGAAATCTCTGTTTCTGAAAAATCCTAGGTAGTGGTATTCACATAAGACAGTTCATAGACAACGCCTGCCTCTGTTCGCGGGCCCCTACCCATGCACTGTACCATGATTCACTATCCTGGCAGAGACACTGGGGGAGAAGCGTTGTGGTGAGGTTCTAATACAGGTTGGCGAGGTGAGCGAGCATTCCCGGGTCGAAGGAGCAATTCGGATTCGCACCCCTGGCAGCGAGTGGATGCCTCAGTGGCACTCCACCACCAACTCATGGCTGGCCACCCTTCTCATGTGCAGCCTTGTCAATATTGCAATAGCTAGAAGATGTGGCCATGGAGGATGATATGAGGAGGCACACGGTTCGCTCCCGCTACAAAGGAGGGAGCAAGGAACAGAGGCTACTTGTCGGAGACTTCCCTCTCATTCCCGAGCGATGAGCTGTGCAACCATCGCCAAATCCCACATTGAGATCCAGGTACCTTAGTACTATTTTGCATGTACAGAGGGGCACATTGCTGCTAGGTCAGGTCCCTAGCAGGTGGCGTAAGGTACTTTAGGTACTTCCAAGCAGACCACTGGAATTCGCTGTACTCGTCAAAGATGGGCCAGGGGAGGGCAAGCTCCTAGAGCGAGCCACTCATTGGATTGGGCCAGGAGAGCCCATAGCTCCCAACCCCACCATCATGAGCTAGCTCACCCCTTCGTCATACCCCCCTCCTCGTCGCTGCCCTGGACTTGCCACTCCTCTCTAGTCTACCCCCTTTTCAGACAATTTGAATCCAACTCCGCGCCCCAACATAAAAACCCAAGCTCCCCCAACCCTCCACATCATAACTATTCCATCGTTGCTCTTCTCGTCCTCTCTACTGTTGCCGTTGCCGCTGCTTCCTTGCTCATTCGCGCAAGACCCAAAGAATCTCAAGCACTTTTGATCTCTTCGCCACAGTACCTAGTCGTTTCTAGCTCTCTTGCCATTTCACAATGTCGTCGGGTGTAAAGTCTTCCGTCCCTTCCCATCTCAAACCCTCGCCATTGGGCGGCAATGGTGGACAGGATGCCGATAACCAATTTCAGAGAAAACATGGCAAGACTCGAAGCCACATGGTAAGCCCGTTCCCGCCTATCCCTTCCTCCCTTCTCTTTCTTCTCCGTCATCGCCGTACCCTCTTGGTATGGCACAATCGAAGCTCGAGCTTGCCTAGTTTCTTGCGAGAAGAAGCTTGGGACCTCGGTGAGGGGCTGTTCTCCTCGGACTTCGTGAGCTCCCTCGTGTTGCCGCTGCCACGGTGTGAGAGTTGGGTCTCCGCCTTCGTCGTACACGACGAATCGAGAGACTTCCTTTCGGGCACCTCAAGGCCATGGGGAACTCGAGGGCTTTCTGTGGGAAAATCAAGTATTTACCACTCTTGGCACTTGCTTGTGGTTGGGGCTGTTAAACAATGTTTGGTTGCGTCATCGCATCGAGAACTACCCCTCCAACCCTCAAGGTGGCTTGCTTGGGCTTAATGCCATAATTGGGCGTCCAGCAATCGCCGAATACCTCCAAACACTTTCCTTGTCACCCTTAATTAGCTGCTGGAGCTTGATTGTGCCCTGGAGAGACGACTCGACCATGCATGGCTAACTCGGAGATTCTACTAGGCTTTTGAGAATGCTTCAACCAATGTCGCCGCTGCTCAGATGCGAAACGCACTCACAGGCCTCGCCGAAACGGTGAAGGACCCCCACCAGAAGAAGGTATGCTTTCTCAATCTTGCCTTGCAAAGCCCAAATTATCCCCCTTTGCCACCCATTTTTTCCCCTTTGTCTCAACGTCATGCGTCCTCCATCGGAGGTGTGTATAGAAGTTTTGCTAATGCGATGTTTGGGATTCTAGTTGTTCGAGACCGAAATGGACAATTTCTTTTCACTTTTCAGGCGCTACCTGAACGACAAGGCCCAGGGAAACGCTGTGTATGCTTTACCAATCCCCAATCCCCATCATACCATTTGAGCAAGACGGTGAATATGGGCGCAAACTGCTTATCGCTAACCCCTCCTCCCTCTATACAGTGACTGGGACCGTATCAACCCCCTGCGCAGAACCAGGTGGTTGAATACGAAGACCTCAACAACTCCGATGCTGTCCAGTTCCTGAACAAGCTTGCTGTTCTCAAGCTCAATGGCGGTCTCGGTACTTCCATGGGATGTGTTGGCCCCAAGTCCGTCATCGAGGTCCGTGACGGCATGTCCTTCCTCGATCTCTCCGTTCGCCAGATCGAATTCTTGAACGAGACGTACAAAGTCAACGTTCCCTTCCTTCTCATGAACTCTTTCAACACAAACGATGATACCGCCAACATCATCAAGAAATACGATGGCCACGGTGTCGAGATCATCCCCTTCAACCAGTCCCGATATCCCCGAATCTACAAGGACTCGCTACTCCCCGTCCCCAAGGACTTTGACTCATCCATCAGCGACTGGTACCCTCCGGGCCACGGTGACGTCTTCGAGTCTCTCTACAACTCTGGCGTTCTTGAGAAGCTTCTCGAGAGGGGTATCGAGATCATCTTCCTTTCCAACGTCGACAACCTTGGAGCCGTTGTCGACCTGAGGATTCTTCAGCACATGGTGGAGACTGAAGCTGAGTACATTATGGAGCTAACCAACAAGACCAAGGCTGATGTTAAGGGTGGTACCATCATTGACTACGAGGGCTCTGTTCGCCTCTTGGAGATTGCGCAAGTCCCCAAGGAGCACGTCAACGAGTTCAAGTCGATCAAGAAGTTCCGATACTTCAACACCAACAACATTTGGCTAAACCTCAAGGCTATCAAGCGCGTCGTTGAAAACGATGAGCTCGAGCTCGAGATTATTCCCAACGGAAAGAGCATTCAGAAGGGTGATTCGGACATTTCCATTCTGCAGCTGGAGACTGCCGTCGGCGCTGCCATTCGTCATTTCCGCAATGCTCATGGTGTGAACGTCCCTCGCCGCCGCTTCCTTCCCGTCAAGACCTGCTCCGACCTCATGCTCGTCAAGTCTGATCTTTACACCGTCAAGCACGGCCAACTCCAACAAAACCCTGCCCGATTCGGTGACGCCCCTCTGATCAAGCTCGGCCCTCACTTCAAGAAGGTCTCCGATTTCCAGAAGCACATCCCCTCCATTCCGAAAATCATTGAGCTGGACCACCTCACCATTACAGGCGCCGTCAACCTGGCGCGTGGCGTGACCCTTAAGGGCACCGTTATTATCGTCGCCAATGAGGGAAGCACAATTGATATTCCTCCTGGCTCCATCCTTGAGAATGTCGTTGTTCAGGAAGCTTGCGCCTACTCGAACACTAAGCGAGCCCATTCTTGTTTGATATCTTCCCCTGCGGTCTTTTCTAGGTAGAACGCTGCATAATAGAACACAGCGTATTGGTGGCAAAACGAAGAAAGAAAGAAAAAAAGAACCGAGGGCCAGGAGAGGGGGTTCGAGGGACTGTCCTCGCATCCTGGGAGAGAAGCCCATGGTTGCGTTTGCTGCTTTCCATTGTTTATTCCCTTTTGCAGGATGTAAAAGGACAAAAAAGGAACACATCACTTTTATGTTAATGATGACGGCCACGCGCGGCGGATAAAGTAGTAGTAGCTATAGCATAATAATACGAAACGATCCAGCGACGAGAGACCCGAGACCAAACTTTGACGAGAAGCTCAGGTTTTACAGATCCATCAATTTAAGCTAATGGGTGGCTAATGGGTGGAGTAAATATGGTACGCGCGAACCTGTATTGTGTCAAGGCCACCACCAATATGTCACATGTATTCTCCAGCATTTAACAAGTCAGATGTTGAAAAAAGAGGGTATCATTGAACAAGGTAATATCTACAAATATGACGTAAAAGCTCATAGCATAGCACCGGGGCCGTCTTGCGCAGGCGATTGCTGCCCTCGCATTCATTTCGTCTTCTTGCCCATTTTTTCCGAGCAGACGGGGCAGAACCACTTCCCATTCGGCTCACTCTTGAGGCCAACGCACGACCAGTGGAACCACTCGAAAGGGCAGTTGTCGTTGTCGCACGCCACCATGTCGCCGAAGCTGACGTTTTGACACAAACAATATTTCTTGTCATCGCCGCCCTCTTCGTCTTCGGCATCGGCCATTTCCGTGTCCTCTTTAGCGGGCGCGCCATCGTCGGCCTCTTGCTTGCTCGCAACGGCGGCCGCGGCGATGGCAGTAGCAGCAGCAGCCGCCGCAGCAGCCGCTGCCGCTGCTGCGTTGGTATTCGCGTTGCTCGCGGAACCTCTAGACGGGTGCCGCTGCCTGCGCGTTGGCTGCTACTCCGTCTGTCGGCAGCATCGTCGTCCGCCACGCTTCCAGTCTCTGCGTCAGAGAGGTCACTTTCGGCGGGAGAGGCGGGCGAGCTTTGCTCGAGGCCTTTTAACGCGAAATAGCGAGGATTTGGTTCCGTTCGCGGCGGTAGCCTTCTTTCGTCCGGGAGCGGTGGGTGTTCCTTTCCTCCCGACTCCTGCCGTGGCGGCCTTGGCGTTTGACGTACGAGGACCAGCACTACCCGCCCGTACAGCGCCAGAGGCTCCAGTCGCCGCCGCAGCCTTGCCAGGACCAGGACCTAGAGATGAGTGCCTGGCCAAAGCACTTGGGTTCGCCGGCGTATTGGCGAGGCCTGTGTTCGACCGTGGGCCCCTCTTTGGAGCTGTTGAAGTTGGGCCGGCAGAGGTTTCACGGGCCTGTCGGTTGAGCATTAGACTGGCGGCTGCAGGGGTGGCGGGGGCAGATGCAGCGTGCTGCTGGGTCTGGACATTTCTTATGTGCGCGACCGCGGCTTTATTCGATACTGGGGCCGCTGCGGTTGGGGCAGGCTGAACAGGGGTCGATGGGATAGAGGGTCCATTGGAGAGATTCGATCGAAAGGACGGCGCAGGAAGGTTCGCGGCGCTGTTTCGAAGCAGGGAGGAACCTCGTCGGGGTCATTGAAGCCGGGCTCGACGCGATCGTAGAGGCCCTTGATTTGGCGATCTAGGTAGAGTATCTGACGGTCGTAAAGTTCCTGTAGCCTCTTGGATAGAGCGAGCTTCTCGTCCGAAAACTTCTCGGCTTTGGCGTAGTTATCTCTGATCTGGTTCCTCAGCGTATCCTCTCGGGGGTTGGGCATCTGGCTGCCATTGGTCTTAATCCATCGCTGGATCTTGGCATCGCGGTCTTCGATGAGGCGCAGGCAGTCATTCACCTGGCGATCTTTGTCGGTGATTTCGGCTTGAATGAAGCGAATCTCTTCAGGTATGTTCTGGAAGCGATAAAAGAAATCGTCCAGGATCTGGGCGGGATCAACGGATTCTTGCTGAGGCATCCTATCGACAAAGTCGATGCTCAGATCGTCTCTAGGCATGGCTGTTAACGAAGAAGGGGCGGGGCCTCGATGCAAGACACAAGAGTGATGAGAGAGAGCGGCAGTGCATACAAGGAGAGGTAAGAGGTAATGGGGTATGTGGAAGCGACGGCATGTGAGGGTGGAGGGGAAGAAAGGGGGTTGGAAGATATAATAGATGGAAAAAACAAAGAAAGGGGAAAATGCTCGAGAGTGCAATATATGCACACCCCGTAAGAGGGTAGGAAGCAGGAGAAGGAGACAAGCGTTGAGAGAAAGCTAGCTCTTTCCTCTAGTTCGCAAGCGGTGCGCACCGCACCAGGAAAGACGATGACGTCGGGTCGAAAGCCAGGGCGTGGAAAGAATGGCGCAGAGGCGAGCGGATAGCAGTAATGTGAAGAGTGGGAAGCAAGGATGCAGTGATCATTAAACCCAAGAGGAGAACCCGACCCGTCTGTTGGGGATGAGTGACAAAGCAACCCCGCGCGAGGCGCTGACGAACTCGAGGGAGTGGGTGTGGGTGTGAATAAAGGCAACGCAATTTGGAAGCGGAAGAGAAATCAAGAGCAAAATACCCTGTCCGGCTGGACCCTTGGCGAGAAGGCCGTGGATCCTCGACTGGGTAGCCTCGGTTGTCGAAGCAACAACAGCAACAGTAGGAGGTTCCAGGCCTGACGCAGTCCAGGCCAGTACAGACGGGCGCAGTAATAGCGACGACTTGAAGGCTGAACAGCAGCTCACCTCGATTGAGAAAATCCGATGGGAGGGAGTATCTGGCGTGTGGGTGGAGAGGGTCGTGCAGTTTTTCAGAGACTCTTCCTTGGTGCGTCCACTCGAAGGGGAAATCTCAATCTAAACGGTCTAGGAAAAGAGACGAAAAGAGGCGGCAGTTGGATTATGGAAGCACCAGCGCCAGTTCCGGTTGAGGGGCCCTGGCTGGAGTGATTAGATGGAGTCATTGCGCAGGGGGCGCATGGCGGCCGAAAAGGCGAAGAAAAGAATAAATGCTTGAAAAAGCACAAACTTTCTGTATCCGCTGAGTCATCGGCACCGCGAAGAGTCTTGCCATCTGGCTAAAGCTTAATTGCGGTTGCGACTGGGCGTGGGCACCTGCCCATCGCACAAGTGGGGGTGTGGTGGCGGCCGTGGAATTATGCATGAACCTTCTTCAACCAACGCTTGCCTTCAGATCTCCATATGCTCCCTTCCGATTACACATAGTCCCAAACCCGCAATCCCCGCGCGCGAGTTTCGATTCTAGCGACCACCTGCGTGTCGAGTCCAAGGTCTTGCTTTATTTGGGACTATTTCATTGAAATCAAGAGAGTTTTCTTGTTTTCAACCCGTACATCCGGCGGCGTCTGAGGTCACAAATCTCACGTAGGGCTTCACTCCGCTCACCGACGCCATGCAGGCGACGGCACATTCTATGATCGATGAGGTCGACTCATTCAAGTATCGCGTTCCCAGACCCAACTACTTGCCACACAAGCCCGGTCTCGATGAGACAATAATAGAAGAATACAATGTGCCTCTTGGGCGACCATCGGAGCGAGAGCATGCGGAGTACTACCTCAAGATGAAGCGCGCGGCGCAAGAAATGGGCATCACCAAACCGAAAGGCTACAACGTCTCCTTCCACACCAATCCCGAAATGGAGAAGCACCACTTCGGCCAGACGCATCCCATGAAGCCTTGGCGACTCACCCTTTCCAAGAGCCTCATCTCCGCGTACGGCATGAACTTTGCCATGGACAATTACATCTCCAGGGCAGCTACATACGAGGAGCTTGCCTCGTTTCACACCACTGACTACCTGGATTTCCTAGCCACTGTGCCGCCAGAGCCCGTGCCTCGGGACGTCGACAACCAGAATCCGGATCTTAAGTTTAATCTGGGTGGTTCCGATTGCCCCCTGTTTGAGGGATTGTACAACTACTGTTCCATGTCCGCAGGTGGCTCTCTTGATGCCGCAAGGAAACTCTGCACCAAGCAATCCGACATTGCCATCGCTTGGGGAGGTGGGCTTCATCACGCAAAGCGGATGGAGGCATCGGGATTCTGCTACATCAACGATATCGTCGTCGCTATCTTGCAGCTCTTGCGATGCTTCCCGCGGGTGCTCTACATCGATATCGACGTCCACCACGGTGACGGTGTCGAAGAGGCTTTCTTTTCTACTGACAGAGTCATGACGGTCTCATTCCATAAATATGACCCCTTGAATTTCTTCCCCGGTACCGGTGGTCTCGAGGACAATGGCCCTAAGAATGAACAAAATCCTGGCGCCCACCACGCACTCAATGTCCCTCTCAACGACGGCATCACGGACGAGCAATACTATGAACTCTTTACCACCATCATAGGCCAGACCATAGAAAAGTTTCGGCCTAGCGCCATCTGTCTGCAGTGCGGCGCCGATTCCCTGGCGGGCGATCGACTCGGCCGCTTCAACCTTCAGGTCCAAGGCCACGGCGCGTGCGTAGAGTTTTGCAAAGGTCTCAACATCCCTCTGCTTCTCGTTGGCGGCGGCGGGTACACTCCGCGCAACGTAGCTCGAGCGTGGGCCTACGAGACATCCATTGCCATTGGTGCGGACAAGAAGATTGACCATACCATTCCCGAGCACACCCCTACCGCGAACAGTTCCGCCAAGATACGCTCTTCCCGACCCTAGAACAGATCCTCGGCGAGCCCAGACAGAATAAGAACTCGGCTAAGAAGCTACAAGAAATTGTTCAGCATGTCTCGGAGCAACTACGCTTCGTTGAGGCGGCGCCCAGCGTTCAGTTCCAGCACATTCCACCCGACCTTGGTGGCATACGCGATGAAGTGGAGCAGAAGCTACAGGAAGAGAAGGAAGAGAAGGATCCTTTTCTCAGGAGAGAAAAGGAGGAGGCAATTGGCACGGCCATGGAATACTAAGTGCGAGTGAAGGATGCCCCAGCAGGCCTCGCTTGTGGCTTCTGCTTTCCTGCATCCAATCCAGGTGCCCCCTTCCCTCTCTCTCTCTCTCTCCCTCCCTTCCTATTATCTTCCTTTCCCTCTTCTCCCCTCTCTTTCTTCATCCGTCTCTTTCATGTTTTAACCCCCAGAGGAACATACCTTTTCTGGGTGGCTCGGCCGGTTTTCTCCTTCAGGTGTAAGGTGTGGCAAAACGGTGTCAAGGGTCCCAAAATAAAACCCCTGAATGTGCGTACTGCTCGTTTGTACGATAATTATCATTACCCCGGAGTACATAGTTAGGCTAGCAAGAGGATACCCGATTCTCTATTCAAATTTCCTGAAAAACATATCTTTACCGCGGCCGGCCCTTTCCCAAGCCGTCATGCAGTGTTCCAAGACACGGTAAAATAGACCGTTTAAAGAAAGGGAATGACATATGCCGCCAAACATAACCCCGATTAATGCGATGATGGAAGAAACATAAAGTGCCCTAGAAATCCGACTAAAATGCTAGGCAACCGTATAACACCCAAAACAAGAAAAGAGAAAGGGAAAAAGAAAAAGAAAAAAACGCCCAAGGAAATGAGGAAAGGGGGGAGGGGGGCTAGGCCGTGATTTTGTCACACATCCAGCCTCTACATGCTTGGCCGCTGAAACGCAGCCTCGGCCTCCCGCTCCAACAGAGCCCTGCGAAGTCCTTTTCCCTCCCACCAGACAAAGCCAACAAGGACGAGACCGATACCAGCGGCGAGGAATAGAAGCATGAGGTCGACGGGGACGGGGTCTCCATCGAACTTGACGTGGAAAAGATAGTCGAGTACGTATTGAGAGAGGTTAAAGGGCCCGGTGAGGGAGATGAGGGCGCCATAAACGGTGCCAAAGGTGTCGAGGCCAAAGACCTTGGCGGCGTAGTCGGAGATGGCGGTGTAGTAGAGGGGTCGGTAGATGACAAAGAGAGCGACGTTTGCGTACGCGGCCCAAACGCGAGGCACGACGCCAAGCGCGCCGATGGCGGTGGCGGCGGCTACAAGGGTGGACAGGACAGAGAAGGTACTAAACGTATCGAGGAAGAAGCCGACGAGGGGTACGGCGAGGAGACCGCCGAGGGGAGGGCAGCGTCGAAGAAGTGGTTGAGGCGAACGGCCTTGTCGACAGAGTCGAGGATGGACTCGTACTGGGGCCGGATGGTGGCGATGAAGTAATTGATGCGGGTCATCTGGACAATGGTAAAGAGGCTAATGAGGATGAACCACGGGGAGCGGATCTGCTGGGCGGCACTGGCGCCGTGCATGGCGCCCCAGACGCCCGAAACCTCGGTGGCCCGCTCACCGCGGCGAATACTGTGCACGGAGCCCAAGAGGTTCTCTACCTCGGTGGCAATGGAGGCGTAGCGGCGGTCATTGTTTTGGTTGCCGCCGCCGCGCAGAAGAGGGGCCTGATCTCCGTCGGAGAAGGGACTGATGGAGCCGTCGCTAAAGTAGCCATCGGACTCGTACTCCTCCTCGAGCATGGACACGAGCTCGCCGACGGACTTGTAAGGCAAGGGAGGTAGGACGAGGAGATGCAGGAGCATGATGGCGGCCGGTACAGCAAGGTAGCCGAGGAAGAAGGTGCGGATGGTGAGGGAACCGGCGGTGTGTTCGTAGATGATGCGATACACGTAGAAGAGGGCGCTGGAGGCATCAAAGGAGCCAGTGATGAGGGAGAGGATGAGGCCAGAGCGGGAGGGAAAGGCGTTGGACAGCTGGAAGGAGGAGATGAAGACGCCGGGTCCCCGAGGGCGAGGAGGAGGTAGCCGACGAGAAGGCCGTCAAAGGGGACTTCTTGGGAGTAGGCCATGAGGAGGGAGCCGGCGGCGAGGAGGAAGCTGCCGACGATGCTGGAGACGCGGGGCCCGTAGTTGTCGAGGATGGCACCCATGGGCAGAGTGGCCAGGTTGCTGGCCACGGCGGCGGTTGTGAACATGAGGTTCAGGCGCATCTCGACGCAAACGTCGACATCCTGGTCGGAGCCGCCCTTGGCGGCGCAGCCGTCCCTGTAGGCGCCCTCCTGCCGTAGCACGGGTTTGAGGGCGGCGTAGCCGAAGATGATGCCGGCGGCCAGCAGCGAATATATCAGGGTGACCACGATTTGGACTGCCGGTGAGGAGTTTAAGTATTGGTATAGAGCGAAAATGCGGTATAAATACCATGAGGAAGGGGGAAAGGTGGGGAGCCGAGAAAGACTGCGACTTACATATTCTCTTCCATTTCGCAACTTCGTAGGCGGCCACGTACTCTATCGGTTTCCGGCTGGCACTGAATTCCCAGTAGTCGGGGAAAGGGTTGAAACTTAGCGACTGCGCTCGTTGCCGGCGAGAGCCCTCGGAGCTGCGCCGGACGGCGAGATCGGGACCCGCGGCGACAACGGCATCGATTGATGCAACTCTGTTCATGGACATCTTGCCCTATACCATGATAACACTAAGTTGGACGATGGGAGGGTAGGAAAAACGCGGTAAGCGCGCTTGGGAACAGTGAGGCGGCAGGTTTTGGATGGAAGGGGAGTCGTGTTCCTGGCTTCCCTCGAGTAAGTTGAGGCGGCTATCGACTCGACTTGACTTTGAATCCGGGCTTATGTGCGTCTGCGAATACTCGTTTGGCCGATTAATTTCCTAGGTCTTGCGATCCAAACACCCTTTTACACGTTTCCGGTACGGGGCGGCACTGCCAAAGGATCAAAGACGTCGGAGGACTATTATTGGGAATGCAAACTGCAAGAGGGAGGAGAAAGGGGGAACGAGGGACTGCGACGCGGAATGATCATGAGGGCTGATTATTATCTTCTTCTTCTTCTTCTCCTCCTTCGTCTTCATCTCCTTCTTCTTCTTCTTCTTCTTCTTCTTACTTCTTTGTCTATTCCATCCTTGTCCCAAAACAGGATTTGTTCTCGGCAAGCTCAGGGTAGGCCGTAAAAGAAAAACCAAGAAAAATAAAATAAAAAAGAGGAGAGAAACAAAAGAAGAGGAGAGAGGAGGGAAAAAGAGATCGTGACACACCCTCATGGGAGGAGTAGTCAGTCAGGCTCACTCTTTCTTGTGTGTCAGGCTGCCACCTAAGATTCCTTCGTATTCTCCATTTGGCGCTGCACACCACCCTTCTTCCCCTTCGCTAGCCTTCGCTTCCACAACGAACGCGGGTGGGAGACCTATGGTTCTGGTTTATTTTCCTCCCATGGTGTGCGTGACCTGCCGACATTAATTGGCCGTCTGCAAGTCAACACACCACCCGTCCGATGTGCCATCGACATGCTCCGCGACCTGCAGGCGGCAGGGCGGCGGTAACCACTTGGATGGGCGAGGATGGGCGAGGATGGGATCCTTGGACTCTTGACGCAGTCTTCACGTGGGTAGGATTCAAGTCACTGCCAGGCTTTGACTCGCGGTGAAAGAAGCAACTCGTTTATTTATTCTTCAAGATTCGGGTAAAGTAAAGCGGATCATCTCATTGTTCGTCGAGCTATTCAAAGGAAAAGAAAGGGCGGGGAATTGCGAACTGTACGTAGTAATGGGCGACACTATTAGCTGTCTGATCTCTGGGATCTAGTTGATCGAGGGGCGTTGAGGGGCTGGCGCGTCTTGTCCGTCAGATCTTGGCTGGGGCTCAGTCAAATGACCCCCATGGCCTATGGCCTAGACGGCAAGGAACAGTCCGCCCTTTCCGGGTTAAAACAATGGATCAATCCTATTATGGAGGCTGACGGCCTTGCCTTGGATTTCACAGCAACCAACCTCAAGACTCCTCTTGCCTTGGTGCATGCCATGGTGCATACCTCGCACGCCTAGCAAGTTCTCTTCAGCCTGTGTGATATTACAAATGAACCCATATCGTGCCCTGCTCGTTTCGAACTCTCGCGGCACCCGTGAACATGTCCGGCTGAGACGGGGGTCATGCTAACCTAACGGATGAAAGACCATACATCAATGGATGTACCGTGTGTCTCCCTGGTGCAGCCCTTTGAATGATCAAATGGGAGGGGCATCAATGCTGGCGCTGCGCCTTCTGAACCTGGCTAACCCGCTCTAACCCCAAGCCGCCTCGAAAAATTGAAAAGGCGTGCCACGGGCAAAGCCTGCTAACTGAGAGGGGAAAACAACAAAGCCACCCAATAGATTCCATTAGATGCATCGAATCGGCGGATGACATTGTACAAGGCCTCCCTGACACTTATGCTTTTCTAGCCCGCTCTAGTTGGAAAATTATCGATCCCGAAAGCACGAGATCTGAATGACGAGAACTAGCGCTTCAACCGGTCGTGGGGTACTACTATGTACTGTAAGCCCCTCTCCGACCACGTGCATACAGCGTCGAATATCGGCTATCCTGCACTATTCACGAACAATGATCACTTGAGCAGTGTATCAATGGTCAAGACTGTGGAACGCGAAAAAGAAAATATTCAACATTCAACATTCACAAGTTTCTCTTTAGAGGGCAGGAAAGAACATTGAAAAAGGTTGATCCGACCAGCGGGTGTGGTTGCCCAGATAGAGGGCACGTCTTGATATTTCCCCTTCCCGAGCACACAATCGGCTCATCTCTCAATCAAGTCTGTAATGGGACGGGTGGGGAACTGTGCCAGTATTATAATGGATCTATTTCATATGTATCGATCTTCGTCACGGATGCAGAGCCACCCACTGATCGGCGAACTCTTCTGCAAGCAACATTGAAGTTGGGGCACAGCCGATCACTCGTGCGAAGTAGTGGACATTGGAGAGGGGAATTTTTAGGAGTGAGCCGGATCGTCATCGCGCATCACTCCACACTACCGTTTCCCCAGGGCCGATCGATTTAACAACGGAACCGGGAATGGTATATCACGGCTTCAGATAAAAACCTGGGCAGGATTACCCTTCTCCTTTCCTGATCTAGCTTGCCGCCCTTGCTCCTTGACTATTTGCTCTCTGCAATATCTGCCGTCCCATCCCGGGTCGGCCGCCTGCTGCCGTGTAAAGGCTCCATGTCATACAACGGATGCATGATTGGCATCGCTCCCGGGATCGCGTTCCACCGTAAGCACTCTATAGATCAATCATTCGTACGGAAATCAAGCCGAAACGGTACATTGTGCCATTGCGGCGCTCTACAAAAAGCACCCAGTTCCCCTCCTCCTGCCACAAGCGATGGGCGCGGTCTTGCCAGGATGCGAACCACCGACATATATCCATTGATGGGTATATACCGAGATGGATCTCAATATTTACACGAACCCGGAGAATATACAGGTAGACGAAACTGAGAAAACCTGGTCCAACATGCCCCCGCGCTCTGCCATTTCAATCCTTTTCTTAGGCCACTGATGAGCTAGCCACCTCCGCTCATCCACTACAGCGAGAGTTCTACGTAACTTAAGCACCAAGCTTTGTCTGGTCTCTGTCCAGCCTCACCTCGTTAGGGCGCCCCTCCTGTCGAGTTAAACGCCACGCCCGACGTACGGCGTCGCAGCCTTATTACGACTTCTCATTGATACTCCACACGACTTCACACTTCATGCCTCTTCCTCACATCTCGAGGAGTTTGCCTGGTAGAGCATAGCACACCCCTACCGGCGAACCCCTGGCAGGAGAATGGCCATAAGAAAAGGGGAAGACGTGGAAAAAGAAGTAGATTAACAAGTGACAAGCGATTGCGATGACCACTAGCGGGAGCGGAATCTAGAAGACACATAAGGAACCAAGCAAAAAAGCCAAAGCAAAAACGTGATAGGACTCCATCAAAAAAAGCAAGGCACCATAAAGCATCACCATTCAAGTTAAAAGGCACTATGCACAATAAAACCCGACCCCACACTACCCTCGAATCCTAAAACCGACCCCCACATACTCCGCCGCACAATGGCCTATTCGCTCCGAAGTGCGACCAACTACTTTTTTGAAAGATATCGTCGTTCGCTCACCGGAATAGGCTGGGTCAACGTGCGGCTAGTTCGGGACATCTTGACTGTGGGGCGCCTGCGGGAGAAGGAAGTGGCGGAATTCGCGCGATTGGGGAGGGGCAAGAAAAATCAAGTAGACTCCGGGCACCGACTGTGCTTTCGATCTTTGTCGCAACGGATTTAGAAGTAGCGGATGATAGCAACGCCACCATCACGGATCGCCGTCTATCAAGAAAGAACAAGATGGATTAGCAACCGCGGGATCAAAACGACTTGTAGCACGCTCCGCAAGGACATGGAGGGGCAACGGAGAGAGAGAGAGAGAGAGAGAGAGAGGAGGGGGGAAGGGGAAAAAGGGGAGAAGGAGCTAAGCTTACCGTGCAGCCATTGGCATTGCCGTTGGTGTAGACGCCGTTCCGAAGCTCGCACTCGATGCTGACATCGCCAGTGATCTTGATGTTGAAGTCCAGCTTAGCCGTGGTGGTGGGAGAGTTGGGGAAGATAGAAAGGTAAGTGATGCCATCAGTGCTCCTTCCGGTACCGATGTTGATGGGCGCCCAGTTGCCGCGCTCGTCGTGGTTGCTAGAGCTGTCCCAGAGGCAGCCGTCCTCGACGCTGACGCCCTTCTTGTTGACGTAGTACTGGGCCGTGGTGGCCTTGTTGTTCCACACGTAGTACGAAGAAGAGTCGGGGTTGGTGAGGGGCTGCTTCTCACCGGGCTGGAGGACGGTGGGGATGACCATGGACTCGGTTCCGGGGTAGTCGGTTCGGCAGGTGGAGACGACCTGGTCAAGATCGTTTTGGATGAAGACGCCGCCAGCACCCAACTCGCAGAGGGTGGGGTGCTCGGGACGGGTGAGCTCGAGGAAGCCATCGCTGTTGCAGTACAGACCGCCGATGGATTGAAGGGTAGCGCCCTGCGCCGAGGGCCACTGCGTCTTCTGGTAGCCAGGGGGCAGGCGTACGAGCAGAAGGCGCCAGACACACACCCATCGCCCTTGACAGCGGTCTCGATGTAGCTGATGGCCGAGTCGCCCTTCCTATAGGTGGGGCAACGCTGAATGCCAGCCCAGCCATTGGTGTCGAGATAGCTGATGGGAATGGCGCCGTAGTCGGACGGGAACTGCGTGCAGGGGATCGAGCCGCTAGGGAAGTTGGCGGTCAGTCCCTTGGGGCCTTCGACGGCGGGGCTGGGAGTCGGAGTGGGCTCGGGGGTCGGCTCGGGCTCGGGGGTGGAGGTGGTCTTGGGCTTCTTCTTCTCGAAGAACTGGGCACCCTGCTCGGGGGTGATCTCCGGGGTAGTCTCGCCAATGACGACGAGGAGGCCATCCTCCAGTCCCTTGGCGGCCTCCTCCTTGAAAGGGCCTCGCCTTCGAGCTCGTACACGGTCTCGGTAGCGCTGGCGACCCACTGGGTGACGACGGCGGGTTCGCGGCGAACCTTGAGGGAGTTCGGCGCTTGAGTGAGCGGTGCATATCGCGGTGGTCGTGGTGACGCTGGGCGACGGCCTCGCTGGCCAGGAGGCCGCGAGGGCAAAGGTAATGAGCGACTTCATGGTATTCGGTATCGGATTCCGTCTAAAAATGTGCTGTCGTGTCTTCGTTCGAAAGCTTATTGTTCTTCTTTCCTTGCAGCCGGGGAAGCGGTGATGCTAATCGGCTCGATGTAGGCAAGTTGCAGACTCCTTTGGAACGAGTTCGAGAGGAGGAATTACCAGGAAAACAAGAATGAAAGGGAGGTTAAAAGAGTGTGGCTTGTTTCCTGCGATGCTCGGTGGTCAAACGAATGTGGTAGAGGGCACTCGACGAGGAGAAGCGCTCAGTTTGATACAAGTATCAACAACGACGAACGAAGCAAAGCAAAGAATAAAAAAGGAAGCAAGATAAAAGAGTGTAGTTGTAAGGAGCGGAAGAAGGAGAGAAAAGGAGTCCTTCAAGGATTCTACTGCAAAAGAGTGTGGTCAAGCCAGCTGCATGGTCATGGCGAGAGGGGGAAAAAGGAAAGGACAAGGACAGGGGGCATGGACAGGGGGATAATTTAGAGGGAGATATGGGGTTAATGGGAATGGGTCAATCGATACGATGCGATACTACGGCGTGGGTTCTGGGCGTGCGTGCGCGTCGGGTGTTTGGAACAGGTACCCTCTGGCATCGTCAACGCTGGGCCTCTACTTGTTGGATACTTGGACGAGGTATCACGCCAACAGAAACCAGGACCGCGACTGCGACTGCGACTACGACTGCGACCTCCGCTTGAGTGCCACCCTCCCGAAATCAAAAGATGGGTACATCTACGAAGTAATTCGAGGCCCTCCCTCAAGCCCTCAAGTTCCTTTCAAGGTACAAGTAGAATCATAGAAGAGGACCCAGACCCGTTTCTTCCTGGGTGTCAATTCATTGCGATGGTAATTATGCCGGGATGAGAGATACTGGGACAGGTTGTGTATCTGTCTATGGGTGTGTCTGCGTCTGCGTGCCTGTCTGTACGTGTCGTGGATGTGGAATGAATAGATTGAGGTCAAGGGGAATAATTCGCCAAAAAACCCCACAATAAACCGGTGGGTGGATCGAGATCATTTTGATTGCTTCCATGTTCGCTTGGTGTACCTGCATTAGACGGGTTCGTCCCATCTGGTCCCGGGTGTTGGTCAAATCAGGACACAACTCGGTTCCCAAATTTCCAACTGGGGCCCCCTTCCCAAGCCTCTCCCTCCTTTTTCACAAGCGCGACGGACTGTACCGCCGTACCTCCAAGTACACTAGATGGGATACCGAGTGGAGCGTCGTGGCCGAGTACTGTTTTGGTCACTATCCGCTCCTCCAGCTGGCCTGGGCACCAAGAGATAATAAACTGTAGCGTATTATTCTGAGTCAAGCCCGTGCCAAGAAAGGGGGCCTCCTCAGGCTAGTGTCAACAGAAAAAAGGAAAAAGGAAACAAGGGAAAAAGGAATACAAGCCAAGTACCTTGCCTGCCTACGGTGGTTCGTACTCACCGCACGTCCTCGAGTGGCCTGGCGTGGCAGCTGGCTTGAATTGATCAAGGGACAGACAATGGTGTCCTGGGAAACCCGCGCCTGGGCGGGCCAGGACAGGCCAGGACAGACCGGGCTCACCCCAGGCGCTAATATCTTTGGAGAGGCATCTTGTGCATTCAATTGATCAATTTTAAATCACCCCAACCATATCCGGTCGCTTGCCCATCAACAAGTAGAGGGGGAGATCCACATCCAAGGCGGTGGCTGCCGACCGCCCACGGATTCGGATTGGCAGAGGCGTCAACTGGTGATGGTGCTGGGCGGAAAGGGGAGATTGGGAGACAAGGTCATCGATAACTGAGTCCTCGCGGGTGTGATTTTGAGGGCACACCTCTGGAAGAGTCATGGTCAGTCCACTCGCCATCGGCCAAAATTCGAGCAAGTCCGACACTATTCTTCTCTCTCTCTCTCAGACACAGCCAACAATGGCGTGCTCTCAAGGGACGTCAGCTATTATGAGTACAGTACATCACAAGTGACCCAACTTCATTTGAGAACAAAAGATCTATCAGTGGATCCATGGGTGTATCTGGTCCTGGGCATATTACCGTCGCTATTTGAAAAGGAAATAAAACTGAGATTAAAATAGCCCCTCCGAGAGAGCACTCGGCGAAGAGGGAAAATAAAAATAAAACGAAGAATGAGGTCGCGACAACAATCAAAGTGAGGAGGTGCTTGAGAGTGTCAGGGCAACTCTCGCTCTTCAGCTCTAATTAGCTCATCTATTGACAGTGCGACGAGGGTTGCTCCCTGAAAGTTCCAGCGATGATGCTTGAGCAAAGGCAATTTTCGCGCCTCATCTCCTTTGTATCTTGTATAGATCGCGATTGACTGGCTCGTGGGCTGATCAAGGTGATTGAGCGATGAGTTTTGATGGCTGTGCTGTCCCTCGAGCTGTCTAGTGTTGATGGGAGTTGCTCTGGGCCATTGATGGGCAAGGACTCTCCACACAGAGAGACACTCGCTCACACCCTGACGGATGGATGGGATTGATGCACGATCCCTCCACTCCATGGGTTGACGTATGCACAGACAATGATCCATCTGCGCTCCATTTTTGGATGAATTTGTTTGGAATGGGGAGATAATACTTCTTGTAATCTGACCAGTCGCTCCATTGAGGGATCAATAGAATTGATAGCACTCAATGAGCACGTACGCTACAGGCAAGTACGCCCCAGGTGAGGTGGAGATGCGGATAGTGTCCAACTACTTCGTACTTCGTCCCTCACACTAACTATGACGCTAGGCTCAAGCCACTAATCTCGACCTGCACCTCACCATTTCTCAACTTGAGCTTGATCGCCTTCACCCCAGGGCGGCCTCATAATAATATTTCGAGAGCTTAATGGAGTTCCACACCGAGCAAGCCTACGTAGGCTCCCTGAGTGGCCCCCACTGTTTCCTAGGAATGGACACATCCACACTTGATAGATTCCTCTTGGCTCTGAGCACATACATCACTTTGCCCAGCCAGCACGGAGATTAAATGGTAATACGTGTAGGGCCAGAGCGGTGCATTCTTGATTCTTCCCTGGCCAAAACAACGCCGATCAGCATGGGCGCCCCGAAATTTACCTACACAATATCAACACATGCCCTGGGCCTGGCCTGCCGATGTCATCGAGTTTCGGTCAACCCTGTCCTTCGTTGAGGAGAATTTGTCCAAGATTTGTTTCCTGTCGGCCTTGCCAAGCGCCAAGGAGGTCGCTGGCGATACGGGCAATCTCGCCAGGGAAAAGACCACCGGGTGCCTTTGAGGGAGAGAAGGGGGCCACAAAGGTATCCATGGCATCAAAGACGTGGGCCTCCGGCTGATAACACTCATATCCACCAATTTAGCACTGATGGATTGATTGTCAATCTCCTTTTTCCTGAAATAAAGGCCTCGATTACACGCCGAGGGACCAGGTCCAACATGTCGAACATGTCGTAGATGATCGAGGGACCGTGTCTTATACCGCACATCACACATCATACATTGGGTGTTACAATGAAAGATGAAAGCAATATACTATGTCTCACCACAGAAGGCCCTGTTTATCGGCTCTCCCGCGGGTCCAGTCCAACGTTCGCTTGCCGACACTCCTTCCTGCTGGCTTGTCCTTGTTCCCCATTCAACAGCCATCCCCCGGTTAAGTCTAAGTAAAAGAGAGGGGCAATATGCGGTGGCATCGTTTCCCTCTTCCTTCCTCGAGAAGGGGATCTCAAAAGGGAAATCTCGACGCGAGACGCAGCTTGGCTTATTAGCCAGGAAGACGAATAGTAGGAAAGCACTCTGCGAGCGCTCTCGGTGCCCAGGTGAAGGATATAAGCGGCCACAGCGATGATCGAATCCGGCACACTCATGAGCAACGACTCCTCCACCCAGAACCCTCCCAAGCTAAAAGTAGGGGATTGGTCTTATTCTTTTCAGGCATAAAAGCCGGAAATCCTAGAAGTGAGGGCATTCGTAAGTCAATGACCCCACCTGAGTCTGGCCCCCTCACTGCTCTATTGCTGGTCGTCGTCGTCATCTTGTCGTTGGCCTGGTACCCTTGACTCCAAAGTTAGCTTCCTCGTCTAACGCTAGCTGCCCTTAGCCGACGCCAGTCGAACGAGGGATTCGTGCGAGCAGTACGTAATGAGCCTGGCACGGCACGGGTTCCGGAGTTGCGTCGGGAGGCCATGGGGCAGGGATAGCGGGAGGCTCCGGGCCATCGCTCATCTGAAACTTGCAACCTCACACCTGCTCGGCTCCGATTTTCTGCCCTCCTGCTCACCCAAAGGAGAAAGCGTTTTTATTAGTTGGACAGCAGCTAGACCGATTCCACTGACACCGACGTGAACTGGCAACTTCTTCTCCCCACAAGCCAGCCTCGCGGATGAGAGTGCGGCATTCGCAAAAGGCACCCAACCTTGTGTGCTGCGGTAAGTGGAGTGGTGGCACCCTTCTGCCGTTTCGGTATGCGACACACAGTCTCTCTCGTTCTATGACAAGGTGACGGATGGGAATTGGCCAAGCCCTAGGCTCAAGCCTAAGCATGTGCATAGGAGCTCAAGCTTGCCGGTTCAACTTGTCGAGCTTGGTTGTCGGGGTTGGCAAGAGATGTAGGAGTCGCTGAGCTTCCTCTTCGAGTGACGCGTTCGGAGCCCTGGTCGCAAGAATTTGTTTTCTTCTCGCCAACCACGTCAGCACATGGTAGGGGAAAGGGTTCTAAACCCTGCATCCAAAAGACAAGAGAAGGTCTTAGAAGTAACGCGTCATGATGGGACAGGTCTATGGGTCGGTCTGAGACATGTCCTTCAAATGTTTTGATGGTCTGGGTCGTTCGTTTTCTGGTGCCCCTACGATTATACTGCCCATCGGGAACAGTCTCTGTACCAGAGGCTCCTCCATTTCCCCATCTCCAAGTCTTGGACATCCTGCCAGCTCCTTTGCACCCGAAGAGGTGATGGGCGTTAGCCTGTGATGCGTGCCTCAAGCCGCTCGCATCTTGTCTCTGGAACCTGAAGCCACCGCCATCTGCGCACCTAGGCCACGCATCGTGCTTTACGGCGCCCCAGGTGCGTATGCATGGTGGGAAGCATGTATGGAATGGCGAGAAACTTCAGGTTTCTGAAGGATTTTTCTAGGCTACGAGACATAGCGCTGGATAGATTCGGATGATGATCCGAGTGGAATGTAGGCACGATGCCGTCTTGAACTGGGACGTGACGATCGACTGGTTTGTTATATTGTTGGAGCAGCGGATACCTGTTCTCGTCATCATGATAGTTGTAGTGTCTACCTTGGCTGGCGCATGCCAATTTTGCTCCTAGCGTTTACTAACTTTGACCTGGCCCAACAACCCCAACATCTCGTTCTTAAGGAGGGGCTCTGATAGCAACAGATGCGATATATAAGCACTACGTCGCATCTCTGCAGTCTTTTTTTTTTTTTTTTTTTTTGTGGTGTTGGCGAAGAGACCTAGTGATGGCCCAAGAGAACATGCGCCGTTTTGTGGCAATATCAAGTACGCCTTCTGGCTGAGGGAAGGTAGTCGCACATACCAACTAGAAGTTTGCATTGTGCCCGACGATCAGCCCTAAAGAAAACCGGGGAAGCTCGCCATTATGTCGAAAGCCCGGACTATGGAGTTTGCGAAGAGTCCTCGGCATATCCCTCGTCGATCACGCGAGACGATTCCGGGTCGTTGATGATTTATCAATGTATCCATCAATATACAAGTATAATGCAACAGTAATTTTTCACGTTGAGCTTCGGTCAATACGGCGAAAGGCTGACCTCTCCCTTTCCCCTGGAACCCTCTATCTGCTGGGAGCGTCCGCGACTTGTCGCAAGATCAGCATGCGTGAGACGATATATGTTCCACGCGGGCCTGACAGGGCTGACGGGTGGCTGAGAGGCTGGGCCCTCGACACCTCCGTCGTTTCACCGATAACTCGTGAGCATATGGTCTTTACGACTCTACGAGTAATAGAAAACAGAATTCCAAGGGGACGCTGGCCGCCATTCCGAAGAATGCGTTTCCTCGGCGCCGTGCTTACAAGTTTGCGATCACAAGTATCATGTCAGCTTGGCGACGTTGTTGGGGCGGGGCGAACTGGTCGTTGATTCGCGGATGGGCTAGAAGGGCACAGGTCACGGGCATGGAAGCGCGCAAGGTCCTCTCAAGTGCTGCCTGCCTGTCAGCTTAGAAGTGGAAATAGCCTGGTGGCGTTTGAAATCCCCAAGACGTTGGCCGCTCTATTGCCTCGGGAGATCTCTTTTCAATCCGTCTGCTGGCGGGTACGTCCATTCTCCTATGGTTAAACGCTGAGGGACCAACTCATATCGGGGATGGCAATGGCGCCGGCAAAATTGATGCGATTCATATGTGACGATGAAGTGCCCTGTCGGGGCACGGCGCTCCCTTTGCCGAGTTCCAGGATGATTAATTTGGCGAGGTGATATGTTTCTTGGTGATGTTGCTGATTGATTGAAGCAATATGCACGCTTCAGAGGACATTGTAAAGAGTGAAGCCGGTCTGTGCGATGCCTCCTCTTGGTGTTGTTTCCTTTGAAGACTGAATAATACAAGTCGCGGATGGGGCCGCCTTGAGGAGTTGCAAGCCTGGCTGGAGCCATCCCCGAGTGTCGTCATCCAGACTTGTGCACTCGAGGCCGAAGCGGAGGCGAAGGAATCAGAGAAGAATCCTCAGAGAAAGGGGGCGCGCATGCCAAGTTCCCAGCCTCAAAGAAGAAGCCCTGTGCTCTGCCGTATCATCGTCACAAGATGGTGGAGCTCAATGCAACTTTCTCGGTGAGAGTCTCCTGGGTACTGTGCGGGCAGATTTCTCGCACCTTTCTTCCATGTACGAAGGAACAAGGGCGAGCTTCTTCCAATGGCCGGCCTTGAACAACTTGAAGTAGTGGTGTGCTTCAAGGGAGCAGTGAAATGCATTCGCCGGTCCGGACGCCTCGTGCAGCGTGCATCGATGGGCAGGCTGGTGCAGCAAAGAAAATAAGAGATAAGAAATGAAATAGAATCAGGATAGGGCAAATAATAAGGGAAGAGAAGGCGGGCTTCGAGCGGGCGGTAGTGGGCTCCCCCAGCAACCAACACACATCGATGATTGAGCAGCCTCCGAGTCTCTCTCCCCAGGGCGGGCGCGTTGAGTACTCCGTGCCGAGGAGAGGATGACATTCTCGGCGCCCACGAAGAAATTGGTTCGGTGGGACCTTCAAAGCCCCTGTCGCCAACACTGCCACCGCCGACCTGGGCAACATAAGCCGCCAATTGACACATCTGCCTCCATCTGCCCTCCACCTGAACTGGGATTGGAGTTTGCGGCTGACAAAATCGCGTTGTTTATGAAGGGGTTTGAAGCCCCAACAGTCAATGGCGGGTGATGGCACTTGATTTGTTCTGATTCTGATTCCGATTCTGATAATGAGAGGGAGCGCGCTGCTGGGCTGGGCTGCTCGCCTTCTTTCGGAATCCGGACACGGCGCCTCCCTCTCTGAAAGGGAGAGAGCCGTGCCATCCGACCCACCCTTGTCTTCGCCCGTACTCAGAGGTCGACCGCCGGCTGCCAACGGACGCCTCTTGGCTAATACCAGCTGAGGCGAGAACAAGAGGAAATATTACTGGGGTGTGTGGGCGAGGATAGACGGGGGAAGGATTGCATGTTATTGGACACGAAAAGTCGTCGACGTGAACTGAGCAATCTGGTCGAGGGTGGAGGATTCGAAGGGATCAACAATGGGGGTGTTCTTGCTGGGCTGATGGGCTGAAGATAATAGATGACAACTTGGAAGTATCAGTGGTTGGTCGAGGCTTGATCAACGGATGGAGTACAAAGTGCCAAACCTCTGTTATCGTACTGTAAGGATTTCGGTTTTCGTCCAGGTCAGCACAAGAATGCAAACAGTGGCTGGAATCCAAAGTACCCAGTACCTTTTCCCCCTTCGTATACCCTGCTTGGAATCTGAAAACTTTTCGTCGCTGAAACTTTGACGTGGCGCATTTGCCATGACCTGGCTCCCCCAATCGCAATCGCGCCGTGCGAGCCGGGGCGAATTGACCACTGCATCCGTTCTCTTGCTTTGCGCAAGCATTTCCCCTCGAACAAATTTCCCTTTAATTTTTGGAGGTGGAGGGCGACGCGGCTTGTATTGAGGTGGTAATAGGTTGTAACAACAGGCAGGCTCACAGCACAGCCCACCTCCGTCCGCTTTGTGCTGCTTTTCCATCCACCACACCTCCCGCCCCCAAAATCTACATCCGAACATTGCTACCTCCCGTCCGTCCTTTCAACGCTCTCCCATCCACAACCTCGCCAATGCACCCCCTTGAGGACAATACCCTCCACTCTTTGTGAACATCGTCGATCGAATTAGGCCCTTGGGAAAGCCAGTTCATTTTTGCCTATCGGTACCATTTCGAGGTCCCAAACTCTTTTCTTCTTCTTTCCCTTTCTGCCCCGGGCCTTCTTTACCGCGCACAATCCATTTGTTCTATCGCAGAGTTGGGATTTCGAGCATCACAGCTCTCGCCACGTTCCAGCCACACAACATCTCCACGCCCCATCCTTTTTCACATCGCCGATTTCCCATCGACTACCCATCTCCAATTTCCTTTCGGCAATGCAATTCAGCGGCAACTGTGCTATTTGATGGTGCGAGTTGCAGATCAACCCTTTTTCCCTTGCCTTCCTGATTAAAATTCGCCGCCGCGAGACGCAGACCGCAATCTTGCCATCATGGCCTCCGAGCAGGGTCCTGTTGTGACAGAAGCTTCGCTTCAACCGTCGCAACACGCGCCCGAAACAGCTGAATTGCCCCAGCCATCTATTACCGAAGCGACGGAATCGGACACGATCGCCAACCCTCTTAAACGAGCTCGCGATGATAGCCCTCACTCCCCGACTCCGGTGTCTGACGAACCCTCATACAAGGCGGCTCGCTTCGACATACGGTCAACCTCTCCAATCCAATTAACCGCTGCCGCTGCCGCATTGGAGGCTGAACGGCGCCGGAGAGAGGAAGACCTTGGACACGACCATAATAGCACTGGAGACGTGACCGCGCACTCCGTGCTGGAAAAGTTGATTCAAAGCGCCGAGGCATTGGGGCAGCCCGTGTCATCTGAGCCTCCTGCTCCCCAAGTCCCAACCGCTGTGATGGACTCAGTAGCGAAACCCGATGGCGTTGCATCCGATCACCTCCTCGATCATCCCCCGCGCTCCCAGACTCTTCGGCATCCACCCTCATCTCCGACGGCGCTCCATCAATTAGCCTAGTGGACGCCGGGCATCCCGGTGAGACGGGCATATCTGGTGAACAGGTGACGGAAAGCCCGACGCCGATGGATATCGACCCTAAGCTTGAGGAGGTTCATGCGGCCCAACAACAACAACAGCAGCAGCAGCAGCAACAGCACGATATAAGGGCGCCGCCGACGTCTCTGTCATATCCCGGACCACAACACATTCCCAGTCCCATGCCGGCGCCACCATCTAGGACGTTAAGTTATCCGCTAACAGCTCCTTCGGATCAGGGATCTCCAACGTCGCCGGAAGCGGGAAGCAAGAGACACAAGTGCCCGTTCTGCGATACAGTATTTACTCGCCATCACAACCTAAAGAGCCATCTGTTGACGCATAGTCAAGAGAAGCCGTACGAATGCGACAAATGTAAGATGCGATTTAGGCGGCTTCACGACTTGAAGCGCCACTCGAAGCTGCACACGGGCGAAAAGCCGCACATATGCCCCAAATGCGACAGGAAGTTCGCTAGAGGAGACGCGCTCGCTAGGCATAGTAAAGGTGCCGGTGGGTGTGCTGGGCGGCGATCGAGCATGGGAAGCTTTGCGGAAGACGATCTCGCCAACTCGAGCATGATGGACGGCGACGAGTCCCAGCTCAACGCTGCGCTCTATACCAAGTATGCAACAGAGGCGGAGGAGGCGCGGAGACGGCAAAGCCTTCCAGTTCCCAAAGCATCTTTAGGCTCGGGAGGCCAGGCTAGCCCCGAAGGCGGGCGCAGTTTCTCGAGCGGCCACTCGCGAAGCAACAGCGGTTTATATCCGCCCGCAACTGAACGTAGCAGTGTAAGTACATCGACCTCCCCAAGCTTTTCGGGCAGCACGGGCAGCGGGCACACCGTCGCGACCAGCATCTCCATGGTGCCGTTAGCAACAACGGAAGGCTCTGCATACACGCGTGGGGAGATTACGCAGAGCCCGCGACCGTTGAGCCCGCTTGTTCCTGCCCCGCAGAGACGAGGCTCGTTTGCTGCTCCCCATCATACTCGGTCGCCAGGCCTAACGCAGCAGTCTCAGCAGCAGCAGCAACAACAGCAACCACAAGCGTATACTCGACGCGACTCCGATCGCCGGACGCCACCAGCGTCGTCGGCTGGTTTGGGTAAGGTCAACAGCACGCCTGATGGTCGCTACGCGACGAGCCAAAACGGACAAGGGACGCCGCAGCCCGGGTCAGCACGGGCGAGCAATGGAACACAGGCGATCGACAACTCCAACATGTTTGCGGGAGACGTTTACGGTCTCTGGACCTACATACAGAATCTCGAGGAACGATTCTCGGAGATGGAGAAGGCGGACCGCGACAAGCAAGCTCAAATCACGGCACTTAGCACCGAGGTAGCGGCGCTGCGAAAGGAGCTTGAGGCGAGACCCGTCGCGGAGCTTGCTGTCACCAAACAATAATGACTATAAATGATGTCTACTGCAGATGACCTGCGCAGATCTTGCGGCTAACACGACAACCTAGGGGAAGGGGGGGCGTGTTTGGGAAAAGGGGGAAAAACCGAGGGGGTGCCGATGTAGGCACATGCACCTCAAGGAAGAGGCTAAATGAGAAAGGATGATGAGCAGGCGGGCGGAGAGAGACTTCTAAACATGGGATCGGATTTGGAATGGCGTTTTAAGGTCCACAGGCAAGCAGGTGCGGCTTTTTCTTCTTTGATTCTTTTTCTTTTTTTCTTTTCTTCCTCTCGTCAGCTTAACGCCTTGCCAGTTTTCAAGATACGGGGACATGGGATGATCCGGAACAAAAAAGGAGTGGGTAGCCCTGGCATGGCACGTCGAGGGGCGATGTCTTGCGGACGAGGGACGTATGGAAGTCGTTCAGTTGTCCAACTAGAGGGGCCCTCAGTCTAGGGGTATGGTTTCTTTTGAAGTTAGGACTTTGTTGGTCGCTTGGAGGTTGGCTCGGTTTGTCACAAATTGCCTTGGTATCTGATGCGAGTTTTTGCGTGTATTATTATGTATATATCTGTGTGGGTCAAATGGTTTTATGTCTAGGATCCGGTCTTGAGAGGAGGGAGAAGCAGCGGGCGAGAAGAGGCAGGATAGCCGCACAACATCAGACATTGATCAAAACTAGGAGATGCGCCGACGTTGTGCTCCTGGCTTTCCCCACCGTGTTTATACTTGCTTGGTTGTCGTCTTGTGCTCTCGTAGTTTTTACCATCGAATCTCGCCGACTAGCGTAAACACAGAACTTGGGTATCTAGTGGGCCCGTCTTTGCAATCGTGGCTGGCAATCTAAGGAAGCGCGAGGGTTTGCTTGCCCATGACGGATCCTCGCTGGAGGACGCCATTTCAAGTGTAGTGCTTGCTCAAGGTTTAATAATGAGAATTGTTTCTGGGGACGGAGGCTAGATTGGTGCCGCCGGCAAACCAAATCAATGAACCTTCCGGCCCGCTATACAACCTAGCCTAGCCGGTTGCCCGGTTCCTGATGGAACGGACCTCTCCATGGATTGATCCATGGATGGTCCCATTGCATTCGTTGGTGGGGCATGTGGCGTACGATTGATGAATCGTGGCTCGTATGCTAGGCGACTCGACTGGTAGTATTGTAGATGATCCATTTCTAAGCCAAACGAGCGGATACCGATACCCGCCATGATTAAGATATTCAAGGGATCCCATGACACCTGAAGCAATGTTGAGGAGATGACGTGGATACGGTTTGAAGAACTGTTGGATGGAAAAAGCATCCGAGTCTTGACGTGTGGCCACGCAGGTTGGGTTGACGTTTGGAGGGCTTTGGGGCTACATGGTTACTGATCGACTGTCCCCGGCTATTCGTGTTTCTTTTTAGACGCGGCGGCTGCTCGATACTTGACTTCCAATATTTACATAGTATGCTACCAAGTTGGCTGGTGGACATAGTATCCTAATGTTGTGCTTCAACCAGGTCTGTCCGATTGAATGGCTGACACTCACCAGGTGTTTGGGTGTTTAGCATGTGCTGGCCGAGGCTGTGCCTTGATCCGTTGGACTTAGTGAATGTGGATCAAAGGAGAAAAAAAGGTTCAAAGGGCCCGGGAGCCATTGTTCATTCAGCTAAGGGATTGCCACCCGAGGATTGATTGATGATCACTCGGCAACGGATCTATAGAATGTAGCTTGAGGCATGTGGATTGATTTTAGGGATTGGCCCTGGGCTCATAATCAATCCCAGCGGTCCCAGGTGCAGCATTTCTCGACCCCTCATATCCATAACTTTATACAGTGCTCTTTCAGAACATTGAACGTAGGACATGAGAGGCGACGTCATCAGGTCAACTTGAAGTGTTACAAGGCAAATATTGGTCGGCCATCTAGTAGAGGGAGGCGCTCGCATCAACCTGTACGGTACGTCAAACAATACATTAATAGGTCTATCAACATGTACATCTTCTAACAGTTTTCGGAAGGCACAAATGCGGTGCATGTCCCACCTCTGGGCATTCGACCGTGGAAGGTAGAGTAGACTCTGGCAAGTCTGGGCTGTACTCGCAACCGAGCTGTTCTTCACGGACAAGTCCGACCTGGACGCTTCTTTGGTCATCTCGCTCTTCGCCAACCTCGGCGTCCTTGATTGATCTTGGTTCGCCCCATCTGTGCTGTCGCGCAAACGAGGTCTGAGAGGAACCATCTTTGTCCTTTTTCTTTTTTTTTTTCTCTCTCCCCATCTCTCCAGGGGTTTTCGCTTTCGGATGGTTTCTTTTTAAACCTCCTCCCCCAGACCCGCCCCTGACCTAATTGATCTTGGTCACAAATCTTAAAACTACTCATCCCCTCTTTCCTCCATCCACCAAAACTACCTGACAGGACTTTGCAAGTACGCGAGTCTCTTAGCCTCCCCAATTTTCCTCTCTTATTTTCGTATCACCACCTCACACTCCGTACTCTTCCCACTCAGCTTTGCGCCGAGTGTGCCGACCGAGGTTTGTGCATTTTCACGGCCGATGCGACACTGCTTCGGCCGGACACAGACACCAGCCGTAAGCTATTGAGCGGCTTCCCACTTAGCGCAAGCCCCTTGCTCCCCTCCCTGTCCAACCTCAGGATTGCATCAGATCACATTAGGCTGGCTTTGGAACCGCTGGGACTTGACATAAAGCTTCCCCTCTTGCCGCACCATCCCTCGCGTGCGGCCCTGTCGACCCAACCCACTCTTCACGCTCACTTTCTTGTCATCATGGCTGCGATAGTACACCCGGTGGGTGACAAAGACGTCGATCAGAAAGGTAGGTTTACGCCCAGATGAAGAGGAAATTATTCTTCTTTCCTTGAAATGATTTTTTTCTCTTTCTTCTCGTTATCATGATTTTCTACCTTTGCTTCTCCTTGTCTCTCGCTCAATATTAAGCTCCCATCCACTTGAGTGCTGGATGTTACCCCGGACAAGGGTGATGCGGCTCGACGCCTCAATGTCACGCTAGGGGCGGTGCATCGTCATCTGACTTTGCCTGACGAGAAGTCTTGCCTGGCTGGTGCTTTCACTACCTCTCTACTCATGACCTTGCCCGCGCACTCTTCCACCCCCAGCGATTGCTGCCTTCTTTTATTTTTATTTTTATTGCGAGGCTAGGCCAATGTTTTAACCAACTTTTATCTCGCTACAGTACCGTCGACCGATTTCTCATCCCCTTCATCTGACGTAGTGCCCTCGTGGTCGATGGAGCAAAAAGAAATCATCGAGGCTGGAACCGCCTCGACGGCAAGCGAAGATTCGAGATCGCGCGAGACGAGTTATGCCACATCGGAAACGACGGAAACGACACTCGATGCCAACGACGATCGGCAGCATGACCTACGCATGAGCAAAAAGGAAGAGAGGGAGGACTACCCGCCGCTAAGCAACATCGCGGAGAATCTACACTATGAGAGGCACGGTTGGAGCCGGGCGGGCATCAGGTTTGCCCCTCTCCGCGTGCCGCTGGTTAGGCGCCTGCAGACCCTCGCGGTGCTGGTCCATTGCACCGCCGTCGTTTTTCTTCCCGCGCTCTTCTTCTTCCTTTGCGCCATGCCCCTGCTGTGGCCCATCGTGATCCCCTACCTCATCCACCTCTCCGTATCCACCGCGGCCACCGACGGCAAGCTCAAATACCGATCCGAACATGTCAGGTCGCTGCCTCTTTGGCGGTTGTTCGCCGGCTATTTTCCAATCAGGCTGCACAAGACACACGACCTCCCAGCCGACGGAAAGTACATCCTCGGATACCATCCCCATGGAATCATTTCCCACGGTGCATGGGCGGCTTTCACCACGAATGCATTGGGCTTTAACGAAAAGTTCCCGGGCATCACCAACACGCTCGTCACCTTGGAGTCTAACTTCAAGATCCCCATCTACCGTGATTGGCTCCTGGCTATGGGGCTGAGGTCCGTATCTAAGGAGTCGATTTGGAACACCCTGACCCGGGGTGGGCCCGATAGCCAGGGAACCGGCCGAGCTGTGACTATCGTTGTGGGCGGGGCGCGCGAGTCTCTAGAAGCCGAGCCTAGGACGCTGCGTCTAATCTTGAAGTCGCGCAAGGGCTTCGTCAAGATGGCTCTCAGGACCGGGGCCGATCTCGTCCCCGTACTCGCCTTTGGCGAGAACGCCTTGTACGACCAGTTGACGCCCAAGACTCACCCAATGGTCCACAAGTTCCAGATGCTGTGTCTCAAAGTTTTCAAGTTTACCCTACCGGCTCTCCACGGCCGGGGGTGCTCAACTACGATATTGGACTTATGCCCTACCGTCGACCGGTCAACATTGTCGTTGGCAAGCCTATTCCCGTTGAGAAGGTGGCAACACCGGAGCAGGGAGAAATCGACAGGCTGCACGATCTGTACGTTGCCGAGCTTCAAAGAATCTGGGACGCTTACAAAGACGAATTCTCCATGGACCGTGAATCGGAACTCGAGATAGTCGGCTGAACTTGCTTTCTCTCTCTCTCTCTCTCTCTCTCTCTCTCTCTTTTCATTTTGTCGCGGAATTATTCGGAATGGCGGGGCTGCATAACATTTACAAACGGTTGGGCAAAAACGGACTCGCCGCGCCTCGGGGCACTCGGGGGCGGGCATTGACTCCCGGGCAGGTTTTACTTGTGTTTCCTTTCAGGTGTATGTGTATTACTTGGGCTACTCCCTATGTGCGCTGTGGTCAAGCTTTTGGAACATCAGGAAAGGGACAACCAAACATGGCACATTGGTTTGTCCTGTTCGTCTTTTCTATACTTTTTTTTTTTTCTTTCTTCGTATTGGCATATGGCATGGTTCAACGGGGTTCGCCTTTTCCCACTTCCTTTTCTTCTCCTAGTTGTAAAATCATCATCAATCAGGAAACATTTCCAAGATAAGAGTCTCTTCCAGTGAATGCCCATGCTTTGTTGCTATAAGTAGTATTATCTCATCCGTGCACTAGTGTAGACGAGGTCCATGCTGAGCACCTGCCGATCCAGTTCAATGACACCTCTGAACGTCAGCTGACTTCGCGCGGAAGTGGGTGCAGCAGGCGCGATTCGCGCTCAACCAATTGCTCGCACTGCATTGAATTTTGAAGCATCCATGGATCCGTCCAGCCTGACGCCGAAATTCATTGCGACGTGCCGCCGCCCTAATTTTTGACCAAATCGTACCATCACAGGCGCATACAGGCACTCACAGGCACTCACAGAAAGCTCCGTATCCTATCAGCGACTTCTTAGGATGTGCCCTACATCCTTGCGCAAGCGGGCCGCGCGGCTAGCCGATAAAGTTTCCCACCGTAACCAGTCGAAGCGCAAGGTCAAGGACGAGGACGAGGACGAGGATCTTCACGAGAGCGAAAGCGACGGGTACGACGACGGCACCGCTAGCGAGGAGGAGGAAGAGAAGAGTAAAACCGCAAAGAAGCGCAAAGTAGCCGCGCCCAAGGCAGCGCCCAAGGCCAGGGCTAAGCCAACGAAGAGACAGAAGAAGGACGGTGACGACATGACGCCCCTTGCCTCGAGAACGGCGGTGGCGTCTTTGAAGAAGGCAATGTATATTGGTGCGCATGTCAGCGCAGCTGGAGGTGTGTGTTTCTTCTGGCCCGGTCCCTCCTTTGTGGCACCGGTCCTAGCCCCCTTCTCTTCTCTCTCCCTACCGGCTAACACGCATCCCCAGGCGTTCACAACTCCATCCCCAACGCTCTTCACATTGGAGCCAACGCCTTTGCGCTTTTCCTCAAGTCCCAGAGGAAATGGACGAACCCCCGCTGGCCGCCGATGTCGCCAAGCAGTACCGAGATCTTGCCGCCAAGAATTCGTACGCGTCGAACCTCCACGTCTTGCCCCACGGGAGCTACCTCGTCAACCTCGCCCAAGCCGACCCCGAGAAGGCGACCCAGGCGTATACCAGTTTCGTCGATGACCTGAAGCGATGCGACGAACTAGGGATTCGGCTGTACAACTTCCACCCCGGCAACAGCGGCGGCGCCGACAAGGCGGAGGCGTGCGCGCGCATCGCCGAGAGGTTGAATGCCGCTCACGCAGAGACGGAGAGCGTCGTCACGGTGCTGGAGAACATGGCTGGCGGGGGCAACGTCGTGGGCGGGAGGTTCGAGGAGCTACGGGACATCATCGAGGGAGTCAAGGATAAGAAGAGGGTTGCCGTGTGCTTGGACACGTGCCATGCCTTTGCCGCCGGGTACGATATGAGGACGCCCGAGGCTTACAAGAAGACGATGAAGAACTTTGACGAGGTGGTAGGACTCAAGTACCTCAAAGCTTTTCACAGTATGATTACCCCCCTTCTCCTTTCCCATTAACTATCTCCCCATCACTTCTTTTTCCTTGCACGCCTAACACAGCCGTTCCCGTTGCGTAGTAAATGATAGCAAAGCCCCTCTCGGCTCCAACCGCGATCTGCACGCCAACATCGGTACCGGATTCCTCGGCCTGCGAGCGTTCCACAGCCTCGTCAACGACGATCATTTTACCGGCTGCCCCATGGTCCTCGAGACCCCCATCGATCGCAAGGGCCCCGACGGCAAAACGGTCGAGGACAAGCAGGTCTGGGCGGACGAGATCAAGTTATTGGAGTGGCTCGTGGGCGCGGACCCGGAGTCCGACGAATTCAAGGAGAAGGAAACCTCCCTGCAAAGGAGGGTGCTTCTGAGCGGGCCAAGTTGCAGGACCAAGTCGACCGCAAGGTAGCCAAGGATGCGAAGAAGGGGCAAAAGGCCACCAAGGGCGCCGCGAAGAAGGCTGGGAAAAAGAAGGTCAAGGAGGAGACGGATGACGAAAGCGATTAGTGAAGGCGGCACCAAAGCTTGTTGCTCGGCTCCGCTACCAAACCTCTTGCTTGACTCTCTCTAGGGCTCTAGGAGTGCAATGACGCATCTCATAAAGTTGGGCGGTTGCATAATGGTTGTAGGATAATGCCAGGCACTGCCGAGCGCTGCTGGACAACGCATGTCGACCTGCTTAGACCTATAGACTAAGAAGTACAATATATAGACGAATGGCGCAAACTTCGTGCCACGCCACTTGAACGCCTCCCCTTGCGAACCTCTCCATCACAGGGGGTTTTGTGGGCATCCTTTTGTGGACATCCCGAATCAAAAGTCTCGGTACATGCAGACCCCCTTGATAGTGGTACATTAAACTCGTAATAACCAATGTTCATAAAAGGGATATAATTAACACGATATCAAGTGAGGAATAAAATAACTAGATTCACCAAGGAACTCGACTCCCCTTGTATCAGGAAAAGTGAGAACCAGAGGAGAAAAAAACAACACCCACTCTGGCTTTCCCGGTAGCCAAACTTTCCTAAATGAAGAACTCCGCATCACTCATCATCTCTAAGAGAAACTAGGCCGGAAAAGAAACCAAAAAAAAGAAGAGACAGGGACTCCAAGACCAAAAGAAAATGCAGCACCGCACAACCATGGGCATCACATCATAAACGACAAAGCATCTCCCCCTCCCCCTAGACACGCCTCGCCTCCTTTCTCGCCTTGGCATATGCCTCCACCTTGCCGACGAGGACCCTAAGGCCGGCGCCCCTCTCGCAGTTGGCGACGAGCCACGCCTCCATCTCGGTCCGCACGGCCCTCATGCCCCGGAGGAGGGGCAGCTTGGCGCCGTCCTCGGCGGGGGCGTGGGAGGCGGGGTTGAGCAAGAGGTCGAAGCACTGGGTCCAAATGTCCACCTGCCAGTACCGCTTGAGCGACTCGCGAATCTTGTACTTGCGCGCGGCGCCGAGCCCGCCCGAGTCGGCGCGCATCGTCTCAATGTAGCGGCCAAAGAGGAGGCAGTGCACGATCCCGGCCAGTCCGTGGTAGTCAATCTGCCACGTCCAGGGCCGGCCCTCGCGCATCTCGGCGCAGTCCTGGGCCGTCGTCTTCCAGTCCGCGATGAAGCTCACCTCGGGGATAAAGGCCCGCATGTCGATGCCACGGCCAAAGTCGATGAGCGTCACCCCGCGGGCGTCCCAGCCATCGCTCCCGTCGGGCCGATACTCGGCCGAAAGTGCCGGCGACGACGGGCCAATGTCGAGCCGCAAGAGACAGTTGTCTGGCTTGAGATCGCCGTGCAGCACGCTTTTCCCGTGCAGGGCCTCGACCGTGCGCAGCAGCTCAATAGTGAAGAACATGGCTAGCTGCTCATCCATGACCCCGGAGGGCTCCGTCCGGAAAAAGTTGACCACGTCGAGCAGCGAGCCGTTGGGGTGGTAGGGCAGCACGAGGAATCCTTCGTCTTGGAAAAGGTGCATCTCGTGGGCATACGTCAAGGAAGACACGACGCGGTCGCCTGCGCCCAGCCTTGTATGAGCAAGCCTCATCATGTAAAACTCCCATGCCGATGGCGGTATCTCCATCTTGAGAGCCTCGAGCGCTTCACGGTGAGAGACGGCAAACGCGCCCTTTCCCATGGCCACCTGGCCGTCGTCTTCTGCTTCTTCCTCTGGCGCCGAGTTCTCCACCAGGTAGACGGGTGCGAATGCACCGGCACCGAGCTCTTTCTTGACTGTATAGCTAGCCGGGATCTGAGGTAGCTGAATGACCGGACCGCTCATTGTATTGGTCTTGTCGCCACTGCTCTTGTTGGCCTTCGTCATGGCCTTGGCAAACTTGCGAATCTCCGCGCCCTTTTCGTATTTTTCGCTCTGGTGGTCGTAGAAGCCAGCATAGGAGGGCAACGGTGGCTGAATATTGGCGAGGATCTCAAGGCGGACACCATCGTCCACCGGGTTGCACTGCGCATCTTTGATGATGGGCCCTTTAGGTGGCAGGACCTTTTCCGTCTTGGCCTTTGCCAAGGCAGCAGCCATCTGCTGCTTCAGGAACGGGGGCGGCGTCCTCGACGGGGTAGGGGGCTCGTCAACTTCGAGTAGCGGGCTACTAAACTCGCTCGAAGAGTCCTCCGACACATCGCCGGCGATGCGGCGTGAGGGTGTCTTGCAGTGGTCCACGCGCGCGGACAAGACCTCGAGCGAGACTTCGGTCCTCTCGGTGATAGGTGTCATGAACGGCAGGCGATTGTTAGCCACCTCAACCGGATCCCTAAACGGCCGAGTTCGGGGCTCATAGTCTTCAGGCGGTATGGGCACAAAGGTAGTCCGAGTCCCGATGGCGGGGAGGGGCCGTCAACCGGAGTTATCAGGTCGTCGCCAAAGTCCCGCGGTTCCCCGGTAGCATCGCCCGACTCCGATATGAAGGCTGATGGGTCGGGGTCGCTCGTGTCAATGAGGTCAGAGACTTCATCCTCCTCTTCCCCGACGCCATGCTCTCCAGTGACATCGCCGTGAACATCAGGAACATGCCTCCTGGTGGAGAAATCCGACCATTCGCTAACACTCTTGACGTCTGATGTCTCGTCGGCAACTGACGTCTCATCCGCCGCCGACGTCACATCTTCGGTCACGTCGCCCGTTACATCTCTGGTGACATCTTCGGTGATATCCCCAGTGATATAACCTGCCTCTGTAAACTCGTCTCCAAACTGCCTCGTGGTGCAGGTGCTTTCAGCTCCACTGGTGTAATCGCCGTCAGTATCGTAGTCATCGTCCGAGTCACCAGCTTCACTCTCGGCCTTGTTGGCGAGTGGTTGGTTGAAAATGTCGTAAATGTCGTCCGTCGCTGACTTGGTGTGGATCGTCATCGTCATGGTTGGCTCTGCCGTCGACCTCTTCTTTAGCCTCGGCCGTGAAGGGGAGTCGAGCTTTGCCTTGACTACGAATATTGTTAGTTTTGTTCGTGCCTCGCCCTCCTTCCCTTTCAACCTCAACTCCAATGATGACGGGTGCAACTTACTGATCTGCGTCTCATTCATCTCCATCGTCTTCAGCTTCCTAGACTTGCCAGCTCCGCGGGGCTTCTCCTTTACGGCACCGTTCTCGTCATACGCGGCTTCAGTATCCTTGTGAACCATTAGCTTGCCCTTGGCAGGCCGATTCTCGTTTTCGTCGTCCCTGTGAATCATGAGTTTTGTTGTCCCTGCCCCTACGGGTCGGTTCTCGTTTTCGGGATCCCTGTGTATCGCCATTTTCTGCCTTGCTGGGGGCCTTTCATTCTCGGCATCCCTATGGACGACGAGGTTTTCCATGTCTCTGCTGATAGTCTCCATGACCTGAGGCGAAGAGTTTTCGTCAAATGGCGCATTCTCGTCCCCAGCCGCCTCCTCCTCCTCCTCATCCTCCCAGGAGCAGTCTAGCCAGCCACGGTTCCTCGCCCAAATCTCTTCGAAGCTAAGTTCGGTACCGGCCTCACTAGGCGTCGGGTACAGGGTCGCGAGGTCAACCAGGATGCGCTCCTTTTGCCGTTATTGGGGTTCATGGTCACTTGGTATTCGCTAGAGAGAACAACGAAGTGTGGTATTTGAGAAAGCAAAGACTACAAGTACACCGCGAAAGCAAAAAAGAGCCATCAATTTTCGTCATTAGTCCTATGATCATCAACATGTGTGCAGGAGAGAGAAAGGGGGAAAAGCCAAACAAGCGAAAGAGGACGCAAGGGGGCCGGGGAGGGGAAGCGGGGAGGGGTGGTTGGGGACTTGACAAAAAGTGCTGGGCATCTATCATACCTGATCCTTGAACACCTCCAGCTTTGGCCCCGCCCTCTTCTTTCCGCCTGCCTTGAGTGTCTCTCCCGCCCACGGCTTCGCTTCCATCGTGTTCTCCTTCTTCCTGTCGCCCAGCGATCCAATGCTGTCCCAGCCCTTGGAACCAGCGCCACGCGCCGACAACGCGCTGGGGGCGGCATCCGAGTCCGAGAAAACAGCTAGCTTAGCGCGGCCGGGCTTCGCCGACGTGCCGAGCCCGCTAGGGGCCTGGGGGTCAAGAGGCCTAGAAGCCCCGGCAAAAGGGTCTACCTTGGCAGCAAGCGCAGGGCGTGCCGTGGGGAGGGCAGGGGAGGAAGGAGCATCGTCGGCACCCTCTACTTGGGCGCGCCTCTCCTCGAACTCCTTGAATTTGCGGAGCAGCCTCTGCACGGGGCGCGCCTCTCTCTCGATGCCCATCTTGTAAACTTCCTCCGCTTGGTTCCATCGTCCGGCGCCCTCGAGCCAGGCGGCGTACTCCTCGTAGTACAACGCGAGGGTCTCGGCGATCGCATGGCGGGACAGGTACATGAAGGTTTCCTCGGGGCATCCGAAAAGAACTGGATGTAGAGGAGCCATATCTTGAGGTATCGGGGGTCGTTTTTGTACTGCATCGAGTTGACAAAGGTCTTGGTGGCGCGCTCAAGAAGGGTATGGAGCTGCGATTGGGGCGTCGCCTGCGCGGAGGGGTAGGCGTCTAGGGTCCATCGCACGTATCGGTCGAACACGTCCAGAGGGTCGTCCGCTTCGGCAAGATTCGCGACCTCGTCCTCGTACTCGGCTCGGATGCGGTCGTGAATAGCCCGAAGGGGTGGGTAGTTGCTGAAGAGGCGCGGGGAAAACAATTCGGCCAGCTTCTTGGCTGACCGACCGCTGGGAAGCGCTTGGATGTTCTCCTTGTGCCCCTCGATCACGTCAAAGTCGATTAGATCTCCCGAGGCCGCCATGATCATAGACGCGTATGGCTATTGTGCCTCAAAGTATCTATACGAGAGAAGTGAATGGAGGGAAGATGTCGTCGGCTTTGACATGCATGCAATCTTTCCGTGTTTGAGTGCGGGTCTACAAGTTGTAAGGGCTCTTTCCACCTTCGATCGTTTGTTGCTTTGTTATCCAAATTCGCGAAGCGAAGTGCCGTTGCTGTGGTGACTTGACATGGGCCTAATACTACCCAAAGACAATATGTGATTGGCTTACGCTTTTATTATAGTGGGACCCTTCTCACGTGATCCATTTGGCCCCCAGCGGTGGGGGCCCTGTCCCGCTGCTCCACCTGCAAGGAATCTTTTGGTGCGCATTCCGTCCTCAGTGCGAAGTCACCACGACAAGCTAATCAAAATGATTCAAATTGCGTGTCGAATGCTCAGCGATACTACAATAATACTTCGTCCTTTAGGCTTAAACACGGAAAGCATTCGAGCGTCACGTTTGCACCTTACGCTTGTCAATCTGGACTCAAAGTGGTATAAATTTCGAGACAGTACAGTTCTATTTGACCTTGCCTCGCAACTCGCAAGGACTCGATTCCCGCGGTTTTCCTGCCTGCCTACGCCTTCCCGGTATAACCGTGTAACAATTGCCACGGAGTCACAGCTTGTTTCCTCTCCGCTTCTCCTCGTCCTTTAACGGTAAGATCACATTAGGGGGAAGAAAAAAAAAAAAGGGAAAAAAGAAATCTCATCATCATACTGCCGTAAATGCAACTTTTTCAGCCCGTTATGCGAGCGGCTTACAGGTTAACAGCGTTGCGGAAGTTCTTTCCGGCATAGACGGCGTGCTCGCCGAGCTCCTCTTCAATTCGGAGAAGCTGGTTGAGCTTGGCAAGACGCTCGGATCGGCAAGGAGCACCAGTCTTGATCTCGCCGGATCGGATACCAACAACGATGTCGGCAATGGTAACATCCTCGGTCTCACCGGATCGGTGGGAGACCATGACGCCCCAGTTGTCAGCGTACGAGTCCTTGGCGGCCTGGATGGACTCGGTGAGAGTACCAATCTGGTTGACCTTGAGGAGAAGGGCGTTGGAGGCCTTGAGCTCAATGGCCTTCTTGATGCGGAGGGGTTGGTGACGGTCAAGTCGTCAGCAACGATCTGAACATCAGTGGTCTTGTAGAAGTAGCTCCAGGCCTCCCAGTCATCCTCGGCGAAGGGGTCCTCGATGGAGACGATGGGGTACTTCTTAGCGAGGCCGCTGTAGAGGTCGGCCAACTGCTCATAAGTGAGCCACTTGGCGGGGTCGCTCTCGGGGTTCTTGAAGTCGAGATCGTACTTCTTCTCCTCGGCCTTGTAGAATTCGGACGAGGCAACATCCATGGCGATCTTGACCTTTCCGGTATAGCCGGCCTGCTCAATGGCCTCAGTGATGAGGTCAAGAGCCTCTTCGGCGGTCTGAATATCAGGAGCAACGCCACCCTCGTCACCAACGTTGCCAGCAGACTGGCCGTACTTCTTCTTGGCGAGACCCTTGAGGGCGTGGTAGACCTCGGCACCCTGGCGCATGGCCTCGGAGAAGGTAGGAGCCTCGCTGCATGCCTGTGTTAGCTATGGAAACTAGCGCTAGTTAACCATCCAAAAGGATGTCTAGGGTTAACGTACTCGGGAACAATCATGAACTCCTGCATGGCAAGGCGGCCACCGGCGTGAGAGCTAGAATTTGTTAGCAAGACGTGCAGCGAGGAAGAGGCGAGCAGCGGGGGAGACAGGCGCGCCGGTCATTGTTAGGAATTGCTTACCCTCCGTTGAGGACGTTCATGAAGGGAACGGGAAGGACGTAGGGCTTCTTGGTTCCGGCGAGATCGGAAACATGGGCGTAGAGGGGGACGCCCTGCAAGAATTGAGTTAGTGTGAGCGGCTTGGGGTGCGAAATGGAAAGAATATGCGTGTTGCAGGGGACGCGTACCTTCTCAGCAGCACCGGCCTTGGCAACGGCCAAGCTGACACCGAGGATGGCGTTGGCTCCAAGCTTGGTCTTGTTGGGAGTTCCATCAAGGTTGATGAGGAACTCATCGACCTTGGACTGGTCCTTGACATCGATACCCTCCTTGATGAGAGCGGGGCCGATGATGGTGTTGACGTTCTCGACGGCCTTGGTGACACCCTTGCCAAGCCACTTGGACTTGTCGCCATCGCGAAGCTCGCAGGCCTCGTGCTGGCCTAATCGCAATCACAAGATTATCACGTTAGATTTGGCTTTGTTCCACGAACAAGGAATGCAAACGGAGAAGGAGGGGAAGAAGGAAGGGTAGGTGTTTCGCCGAGGATGGCACCGCCAGGCGGGCGGCCTCGACGAAATGCAAGGTTGTCTGGGCATACCAGTGGAAGCTCCAGAAGGAACGATGGCACGGTGGAGACCGTTGTCGGTGACGACGTCGACCTCGACGGTGGGGTTACCACGCGAGTCGTAGACGGAGCGGGCGTGGATCTTGGTGATGGCCATGTTGTTCGATGTGATGAAGATGCGTTCTAGAAAGGTAGGATATAAGCGTGGCTGGCCAAGCAAGCTGGAGAATCACTGGAAGTGGGCGGAGGAGTTGGGAAGCTGGAAAGGGAAGAGCTTCGAGGTGCCAATGCAAGGTCAGAAGAGGTGGGAGGAGGGGTGAGGCGAACCGGGGGAGCTTTAAGTTTATGGTGGTGGGGAGGGGCAACTGGGGAGGGGCACTTTTTGCAAACTTGGTCGTAATGGAAATGAGGAACGAGTCGATCAGGGTGACTCAATTCGCGTTGCGTAGGAGACACAGCGAGAAGGAAATCACTCAGGCGATATCCAATCAAGGTTATGATGTGTAATATGCCTCAAAAGAAAATATCCCTTCCAAGCACGGAGCACGGGTAGCAGTACTTGGCTCGCGAAGCTCTTTCATTTTGGCCTCGCCGCCCAGAAACCACAAATCAAATGGGTGATGGTGGGGCTCTTTTTTTTTTGGGCGAAGCCAATCGAACCTTGAGGTGGGGTAGCAATTGCTGAGCTGGCTGAGGGGAGCTTTCCAAGCTCGGCCAACCTTGATTGCTCTTGCTCCGTTGCTCTTTTACTTTGGAGCCACCCACCATCCACCTTCCACCTTCCCAGCTCTGGGACTGGAGGCTTGCAGGCTGGGAACGGACTGGAAACGGACTTGGGGCAGGCTGGGCTGGGAATTGGAAAATAGAAAAGAAAGCAGAGGCGAAAACAAAAGAGACCCCCAAAAAGATGGAGGGAAAAAAGTAAAGGATGAAATGCGAGCAGTGCGAGGTCCCCGTGGGGTACCATCAGCAACAGCATTAGCAACAGTAAGCAAGCGCCACTATCAACATACCTAGGTGAGGTGATCTTTATCTGGAGGCTTGGACTTCGGCGTGGGCGTGAGCGTGGGCGTGAGCGTGGCGATGCGACTGAGGTCGGAAAGTAATTTTTTCCCGTGAGGATGAGATGGAAAAGGGGAAAGGGGAAAGAGGATGGGGAGGAGGGTGATGCATCGACTTTGTGTGTTTGTGTGTGTGGTCTCGTTGTTGAATCCAACAAGAACAACGGTTGGCGAGCGGACCACACCACAGCTGGGCCCGTATGTTGTATGTTGCTTCGGACCTTGGCCGTCTTGCCCCCTCCCCTTTCCTCCCGCCCTTCAATGTTCCCTTTGGGCCCCATCCGTCACATCAATTGATCCATCCGTCGATCGAAGCTCTCCGTACGCCAATACATGGACGGACCCGTCCAATGGATCTATGTATGGATCTATGTATGGATGTATAGATGTATAGATGCTAACGATACTATTGCATGGAATACCACGATGTCCCTACATCCGTCTCTCCCGTCAGATCCACCCCAATTTGTCTCAGGTGGTTTACCATTGGCGTCCGTTTTCAGCCTGGTGGGGTTATTTTGTCTGGGAATCGCCCGGTTTGCCCCTCCATGAGAACATGGAAGCCCGCTCAATTCCCACCCACTGTTGGACCGGAACGCCGTATCTCGGCCTTCATGGCGGGGAAAAACAAAGGGTACTGGGGACCTTGGGCGAATCACCGACTGACTTTGGCCTCAAGCTTGCAATCTACATCATGCAACTAACACCGCATGCGTAAGATAAAGCAGGACCTATCATCCTCGTTTAGCCACCCCTTATTTCGCACAGATTTGGGCTGGGCCGTGAGGTACCCTCTTACGATTAGGGCATCAACCAAATCTCGCATTGCGCCAATGGATGGCATGGAAGAATTTGCCTGGTCACCTTCGGACAACCTTTTGTGTCAGATCCCATCTCGATTGACACCACTTTCGGTTCTCGGGTGATTCTTTGGCATCGAATCGAGTGCCAGCTCTGGTTTCTTTCATTTTCTCTTCTTTTCTTCTTTGTCTTTTTTTTGGTGGTCATCCTCTTGGAGGGCACATGCTTGAGATGCCCAGGAAAATAAAGGGGAAAAAAAAGAAGGAGAAAGGACCCTGCCCTCCGGAGCTATACGTCAACGCATTCCACAGCTGACTTTTCCTTCCTCCTCTGCGATCAGATCCTCGAGCCTTAGCCTACGCAGCGAATAGCATGACGTGATCCCGAATCTGCCCCTCCTTGGGGGAGGAGGAGGAGCAAAAGGCGGCGTGTGTGCCATTTTTTGATCAAGCTGGGACGCACCCTGCACTTTAAACGACTATCGACGACCACTTCCCTTTACGCTAACTGAAGCCTACGTGTGATATACCGATGCTACGGCCAATGCTACGGCGACAAAAGTAACCCGCCACGTTGGAGCATGGATGTTGTGCGCGTCTGCTCGCCGGTCGTGTCCATGTTCGAAGGCCTGGCCCGGGAGGTTTGGAGGACAGCGCCCGACTTCCAATGGTGGAGGAGAGGTGGGTGGGTCCACCAGGGCGCTACCGGGCACGAGCGCAACCCTCGATCCTCCCGGTTACCCCAGAAAGCCGCGGTTAGCCCTCGGAACGAAAATGAATCGTCGCGAGCTTTCCTTTTCCCGTGGGGCTACTTATACGTTTGTTTAGAGTTGCTTGCCTCGGATTGGTTCCTCATTGCCCGCTGCCTTTGGAAGAGTTCCGCCACAGTCGGGTGTGCCTTGCTTTCGTGCTTGACACGAGGTTCCGGTGGCGCCCGGGGAGCGGGCCTTTTCTGGAACGAGTGCATGAGCTCCCGTAGCTCGTTTGTCGCTTCATTGCTATTCTCCTGCTCGTCCCCACACGTCTTGACCATTCCGGCTCCATCTTTGTCCAGTAATCGAGCACCGTTAATGTCCACAGCATCTGGCGAATCCGTGAGATCAATGATTTCGTAGCCGTCGCTGTCGTCAGAGTCAATTGTAATGACTTCCGTTTCCTCCGAGTCTTCCACCTTGGCTGTCGTTTCCAGCCGCGCCAAGGCCGCCGCCGCTCGTAGCTCTCTCCCACGTTGACTTTGCGCAACCCTCGGTTTCGCTTTTGTCCGCTTGCCGTTCTCTAGCTTCACTCGTTCATCTTCCGCTCCACTTCCAAGGGCGACGCCATTGGCTCCAAACTTCTTTAGGATCCGTCGCTCTTTTTGTTCTTTCCGTGTCAGCGTCGTGACTGCTCTCCGTTTCCGCCCCTTGCTCCTCGTCTGGTAGGTTCCGCCGCAGATATGTTCGGGGAGGCTTTCCCCGTCTGAACGGTAGGCCGATCAAGCTGGCCAGTATTAAGTTCTCGTCCTCTGCCCCAAAGACCCTCTCCTAGATAGTCTTTCGCCCACAAGCCTTCCATTTCTCGAGCGTACTGGTTACGTACCGCCCAGAAGGCCCGCGAATGATTCATCTGCTTACAATGAGCCAACCTTTTGTTTTTTGAAAGAGCAAAGTTAGCATTCGGCAAAGATCTGCCCCCTCGCCTCCGAACGTGAACAAGAGAGTACGTACTCGTGCATCATGACCATCTGGACATAGTTGAAGGGAAGCCATTTTCCCGTCCGTGGACATTTCAGGACCAGCTGAATGACTTCCCCGGCATTGAAATTCCGTCCCACAAACTCCCGGTTCGGCTCATATTCCTCAAGGGATCGCACAAATAAGTTATTGTTCTTCATTACGGGAACTAGAAGCCGCCTGTTAACACAAACTCGGGCCGCCGGTTCGACGATGAGACGAGATTTTACCACATTGGGCAGCGATGCGCTCTAGAAATTCCAACGCGATGGCTTCATCCCTCCCCGCTAGAGGCTTGATAAAGTCGATGTACGGGTTCGGGGGCGTTTTCTTCACATTCAGCCGTCGAAAGCCAAGAGACGACATGGCTACTTCGTTGTCGGCGCCGACACCCGCTTATTAGTGCCTCTATTGCCCTTCGAGATTGAGATGAAAAGGAATGAGTGAGATTTCACTCCCGTAGCGAATCTTGACCTTTGTTGGCTGGGGAGGTTGTGGCGTGTGAGCGCTGCCCGAGTCTCGCGTAGCGAGGGTGTGCAGGACCAGACCTTTTGGATGGAGGGGCATCCTGACGTCGTCATTTATCACGGTGTCACGTGATGCCGCGTTATTCTACCACCTCCTCGAGAGGTCGAGACGGTGGGAGGGGCAAGCCTTTGATCCTGACTTCAGAGGTGGATAGATACAAGTAGATATTCGATTGTGACATGGCAGTATCCTCCGTGCATGCATGGTCTCGAGTTTGATGCGCAGGGCAACCGTGAAAGCTTCATTACGGAAAACTCAAATTATCCACGGCCCTCTCTGCACTATACTCGGCCATATGCAAAACGTTCTGAATCTAAATTTGGGGTATCATGTGGTTTAAGCTAGAAAGAAGAAAAAAGATGGTCTAAAGGCTTGTAACAAGTAATCCTCACTATACCCTCAAAGTCCGTACCTCGTTACGCACTCCTGTCTGTGAAGGTCAAGACAATCCAAGGCGCATACCCTGGTCCCACACTTCACGCAGCGAACTTTCCCCAGTACCCGCAGACGGAGCAAAAGACTCTCACCGGATACCGAGCAGCTTCGGCTGTCCACGTTGCCCGAGCTTGTCTGTAGTTGAGGGGCGGGGCTGCTAGTAACGTCCTGAGCTCCGCGTCTGAAGGAGTATCAGGCACCCGAGGCGCTAGTAGCTTCTCCACGTCATTGACGCCGTTAATCTTCAGCTCTTGCGGCTTCTCGTCCTTGCTCTGCTCGTCGCCGCCAGTCATTTCCACGTCTTCTGACGAAGGTGCGAGGGGTGTCAGCACAGGCGTCCCCGTCTCTCCCATGACGATATCAACACTGGAACCCAGTGTTCCAGGCTTTGGTATTCCTTTCGCCGAGGATGTCGAGGACTTCGGGGGCGGTTTCCGACGCGAATTCGCGGATTTGGTGGGTTGTTCTCTAGCGGGAGTGGCATGCGCGAGAGGGTACTGTCGCCGCCTTGCGTCTGCATCGCCTCGAAGTCATCCAAGTGGTTTGCAAACGTCTTCATACTCTGCAGAATCTTTCGCACATTCGGCGTCGACTTGTTTTGCGCCGCTGCGAATGCTACCTGTTAGCGCACCTTTATGCAGCGGGGGCTTGTCAAGCTGCTCCTTGACTTACCTCGGCCTTTAGCCGGTACAGGGATCACTACATCCCTGCTTCCCTCTCTGTCTAAAGCCTCGAGCTCCTTGCGTATCTTCGCCTCCTCTCTTGCAGTCTGGTCTGAGAGGCTCAAACCCTTTCCTCTCGCAGCCGCTCGTTTTCGCCCAGTAGTCTGGATTGTCGCGGCCGAATTGGCCGTCCGGTCAGGGACGTAAGCCCATCCGGGAGCTACGGTTGTTTTCGCGCTGGCGAGTTCAATTAAGCCGAAATTCTCCATGGTGACACCGCTCAGTTGGTTTGGTAAAGGTTAAGGTTACGAGGGCGAAAGGGTCTTGTTGGCCCACGAGAGGAAGGTTCTCCATGTCTTAGTCAACCCGACGAGCACAATATAACACAGTGCGCGTGTTTTACACTGTATGGAAAGGGTGGGAGCATTGAAGAGCAGCACAATTCGATCGAGCATATTATTATCAAGGTGTTCTTTTGAGCATCACGAGAGCAAAGATTGGAAGAGAATTCGTTTGATTGAAATCATAAAACATTCATGCCATTCAAGGCTACCTGAGGAAATGCACAGAAACCCCCTTTGTAGATTAAAACGAAAAGAAAAACAAACCCAAGGCCCCTTGTTTTAATACAAGCACAGATTCCCCGAATAAACCCATGCAAAAATTTTGTTCAGGATTGGTGAAAAAGAGAGCAGTAGAGAAGAAGCTTCTTTACAACTCATCGTGCGACTCCTTGTCCTCCTTCGTCTCCTCGGTCTTGGCCTCGGGAGCCTCCTTGGCCTCCTCCTCAGCGGCGGGAGCCTCCTTCTCGACGGAGACGTTGGCCTGGTGCTTGCCGTTCTCCTTGATGAAGGTGATGAGGTCCTCAACGGTGCGAGAGCCGCTGTAGGTGATGGGAGCGGCCTTGCCACCGGCGGGGAAGAGCTTGATGGTGGGGAAACCCTGAATCTCATCAGGGACGTCGTTGGCGGTGGCATCAACCTTGGCGATGGTCACCTTGTCCTTGAACTCAGAGTTGGCGTAAAGGGCGCCAAGCTCCTCGTACTTGGGGGCCAAAGCCTTGCAGTGGCCGCACCAAGGGGCATAGAACTCAACGAGAACGTCCTTGGTGTCGTCGAGGACAACCTGCTCGTAGTTCTTGGCAACAATGACGGTGACGGGGTCATCGTTGGCCTCGGGGATGGGCTCAGACTTGATGCTGGGCTCGAGCTTGCCGGCGGCGAACTCGGCGACGAACTCGGCGATAGCGTCGTGGGTGATCTCGGTCTCTTGGCTGAAGGGGAACTTCTGGTTCTTGGCAGTCTCCTGGATGGCGAAGGCGGGGAACTTGTCCGCCTTGAGGTTGAGGTTGCCAGCGTGGGCACCAAACGCCTTGGCGTCGATGGTGGCGAAGTTGATGGTGCCTCGGTACTTCTGGGCAATGGGCTTGAGGGCCTCACCGAGCTCAGCGCGCTCCTCAGGAGTCTCGGCAAAGATGTAGGCGAGGGGAATGCCCGCGGACATGTAGCCAGAGTAGGTCTCGGGGCCGACCTCACCGATGAGGGGAGTGGCGCCAGTCGTGGCAAACTTCTCGATGGCCTCGGCGTCGAACTTGTCACCAGTGTAAGTGGTGACACCCTCATCGAACTGCTTGTACAGAACAATGGCGGGGGACAACGCCCTCAGCCTCGGCAAGGGCAGCGTCGTTGCTGGAACCGAAGACATAGGTGTCACGGAGCTTCTCCGCTACACCAGAGTAGACCTCGGCGGAGGTCTTGTCATCAGCGGCGTAGTAGCCGACGAGGACGACCTTGTCGGCGGTCTTGAACTCCTCGAGGTTGTCCTTGGTAACCTCGGAGACGGCGGGCATGGACTGCTTGATCATGTATGAGGTGATGGAAGCAGCCTTGCGCTGGCCGGCATAAGGAGTGATGTTCTCGAGGCCACGGAAGACCTTGAGAGTGGGGTAGCCCTCAACACCGTGCTTGGAGCAAAGCTCCGAGTTTTCAGTGCAGTCAACCTTTACAAGCTTGATGCCCTTCTCCTTGAGAGAGGTAGCGGCCTCTTCGTACTCGGGGGCGAGGGCCTTGCAGTGGCCGCACCAGGGAGCATAGACTAAACGATAAAAATATCAACGATTAGCACTTTGATCCAGCTTCATCTTCAACTGCCGCCAAGGCAAAGGGAGGGGGACACCAGGCGGTAACTTACACTCAGCAAGGACAAGCTCATTGGCCTTGACGAAGTCATCGAAGGTCTCGCCAGTAAGAGCAGCAACATCGGAGTCACCCTCCGCCGCAACAAGGGCAACTGTGGTGGCAAGAACGCCAAAGAACTGCTTAAGATGCATCTTGGATAATGTGAAAACGGAATCAACAACACAAAAGGGTATCAGAAGAACTCAAAAGGGATGATCACTTTTCAAGATGTGGGATGAGAGAAAAGTAAAACAATGAAAAAGGGGAAGAGGATGGGCTTGAGAAGGTTGCGAGGGGAAGAGAAGAAGGAGGTCTCAGGGTGGGTTGGTATTTATTTTTCGATTGACTGAGGATGGTTTGGCTGGAGCAAGGTGCTGGAACTGGAGCTAGCAATTGAACAGGTGTCCCCTTCCTTCTCAGGTACCCAAGCAGCGTTCTCCAACTGAAGCATTTCCCCATCTGGAATGGAGACCCAGGTTCAGAGGCTCGCATTATTGCAGTATTACTCCGCGCGCCTGGAAGCTGCTCTGCCTCGCTCGTACCTTCCCGCTGCCGAAGTATAATACCAGTACCAGAGTGGTTGGTTTCTCGGGAGGCTGTACATCTGGTCCTAAAAGGGATCAGAACTCGTACTGTATAGGTAACTTGTCCTCCCAACCCTCCAATTGCTTTTACGCGTACCCCCTATTGCTCCTCTTGCGGTCCCATGTGGCGATTCAACACTTCAAAGGCCTTCGAGATGAACTGAATGATCACTCAAAAGTGGCAAGGGTGCTCGTAGCTATTTTTCGCCCGTTCGCGCTGCTTACGCTTCTTCTAGAAATCCAGCTTCTGAACACCCCACTAAGCATTACAAACTGCTCAGCTTTTTTGTAGCTATCAAGCCTGCCAACTGAAGACAGAGCAAAGTTAATCCGAGTCAGCCGGGGGCACCGCCACTCTCGACAGAGGAGAAAGGAGGCGACCGTGGCCTCTCGATGGTGTGTGTGAACATTATTAATTGCACCCCATTCTTAAGCCTTACACGACAGGTACATCTCGCCTCCCCCACCAGCTCAGGGACCGACCCACCCAGCCAACCATCTCGTTTGAGCCGTCCCCGGAATAACCATGTGGCCACTCTCTACACTGTGTCATGAGCTCGGGTTGATTTGAAGGGTTTGGTAGCCGTCACCACATTAAGATCGCTGAGGGCATTGTCAAATTGATTGCGGGTTTCGCAAGTTGCTTCAGAATCAAGCCAAGAAGCTTGAGCTCTCCAAATACAGAAGCTTCGAACCGTTGAGCCGAAGGAGAAACAAGAATGGTGATGGACATGGGGGCTGGAATCGTTATCGTTGGCGTTGCTCCTTCGACGACATCGATCCATCCTCCAAAGTAGTGCCGTCAATCAGCCCCAGCCACCCACCACACCCATCAAATCCCTCAACCGTTGCTCCCTGAAGCCTTCCCCTTGTCGAAGAGGCTTGAAGCATGAATGCCACTGGCGCAGCGTGGAAGGGCGCTTTTCTTCAGGACACGAGTGCAAGAACATTGAACATTGAACCTTTCTTTTCCCCGTGAAGTGGACTGACCCGACCCTTTTTGATCCGCTCTGCAGCAACGGCAATGTACACTGGTGTGACCGACCCGTTGCCTTGGCGCTTGGCATGTGCGCCTTCCCTCGACAAGAGCCCCATAAGATCACCCAGGGAAGAGGCTACGTGGAGGCGACCTTCAAGATCCGCATCTCCCCCTGGCATTGATAATTTGTTGTGTGTGCCTGACAAATGTGACCGTCAATTTAAAGAGTGGGCGGGCGACCAAGGTACTTGTTTGCTCTGTAAATCCACCTATGATAAGCACTTTGAGTAGCAGGCTTCATTGATAAACTCTCTCTGACGGAGTTGCCTGCCGAATACCCCAGATGTTCGCCCCATGTCTCGTTTGCAGAGTCTTGGGGCTTTATTTCGGATCATGGCGCCCATGTAACGCCCCAGTATTATAGGTCGCTACATCCATAGATATCTGGAAACCGTGGCCACCACCAGGGCGAGCGGTTCAAGATGGTTCTCAGCGTCCCGCTTTTTATTGTTATTATTTTTCATCGCAGCTTGCGCTTTCTAATGTTCCGTGATTAGAAAGTGAAGGAGGCGGGGAAATTCAGATTCCACTGCGTCACAGTCCATCCGCCCCCTGTCAGTGAGGGAAGACTAGTGATGCTCAACCCCCGCTCCACTCAAGCACGAGGAAGCGAAATCGGCGTTGGAGTTGAGTTGATAGTATCATGTCCTGGCTGCTCTTACGCGAGTGCCCGTTTTTTTTTTTTTTTTTCTTACTTCGTGGCTCTCGATAGCAAAAAGACGGGAGTCCAAGAAGAAGAAAAGAAGAAACAGTCGCAATCAACGCTACGGCAAGAGGAACATTCTAATAGACAAGGGAAGAACAAGAGTCTCAAATTTATTGATGTTCGTCGTCAAGTTTCGAATTATGGCCCGTCATGTCCAAGATGGGAAATCTGTTTCCGGCATAGTGCTTGCATATTTGACTAGATCGGTTGATACCCTCGTCTCTCTTGATGCTGCCCCCACACTGATGAGTTAGCTCTCTCGCATCTCCAGCTTGACAGCGTGTGACCATTGCCCACACCACCCGAAATCGCTCAAGGGATCGGATGCGGCCTGGGCCTAGCTTTGACTGTCGCTATTACTCTTGGAGCACATATCTTGATGCTCGAGAGCCGCAGATGATCCCGCATGCCACGGTCCAAGACTCTCCAAGGCAATAACTGAACGAAGTGGGAAGAGGAGAGGGTCTGTGGTGCATGAGTTGCTTGAGTTGCATATCCGGAACAGTATCAACTGCCCATCATCATTATCTATCACTCTATTCCTCGTGACGTTATACACATGGCCCGTGGATGAAGGTTGTCCCGTCTACATCCCTTCCAAAGCCAACCACTTTTGAACCCTCAGATAACTCCGTTCATATTGTTCCCTTTACTTCGAGCAAGTCTTCTCCAGCTTCCCAACCTTTTCCTCCAACGTCTGTACATAAGCGCTTACTCGCTGAACAGACGCCTGAAGAGCCTATGGGGATGAACAGCAAACATAAAACCAACAGTTAGCACACCGTTCGCCTTTCCTTTCCGAAGATATTGAGTGTATGGGAGGAAGCGGCCGAGTATCAAGAGAAAGGGGAGAGAAACACGCAGGACCGTATTGGAACGGAAGATGTCCTGATGTGAGTCAAGGGGAGAACCAGGCGATAACCAAATAAATAGAAGAAGAAAGGGTACGTAAGAAGGAAGAAAGAATAAGAATGATAAAAGGCCCGCCTGCATCAATGAGTCTATTCCAGAACGCTGTATATGAGGTATGCAACGAAGGGGGAGAGGCCGCTTCCAGATTATGGGGAGGGGATATCAAGGTCGTGATTTATATGGCGAAACGCACGTAAAGGTCCTCGAGGAGGAGGTCGTTGGCAGTCTTGAACTCCTGGCGCACGTAGTTGTAGGCGCCGAAGCCGGCAAGGGTGGTGCCTGCAAAGAAGCCGAGAATTCTACAGGGGCAAGGCGATGGAAGGTTAGCGCGACGTTCAGAGGAGAGTGCGCATCGCAGCGCGCCCTTCGCTTAGCACAGAAGAGTGCGGCAAGGGTTGGGCTGTATGGGGGATGCGGTAACAAGGCTTACCCAGAGCGAAACGCGCCGACAGGCTTGCTGGCAGGAAGGGCTGCGGCAACCTGGTTCGAGAGCCTCGATGAGGTCTGGAAACCGCGAGCGGTGAAGCCTGCGCGGAGGAGAGCGCGGCTGGCGGTGAGAGTCCTCGGAGTCATCGTGCGCGGAAGTATGGCCTTGGAGACTGGCAAGGGTGGCGTGAGAACCGACGGCTGGAACCTGGAGAACTGGGGGCTAGGGACTACGGATTCCTGGGAGACTGGAAGGGATTTAGACGGGCCTTGGGTTAGAAGAAAGAGAGAAGAAAAAAAAGGGAGGGGTGAAGGGGGAGGAAATAATCTGCCACTTGATATATATGCAGGCGCGTTCTTACCAGAGAGTATCAAGCGCACGACACGGACAAACCCACACACTCGCAGATGGAGAATGGTCTGGTCGGGGTTGAATTTGGGGGTTAAAGTGGCCGAGGCAGGTCAGGGGTTAGTTGGCCGGAGGTGGCGTTAGTGTGGCGTTGGAGTGGGAGGGAGGGAAATTTTTTTCGAGGCAATTGACCAATTCTTTCACGAACGGCAACCGCCGCTGGGCCAATCAATAGCAATACCTCCCCTCCCCCATCTGCATACCAAAATTTGACAGCATGTTTTGGATAGGAGAATGGTGTGGGAGGGTTCCTCACCGCCATGCCATGCCAAAAGAAAGAAGAAGAAAAATAGGGAAAATAGTGGGAGATCGGTTTCCCAAAATTATTAGTTCGCTCTCCCGGCAAAGTTGGAGGTGCCGAAAAGGGCAAATAGGGAGGTGCCGAAAGGGGCAAACGGATCTCCGTGCACTAATAAAGGCCCGCATCGCATGGGGCCTGCACATGCTCAAGGAGATGCCGAACTCGACGGGCGCGATGGCTGGCGCAGAAGAACAGTCAAACTAGTAGAGAAGCGGGATCGAAGCTTTTTAGTTCCACTACCCCTTTTTCTTCTCCTTTCTCTCGAATCCTTGGGCCCTCCTAAAGTGGCGAATCCCTTTGACTGGCCCCTCGATACAGCTCGATTATGGCGCCTGGGCCTTGTTTGTCCTTTCTTGTGCCGGTCACCGGCTTTCCGCCGGATCGCTAGTGCTGTAACACCCGGCCCTCCGTCCTTGCTTGACCCGCGGTGGCCTCGACCCCGTCACCACACTCTCAGTCTGAGCCAATGTGTGCCGTGACGACTCTACGTTTACTACATGCATGCTTGGGCCTAGGACCCGGGACCCACAAGACGAATCATGGACCCCTACCGAACCCCTAGAAAGACGGTTGATGTGTGTCCACGTAGTCTCGATAATTCTAGATATTTCCAACTACTAACACAAGGCCGGTCTCGCGAAAGGCCATCACCTTCTTCTGTGGCCGCCCCTTCACCGCGCTCAGTAAGAGACACAACCTCTGTGATACCAGCAGCCTCCTGCTCCTCCTCCAGCGCCGTAATCTCCTCTCGGCAATCCCACCACTTCTCTTCCGAGAGCTCAAATGCCTTTGTCTTGACCTCCTTGACCGAGAGCTCTTCTACCTGCTTACCCTTTGCTTGAAGACTCGCCAGGAGCACTTCCTGCCACTCGTTTGATGTACGCGCAAAGAATTCCCGTCGTGATTCGAAAGGCTATCACGCATCATTGTTAGCCACGCTTGGCCCGTCGGGTAAACACCTTCCGTAACACCGAGCCCAAGACCTACCCTAGGATGCGGCAGACCGTCGTCAATCGAGGTACTGCCTTCGGCCTCGTCCCAATCCGCCGAGTCCGCCTCAGCGGCTGGTGACGCTTCTGCTGTTGCCTCGCCCTCAACATCTTTTTGTTTCTTACCACGCTTGCTAGGCGTAAACAGAGGGTTGGCATTTGCATCGCCCATGCCCACATCACCATCCTCATCTTCTTCATCATCATCCTCGTCTTCTTCACCATCTTCATCATCATCTTCGTCCTCAGACTCCTGTGGTAAGGCAAGTCAGTACCATTGTAATAAATCGAGAGAAACCGGTGCGTAAGAGAGTAAGAACACAAAAAGAAAAAAAGAACTTACCACCCAGTCTTCGTGCTCGATGGAGAATATTTGCTTGCATCCGGAGAGCTTGACTAGGTCGATTGCGTAGAGATCGTCAAAAGTAAATTCCCTATCGCCCTTTTCAAAGGTTCCACCATATATGTAGAGGATATCGTCCTGAACGGCCAGCTGTGCGTTGAACCGAGCATGAGGGGGCTCCATGGTCACGGGCATCTCCTTAGCAGCGGCCCCTCCGTCGTCCGGCACCTCTTCCGGATTCTTTTCGATTTCTATCGAATCAAGGTCTTCCAGGGATTTTCCCGTCTCGAGAGCGGCCAACTGTCGGAGCAGCTCCTCTTCATTGGCCTGGGCGCGCCCCCTTCTACCTACGCGCTGCTCAGAAGCGCCCGCCTTCTTCTGCACTCGGGGTTTGCGTAGGGTCAGCGGCATGAATCTGTTGCGTTCGACGTTCCAGGCGAACAAGGCGTTGAAGAACTCGCTGTCAATATCTTCCTCGCTCATCTCGACATCGTGCACTCCTCCAAACATGATTCCTCGGCCTTTGTGGAAGGCCATGGTCGCACCGGCTCGCACCGGGTTAGGGCCGTTGGCTGGGCGTTTACGCCTTTCCCACCGGACAAGGGGCGGAGTCTTGGCTGGGCTGTTCTCTTCCGGTAGGGATATGCGCAGGAAAAAGCAGTCTTGGTGCACCATTGGCTTCACAACATTTCTCTGGCCCTTGGCCGAACCCTTGGCTTGCTTGTTCGCGACGACGGTTGTCTTGACCCGTGAGTAGCCACCATAGAGCACCGCGCCCTGCTCATGAGGAAGGAGGGTGAAGGAGGAGCGTGCGTCGGGCTTGAGCTGCGCCGAAGGCAGGACAGGCGCGTACCAAACAAAGTGTTGCGTGTCAAAAATCCAGAGGTCCGCTAGGTACTTGGTCTGGTTGGAAGTGTCTTGAAATCCGCCAAAGAGGATAATGTACTGCTTCCAGTACGTCATGCGATGGCCACTGCGCGCCGGCGGGCAGTTTCCTTAACCTCTATCCGGGTCCATTCCCGACTTGCCGGCTCCAGCCTCCAAAAGTCGGAATAGTGGTGGAACGTGCCCTGCTTCGGCGAAGAGAATTCGCCGCCGAACAAATAAACATAGTTTGGATTTCCTGCGCGACACCAAGCATGCCCTGATCGTGGGAGCGGGGTGTTTGGCGAGGTGATGCAGCGCCACTCGTCCTTTGCGATATTGTAGATGTGCAGATCGTTGAAGAAGTCCGCCCGAGTACCGTTGAAATATTCGCCGCCAAATAATAGCAAAGTGTTGGTATCGCTCGGGTTCGCGAGGAGGGTGGCATGGGCCCGAGGCTTCGGCGGTCCGTCTTGCACGGCCTCGGTGACCTTCAGGTATAGCTCTTGCTGTCGCTTATACTCGTTGAGGATCTCGTCAAGGTCGACATCGGAAGCATCGTCACCGTCAATCTTAGAGGCCTTTGTCTTGGCCTTCTTCTCGCCTTTTGCCGCCTGTTTTTGCTTCTTCTCGGCCTATGGAGCGGGCGGTATGGTATTAGACTTGGGTGGACACTCGCTACTAGTAACAGGAAGGGAGTAAGAACAGGGAAAGAAGGGTATAGACCAAATGTCCCCTATGTTACCGTTCGAGCCTTTTTCGATTCCTTGGAATCTGCGCCCTTGGCCTTCTTCGCCTTGGCCATAGTTTCTATGACCGGGCCCGAGCCGGTAGCCGAAGAGGGAGAATTATATCTCGAGTTTTGTTGTCTAGATAGTTTGGGGCTTCAAAGGACACAGCTCCCAGTCTGGCTTTCGATTGGATCTTTACTTCTTCCTAGGTAATAGATATCTTGGAAAAAGAAGAAAAAGAAACCAACCCGATACTTCCAACTCGATGATATGAAGGGAGACAAAACGAACTGAACTAAACTCGGTATGGAAACCAAGTTTTTCCTCGAGCCCTATTTCACTCCAGCACTGCTGCTTGATGGGCTGGCTGCCCCTTCGAAAATTCCTGCCCCGCAGTGAGCTCCAAGTTGTGCGCGTGGGGTCGCGGGGTAGATATCACAGTCTATAGAAGATTTACCTCACACGGTACGTGAACTCCCATGTGGTCCGGTCCCTTCAACGTCGTCTACGTTCGATGACCATAGAGACCACCTCGTCATCGTAGGTAGCACACAAGTAGAGTAAACATTTTTCAAAGTGACAAGGTAGCGAGCGCTAGCTAGCGTAATAGAAAATCAAAACTTTTTTATTTCCGTGCTCGCCTCTAATGCAGAAAGGGGTATTAAGGACAGTTCCAACCGTACGCCTGTGTAAATGCCATGACAAAGAAACTTCATCACAAAGAGGTTTCGAGTTCCTCAATCCTCATCCTCATCCTCTTCACCGCTCGTGGCGGTTTCGTCATCAATCAAATCGGCGTCGACGCTCTCCAGATCATCGTCTTCATCATCACTGTCGTAGCCATCGTCTTCATCTTCATTGAGGCCGCGAATGGGTGACCAGGGTAGGTAATCGCCCTCGAGCCACAACTTGCTGCTAGGGAGCTGGTAGGGATCAAAAGGGAAAAAGGAATCGAGCTGGAGGGAGTGGTCATCCCGGGCAGACTCGTTCCCGATATCGCGAAGCCTGCCACCCGTGCTGTAGGAGCTCTTGATGTATTGCGAGAGCCTCACTCGCTTGTTGATTTCCAGGATGGGATAGACATACACAAGATTGAGCTTGTGCGCGAGCTTCGCGAATTCCTCGACTATGCCAGGGGAGCAAACTTTGAGGGGGTTAAGCTTGCTGTGGGCATTGTTCTTGAGGATTCTCCGAGTATGTTGACCCCAGTCCAGATCCTGGCCAATGTAGGACAGTGGGTCATCGCCATCAACGGTTTCGGGAGCCGAAACAACTAAATCTTTCCATCGGAAGCAGAAGATGTAGAGTATGGCTTGGAATAGAGAGTAGTACGAGTAATACTTTTCAATGTTTGGCCCTTGGCAGGCCTGCTCGTAGGTGGCTCGCCGGCGGTCTAGGGTCTGGAGTAGGCGACGGAAGACAGCCTGAATGAGGAAAGATGGTATGTGCGCGCCTCGCGCGAGAAAGCTAGCCAAGTAGGAGACTGCATAGTCGCCCAACACGGACGGTGCACTCCTAAACGCAACCTTCTCGCAGGTATCGATGAATTGGCTGGCAAGCGCATCTGATTTCTGAGTGAAGTGGAAGAGGAGAAACTGGGTATGCCGGGACTTGCGCATTTGGAGAAGAATGTTTGTAAACTGAGAAAGTAGGATGCCGCACTGAGTGGTGGCGGTTTCTGAGGTGGGATTCGCAAAGTAAGGGTCGTGAAACTTGAAAAGAATGTCCATGACGGCGTCCAAGATTTCGATATGGTTCTTGACGGTTTTGATCCGTTGCAGCTGTTCATGCTCTTCGTCATCATCGTCGTCGTCGCTTTCATCGCTCTCGTCGGCAGAATCCTCGTCTTGCAGAGCTTTTGCCTTGGCCTCCGCCAACGCTCGGTGAACAGCCGTCACGAGGTCGTCATCAAAGTCGTCGAGGTCAGCTTGCATGCTCACGTCGATATGGACGAGTTGTTCAACAATGAGATTCAAGAGACTTGTTCCGGCGTCGGGCGCGTACTGTCGGATTCGGAGCAGATGCCTGACATATGTGACATGAGTCCGCCTGTAATCATCGGACACGGGGTATTTATTCTTTGCCAAATCGCAGACGCTTCTCATTGCGGCGGGGATATGCGTAGGAGGCGCCTCAATGCGGCGTGCAACCGATCCTCCACCGCGAACTTAGAGACCTCGGGGTATCCTGGGACGGTCCACCGAGACTTCCTTGTCTCAGAGAAGTAGTCGAAGATGAGCCCAAGAGCCTCCGAAAGATAAGACCCGATGCTGGCAAGAGCAGCCAGGAATTCAATGTAGGCGTGGACAAACCTGTCGTCGCGGCCAACCCAGGCGCACTTGAGGACGGCCTGAACAAGATCTCGGAACGGCCGTTCCTTGAGGGTCGGCGCACAGGAAGCGAGGGCGAGGACGTATTGTGTCAGTTCGTGGGGCCTGATAGGAGGCTCGTCATCGTCTTCGGTGCCAAGGTGGTCGCTAGCGCGGCGGGTATCGAGAGAAAAGTGTTGCTTGAGGGTCTGGTACTCCTCATCCTGACCTTGACGATGTCGGTCGAGCGTGCGGCGCACCTCCGCTCGGACGTCAGCGAGGATCTTCCGCCTACTTCATGGACGATGGGGCTCGAGTCGCTGAACAGGACTTTGCGTCTTTTTGCGGGAGTCTGAGGTTCCTGAGTGCCCTCTTCCATGTCGAGCATGTCAAGTTTCCGCTTAACATTATCTCCTTGACGGCGAAGGATCGATTTCGATTGACCCACGCTTGGTGGTAGGAATGAATCGGCTCTGGTAGCCGAAATAGAGGTTGGCATTGGTGGAGGAGTTTTGAGAGAGCCCTCACGGAATAAGATAGAGAGCTCTCGTTTCTGCTTCTGCTCCTTGTTGGCAATAATGATGGCCTCGTGAGTCTTCTCACGAGCGCAGGTATGTTTTTCTAACTGAGAGGAGGTGCTCGGGTGGGCCACGAAATGAAAACAGTCATTATAAAGCAAGAAAAGGACGTTTCCAGTAGAAGTACTGTATTAAGCTGTCAGATTTAGGCCTTTCTCGTCAAACTTCTTCTGGAATGAATGGTCCAGTCAGACAAGGAATTTTTCCCAGTGAGCGATGAAAGTGGCAGAATTACCAATGTCGTCGAGCCCCAAAATTTGGATAAGAGAGCTAGGCAACTTTTCTTGATGTGGGGAGGGGTCGCGGCACGTGATGTTTTTTGGGAAAAATCATGATGGGTCTTGTATTACGTAGGTGTACCTTGGCTTGCTTGGATGTAAAATGAGGCCTGTGGTTATTGGTGTCTCGACAACAATGGCCCCACCAGCCTGACCGAGGCCATTCACTATTGACTAGTTTCATGGTTGGCGCGGTCTCGTCATCCGTCTGATGGACAGTGATTGAAAGATACACATCCATGTTCAATAAATCTGTCTCTGCGATGGAATTTCTTTCTATCTGAGAGGCACGCCGACTGGCAGTGCTTTTACAGTAGCAAACAACTTTTGCTTCAGTATACTGACAGCGACAGTAGTCACACCAAATGCTTTCCACTTTTTTGAGCAGGGCCTTAGCTCAAGGGTGCCAGAAGGGGAGGTGAGGGCACTGTTGCGGTAAAAAGAATTGCAATCGATTTATTATATGATTCATCCGTCCTGGCCGATCAACTACTATAGTTCGAGCCTCCTGCTAAAGGTGCTCTTCTCCAAACGTATGGGATGCCCAGCGCACCCTGAGTCGGTCGAGGCCGCTCACCTGCTTGGACATCCCTCTGGCCCGATATGTTTGGGCATCTCATCTACCCCCAGCGTACCTCTGTTGCTTCCGCCTCCACCAGCCGCGGACGACCTTTTAACACCATGTAGAAGATACACGTAGGGTATCGTGGGCAGAGCCGCTTTTGTTTCGCCACAGATGGGATGGATTCCATTCACCCCATTTGGCATCTCTACCGCCGCACATGTTCGCCCTTGTTTAATACGGCCCTTCAGTGCCGGCGCCGTTATGACCAGCTTGTCCGCCGTACAAGAACCCAGCGTCCGCACCTTCGCCTTGCTGGCCACCGAGGAGAGCACCAGCACCCTCGCCTTGGTATGCGCCGGCTCCGCCCTGGCCTGACCCACTGGCGCCGTATCCTTGACTGTTAGGCCGTTGCTGGTTGTCGGTACGGTTGGACTGGGATTGCTGCGCTGAGTTAGCACTTGCGTACATCACCTTATCAGGAAACGAAGGGACGCTGACTTACGTCTCGATACTTGGCAAGGTAGATCTTAAGGGCTTCTGCATAGTTTTCGAAGCCAAGCGAGGTCATGGCGAAGAGGATATCCTCGCCGTTGACAGTTTTCCGCTTCTCTTGATGGCATTTTTCGGAGGCTAGGACTGGTTAGTTACTCGCGCTTGTGTCCAGGCTGCTTCGCAGTTTTCTATATTTGATGGGGTAGAGGTATCGGAGGGTTTGGAGCGTCAGGGGTTGAGACCCTTCCTTCCTCCCGAAAAAGAGCAGGTAGAGACACAGCCTGTGTAGGTGGAGGGAAATGGTAACGACGAGGATAGGAGAGGGGGCCTGTTCCTTTTCTTTCAAAGGGCGGCTTGATTCTCATACGATGAGGCAACATACCTTCGCTAGTGATGAAAGAGATGAACTCGCTCACGCACTCTTGCATGCACTCTTTGGCTTCCTTTGCAATCTTGGCGTTATCCGGAAGGGCGTTTTTCATAATGCGGGCCACTGGAGCAAAGTTGCGAATGTTAGCATCAGGTCCATCGGATCTCTCCGCCCCTGAAGCGGGAGGCGCTTCTGGCGTCTTGGGTGACGAATCGTCGGACATGGGCCGTCGCTAGCTGTCCGCCTGGGCGCCTATGTCGATGGCAAACAGCCAGTAATGCGCTAGCGTGGCCGGATACTGGTGGAATCAAGAGGCACGCGGAGCCCCGATAGGAAGACGGAGGAAGCAAGCATTGCGCGCAAATCACAAAGCGAGGAATGGAAAGTCAGTCAACATACCATTGGCTATAGGCAACCATCTATCCTGCTCCTTGACTTCAAACTCGTAGGTGAGCCCGCCGCTCTGTGGGTCCTGGTTGTCGTTCATTTGATCTTCCCCGTCGGGTGACTGTACACCTTGATCGACATCCTTGGGAGCAGATTGGGGGAGTCCGACATATTTGGCTACCTGCAGCGGCTGCTGGCGTTCTTGTAAAGGCTTCGGCTGTCCAGCTTATACGAGCTCGTTTCAAAAAGGCAAACAAAAAACCCCCAAAAATCCGGAATGGCTGACTTGTCTCTTGGCCTTGGACACGTCGCAGGATTCACTTAGGGCCTAAAGACTAGGCTGATTCTAGATGCAGGAGATACGTCAGCCGTTGTTTCCTCGCTGCCTTGATGCGCTTTGAGGGGTGATTCCTGCTTTCTTAGGGGAACCCCGCCATCCGCAAGCTTTGCATACTGGGCGACCAGAGAAAGTCGCCCCATTCCATGAATACGGGGCGACGTGGAAGCAAAAGCCCTATCGATCCTCGCCGAGCCGAAGAGGGCGTGGCTTTAGGATATGACCTGGGTTCGGCCATCATGATGCGCAGTATAGCGCCCAGGCTCATGCCATCTCGGCCTGGATGCCTCGCCTTGAGCTTGGGGGTGGGAAAGTGGATTTGCGCAGCTGGGGATCGCCTTACCGCAACGTATAAGAGCGAGGTTTTACGAAAATGGCGCTGCACCGGGAATAGACGGCAGGGGAAAAAAATTAGGTTGCTGGGGCCCAATTATGTCTCTCGGGCGAGGCTCGCGAAGAGGCAGGGGACGGTGGGTGGGTCGGTAGCTTCGATCAAGAGCTGCCGTTAAAAACACGGCATGAACCTCGAAGAACTGACAGATAAGAGACGGCTCGGACGCGACAAGTAGGGTTCGGGCGTCGAGGGCAGGTGGGTCGAAGAATTCTGGCGACGACGGCGACACGGAGATGCTGAGCCGGAGGAGGGGAGGGGTGTGGCTGTCCGCACCGCGGTTACACTGGCGAGTTAGAGCGGAAGGGGAGTCGCAAAAGGCCAGCGAGGATCCTGATTGAAAAGGCTGCAGAGTCGCGTCAGAATACATTAATGCGACAAATGGGCAGCGTGCATGAGTTGGGCCGCGAAGCCCTCGTACACTGTAGAGTGGGCGAGTGATAGGGAGGGGCGAAGGAAGCTGGGTCGTTAGGCCCCGGATTTCGGGTCGCACTCACACTCGCGGATGTCTGGCTCGAAGCTGGCTCAAAATGTGGTATCAAGAGATGCGCGCGTTGAAGGGCTAATGCACACAGCGAATCTCTAGTTAATGGATGGCTGCAAGAGCGTGGGGTTTGTGCAGGAAGAGGAGAAGAAGTAGTTGGATGGAGAAATGAGGAAGTTGCGGCGGTCAAGAATAATCGAGGGTTCAAAAATGCGCCGCGGCGGGTCAGTTTCGCTAGTTGACCGATGACCCCCAGCAACTGAATTGATCAATCAAACAATCCAAGTCAAACCCGAGCGGGAATTTGGCCAGGCTCGCATCCAGAACAGTGCAACCGCCCAGAATAAAGTACCTAGAATCGGTCAAGTCCTCGTCATGGCTCTCTCCATCCTTCGACCCTGTCCAAGTCTTGTTGCTGAAAAACCAACCTCGAGCCAACCTCCAACACAACCCCGAGGCAGAAGAACACCTGAGGTCCTGCGGGCATGTGTCGTTTATCGATAAGAGGGTAGAGATACATGGAAGTAGTGCGAAATGTCTATGCAACTAGAAGTCCACCACCCACCCACAAGTGCGACAGGGGTTGCTGGAGAGACTTTGCCTGTACATCCAGCCCCCCCGGGGGTTCTCATTGCCGCCTATTATTATTCCAACACCAAGGTTTCTTCGACCCTTGCCCCCATTTCCGATCTTATTCTTGCGGCATAATACCGCTTCTAGGCTGAGAGGATGAGCCGGGGACGCCTTTGAGCAAAAGGACTCCATCCCAGAAACCAATTGGGGAAAGAAAGCCATCCGCCACCAAATTTGCTGGTCACAATCACAATCCGCCAACAGGAGAGTTGAGAGGCCCTGTTAGCACCCACCAACTTGAGGCTACGACCTGAGTGGGAACGCCGTGTGTGAGATGACGGGCGCCTTGCCCCGCGCTGGCTGCCTTTGCTTACTTCGTAGATGGGACAGGAGATCCAACGCAACAAGCTCATTCGGCACTTGGATCGAGTCTGACTTTTGACAGTTCCGAGAATATGTTGATGCCATCAACACCGGGGTTGCTCGACCTATAAGATCTTGTAAGTTTCGCTCAAAGCAAGGTGAAGTTTTCAACTCAGCTACATTGCTTCACAAGCGTCTGCATTTGGCCAAAGAGGGTGAGGAACTAGCTTGCCCCATTTGCGCATCCGCCTTCCACAAGTACGAAGTATATCACAGCATTGAGATGACTTGAATGAGCATTTTTGACCATCTTCTTGCTCTAAATGAAGGTCGAAGGCTGCACATTCGTCACCCACCTGGCGACCACGCCGGCTCGAGGTCAACGTGATGTGAAGAAGCTCGAATAGATGGATGTCCCAAAAAACGACATTGGCTGCATCCGGGACCTCTTGTCACCCGCATCGCTTCCGATGTAGGGACGCACCTCTTCCCATCATGGCTCAATTGGGCCTGCATTTTCGGGAAGGGTGGGTCGTAGCCTGCCTTGATTTGACAATGGCCTCGTAGGGCAATCAGAAGTGACTGGCCAACAGTTGTCCCCATCCTTTAGCTTCGCGCTTGGGCTGGGCTTGTGATACCTGAAGGCCGTTGTCACGGCCAGATGCATATTTTGCTGGCCAGCTGTCCATGTGAAGTCATCGCACGACCGCCGTTGTCAAAATTTCAAAAGTGCTCCCATCACAAACTTCACATCTGTTATCTTGGAACACGCAGACCGGCCAACTTTACACCTGCGCCTCCCCGCGCTCAAGTCTTGGTGTGGATGTTTTTCTAGGGTCAAGTCCGAGCCCCCAAGAGACCTGGCAGTTGCATGAAACTCGCCAGCTCATCTTCGATTACCCAGGCGCATTCGCATCTGTAGGGCTTCCTGCACAGAGTGGGTAGTTCGGCATTGACGTTTCTCTGTCGGTTCTAGTATCAATTAAATTTTATTGGGACGAAAATCAAAAGCGAGGCTGAGAGGCAGGTTTTCGTTGGTGTAGCTTTTTAGGTTTTGTGGACAAGGAAATCCAATATAGATGTTAATCGGCATCGGGGACGAAGGTGGCTCCCATCCTCCAAGGATGGCCTCTTCTCCTGCTCTAAATCCGACCCCATTCCCACACTCTCCAACACTCGGACGTAGAAGGCTTCCCTTCGTTTCGGGCTAGCCTGACCTTGTATTTTCTATCTGCGATTGTCTTCCAGGGCCACCGCACCTACAACCATAGGGTCTTTGTATGCTGTTTCCCGAGCTACATCCTTACTAGAGTGATATTGGCCTCGAGATGCGGTGCAAGAGCCAACCTAGCAGTTGTTCTTGATAGACCGATGCGGGCGCCGTACTGGCGAAGACCATAAAGGTTCTAACTCTAGGCTCTATAATTGAACGGCCGGGAGTGAATTGCTCATAAGAGGTGCCCGGGGACCTAGGAGATGGTCGGCCCTGCAGGAAGGGGGCACTATATCTGTACTCTTCCTCATCACTGACACACGCCACAGAGTATTCAGAGGTGTTCGATGAACCGACGCCGAACGAATGTGAGTGAACAGGCTTATCTAGGTCGCATGAAGTGGAGCGGATCCATCAAGCCCGGGTAGCTACGTCTTATTAGGTAGCCGGGATTTGGCAATGGTGGATTCAGCTCCCAGATGTAAGCGCAAATCGGATATCCTCGTTCCCTGGTATGTGTCGAGTCTCCATAACCTTTTGCATCTTCACCTTTACCCACTTCCTCTCCCGTCCTACGTCCCATACGTTTCTTAGGCCGACTGAACTACTTGGATCTTGTTCTTCTTCTACAGAGGGGAGTTAGAAACTTGGAAATTCTGCGTAGGGAGTAGAGATGGTGGTGATGGAGGCCCCGGGGGTTAGCGAGGGCAAACAAACCTTCCACTTTTCTAGTTCATTTTCCTTGGATTTGTAAGTTTTGACAAGCTCTTCGAGAACTTTCTTTAGCCCATCTGCGTTGGTTTGAAGCAAAGGAACGACATCCGAGACGGTGCGCTCGACTAGCACGCCGTTGATGAGACGGAAACATTTCCTCTCTCCATCCAGAGGGTCAGAGTCTCTAGGACAAGCCTACAAACGAGCCGGGTTAGCATATGGCGATGAAATGCTCCTGGATCCCTTGCGAACATGGGAGTTCTGTTTCCGTCGCCCGCCTCCTTTTCGGCCAAAGGCGAGCAGAGGATGCGGTTTCGCTGGAACTCTTACGCAACCTCGCCGGTACGGCATGCTTCGGACAGGGCCCAAGCGTTGCACAGGGGTGATAGCTTACTTGTGTTCTTCTGATTCTTGTTCAATCTCTCCTATCTTCTGAGCGATTTGTTGTAAGCTATTTTTGTAGTTGTTATATTGGTTTTGAAGGTCTGCCCGCACTCATGTTAGTAAATGATGGATGAGGTGCTGAGCGGGGCAGAGCCAGATTTTGCGAGAATAGGGAAGAAGTCCTGTGACTTGACTTGCCTTGCTGCTTCTTAGCAGACACTTGTTGCGACGACATCTCAGCGGTCGAGATAGCCTTGCTACCGAGCTTCTATTTAGACAGATATTACTTGGCTCACAGCGCCAGGAACGTCTCGATTATTCGATGGTTGCCCGAGGGGTCGCGGAGGAGCCAGGTGCCCATATGAAATTGGTGTGTGTGGTGAGATGAGGAATACCGTGCGTAATCGGGCCCGAGCACCGTACCCTGAAGAGTTGGGCCCATAATTATTTTTCGATTGCGCTGGTTGGTGAATCGTTGATTTGCGATCTGAACTTCTCAAAAATCACCCCATCATTCATTCAGCCTCGAACTCTTTTCTCCTGCGACGAACAAACGACACAAACAACGCGACTGAACAACCGAACAAGACCCCGTGCCGGAAACCGTTCAAAATGCACTCTCACCTCGACAAGCCCGAGAACTTGCGTAAGTAGCCCGAACACTCTACACGCTTCCTTTTGGCTTGGGGTCTGCGCTAACTCGCCTATTCTTCCCAGCCTGCATCGATGTCATCAACGCCCTCGAAGAATGCCATGCGCGCGGTTTCCTCTGGAAATCTATCGGAATGTGCAACGATGCGAAGACGAACCTAAACGCCTGTCTTTGGGTCCAGCGACAGAAGCGAGCGGCGAATAATCGAGAGGCTGCCCGAGCGAGACGGGACAAGATCAAGCAGAAAGAGCAAGAGCTGGGCCTATAAAATTTGTCCCAAGGGCCAAAGGGGAGTCCGATGGGCGATCGACGAAGGACAAAGCGCTTCCTGACCTGCGGCGTCCCTGCGAGACCGATGATAGGGATGAAGGGACTTCATTATTCAAGAGCAACATGCATTTTTATACGGCGTTTAGGCTAGGCAGGGACAGTATATTTCGGTACAGGCAGGATATCTATTCCAAGAAGATCGCGAGAAGAATACATGTAAGAATATCGTGTACCTACAAGCTCAGGTTTTGTAAATGGTACAAGGCAAATCCTCCTCTCACTCTCGTATAACTCTATCCTGTCACTTCGTTGGGCGACAACTTTCTAAGTGCGCTGGTAGAGGGCGCGACCAAAGGTCACGAGACCGAAGGTCGCAATGAGGCTCAGCATGATGGGGACGGGCTTTTGGAGCCTGATGGCGCGGGGAATAGCAGATCCTCCGAGGACAACCGAGGCCAAGAGGCTCAGCTCAAGACCATACGGTTGGCGATTGCGGATACGGGAGCCGCCGAGGCCATCTAGTTTGCAACTCACCGTTAGCGATTGAGAGGGGCAGGAAAGCTAGAACTTGGCCGTGGAGCATCACGTACAGAGTAGGCCAACAGCGCAGCCAGCGGCGACGGACGGAACCGAGCCGGTCCTGGCGAAGCCGATGATTCCGCCTGACGCCGTCAGAGCGGCAAGGATGAATGAAGTGGTGTCAAGACCGTTGCCCGCCTGGGAGTGAAAGAGGGTTAGTTGACTGTAAGACGACCAATGAAAAAGAATAGTATTCTGAAGGCACTCACCATTGTTTTTATTTTTATACACGTATCTCAATTGATTCCTCTCTTACAAATTGATTTGTTGTGATTCTGGGCTGAGCGTAGCTAGTTGTAGTCTTGGACAACCTTGTCTCTCTACCGAATTCATGCCGCTCCGAGGTGGTGGGTTTCGAGCTTTCCCCAGATGCCGCAAATGTCATCGCGGCTTATTAATTCCCATCTGCCGCCCGAGCTTCAGCCACAGCGAGAGAAAAACGCCACGTTTCGCATCAATAGAATTGGGGCTTGAAGCTGTCGTGTCAATTGAAACTCGCAACCGTGAGCTGCGAGGCGTCTGACACATGTCCACGTACGCTAGACGACATCTTCAACACCCGATCCCCTAAACCATCTCCAAAGCTCGAATCGCACCACAACCGCGGCCATGACTCCCAAGACAAAGAAGGAATCAACCCCCGCGCCCTCGAGTGCCGCAGCTCCCGCTTCCTCAGCGGCGCCGGCCAAGAAATCGTCCTCTTCGTCCCAGAATGTGGAGTGGACGTCCGCGACTTTCGTCTCCAACTACGTCAAGACCACCCCCAGAGGACGAAGCTGATCGACCTTTTATGGCTTACCTCATGGTTGTGGGCGCTATTCAGTTTCTGTACTGCTTCGTTGGTTCCTATGTACGTGGAAATGCCCAACATTGCCTCTCGAGCATGTCGTTCATCTTGTTAACATTTTCGTGCAGCCATTCAACGCCTTCCTCTCTGGGTTTTCGGCCACCGTTGGCCAATTTGTTCTTACCGGTGCGTCTTCCCCAGCCACTGTACCCAAAATTACTCGATCATTCCTCTTTCTTTACCGCCCTCGTGCGATACTAATTCATCTGATTAGCGTCCCTCCGTGTCCAAACTAGCTCGGCCAGCAACAAGGAATTCTCGTCCATCTCGCCCGAACGGTTCGTGCTCTTGATCTTTGATAACTCGTTGTTCCTTGCTCGGTGACTGACATTCTTCTTCCTGCGACTTGTTGCTGTCCCTGTAGTGCCTTTGCCGATTACATCGTGTGCAGCATAATCCTCCACTTCTTCTGCGTCAATTTGATAAACTAAGGAGACGGACCGCAGCGCGGATATTGGAGGGGTATGTGGTTTTGGTCTCACTGAGCACACAAACCGCAACGGAAGTTGTTTATTTTCTTTACTTGTCCGACACGGAATGGAATGTCAACATGTGTACAAATTATGGGAGTCGTCCTTGGAACTGAATCGCAAACAAAAGGGTTAGATTTGAGGATTCAAAATACATTTTACATCATAACCGCAAAGCTTCATATCCGTGCCAGATGCCCGAACCCCAACATTTCCTTTGACAGAGTAGTAATGAAAACAAGAACACAAAAGTCTAGAGATAAACCGAGTACGCCTTCCCCGCATCTTCTACGAAGTGCTCTCCGCCTCTGGACTCGCGGGCTTCGCATCCGCCCGTGGCGGCCCACCCTTTGGAGGAGGAGGGAGGCTGTTGAGAGGCGTGGACCGGCCACTCGGTCTGTCTAGCTCCCTGCTCTTCTGCTCTTCTTCTTTCAAGTAGTCGTCCATTAGGTTGATCGGTAGGCGGTGGCCATGCTTCTCCTTCTTCTTGCCTCGCGGAGGCCACCCGTGGGGGCCCGCTAGTGATGTCGGCAGGAACGAGGAAGTTGCCTCCAGCCGGAGGAGGGGCCGAAGAGGGTGGCGCGGGAGCAAACGCAGGCACGAAAGATGAATTGGCGGGTGGAGTATCCCCGTCAAACATGGTTGTGCCGGGGGCGGAGACGGGCTCGCTGAGGGGTGCAGGCAATCTGTGAAGGGCTCCGTAGCCGAGGACACATCCGAGGGCTCCCTCACCACCCCAATCCCTGCTGGGCTGGATCGTCACCTCCCTTGTTACATCGTATTCGTTGTTGTAGACGTAAAGACGCAGCGGCCGGGCAATGTGGTCTTCGACAAGCTCGCTCAGGCCGCTTTCACCGTGGAGAATGCCTTCGGGGCTGCCGAGAATGTAGTCGCTGTAGGGAAGGAGCCCAGCCTGGTCCGCGGGAGAGTTTCCGGCAACGTCGAGGACGTGCCAAATGTTGGCGGCTATAGAGATGGGAGTCCACTGGAGGGAGAGACCGAGAGATGCGGTATCGTGGGGGACGGCAATATGCATTTCCCGTGTCCTTTGGCCCTATAAAAACGAAGAAAAGGTTTAATGCCCATGCGAAATAAGACGTGTTGAGAAGAAAGCGAAAGAGCGATACGAAACCCAAAAGGGAGGAAGAAGGGAGAAGGAAGGACTAACCTTTGCGTTCCATAAACCGAGTGTTACAGTCCCGCCAGCGCAGTTGCGCACCTCTTGCGAGAAGAGATTGGGGCTCGGGTTGTCGAGAGCGCGCCCGTTGATCCCGACTATGAAGTCGTACCACGGCTCAATAAGGAGCTCGAGGTTTGTGTTGCGCAGGACCTGGAATCCGTACTCGCCGCCGCGGCTATGTTGGTGCGCCGGCGCATCACCGTCCAGCCTTGATATGAAGCGATTGAGGGCGTTGAACATGGTGGGCGAGTCGGGGTGGGGAGGAGAAGCTGCTTGGCGTTGGTGGGCGTATTTTGCGATGTGTCCAAGTTCAGGCCGGAATCGTTCACCAACCGAAAATGGGTTTCGCGAGGATCGTAATCTCGTGTCGGGATTTGAAAGCTCGTGTGCTCGCGTGCCAGTTGTGGCTGTTCGGAGTGTGGGTGGTGGTCTTGGTTGTTCGGTGCAAGCTGTCATCACTTCATGTTGGAGCTCTCTTGTGGTCGAGCTTGTGCTCACTCAGCCGGAGCCTTCAATGTTCAATGCTCAAAATTAGCCCCTCGCAGTTGGGCGGAAGAGCTCCCTGAAAGTTGAACTCGGCCGTACCTGACCAAAGCAATGGCGCTGATTTCTTCAACGTTACAGCGCCTATTTGAGCATTGATAGCGCTGTTACAGGGGCCCCTCCCTTCTATCAGTGACAGCCCAGATAACTTTTCCGCCGCTAGACTAATATTGATCTACAGTCAACTCAATTGACTTGACGGGCGCCACGGAATATCAGATCCACAGCACATCGTGAGGAAAAATCCTATTATCACCACCGTCAATCAGATCAACCTATCGCCTCGCCCGAGCTGCGGTCCACTTAAGAACACACTTATAAGTCTCCAATCTACCGGGTCTTCAGAGTACCTCCCACTTTGATTTCAGATTGCCTGGCGTTGATACTATACTAGTATCCATAGTGACACCGAAAACATCCTACCCAACACGTACAATCTCGGCATCCTCCACTGGTCTTGGCTCCCTGTAGTACTAGAAAAGAGCCCTAAGATTATAAAAGCACACGATGCAGCCTGCAGAGGAGTTGTCCTTGACAGAAAAATGTCTGCATTATGAGCAAAAGCAGGATGTCCCTTGGGACCTTCAAAAGTAGGAAGAGGCTCATCCCCAGTCCCGCGTGCCACCTCGTGCTAACTGTCGCCCCCTAGATACTGGTCTCAACGACACACTCTCTTCGAGGGGTATGACGATGGAGTCTGCCTTACCGACGATGCCTGGTTCGGTGTCACTCCTGAGCCTCTTGCACGGTGCGTGGCTACTCCTTACTCTCATGCCCTCTCGGCCGTGAGCACCTCTGTGCGCCTTGTCGAGCTAACGTGTTGTAACGGTCAGGCAAATTGCTTATGAAGTTTCCGGCGCGTCCAGTAGCAAGACCACCATAGTCGATCTCTTTGCTGGCGTGGGGGAAACTCTATCCAGTTTGCGCTCTCCGAGCGTTGGGAACGCATCATAGCAGTTGAAAAGGACAGGGACACCTTGGCCTGCGCTCAGAATAACGCCAAGATCTACGAGCTCACCGATGAGATCACCTGGGTCCACGGGGACAGCTTTGAGTACCTGAGACTGGCTCTCGAGGAACCTGAGAAACTTCATGAAGCTTTGCGAATCGACCCAGCTTCGACCATCCTGTTCGGGTCCCCACCCTGGGGTGGCCCGGGGTACAGGACCGACGAGGTCTTCAACCTACACAAGATGGAACCTTACAACCTCCGCCAGCTCCACCAAGCCTACAAGTCTTTCGACCATGCCCTCTATCTGCCGCGCACGAGCGACCTGCGTCAGATAGCGAGGCTGGTACCAGACGACAAAAAATCGAGGTTGTGCAATATTGCATCGAAGGGGCGAGCAAGGCCCTAGTAGCATGGATTCCGGCCGAAAACTCTAGCCACCCGACATTTTATTATGGCGACGACTAACGCCGCTTCGAAATTCATATCTAAAGCCCCTTGACAATCATCTTTTCGTCAAATAGATCTCTCAACAGTCCCTCCACGCAGCGCTCACGATCGAGCGCCCCCATGGCGTACGTAGACTCAAACGCAAAGATGCTGAGCTGCCCAAAGAACGGGCGGAGCACCTTGGCCACCAATTCGTCTCTCCTCTCCAAGCCCACCTCGTCGCTGATTCCCCCGGTCCCAGAAGCGGCCGGCGTTGAAGGTTGTTCACGGCCATTTGAGCCGCTGAACCCGTTTCGAGGCCGGAGCTGAGGGAAACGGACCCTAAGTCCTCCGAGAGCTCATCGACAAGAGCCACTGGCTGGTAGCCTTCTGACCGATATACTGCTTCAATTGTGTCCGTAACGAACAGCCATTCGTGAAGCTGGAAATCATCTGGGGCAACGCAGATGAGAAGATCCAGCAGCTTACATGCTTGGAGCACCGATGCGTTCATGTATGTCTCCGAGGCGGCACTGTGGTCGGGGGCGACAACGGACGAGATGGCGGAGTGCAATTCTGCATTAACGACTGGCCAGAGCATAGCCAGGTGGATGGCGCTTGTTTTGAGAACCAAGGCCCTTATCACCATGTAGACCTCCGCACGTGTAGTGGATGATGGCGACGAGGTTGCTGTCGCGCCGAGGAGCTCCGTCAACTTCTCCGAGATTACCGCTAGGTCGGAAGCGAAGGCATCTTCCGGCGTCGCTAAAATAAGCGTCGCAATGCGGCGGAGATTCAGCTGCGTCTTCCGGTCCGCTTCTAACCGGGCCGAAGTCGCACCGACGCCGAACACTATCCCCGCGGTTGTGGGAGGGCTGATGCGCCCGAGAATCTCGGGCAGCCTTTCCTTGTCGCTAACCACCCACTGCCTGAGGAGCGGTAACCAATCACTCTGTACGAGCCGTAAATCAGACGAGAAGAACTTGGCGTCGTTGAAGGCGTCGCCAATGTCCTTCTTCGAGGCCTTTTGGTTGTTAGGAACTTTGGAAAGCTCGTAGAAGAGGTTGAGCGTGCTCTTGGTCACCGTATCCGGGAAATTCTTGGAGCGTATGGCAGGGCCAATGGCGTTCGACGATATTGTCGTGGCTGCTGAGAGGACCCTATCCGACTCAACAAGAATCTTGGGCAAGTTGGGAACAATGGTTGACAGGATACCAACAACGTCGTCTGCTCGCTCCGCTGGCGTCGGGATATGCGGTATATCAGCCTTGGTCTTCTCGGAAAGGCTGCTGGACTCGGAAAAGGTAACCGGACGGGTGGTAAAGAGCGCTGTCAACAGACGGAGGAAGATGTCCTATGTAATTCAGCTTGTTTAGTATGACTGTTTGCTGCGTGGATTTATTGCCACATGGCCACATTAGAAATAGTAACACTTACCCCAAGTTCGCGACGCATCTTTCTCTGCTCCCCAAAGTTTGTATTGTCAACCTTCTCGCCCAGGATTGCTGCAAACTCCAAGAGTGACGGAAGTGTCTGGCGATGCGGGAAAGGATTTGCCAAGAGATCCCTTAAGAAAGTCACGCAGTCGGCCCATATCTCATCCATGGCGTCATCGTCCAGCGACCTCGTGTAGTCGACCAAGAAGATGACGAGGTCAGTGTCCTGGAGATCTATGGTCAGCGTTGACATGCGGGACGCCTCGAGAACGGATGGGTTCGTGCGGCTGTAGATGGCATTGAAGATGGCGGGGATAGTGCTCTTGGGTCGGGATCCGTCCAACGCGGCTAAAAGCTTGAAGACCCCCGCGGCTTCCTCGGTGGGCTCGCTGTAGGACCGACACCAAATACCAACAAGAGTTTCCAGGCACTCCAAGGTCTCGGCGGCGAATAGGTGCTCAAGCAGGCGGCGCGCCCTATTCCTCATCCGCAACGAGGTGTAGTTGAAGGACGCTGCGGATGAAGGGTCGAGCAACTTGGCCTCGTCACCTTGGCCCCAATGCCATATGGTGAAGCACATGCGGATGGCGTCCTGAAAAGCGAGGTGAACAGTCAGACGGTCATTCGCCGTGGCGCTCCGAGAATGATGCGTGTCCGACGCAAACACTCCCGACACCATGTTCCCAAAGAAGCTCTGCTGCTGGTCCGGCGTCTTCACCGCCTGCGCCCGCGCTTCTTCTATCAGAAGCCGAGCGTGCGCGCTGGCAAGGACTTCTTCTAGGCCGTTGAGGAGCGAGATGAGTGTGGACTCGGGGCCGCTTGATTCGGTCCTGGCCGAGCTTGCGCTTTGCCTAAACATGCCACGCAACGCCCTAAAACTCCCGTCGATCTGGCTGCACAAAGTCTCGACGAGAGGGATGAGAATTTGGAAGAGGGCATCCGAGTACATGGACAAGCACTCGGTAAGGAATCCAATCCAACTCTCTAGGACTGGTCGGCTACTCGGGGAACTCAGGCCAGCCCGAAGGCATTTTAGGAGAGATGGGGGAGGAGGTTTGGTGTGTGACGGAGGATCAGTAGCAATGGGGAGTGGCACGCGTTTGCTGGGGTCGAGGATAACCGAACGCTTCTCGGAGCTCGGCGACGCCGGTTGCTCCGGAGCGGCGGTCGGGTGTAGCTTGAGCGATGCATACACAACATCTAGGAGAAGGATTTGAATGTACGGATCAGGGCCATTCAAAGACTCAATAAGGCGATCGATAAGGACTTCTTCGATATCGGGAAGTGAGAGACGAGGGGCATATGGATTGAGCAGAATCTGGTGAAGCACCGTCAAGGCTATCCGAGCGAGCTGAGACGTCTGGGCCGCGAGAGCCGAGTTCTCGGCACTGGTGCGGAGAGAGATACATCTGAGGCAAACCTGGGCAAAGATTTGCTGCATCGAGGTTTCTACCTCTGTTCCGGCTACTCATTTGTTAGTATGGTAGTCTAGGGGAAGGACGAAAAAGAAAAAAAAAGAAAAGGATACGATCGACGGGCCACTTACTAATTTTCGAGGCGTCTGGGCGTCCCGATTCATCGGGCACCGTTGTCAAGTCTAGAACAGCCCAGACACTTTCAGGCGCCCACCGTAGAACATTTGACAGAGTCCTAAGCTGATACAAGCAGATATCGAGGTCGTCATCGTCCGTCATTTGTATAGAGGCGGTCGTTGGGCCGTCAGTTGTGAGCCTTTGTGACTGAAGGAACGGCGTATCGATGAACTTGGAGATGAAGACAAGAAGTAGCCTAAGAATTCCATTAGTCTCTACTAAAGCCGGTGGGTTGCTGTCAACTTACCGGTCGATTCCGACCATTGTGCTAAGCCAGGCCTTTGCAGCCATAAAGAGCTGGGTCCGCTCGTCGAGAAGGGCGTCGAGCATGAGGAAAAGGGGTTGGGTCAGCATTACGTCGTAGTGATCGAGCCCGGCAAGTCGCGGCATCGCGAAGAGCTTGTGCTCCGTAATGGGGGTTTTGGACCCTCTCCGCTCCATATGCGAAGGGCTATCCTGCAGGGTGTGAGACCACAAGACGCTGAAGCTCCGGCCCGGTTCGGATGGGCGGGTGGCAAACGTGCCGCCGATATCCTTCTCGATCATGAGCCCCGCAATGGCCGCCTCGATATCACGGTTCTGGGGGTGAGGGCTGTTTGCAACTGCCAAAGACACCGGACCGTTTCCACGTGGTATTTGGGGTCCGATGCGGAGAGATAGGCCCACGCATGGCGGACGAGGGGCACGACGAGGTCGGAGAGCTGGGGCGTGGATATACGTTCGGAGGAGTAAAGGTGCGTTGCGAGGGAGAGCATCGAGGAGAAGGCGGTGAAGTTGATGGGGGTGACCTCTGGAGACCCTTGCGGATCGAGGAGAGGATGGACTCGGTGTCCCATTCGTATTCCTCGGGGATTTTGAGAAGGAGAAGAACGAGAATCCGGACCCTAACGCTCAAATCTCGAAACGACTCCGGCAGGGCAAGAGCTTCGTAGCTGAGCTTGGAGGACTTGTGCAAGAGGAGCTCGGCGACCTCGGAGCCGTGGAAAGGTAGCGGGGCGTTATCGACGGCGCCCTGCTCCTCAACATAGAACGCACTTATCCGCTTGAGGACCTCCGTGTCGGAAAGAGGCGCGGCGGAGGTATCTGATTTGGACTTCCTACCGTTTCTCCCCTCCGAGCCGGAGGGAAAGGCTCGCATCGGGACGAGGTCGAGAAGAGCAACCGCAATGTTGAGTGCTGTCTCGTGGATATGAGAAGTCTGGTCTACGTGGCCGGGGATGTTGCACGGCGGTCCTTTGCGTTTTCCAGCATGCACAGAATCGAAAGGGCAGCCAGCGGGGCATGGATCGTCACCATTTCCTCCTCTCTAATATTGAAGCTTGAGATGATGAAGTTGACTAGATTGAGCTTCTCGATGCGCTGGGCGTAGGAGGCATCTCCGGGCCCGACGGCCTCGGCGAGCAGCCTCACAATCTCGCCATAAATCAGGCCGCTCTCCACGCCGTCAAAGAAGACACTGGCGCTTCGCAGGACCTCGTGGAAATCGGCCTTGGACCCGGCTTGGGATTTATAGCTGCGGACACTATCAACGATGGGAAGGAAAAGCTCCGGCACTACGAGTCCACCAATTTCCCACCTGTCCATGAGAGAGGCAAACGCGGTAGGGACGCGCCCGCTCGACGGGGGTTTGCTTCTGAGTAGTATTGATGGCGGCAAGAAGCGCCTGGGTCAAAGGCTGAAGGCCATGCTCCTCAAAATAGCTAGTCTTGGAAGTCAGGTACTGTGGGTTATCCGCAGAAGGTGACTCCAGGGGAAGCTCGCCGTCTGCGTGAGGAGGTTCGGGGCCCAAGAGCCACGCCCACAATCGCCTGTTCAAGCTCATGTCCCGGCGGGTGACGACACCGGAGGCAGCGCGCAGGAGCAACTGCAAATCCGTCTGCTTCGCCTTGGACTGGAGTACGGAGGCGTCGAGGGGTAGATGGGTCACCAAAAGGTCTAAATACCCCCGCTGAATAAGAAGTTGTTCGTCGCCAAGCCCCGCGGCGAAGCAGCGGATGAGGAGGCCTGGCTCCGGTGATGTCACGATGCTGGCGAGCCGTCGCGCAACTTCGGAATCGCCTTTGGCGTCGGGGCTGCCCTCATCGGCGAGTTTTGGGAGGTTTCTCGTCAAGTAGGCCAAGGCGCCCAGTCTCCGGGTCTGGCCGGTGATGGACGCAAGGAAGAAGCATTGCCAGAAGAAGTCGTCGCCGGTTGAGTGGGAGCCTGCTATTTGCTCACTGCCGGGGGCGTATGGCCGATTTGAAGCTGTCCATGAGCTTCAGTATTCGATCAAACTCCTCGCTAGTCTCCTCTTCGAGGCCGGGAAGAAGGGCGAGGACAATGGATTTCATAGCTGGTCTCAACGCTCTTGGATGTAGACCCACGAAGTGCGCTTCGAGCAGATCTAGGTAAGGTGTCCTGACGGACAGGGAAGCAAAAGAGAGGGTCGAGGCCAAGCTTGGGAGGTACAGCGGTAGGTCCTGCGACAGGCCTTCTTTTCCGATGACGGAAAAGATGTGGTTATAGACCTCGAGGGTCTTTTGGTGGACTCCCGAGGGGAGCGAGGGGTTCAGACATTGCGCTAGACGTTTGGCGACGAGTGCTTTCGAAGGTATCGCATTTATAGAGGGCGGGCGAGATTGGAGAGCCTGTGTTGGGGTGGGGAGAAAGGGGTCAGCTACGGATGGAGCAAGGGGAACAGGGAATAGCACGAGCACCAGCCGGCCTGGGGGCTGGTAACGCACCTTGAGGAGGCGGTTAAGAAACGAAATGTAGTCGGCCCACTCTTGGAGGGTGGTCTCGAAGAGGGCGAGAGCTCTTTCCACGGCGGAAGCATATTTGCGATAGTGCTTATCCTTCTTCGCAGGCGAGTCGTCTGGCAAGGGTAGATCGGGTTAGCTCTGCAGCAAGACAACAACCGTGGCGCAAACCTCAAGAGATCCCAGACATACCCGCTCCAAGCTGGTTCCTCCACTGCCGGGGGACGGGAGAGTCGCGACCGGAGCTTTCCGGGAGACGGATCGCCTGCCGTCGAGCGCCGCCATGATTACGGTTTGTGTGCAAAAGCCGGGCGAGGGCGGAGTGGGGGAGGTGTCGACGTTCAACGTCTTTCTCGATTGTTTGTCGTATCCAGGGTAGCCAAGCTAGGTACTCATCGCAGCGTCAGAGGGGCCCAAACGAGGTTTCGAATGGTAAACGGTGGGCAAACGATTGTTTGGTCCGAAGCTCTTGTGGTGGTCGCGTTTCAAGATGTGGCCTCTACCGAGAATACACCCACAATGCTGTAGCTTCTCGTGTCCAGCATCAATCAATCAACCATTGGCACTTGGTACCTTGAGCACAAAGAGCTGCTTGTCTTGGTTGGGTGAAGCTCTTTTTGTGCGACAGCACTGGGCTCGAGTGTTCAATGTTGCAAATCCGCAGTACTAGCACCGCCTTCAGTGCACGGTTCCAGGGCTTATTGTTGGTGCCTGGGGCCTGGGACCAATTGAAACGCTTGACAGAAACCACCGAGCAGGCAGCCTGGCACTCGCTTGACAGGATCAATGATGGGACTGCTCCAGCCACGGCCCTCTCCTGGACACGCACACTTTAAGCCCCACCTGCGTCATCAGCACTTGGGCACTGGGTCAATGTTTCACCCCACTACAATCAGATGCCACATCAACCAAATTTACGCTGCTTCAATTTTCATGCTGGCCCCGAACTCAGCAGTACCCCGGCCTCCTACCAAGACCTGGTGCTGCCTCGCCGTAGACTGTACCTCTGTACCCTGGGTGTTCTTAGTTGAATTTGATGGGATCCAGGATCTATCAATGGATAAATCCCGCTGATCGAGCCTGGTGTTGGTGTGTTCAATTGTACTAGTATACCTTGACGGGGTCCATCAATCAATTGATCAGATCAATTTGATCCATTCCATTGGATTTCACGAGCTCATGTGCTCCACCCGTCCGTCAGCGTATCGTATGTATCAGAACGTCACGCATCAGGCCTCGCGTGTGCCAACTCCCACTTCTTTTTTCCCCCATTTCCCCGTCACCCTCCCAGCCTCAACCCACATAGAAATACTGCATCAGAGGCACCACGCGTAACACACCTCCGCCAACGATACTAGGGGAAGCGGGTGCTGAGATGAAAAGAACCCCAGGCGCACTCTCAATATGGGTCAGGACGATGCGAGCTCGTCCAGGGTGAACTTGGGGGATGAACGACCACCTCCACTACCCCCGCCCCAGCCTCCGACCCGATGGCGGCCCTATGCGGCCCAAAGATGCGAAGACGAGCCTGCAGTCCGAACCCACGACAGCGATATCGTCGGTGGATATCCAGACTCTCTCCTTCCCCGACGGTTCCCGGGGCACATTTTCCACCCCGGGCACGCGAGCCGTGTCCACGCCCCTCTCACGCGGCAGTGGCAGCGGCAGCGGCCATGCCACACCCGCCCGAAGCCAGTCGGGCGGCGAGGAGATGATGGCGCGAGCGTCATGAGCTTTGCGCCGACCATGCGGCCGTCTGGCGATATAGCAAGCCTCCTGGCGGGCGAGTTCAACAAGAAGAGCCCGGCGTGGAATCTTCTCCGCTCGCAGTCTACGCTGGCCACTCCGTTTGAAGCGACGCAGCGCGAGGCCGTCGATTCCCTTGCGGAGTTTGACCGGGAATTTGACATCATCCCCGAGGTTGGAGTGCAGGGCCTCAACGACGACGACAGGATCCGGCTCTGGAAGTCCAAGCTTAAGCACTACATGGTCCTCTCTTCGGCGGGGAAGCCGATTTATAGCAGGCACGGCGACCTACCCTTGATCAACTCGTCGATGGGTGTCGTACAAACCATCATTTCCTTTACGAAGGTTCCAATAACCCCCTCTTCGGGTTCACGGCCGGGGATACCCGGTTTGTGATTTTGACCGAAGGTCCGCTCTATTTCGTCGCCATTAGCCGCCTCGGGGAGAGTGATGCGCAGCTCAGGAACCAGCTCGAGGCGCTCTACATGCAGATCCTCTCCACGCTCACGCTGCCCACTCTCAGAAACATATTTGTCAACAGGCCGTCGACGGACCTTCGGAAACCCTTGGAAGGGACGGAGCCCTTGCTGTCTTCGCTTGCCGACAGCTACACCAGGGGTCACCCTCTTCTCTCCTGAGCGCTCTCGAGTGCTTGAAACTACGCAAGACCCACCGCAACGCCATTACCAACATGTTTCTCAAGATGCGAGCTGACAAGCTTCTCTACGGCCTCCTTGTCGCGGGCGGCAAGCTCGTGAGCGTCATCCGTCCGCGCAGACATTCGCTGCACCCCAGCGACATGCAGCTCATCTTCAACATGCTCTTCGAGTGCGACAACATTAGGGCTGGCGGAGGCGAGAACTGGATACCTCTATGCCTTCCCGCGTTCAACAACCGCGGCTACCTCTACATGTACGTAAGCTTCTTTGACGGGGCGACCTCGGACGATGCCACGCCGGAACCACGGGGCGCCGATGCCGCCACATCATCTCCTGATGAAGAGATTGCCATCATCCTCATCAGCCCGGATAAGGAGAGCTTTTTTGAGCTCAAGGACATGAGAGATCGGGTGGCGAGGCAGTTGACAAAGAGCGGCAGCCTCGCCATCATCCAGACGGCCGCCCGTCTCGGCCGACCCAAGGTCGCGGAAGTGGCGCCGGGCTGCCAAATCAGCCACTACCTATACAAGTCTCGGGCCAACGTCCAGTTCAGCACGGCATCCTTTGACCCAGTCTTCACCGACCTCATCGCGAGACGACGTCTCATGACGCTCTACCACGAGCTGCATGCGGCAATCCACGCAAAGCACTCCCACCTCAAAATTATCCACCACGTCAGCGAAGATGCTTCGGCTCTGGCGTGGATCACTCCGTTTTCGAACTGTACTGCGTCGCGGCGCCCACGATCTCGAGGAGCGTCATCACCCAGGGCGCGAATAAGATTACGCAGTGGGCAAAGCGAGAGGAGGAGCGTTTGTTCATCATTGGCGGTGGCGTATTTTAACACCGTAGCCGCGCGAGCCATTAACATTTAGCATTTGCTCTATATATAAATATATTTATATAGAGATATATACAAAGATTTTGGTTGGGAAAAGAGGTATAAGGGACAAAAAGGCGGTTGATGATATGATGGTGATGATGATCTTGTTAATGATGATGCACCCCGAAAAAAACGCCTTTACCTAGCCCCCATCAACCTAGTTGGCCTTCCGTCTTCCCCACCCAGTGAGGGAATGGATTGAAACGCCGGAAACTCCATGCAAAATATTTAAAGCCACACGTTAACCTGTCCCAGGGTCATGCCATCTTGGTACACATTACACACAAACACTTTCAGCGCGCTACGGCGAAAGTTTCCACCAGGCCTCTGGAATGGCCGTCGCCGTAGCTCTCGCGTCGTCGGCGGGGAGGTTCACGTCCACCGAGTGGCGATTCCAGATGGAGGAGCGACTGCCCCCAAAACTCGAGGACGCCGAGTGGCTAACCTTGCCGGAGCCTCGGCCCCGCCGAAGCTTCCTCACGGGCAGCCGGATCCATTCTCTCAGCTTGTCGCCCGGGGAGGATCTCCGCCAGCTCGTCGACGAGGACCACGAGGAAGTGAAGGACGTGGGACTGAGCTCGGAGGGGCCGTACGTGCTGAGCGACCGGCGCGAGCGAGACGAGGTGGTGTCGACGGGCGCGGCCGCCGAGGTGTCTGGGCCGACGAGGGATTCGGAGAAGGGGGCGTCAAAGTCTTCGTGGAATCGGCTGCTGCCGGGAGGAAGTGACGCGCGAGAGGCGCTCGGTGTCGACCTTTAAGGGAGCGGGTCTCGGTTTGGTGGCGGAGCGGGAGGCCATGTTGTTCTGATGGGTGGTGAGCGTTGTGGGTGTCGTGAGTGTCATATAGGTATCGTGGGTGTAAGTATTGCGCCAAGTCCCGGCCGTCGTTCAGGTTCTCTCGGGGGACTTGTGCGGATGGAGTGCGATTCTCGGCGTACAGATAGGTAGATGGTTGTTGAAGTTGTAAGCGAAAGTGCGCGATCTTGAAACGGGACAACTATCCAGGTTCCATTGATAGAAGGAGTTGCGTTTTCGCAAGAGGTTGAGTCGCGTTCAAAGAAAGAGAATCAAAAGGTGCGCGTCAAGAGTGTTCTTCTGCCAGCGGTGCGAGGTCAGGCCTGGTTATAAGTGTGTGAAGGGACGCGACTCTGGAAGGGTGGAAGAGCACGTGAGAGATAGAAGGACGAAGGATTTAAGGTTGCGGTTCAGACAGAATATGAGGGTTTCCCTCTGTTTTATGAGGGTTGAGTAATTGAGTAATAGTAGTAGTAGCGACAGGGGCCTTCTTAAAGTTTTGAATATGAGGAGAGGAGAAGTAGTAAAATAAGAACTGAGGTGCATGGAGATCCGGGCCCTCCATCTATGAAATGTATTTTCCGCTCGGGCAGTGCGGCGACGACGATGACCAATAGATCTTGCTCGAAGTCGAAGTCGACGGTCGCAAGTGACGACTAACTACTCCAGGAGAGTGAGTGGAAAACTAGAACGCCGCCATCCACTTTAGCGATCCCTCGGGACAAAGCAGAAATCAACAGACTCGCCGCCGTCCGCTCTCGAGCGTCTAGAAGGGGATGGGGGATGGAGGGGGGTCACTAGAGCCTCTCTGACTCCATCAAAGTACCGCACGCGCGCAGACCCTACTCGATGGCCCAGGCCACTGCAAAGGCTCAACCCAGTCGTCGCTGCTCTGCTTCTTCCACGCATTTACGAACATGTACCCTGCGCGGCCTGCAGCTAGCCAAGTGGGACTTTGCTTCTGGGCGATTCCCCCCGCCTTCGCAACCTCAACCCTTTGCCCTTGGCTTTGGTCAATCTCCTTTTTTTAGCGGGGTGCCTAAAAAACCAATTGTGTCGGTGAGAGCGACGGCGTCTTTCTGGTGGAAGACGGGGTGGTCAGGTGAAGGCTTTCCCCTTCCTGGCCTTGGTGGGCGGGGGGGTTGTTTTCCAGGGTCTTGTCCATTCCCGACATGGTCACAAGCACCAAACCATCTTCTTCTTTCGGAGTCCGGATTTGGTCATCCTTCGGCTTGTCACGGCAAGGGCGGGGCCAGAAAAGCAAGGTTTCGTAGGGATGGGGAGGGAATAGGTAACAGATTGGGTGAGAGGGGGCAAACACACACAGCAATGGGGGCAGAGAGAGAACGACGATGGAGCCCGAACCTCGACGAGAATCCAACCAACGACTGAAGATCTGGACAAATCCCGACAAGGGGGAACGGTGTCGTGAGAGGGTTCAGGCTAGGATGAGGAGGGAAGAGAGGGCCCCGACCATGTCGCTTTGGGCGCTAGCGCGTGACCTAGTGGTGATGAGGCTTGACATGGCGTCCAGTCAGCGACATCACTACTAGCCGAGCCACGGATGGGATTGATGGGATTGATGACTGGGAGGGATGCGCACAATCACGCGTTCAACCTGCAAGGAGTATTGACATTTGACAGACACCAAGAGCGACGAGCCTAGCCGGAGGAGAACGCTGCTTTGGCCCTTTTTGGCGTCGAGCACAGGTGGGTGGGCAAGATGATGGATGGGGAGGGGCAGGGCAAAAGCTATGGTTCATGAGGAGAAGATGTAGAAAAGGAGAGACATCGTGGAGAAACAGAGAAGCCGACGCCACAGGAGAGGAAGCGCAAAGTGGAGTGGGATAATACTGCAGGGTCGCTGCTATTCAATCCCTGTTGAGCTGCGAGGAAGAGACATGACCATCGAATCACAGCCTGCCTCACACATGCTCTTTTTGACTTGACTGTCTTGAAGCGGGCGGGAATGGTAACCTCATTGGAAAGCGGATAGGAGGAGGGTGGCAATGAACACCCATCCGCATCTCCAACCTTTGAAGTTGGGCATACTGTAGTATTTTTCTAGACATTTTATTGCCTCAGTCGCCCAAGCAAAGAGGGAGGTGCTCGATTTCCAATGAATTCCGCCCCTCCTCCGACAACGTGCATACAATGAAGACAATGGGCAAATAGTTCCACGCCAAAGAGGGATTTCCACAAGCCGGTGTCTTCTTTCTGCTTTCCCTCTCCCCACGCATCCATAGATAGATTCATAAATGCAACCACTGGTAAAATATTGGAGGAGTGCCAGCGTGTTACGAGTGCAAGCCGCAGCCCTTGTCGATTCTTCTCTTTCTCTCTCTCTCTCTCTCTCTCTCTCTCTTTCTTACGGGCGCCATCCCGAGACTTCCATGCAAGGCCCGGTGCTAGCTGCCCGTGGCCGAAAGCAGGCTTCGTCATCGGTCGGCCTAGCCATCCGGCGGCGCCGCTGAGTTGATGGCCTGGCCAAAAGGTTGACGTCTGAGGCGTTTCTCTCCAGCTGACATCACAGCCTTTGAAACCCCTAAACAAGACACTAGCGTAGGGGGTAGGAGAGTCAACGCACAATCAAGCCCAGGCGAGGCCCGCCGAGCCCAAGCCCACCAACCGTGACTCACGATGCCCTCCCCTATTTCTCATCCTCGATACCCCGGGCGCATGCAAGACCGGCGACTATTATAGAAACTTGGACAGCCCGTGAGCATGCCGGCAAGACACAGGCAGACAAGTACGAAGTATACAGCCTGCTTATCTGTCATCTGTATTGGTGTCTCAGCTGACGCTTTGGGACAAGTCGAAAGAGGCGACAACACTTCGAGCAGACTCGTTGGAGACTCTACCTCAATTACTTGTACTACATGCAGGCAGCCATGTGCCAGGTATGCGCCACCCTCTCTCAGCTGCATGAGGTCCTCGCGCGAATGCCATGAAGAGATAAGAGCGAATGTGCGAACGTGCGAACAAGCGAATGGGTAACCGGATAAACATATCCACGTAGTAAACGCGTCGTGTCGGATGCTGAGAGTCTTGATGATGGTAGGAGATATCTACAATGTCTATCTAAATATATAGTCTCGATGCTGTGCGGGCATATAGATGGATACATGTAGTCAAGAAATGGCGAGGCACAAGTAGTAAAGCTGTCGAGTATGAGTTTGACAACAAAGCAGTGTAAAATAAGGATTAAGCTAAGGAGTGACAAGAAGAATAAGATGGAAAGAGGACATGAATGAAGGAGAAATGAAGGAGAAATGAAAAGTAATGAATGTGTGAATGAATAAGAGGGGAAAAGTATGACAAGAAAAGAAAGATAGAAGAAAAGAAAAGAATAAACTCAATGCCGAAGATAAAGGCCAGACATCGTCATCTGCGTCAAAATATATACATGCAATGGATCAAACAAGAGAAGGAGAAACAACATAAGAATCGTGAACATGACCCGAACCCCAACAATGAAACAAACCCACTCGCTGTTTTCGGTGCCTTTCGCCCCCTTTTTACTCTTCTCCTCTCTCTCTCTCTCTCTCTCTCTCTCACTCTCTTCTTCCTTTCCGATTTCCTCCGCTACGCCCTCAATTGTTGCCCGGGAACTCCATCCCGGGCCGGGTAAACGGGCCTTCCGGCCACTCGCCCAGCCGCGCCGGATCACCGCCGATGCGCACGTACACACCCACCGCCGGGATGCCCCCATCGAGGACGAAGAACTGGTACCAGCCCGGAGGGCACACGTGCGCGTCGGGCGGCGACACCACTGTGCAGCTCCTCCCGCTACACTGAACCTCGGGGAAGAGTGTCCGCGCGCCCATCGAGTTGCCGTGCGTGCTCGCCACGGACCCCAAGAGGGAGACTTCGATCCGGCCGTTGGTCGCCGCCGACCCGAGCGTAAAGGAAATAGTCTCGTCGTAGGCCCAGTCGATGTTGGCCAGCGTAAAAGTCGGTCGCGGGAGGTTCTTGTGCAGGTAGGGCGGGTTGAACACCTCGACGCGGTACTCTTGGTCGTGCACGCCGTCCTGCGGGTCCGAGCCGGAGATGAGCACGCGGCCATCGAGCAGGGTGATGGCCTCGGAGTGGTAGAGCCGGGGGATGGTGGTGTTGGCCATGACGGTGATGCGCTTGCCCGCCGGCTTCCTAGGGTCGTACAGGAGCGCGTTGAGGTTGGGGTCCGTGGCCAGGCCGAACCCGGCCACGCCGTGCTTAGCGCCGTTCATAATCATGTAGGTCCCGTCGGGCAGGGGCGCCATGCAGCTCATCACGCGGGGAGGGCATGCGCTCCAGCACCCATTCGGGCTCCGCCGCGTCGGGCTCGATCGAGACACAGTTGTCCAGCGCGTTGGATACGCCCTCGGTCGAGCCGCCGCACATGAGCACGCCGAGGTTCTCCGTATAGGGAGCGCGCTGGGGCAGGAGCACGGCGGTGCCTTCGAGCGGGTAGGTTCGGCCGCCGTACGGGTCGTTGATGGCGCCGGGGATGTTGGGAAGGATGCGAATCGTCTCAAACGTCTTCTCGTCGAGGATGCGGGCTTCGTTCCAGTACGACACGAAGATGCCGCCGCTCGGCAGCACGAAGAGGTACGGGTAGAGGTTGTTGGGGTCCGTCCGCTCCAGCCAGTCCATGTACAGCGGAGGGGTCCCCGTGAAGGGAAGCACCTCGAGGCTCGGCACAGCGGCTCCGTTGGAGCCTTCCTCGCCGCCGACGACGAGGATGGACCCGTTGGCCATGGTCATCACCGAGGGGTACCAGCGGCCGTCTTGCAGCTTTAGGATGTCCACGTCCTCTTGCCAGTCGTTGGGTCCCTGGACGCGAGGCGACCCGTCGGGGGTGTAGAGGCGGACACCCTCGGTGGACTCTCCGGACCACCCGCCCACGTTGAGCTGGCGGCCGGCAACGTCGGGCAGGATGACGCTGGCCGAGCAAAAGATGTCGGTCCGCACGCTCATCTGCTTCCACGCCAGACTCCAGTTATCCAGGGCGTCCAGATCCAGCTCGTACGCGCCCGTCGAGTTGGGCGGGCCCGTTCCCGATTTCTCGAGAAACGTCACCTTGCCCGTGATGGACTGCATCGTCAGGAGGGGATGACGACGCCGCCAATCAAGAACTCGTAGCTTCCGGCTTCGGCGGGGTCTGGGGCCACGACCACTCGTACAGAGGGTCCCCCTTCCAGAAGTAGGTGGTGATGCGGGACCCTCCGCCGCAAAGATATTTGGAGTTGCCCGCGCACACAATGTTGCACTCGGCGTCGTCGACGAACGAGGAACCGCCGTCGAAAAAGTCGCTCGGGTCGCCGCAGTAGCATTCCTCGCCGTATTCGAGCCCGCCGGCCATGTACCCAAATTCGGCGCACTTGGCAAGGCATCGGTTGGCGTCGAGGGTGCCGGGGAAGTAGAGCTGCCAGGGAAAGGTTCGCTTGTTGTTGATGTTGTCTCTCGCGCAGCCCACGTACTCCCAGCTGCCGTTCAGGCCCGTCTTCTGCGGTGCCGGGGGCGAAAGTGCCGCTGGCGCCTCGACGGAGAAAACACCCATCCTCAGCGGGCCTCCGCACATTTCGCTCGAGTCACCGCCGCAAGGGGTATTGCAGGACGCCTGGTTAGCCGCGAGAACGCCTCCGTTTGCGATGAAATTACCGCAAAACACTGCGTATGATACTGGGCACCGGCGATGGCGAAGCCGAGATTGGAACAGGCTTGGACGCAGGATCGGCGGGTCATGTCGGGGTCATCGGGGACCTGGTGCGAGAGGATGCGACCGTTGGCGCCATCTACCCAGCAACCCTGATCTTCCCAGCCTTCGGGAAATCCAGCAGCTGCGCCGCCACCGAGGTCGACAATGTCGTCATTGTCGTCGAGGAAAGAGAAAGAGTGGATCCCGTCACTGATGGAAGCGACGTGAGGTCGCGGGTGTAGACGGACAGTCGGTTCCCGGCACCGCAGAATTCGAAGGGGTTACCCGCGCAAGGCATGTTGCAGTCGGTGATGGGCGCAGCAATGGAGCCGCTGTTGAAGGAGTTGCCGCAGAAGCACTCCTGGCCATACTCGAGACCAAAAACTGGAAACCAGAGCAAAAGGCAGCGCAGGACTCCGCGGTCATGGCATTACTGCCCGAGAACGCGCCCGCGAGCGCACGCGCTCCATTCGCCTCCGTCATGCATTGGTAGAAAGAGAACCCACCAACGATCGGCAGGTGGCCGGGGACGGAGGGGATCGCGGGACTCGAGGAGGACGCAGGTGTCGATGTTCCCGTTCCAGGGTTACCAGCTGACACCGCAGTAGAACTATGCATGGTGCGTTAGCTCGCCTCGCTAAGGGAGGAAAAGCAACTTTTGATGCTGCACGGCCTCTCTGCAAGATCTTGAGTCGTAGGGAAACATCGGTCAATCGCAGGAGAGGCTGGGGCATCTGGGAAGGATTATATGGAATGGGAAAACGGAGGCATTGGAAGCGCAAGGGGAGATTCCCGGCCAACGATTATGCATCAAGAAGAAGAAGAAGAAGAAGAACGCCGAGGACATTTCCAAATGGGGAATGGGAGAAAAGTGGCTTGGGGGAAGGAAGGGGAGCGGAGGGAAGAGGCCAAGAGAGGAAAAACCGTTGAGAAGAGGAGGCAGGTGGGAGAGGACGGGAGATCAATTAGGAGAAAGTGGAGGCTTACACAAGAACAAGAGTGGATGTGGTCGGGCTGGGGTGGGATGAGCTCGCTGGGGGCGTGTAAGTGTCGCCGTGACTGTAGACGTTTAATCGATTGGGGCCGCCACAGAATTCGAGGTTATTTCCTTTGCAGACCATTGTACAGCCATCGGCCGCAGGCGCTCCACCATTTTGAATGCTATTTCCGCAATCTGCCGTTGATCCGAGATGTCAGTGTGCCTGGCCATGTCCGTAGCAAACAGCCAACCTCATAGGAATATGCTCATTCCTGGAGACGGAGGTTCTTTTCTTAAACTTGATCATCGCGCCCACTTACAGCACTCGCCCCCATACTCAAGGCCCGCCATGGTGAAGCCGGCACCGCTGCACGCAGCCGTGCAGCGCGCAACTGTCATTTCATCGTACGGGACCGAACCTATGCCGTAGCTCAGTGCCCGGCCGACCGTGCCCTCGCTAGTGGTTGCCAACCGTGTCAGTTTCCGGCGAGGAGAACCAGCCTCACGGCCGACGCAATTTAGAGGAGAGGAAAGGGGGAGGGCAGATACGTACGAGTAGCATCCTTTGATGCGAACCCGTTTACGCCAGGGTTCGTTTCGGGGCCCTGAATGGTAGGATTGTGGTAGACGGTTAATCTATCGCCTCCACCGCATGGTTGGGACGCGTCGCCTCCACAAGGAGAACCGCAATCCGTAGCCAAGGCTTGAGTGGACGTAATGGGCAGCGAGTCCCCGCAGTCTGGTCGGAACGAGTCAGTCGGAGCCCAGAATTTGGACAAATGGCGCTCTCCGCTGGGAAAACTGCCATCCCAAGAACCTTTTTTGTACTAAAGCGCCGGAAAGGAGACAAGGGAAAAAGAAAAGAGACGAGAAAAATAAAGAAGAATGGGGAAACAGAATTGCGCTACACATACAGCATTCGGTGAACCATTGGGTTCCTGCGTAGGCGAAGCCCTTGGACTGACAGAATGCCGTGCATGCCTCGTTTGTCATTGCCGATGCCGAAGTGCCGGCTCCGCCGAGAGCTCGGCCCGGTACCTCTCTAATACAAAGAAGAGGGCATCAGTGTCAGCAGAGTTCAAAAATGGTCTGTAGGATGATCACTAGGCTGAGGAGAGATATTGCACGAGCGTACCGGTAACATCCTTGATATTGCCATGCCGCGGATATCGTGGCAGGAGGTGTAAGGTCTCGTCTCTGTAGAGTTGAGGCGTCAACGAGTGTGAGGGGCGCTATAGAGAATAGCGATGCAAAGAAGCGAGTGTTCCTCATGGCGGCAGCTGGTGACTGGCACGAGAGACCGCACACCAAAAGAGGCCAAAAAGCAAAGAGTGAAAGTGGCTATAGTAGCCTTGTAGAAAGAAAGTGTGTGTGAACTGACGATGATGCTGGTGGTCGATGAAGAACAAGCTCCTCTAGATCTAACTCGAGGGGTAGGAAGCGGGATATATATTTATAAAACACATCGGCCCAGGTGTCTCCGAACACGAAGGAGAGCTAACGGCTGTGTGGGCTACTTCTATCGTATTGACGGATACCTCGAAGAGACCCTCGGCCCTGACTCCAGATGAGGGGGGTCATGGTAGAAGCCACGAGCTGGGGCATGATGAGATGGGTCTTCCAGCACGCCCTTAGCCTGGGCATGGTTCAGCCTCTATCGAACATGTGGAAAAGGTAGTCTAGTCAGGCGGGCCAGGAAAGGTCTGGGATTAGATAGTGGAGCCGGCGGCGGCGGGCTTGCAGTCTTCTCAGGAACAAGGGGGAGCGACTAACACAGGTCGAGGGGGTTCGCGGGTCGTGGGTCCATGTAGGTCAAAGAGATGTCGAGCGAGGAATGGGCAGTCTCGGTTAGCACCCTCACTCTGGCTTGCTCTTTGTCAAGAGTCTGCGTTGCCTCGCTTTCGGTCACGGTTCTATGGAGAGAGGGAACATGATTTCCTCATGCAGTGGCTGCCGGTGGTGCAAGGTCGCGTGGGCAGCAGAGCATTTCCTCCATGCATTCCTCGCCTCGTATCCTGAATCATATCCTCGGGAATCCCTCTACATGCTCAAGACTAACATCGATTCCCATCCCAGCTATTGGAAACTTTGCCCGTAGGCAATAATACGGCATGATAGGCCGGGAGAAGTGAAGCCTCCTCGCCGTCTACCCGCAGGGGGAGGAGGAAAAATGAAAAACAAAAGACAAGAAAGAGCAAAGGGGTGTAGTACTATTCGCCCGGATAGGGCTAGACATGTGAGAATTGGTTAGAGAGCACGATGGAAACGGCGTTATTCCACAATAGAGCGTAGACTGGCGCCCGTACGCTTCGAGCTGTGGCTTGTCAGTCTCCCAGAAGCAGTGGCCGCCCTAAAAGGAAGACTCAAGGAGGAAGAAGAGGACGGGATGAATGGGGACGCACGGGTTTGAAGCCAGCAGTGCTCGAGGCTACGCTTCGACAGAAACAGTTACCCGCCATTAGTTTCAGGTTTCTAGACCTAAACCTGCGAGTTCTTCCCCGAACCATCCCACAGATAGTTTGTGAGCAACCCCGAATCTGGGCAGTGTTCCGTTTCCAGACTAGCACGGCGATAAGTCTCGATCTGGCCACCAGGTACGGTACATCAATGATGTAGTTCGAGACGCTATTCAGTTCAATGTTTCCTGGAGAGCAGGCGCAGGTTGGCTCCAGTCCCTGCAAGGGACCGTAAACTAGCTCCATCACACGACATACAACGGCATGATTTCCACGCATTCATTAGAATTCGACGGCGGTAATCTTCTCCTATATGCAATGTACGTACGCCCATGAGAACAGTTCAGATGAATAGTTTGCCGACTTCGAGTTCACCTGCGACGTGTGTTCGTGGGCGCTGCTTTCCGCACATGGTGGCCTGAGGACCGGCAGGACCGAGGCTGGAGAGAGAAAACATTGTGTGGAACTAGTCCGATATGGCGATAGTAGCGGTCAGACTCTTGGGCCGTTGGCTGGACTTGGCAGAATCGCTGTTCGAACAAGGCTTGGCTCAACCCGTGGCTCTGGAATATTCTTGCCCCTGGCCCTGGCCCCCCTTTCCTGCACGAGCATCACCAGTCGCCGCGATGCGGGTGACGGAGTCATGAATCAGGATTGTGTAGTGTTACCCTACGCCCGGCCCTGTCAATAGTTTCCCAAGTGCGCAACACACTTGGGCTAGTCATCGTCATCAGGATACGTCCTTTTCGTCCTTCTTTCCGCTTTCTGTTCCCTTTGTCTATTTTTCTCCCTTGTCAGATAGCTCCAACGACATCTTGGCGCCGCCTCTACCTTCAGCCCCCGGCTCGAGATGCTGAGCCACCCAAGACAATCAGGGGCGACCTCGCGCGAAAGCGGAAGATCTGTTCCTTTTTCTTCCGTTGGCTTACCCAGCGTGGCTGGACCGCGATTGATCTTAATCACATCCTTGACCTGATGGTGTGGAACGGTTTCCGTTTCTGCAACATCGCCGTCCTCTGGCCTAGCTGAAGAGTTGGGGAAATTGGTGTAGATGACCTCTTCTGTTCTCCGAGTCTGTTGATTAATACAGTTGTCGTCGTGTCGTTCGGGATGATACACCACTCATACGTCAAGTGAGCGGCTCTTTCCGAGCTGACTGGGGATCCCCTGTCTTGTGTGGAAGCCCTTCGCGGCGTCTGTGAGGGGAAGAGGCAGGGGTTGTGCGCGGCCAACAGGGATCTTAGTATTATTGCCGCTGCCGTCCGCGCGAGGAAAAGAGGGAGCGGATTGTGGGTTCGGCGCGTGCCCCACCAATTCAATCAATGGATTGATCAAAAAACATCATGTACGTCGATGCATATCTCGGTACACACTGATGCACTTATTAAAATGACCTCCAGCCCCGGCATATCGCGAGAGCGCCCAGCATCAATGATCGCATCGCGATCTCGTATCTCGACTCTGACCGCTACTATGCTTGCCCATGGGCTTATGGTGGGCTTACGACGAGTTTGCAAGGCGAGAGATAATACCTCGGTCGTGCATCGTGAAAGAGAGCCTAGCAGCGGAGGGAGATGGGGGCTTAAATTACAACTGAGCCACCACAATCGCAACTGTCCTATCGCGCGTCGACTATATGGTGTGGAACTGAGAGGCAATCCTCTGGTGAAGGGATTTTGGCGCAAGCATGTCGCCTACCGACACCTCTAGGGCTTCATCACTGATCACTGCACGGCGAGGTGCCGAGACCGGTGTAAGCCCCTACAGCTCAATTCAGTCCTTATCTCGAACTGGCATTTTCTTTCTAAAGATAGCCGTAGAGGCAGACGTTATGCAGAGGACGGCGCGACCATGAATAACAAGGCAAACGAATAATGCTTGTGCATGTTGCGTCCAATTGATATTCGTGTTCCGCGAATGGCTGAGTCGCCGCCCAGCCTTTGTGCCTCTTCGCTCTTGATTCTTCCACATCCCCTCTCTCTGACCCACCTTGCACCTTGCATTCACCTTTTTCGTCCTTTGTTTGCCCCTAAAATAAACACCTAGAGCGGCTTTTCACTCTTTCCTCCCCTGTTCAAGTATGGCCCTTTCTGTGACTGTGTGCGTATATGTAAGCTATGCATCTCCTCGTATCGTCTCTTTAATCGAGAGCGCGGGGTCTGTTGTCTTAAGAGGATGAACTGCTGTTCGACACTGGTCAGACATGGCCAGGCCCTCGCCTCGGTCACGCATGGCATAAACGTGCAATCCTCGAAAGAATCGTGGTCTGTGAAGACGAACGACGCATGTGTCGGAGGAGGAACATGCTCGAGGGGAAACAATCGCACGATTCTGCGAGTTTTTCTTCACGCAATCAGTTTCCCGAGGGTTGGGACTGTTACAATACCTTGATCTGTCTGTCCCTTCAACCCAGCCCCTCTACGCCGCCCCTTGGCCAGCCGCATGAATTCGCGCTGTCGACTCAGCGTTGAGCTGGACTGCCACGCCCCCTGGCCTGCAAGCTCTCTCAATCCAGTTGAGGCTGCTAGACTGTGTCATGCTTCAGCCGCGACAAAATTGCTTCTTCATGTCCGCTCTGCCCCATCTCCCCATCTCCCCCATCCCCGCACACAAGCCCATGCCAGCCAAGCCAGTCCCTCTTTGCCGTCCCATCCTGCCTTTGGGGGCGAGTCAAGACCTTGGCGCATTTCGAGGTAGAGGCACCTATCACTGCCTCACGGGTATGAGCTTCCAAGAGCTTCCTCCCAAAGTGAGCTACACAAACAATTCGTGCCCCCAAAACCGCCTCTGGGTGTCCAGCTGGCCCATTCAGCGAACATCGTGAAATCCACAGAACGGCGCTACACGAGAGACCTCAAGCAGAAGACCATGTTGGGTCAGAGCGCGAACCAAGGGTATAACTGAAGAAGCAATGCAAAGGAGCCCATGTCGCCACCGGCAGCGGCTGCTATCTGGCCAGAAGAACAAGGGCCTTGGGGTGGGGAGCCCGTTGTGGAAACGCCACGACGGAGGCTCTTCGCCCATGTATAGTGGGGGTGGGATGAAAAGTTGTACCTCGTGGCTCGGATCCGAGTCGGAGGGGGATGCCGATTACCTGTCGTTGCGATTGATGGGCAACCCGGATGGACTCCGGGGCTTGGGGCACCCTCTTTCGCTCCGGCCTGGGTTCTAGAACGGCATGGTCTCGGTCCATGCTCCGCGCCAACCCGTTCCGGGGTCAGTACAATATATGTGTCCTCCGACTACACTCGGGGAGCCGCCAGTGTGAAGTGCTATCGAAGAGGAAAAGGAGAAGCCTTGCAATTTTTTTTTCTCTCAGCGACTGGGAAAGAACATCCAATGCGCAGTAGCCTTGACAATGCACTGCGCGTTGATCGATTATGACTCAGAAATAATCATTTGCCCTAATCGGAATAGGCAGTAGCCGAAAAATGCTTGTTTAGGGATTGGTTTTGTGGACGACATATTTCACTGGTGACTCATCCTGTGCCATCAGCCTCCCTTTTTCGACATCGTGCACCACAATTTCCCGAATTTACTGGCTCGGCAGGTCCTTCCCTCCACTTTGCTGGATATTGCCGATTTGCTCCTTCTGCAGTCGCTTCAACCGTCACTGATTGCCCATGGCTCCAGTGGAAACAGCTCCTGAACGTTGAAGCTATCGCTGAGCTTGCATCATATTTGGCAACATATGAATTTGGAAGAGATCGGGATTATGCGACAGTACGAAGTCTGGGAGAGAGCGTAAAAGGCATTCTAAGCTGTAATCCCTACACCATACAAGGAGGGGGAAGAAATCTCTAAATAAAGCACAACGACATCTTCAAGTTCGGAACTAGCGAGCAGTGGTGCTATATTATCCGCTATTGCACGTAGACACTGCCCATTCGCGATGGAACATCGAGCACTGGAGCTGCTAGGCTACACACCCGTGGACGTATCAACTTTAGCAGGGGCGAATGGTTGCCTCAGTGAAGTGGGTGGTGCAAGTGGCGCTGCGGAGCTGCCTAAATTCTCTCTTCCCAAGGGGCGAAAGATCATCAATGACTCCACTGTAATGCTAGTCCGAGAAACTTTTCGCCGTCTCGAGCCGCGACGTAACAGGCGGGTCCGCCCTTCCCGCGCAGCCTGGACCAGACACACGATTGAAGACTTGGGGTTGCTTAAGTGATATTGAAATAGTATAATTGATGAATATTCGCCCCTGCCGCAAGACACGTCAAGACACAACGTCCATCAGCCAACTCATTGATTTTCCCCAACATAGCGCAGACACTGAAGCGTCTTGCAATTTCCATTCTTTCTCTCTTGCCTTGTTCTTTGCTTCTTCTAGCTTCTAATAACAAAAGTATCCTTCTGTTCCACCACAATTGACAGCTATCCCCTCCCTCAGGCTCTTCGCACTCTTGCCGAAATTTCCATCTCAAGTCAATCACCAGGTCCAGTGTGGAATTCAGACGTCAATCTGGACCGAGCTGAGAATTGGATCCTGCCAAACCGTACTCAATCAGCCATGCTTGAAGGCGACCAGGCTTCAAGTTTACAGTCACCGCAGACTGAAAGTCGGGGAAACCCATCCTCGTCAAGCCGAGGTAACAGGCGGCCAGGTCATCCCGGACGTGGCCATCCACGCCGTCGGGGACGGGGAGGAACTGCACCATCCGCTACCGCACAGCCTGCAGAAGCATCACAGACTGGTGGCCGAGATGGCCAATCCCAGCAACGCGGCGGTGCTCAATCTCATGGCCAGCCGCAAGGCCGGCCCCAAGCTCGCGGTGACCCGCCTAGGAGAGCGGGTGGCCAGAGGGTGGGAGAGGGGCCGTGGCAGGAGGGCCGCTCCTGGGCCCAACACCTTTCGAGCTGGCGCACCTGTGGCCGGCACGACAAGGACATTCGGCGGCCACTTGACCACAGAAGATTCCGAGACTCCCACGGATTCCATGGGTCTTGATGCGAATGCCTCCGAGTTTGTGCCTGGACGGCCCGAAAACGCCCACCGACTGTGAGTGGCATTTGTAGCCTTCTATAAGAAACTAGAAGCACCAATACTGACCGAAACCTTTAGTCAATCAAGGCCTGCGCAGCGGCCGAAAAAGGCAGAGGGTCCCCTCGCTCCCAAGAGTGATGCCCCAGACCTCCCAGCGCGCATTCATGAGGACATCAGCAACCTTCAGTATGAATGTGTAATCTGTACTAGCGAGGTCATCAAGGAATCGCAAGTCTGGTCTTGCACCATATGCTGGACCGTAGTACACCTACCCTGTGCCAAAAATGGCACGCAAACGAGACCAAGAAGGACGAGGAGAATCACTCGTTGTGGAGGTGCCCCGGATGCAATTCTCCCTTGAACGACGCCCCAGGATCCTATCATTGCTGGTGCGGAAAGGAATATAACCCTCGCCCCATCATGGGGCTCCCCACTCTTGCGGCCAGACTTGTTCCAAGGCCCGGCCGACCTGCCCTCATCCATGTTCTCTAGAGTGCCACGCAGGACCCTGCCCCCTGCGATCTCATGGGCCCCAGCCAGCCCTGCTTCTGCGGTAAGCAGTCCATCACGAGACGCTGCCGAGAGACGGATTATGTGAACGGATGGAGTTGTAACGAACCTTGCGGCGACTTTCTTCCATGCGGCGAGCACATGTGTCCCCGGACTTGCCACGCGGGTCTGTGTGGGGCTTGCGAGGTTCCCATTCTTGCGAGGTGTTACTGCGGCAAGACCGTCAAGGAGATCCCCTGCGAGGAGCGCGGCGACGAGGAAGAATCCTACAACTATGGTCAGGTGGCGACTGAAGGCCTAGATGAGGCGGCCGTGCCCAAGGACTCCTACTTCTCTGGCTGCATCCGGTGTCAAGAGCCTTGCGGCAGGACTTACGACTGTGGGAAACATAGCTGCGATAAGCCCTGTCACCCTCAAGATAGCGCCGAGACCCATTGCCCGCGGTCTCCTGACGTCGTCACCCATTGCTTCTGCGGCAAAACAACTCTACAATCCCTCCTGGACACGCCCAGGCAATCATGCGAGGACACTATCCCCCATTGCGCTGAGGAATGCGGTCGTCTACTTGACTGCGGCCATAGGTGCAAAAGTACTTGCCATGTGGGCGATTGCGGTCCATGCATCAAAGTAGTAGATGTCCCGTGTCGCTGCGGCCGCACGTCGACTGAACTTGCCTGTGTTAAGGCATCCTCGGAGCCGACGCCGATGTGCTCGCGACCTTGCCAAGCCCAACTCTCCTGCGGTAGGCATCAATGTCAAGAGCGTTGCTGCTCCGGAGAAAGGAAAGCTCGGGACCGTCAAGCTGCTCGACGAAAGAACAAACTTGCGGCGCCCGAGGAAGACATCGAAGACGAGCACCTCTGCACCCGGACATGCGGGCGCAAACTCAAGTGCGGCACCCATTCATGCCAGCAGATTTGCCACAAGGGACCTTGCCCCAGCTGCCTAGAGGCCATATTTGAAGAGATTAGCTGCGCTTGCGGACGCACCGTTTTACTGCCGCCCCAACCCTGCGGAACCAAACCGCCCGAATGCAGATATGACTGTACCAAGTCGCCTCCATGTGGACATCCGCGGATCCAGCACAAATGCCACCAGGACGACACGCCATGCCCCAAGTGTCCTTTCCTTGTTGAAAAGCCCTGCATCTGTGGCAAACAGACGCTGAAGAATCAGCCCTGTTGGTTCGAAGAGGCCCGTTGCGGTCTGCCCTGCGGCAGGAAACTCAAGTGCGGGTAAGCTTCACCACTCCCCCTCTCCCCTGTATCCTGTCTACTACATCCCTTGAAGCCCCCATTCGGAGTACATCTGTGCCTGAAGCTTTCCATCCCCAAAGCAAAACACCTTACTAATCTGATTCTAGGGCTCACACGTGCCGCAAGCCTTGCCATCGCGATGGCCATTGTGAGGACGAGGACATTGCCGGATCTCACTGCGCTCAATCCTGCGGCAAGACGCGAAAGTCTTGCGATCACGCCTGCCAAGATACCTGTCACTCGCCATTTGGTAAGTTGTTTCCCTTCTTTTCCTCACTTCCATGTTTTCGGGACTATTCTTTTGTACTAACACATGCTCGGTAGCCTGCAAGGAAGACAAACCTTGTGCCGCCAAGGTGGCAGTTACGTGCGACTGCCGCAGAAGAAAACAGGACGGTAAATGCGGTGCTTTGAATACTAATCCCTGGCCAGTTCCTCGGAGATTGCCCTGCGATGATGAGTGCGCGCGACTTAAGCGTAACGCAGCACTTGCCGAAGCACTCAAGATCGCCCCAGAGCATGGCGACAACCATATTCCATACTCGGACGAGACCTTGGACATGTTCAAGGAGAATCAGTCGTGGGCCCTGATCCAGGAAAAGGAGCTCCGGGAGTTCTCTGCGGACGAGACGAAGAAGGTCCATCGATTCAAGCCCATGTCGGCGACCCAACGTGCCTTTTACATTTGCTCGCGGCGGACTATGGCCTTGATAGCGAAAGCCAGGACATGCCTCCTCACCGAAGCGTGAGCGTCTATAAGACCCCCGATTTGTTTCGGCACCCCACAAGAGTCTCATCCAAGCTACCAAGATTCGTATCGTACAGGCTTCCGAGGCATCTAGAGTTGCTGCTGCGGCTGCCGTCGCGCTCATGGGAGAACCCTTTAATGCGTTCCTCCTCACCTCGCCACGATTCGGTCTCACGGTAGAAGACGTGGAGGGGGCCCTGCAAAAAGAGCTAGCCTCTCAGCCAGGACTCAAGTTCACCGTCACTTTCCTTCCCTCCGACGAAGTCGTTGTGCAGGCCGCGTCCCGGAATTTCGCTGGTGCCATGAGTGCTACCGCCCTAGAGAATATGCTCTCCTCCATGAAGGCTGCGCTCGCGAGAACTGTCTCTTCGCAAGACCTTGCGCGCTCGGTGGCGCTTTGCCACGCCGATGCATCTTCCAACATCACACGTCGCGAGCGAGGCGCAAACTCATCCGCCGGAGGATGGAACACGGTGGTCAGTCGGTCTACACAGAAATCCACGGCTACTAGCGCCAGCGCTAGCTCGGCCTCGACGACGCGAGACCCCACCTCATCGGCGACTACGGAAGCAAAGCCCGGCCGACTTACGCTGGGCTTGAAGAAGAAGAAGAAGCTGCCCGAGCCTGAACCGGTCGACGACTGGCTCGAAGCGGCAGAACAGCTAGAGGAGTAGACTTGTCAAGGTGTAGGCTGTGCGAGCGGTGCAAGCGGTGCAACAGCGACAGCAACGGTAACAGCAACGGCAACAGCAACGGCCCGGAGTCCTCGAATGAAATCATGACTTATTTTCTATGTGTGTTTCGGAGGGTCTGCATGATGGCATCTGCGGAGTTGTAACATTGGTGCACTAGCATGAGATAGCGGTACGATTGATGAGCATTTCATGGGCCCCTGAGAGCGCCGTAGGTTATAGAGAAAGATCTTGCTTAGATAGCGGTTTGCTTGAGGGCTCAAAGGCTCAAAACAGATAATGTAAAGTTTTATCATATAGATGTTGCCCGTCTATTGCTTGCTTGAGCCATTCTCGCGCTCCCCCAAACCTCGAGAGTCAACGAACGGCTTGAAATCATGTTGCGAATCGAGCGCGAAAATAAACAACCTCGGTTCTTACGAAAGAGATGATGCAAGGGGAACCAGGAAGATCCATACCTGCTTGTCCTCCTTCCTCTTCCCAATTCAGGTCAACCCTTCCCCTCCCTTCCCTTTTCCTCTTCTTCTTCCCCCTCGACGGAGCATTATCTCGAGGGATGACCGACCCGAGCTGAACTATCCCGGTAATCAGCTCATCGTCCCGCGCTCTCCCACCCCCATTCCCATTATATGCCAATTCAAGACGATGATGTAACCTTGGGGCCCCTCCTTTACATCCCCCGGCAGGCTGGTGGTCTCCGGCCGTCAAAGATGCGAGAGGCATCCCCCTCCGGTGTCTCGCTCTTTCTCCTTCTCTTTCTAGTATCCGAAGGAAACAAATGGTGAATGATATCGGCAATGACGATAGTCGATCCTTGGTTTATTTTTTCCCTCGTCTTCATGTCCCTCACCGCTTCGCGGATCTCTACTCACCCCCTCCCTTTCCCCGTATGGTCCCCACAAGAGATCCCAAGAGTAGAAAGATAAAAACAGCCCCTCCATCACGAGAGTTGATGGAGGTGGGCATCGCTCAGCGCCACAAGAACGAGAAGGAACGAGTTCCAGTACGCTGGGACTTGGCGCACCTTGCTTCTTCCAAGTAAACCGGCCACCCCCCTCCTTCTCAACAACCATCAGACAGTGCTCTCCATCCCCCCTTTTGATTTTCTCGCTCGATTTCTCCAGGTAAAACGAAATTGGTAGTTCTCAGAACGTTTTACTTCATCCCCCCTCTCCCTCCAGCGCCAGTGTATCCTACCTATCAAAAGCGTTCATCCATCGTCCGTCTAGACTCCCGCTTTGCGCAGCTCCTCTTTCCCCCTCCCCTTCATGAAGTGATGAACACCCTTCGGAACAGGGGGTGGGGAGACAGACCCCGACTCTGCCGCTCCGAGAAATCAGGATTCCTTGCCCCGACCTTACCGGGGGCCGGGGCACTCGATAACCGCGTCGAGGTCAACACCCCCGCACGCTGCCGGAAGATTTTTGAAGGGGAAAAGAAAAATCCTACATCCCATGACATGACGAGGGACGGGGCTGCGTGACACAAAGGCCCACATTCCTTGCTGGGCCAAACGGAGAAAATGTGTTGAATCACCAGATGAAAATAACTAAGACACTGCTTTCCAAGGATTGAGGTGCTCTCCTATCTGTCTCCTGTTCGATCCTCTGTCCTATCGCTTCCTTTTTTATTTTTATTTTTATTTTTATTTTTATTTTTATTCTCTTTGACAAAAGTGGCTGCACGTTTGAAAAGTGAAAAGGGTGTGCGCAGAATCGTTCCGAGCTATATTGTTTGCGTCCCTTTTGTGTCATTCAAAATCCCACCTTCCAAGAGAGGGGCAAAGTGATTTCTAGTGATTACGATAAAAAAGAAAGAAAGGAAAAAGAAAGCGCCAGGCGTACTGTGGCCGCTTCTGTCGCTCATCGTGATGGAGGGTACGGCCTCAGCAGCAAACTCATGTGGCGCCATCACACACACCCTCCTTTTCCCATCCCCTTTCCCCTCACATCGGGGTTCTCGATTCGCCCATCCGACCAGATGGGTTGTCTTTTGAGAGAGGCCACAATCCTCTCTCTCTCTTTCTTGTTATCAGCTCCACGGAGCTCTCTTCCGTACACTAGTCCTCAGTCTCGAGGCGGAGGACTCTTGGAATTACCGCGACAAAAGTGGAATGGCGCGCCCACTCTCGTCCATGGTTCATCCCTGCGCTCTGAGCCTATATAATGCGCGTCATATTACCCTACCCAGTACGCTAGAAAAGAGAGGCTTGATTGTGGTGGGTGAGGTGCGCCGACGAACCATATCATTCCGAAAGGGTATCTATTTCAGCTTTCTCGCTTAAGATATTTAGGAGAAGAATATTAAGAAGGAAAAAATCCAACACAAAGGCGGCCCAGGCCAGAAGTGACAAGCCACATAGGATGCAGGATGCTCAAGACCTTGGGTCTGTCCCGGCTCACGGATCATTTTCCGGATGTAGCATTTTCCGACCACCGCGCCTGTTTCCCCGAGTTCCGTATATGCTGGGAGGGAGGGGGAAAGTAAAAGATATCCATGATCCAAAAGAAAATGAGAATGCCGTCCCGTAGCGCCTACTCCAATGCAGCCCATAACCGAAAAAAAGACCCAGGGTAAAAAAGAGCAAGAGAAGGAGAGGAGCGCAAAGCAAAGAACCAACGGCGTACTACCGCGTGCGCTGATGGCACTAAAAGTCCCTCTTTTCGTGGACGGGATGCTCACTGCAAGCATCGTTGACAAAGTCAGTTATCGTCTCAAAGTACCCCTCCTCTAGGACGCTGGTATTGTGATCTCCGCGGGAAGCGCCTTCCAGGTCTTCCAGGGCGCTTTGGATAGTTCGTATAATTGGCGCATGTGAGTTGGTCTATACAGGAGGGGGCCGTCGAGGCATTAGCTAGTGTCGCCGAACGAGGCCTAGGAGATACAGAAGGAAGAGGAGGAAAGGGGGAAAGGCAAAGGAAAGAAAGGCGTTAAGAGTAGAGCTTACGGTACAATCTCATCCTGCAATCCGCTAAGGAATAGGATGGGAACCTTGTTGATATTGGGAATGTGAGAGTCGCTAGGCCACACCTGGTGGCAAAGCAGCGTCACATACTTGGCCATGGGGATGACGGAAGGGATCAGCTTGCGCATGGACAGGAATGTGTTCTCCAGGACGAGCCCGGCGATGTCGCCGACGTGCTGGTTCTTGGCGACGAGCTTGATGCCAACGGCCCCACCAAGACTCTGGCCGTAAATGACGAGCTTGTGGCTGCTAGTCTCGGCACGGGACCTCAGGTAGTCGAGGGCTGTCTGCGCATCGATGTACAAGCCAGATTCGTCCGCCTCGCCAGTCGACAGGCCGTAGCCCCGGTACTCCAACATGAAGACGTTGCAGCCGAGATAGTTGATGATCATGCGGGCAATGGGAAGACGGTGGCCAATGTTGCCGGCATTGCCATGGAACATGAGCATGGTTATGTTGGAGTTGCGACCATCACGGGGACCGCGGATGTAAAAGGCCGATAGTTTCTCTCCATCGTTTGTGGGTATGACTAGCTCCTCAAAGTCTGTGATACCAAACTGGGACGGTCGTGGAACTTCTACGCGGGCATTCGGGGGCATATGCGAGGGGTAGATCAACGCTCTACCAAGAGGTGGAAACGCACGAATATCAGCATCGTCATTCATCAAACCCGCGAACTCTTCGACGGTGAATAGGTGGGGTAGGAGAATGGGAGGTGGAGGGGGTGTGCGTGTTTGCGTGTGTGCGGTAACCGCATTGTCACATGAGGCCCAATCCAAACAGGGCCATCGCAAGAGGGGGCCATCAAGCGGGAAGTCGCGCAAAGCAAAAGGGAGCAAAGAAGGCATGGATGTTTACTAACCTTTGCTTGAAATATAACAAGCTCGTCAGTACGGCGGCGATACCCTATAGCAAGTGTGGGGGTTAGTTTCAGACGCTGACACCTAATATCTCAAAGACTTGAGACAACACTCTCTCTCTACACGCCAGGGCTACGGAGGCATATCGCGGTACCTGAGAGAAAAGGTTGCCACTACTAGACGAGGAACTCGACTGCGAGTTATGGTGGGGGCGGGAGGAGAGCATCATGGCTTCGTCGGGAGGGGTTAAAGAACGGCACAGGGCCAGAGAAGAGAGAGAGAGAGATAGAGAGAGAGAAGAAAAGGATGAGGTAATGAAGACAATGGACAGAATAAGCGGTAAACCCGTCGTCAATGAGAGAGAGAGAGGCGATGTCGGCGAAAGGGTGGCTTCTTTGTTCAATCGAGAGAGAGATTGTTGATCAGATAGGACATACCGTGGACGCCAAGGCTGGCAGCCGCATGTATGTGGCGACAGTGCTGAGGAGAGAAGCCGTCTGCTCCAAATAGGAGTTGCTGGATGACGAAGGCGGGGAGTTGTTTACGGGCATTGGGAGGGGAAGGGAATCAGACCAGGTCGTGGGCGAGCGGGGTGGTTGTCGGACAAGGTTGGGTATATATGTCTGGGATGATGACGGCGAGAGATGGAACTCTCAAACAGCAAGCAGGACGGAGAAGACGGCGAGCTGAGGAGATTGTCTGGATGAGGTGGCCGAGTTCTGATGGGTGAGCTGCCCCGGTCAGGCCGATGCAGCAGAGTTCCGGGTAGAGTCGTATCTGGCGTGTATCAGAAGGTTCTACAGACTTTCCGGGCTAACCTGATACCGGGCCAGAGAATGGGATGGGAGAGGCAGATGCAGATGCAGATGGCACTGAGGGCAAAAAGAGGCAAAGAGGGCTGGGTGCAGCGACGATTGTTCGAGGTTTTGAGGGGATCACCGGAATTTGCAGGGGAATAGGAAAGGGATGGAAGGCCGAGCACTGTTTGGCACTGCCTAGAGCTCGAGCGGATTTCCGGGTAGCGAACGGTGGACCCAGGAAAAGCGTGGGCGGGTATTTGCGAGAGCAATGCGGCAAATTAGAAGAGCGGCGGTGGGAACCAGAAAATGCACGTCGTCCACTTTTTTCGGAGCACTTGGGGGAATGTGTTTGGAGGGAATCTGTCTCCAAGGGCGAAAGTGGTTGTTTCGAAGCGACGGGGGAGAGAAGGCAAGGGAGGGGGCGAGGAGAAACAAGATTGAGCATTAGCTCCGCAGCAAAGACTGTGTGCGTGTGTGTGTCTGTGGTCAAACAGCCCACGCACGCAGGCGGAGGGAAACATTGAACATTCGGGGGAATTAATTGATGCAGGAGGCCTGGAAATCCAACATCGAACCCAACCCCCGAGTTCCATCAATTCATCAATCGTGTGTTCCATCGGAATGAACAGGTTTGATTGCCATTTTAGCACAATAACTACATCCAGCATAGATCAAGCTAATCCAGTGGTTTACATTACATCAATTGATCAATGGAGAGAGAATCGTGTGGGGTGGTAGGGACATCAATTCAAGGGACAGGTTCATTAATAGATTCAAGCTTCGTTCAATGGGGTTAGTGTCGCACGCCGCCGATTCCTGTGGTGGCCCTGACGGTCAGTCAGTCTAATACCAACATTCGAGTCGCTAATACATCATTGATCCTTGATGTCCAGGTGGGTTCAATGGATGTTTAATCTCGAACCTCGATTTCCTTGATAGCACTCGTGAAGAAGCACCCATCTAAGGATGATCGATCGGGGAGAGGGGCTCGAGGCGTATCAAGTCGAAGAAACGCGTCGCCGTTGACACCAGGTCAGGTCGTGCGTTCATTTCCCAGAGAGCCCAGACACTAGTGTACATTTCCATACGAGTCCCTGCAGAGATGGACACGCCACGCCATCTTCGGTCATCGGTTGATCCCCGCTCTGGAGCACTTGCGCTTGTGTCGTGCCCAGCAAGGCAATGTTGATATCAGTGCCCACCCACTCCGGAGAGCGATACAAATTTGGTCTTGACTGTCACAGTGAAGGTGTTAATTATTGCAATAATATTGATGCTGTATACGTAAATCAGCTCAACCAGCACTTCCCACTTCACGAGGGCAAATTCTGGTGGTAGAGCTCTTCAGCCTGAAAAAAGGAAGGAAAAGGAAGGAAAAGGGAGAGAAAGAACCCCTGATCCATTTATGGGTATTATATCAATTGATGGCGAGCCACAAGTAGAAAGTGGCCTCCACACCTGCGACAAGATGGGATGACGTTACGGGAAGATACTTCGTACTTTCATGGATCCCTCATAATACAATTGATGCACGTTGTGGATGCACCTTCCAGCTCAATTGATCAATTGGCGGATGCTCAAGTCTTCTCCGGACGAGACACCCTCAACCCCAGCAGCCTCAAGCCGACCTGCACTAGCGCATCACTCGACAGGGTGCTCGGCTTTCTTCAGATGCTCATCCAATCTCCCCCAGTTTTCGCAGGGCGTCCCTCGGGTTGATCCTTTCTTGATGTTTGCTCCAGCTGCTTTTAGCGTGAAGGCAATGAGGCGATGAAGTGAAGAGGCCCCTCTTTGACCCTACCACTGCCACTGTTATGTACCTCGGAGTTTTCAAAAGCTAGCTGCTCATCATGAATCGAAAGGGTTCGAGGCCCTGGGCCTACTTTGAGAGGGAATACGCACCCTGAAAGACCTCGCGCCTTTCACCCATTTCGCCCTCAGAGCGTGACGAAAAGAGTTGAACCTGCATGATGCAGGGCAAGCGCCCGTTGGTAGACTAATAAGAATCAGGTCCCTCTAGGGGAAAAAGGGAGAGAGCCCATCATCAACCTCTCTGAACGAGGGAGCCTTGATCGATTGGCTGAGAATCACCGAATGCGCGCGAGGTCGCAAGTGTCTCTCAAGTAAGTCTGAAAAGGACGGCGAGAGTCTTGTCTTTCTAGATGATGGTGTATTACCCATTACTTTTATTTTGAATCCCTTTTGGCACCGGACTGGGATCGAAATGCGGCGTAGAGAAAAGAGAGGCAAGATCAACGCGTCCACCGAGACCTCCCTTATCAGCCGGTTCTAAGGGTCATATCATCCAATGGATGGGTGGATTAATTGCCCCCATATCAGAGAGTGGCGGACCACCTGAGACAGCCAGAACCAAGCCGAGGCGAGGACCATCCATGGGCGACCGAGATGTCTACCACGCCTTCTATCAACTTACCTGCCACTACTTTGACCTCGGAGCTCTGCTATCAACACTTGCTTTTATAAAAGGCCCCCCTCCCATCCCCATAGTTTAAAATACAGTAGATAATATTTCAGGGGACGGATGGAGAAACCCTCCGTGGCCAAGAGAGGAAGGTTGGCAAAGCAAACACACCCTCCACACCGAGTGAGTGATGGAGAGGGGTCCGGGGAAATGGTGTGTGGAGGTGGGCAATGGAAGGAAGGCACACGAGCGCCAGGGGAAGGATGCTTGCCAGAAAGGAGGAGGCCGGAAAAAGGAAAGAAAGAGAAAGCAGTTCATCACAACACGAAATGGTCGTCAGGCAAAGTCAAATCAACACGAATCGGGAAATCAGGGTGGGCATACCTCGGTACGAGTCTAGAAGCTACACTTACCAAGTACGTGGTGGATGGGGGCAGTCCGAGGATACCCATCGACGGGATGGCCACGTTTGATTTACAACGGGGACCTTGCTTCTTTTTCTATGCGCGGGGATGAGGAGACGCGGATTGCCCGATCCACGCGATATCCGGATGACGGTCCCTATAATGGATCTGCGACCTTCCTCTCACGAGCCCCTCCCAGCCAATCCATTTTGGACAGATTCAGGCTTGGGGAGCCTTGATTAGGGGAGGAGAGGTGGGGAAACATCCACCATCAATAGAAGACACCAATGCCCATGCGCGCAGTGGACACCATTTTTGGCTAGGAGGAACTATGGGAATTGGGATGAATAACCACCCCGATGGGTGCTTAATCAGAACCCATCGCGTTGAGATGACGCGACTAGTCCCAGTGTGGGGAGAAAAGGGGAACTGAGACGAGGGACAAGGATTTCCTTGATGTCTTGGAGGGGGTTTAATCTGGAAGCCAGCGATCAGAGGGCCGCGGGAGAACGGGACGACCTAGGCTTGCGGTTGTGCCGAACCCTTAATCAATATCCAACGACATGTAAACTTCAATGTTGCGGGAAAGGGGGAGGGGTCGCGCGAGCATGTCGTCGGTGTTTGTTATGCTGCCAATTGAGACGGGTGCAAGAGGCAAGAGTGTTTTGACGAGCCTCTTTTCCTCCGCCCTGGCATTGCAGCGCGTAGGACAAGAGCGTGCCTGTTATGATCATGGAAGGCGTGGATATGGGTCTGGTCTTCCCACCAGATGCTGCATCGAATCCCGTCAAACTAGAGTAGATCCATAGATGGATCTGTTGAACGAATGTGGGGGCAGACCACCTCCCTCCGCGTCATCGTCTTGTCGGGCGTCTTTTGTCTTCCAGCCTCGGGCTGTAGCCTTGGGGCTATCCGGAAAAGAAAAAAGAAAGAAGGAACTAATGTGGAGGCCCGTTGGCGACGCTGGGCTCACCTAGTCTTGAGGTTTCCCAACGGCCCACTTGCTCGTGAGGCCGAATTCTTTCCACTCTCCGTCTTGTGTGCATATGCAGAGAGGCTTTTCGGTTGTAAATTGGGTTTGAGCGGCCATTGCCAACCCAAAATCCCCACCGTCGCCCCACCTCAGCCCGAACGCCTGGAGAAACAACTGGAGCTAGATTGATGGGGGACGGTCTGGCAATATTTGGGAGGTACAGACGACATGGTAGAGGGTCACGGTATGAGGGGGATGGGAAAGAGAGCACACGAAAGACATTCGCAAATTCACCCCCGCCCCCTCCCCTTGCCTCTTCTTTCTATCTGGGTAACAGAGGGAATGGGCACCTATTGGGAGGGAGAGACAAGTGGAGGCTGCACTTGGAACGCAAAGGTGGTGAGAAGGGGTCTTTCTCGCCTTGTTATCTACACTGCGTCCTTCGGCGTCTTTGGTGGTGGCTGAGTTCAAACTGTCCATTTTGACCCAAGGCCTTGTTTTGTTATAAGCCTTGGTGGGCAATCATGCCATCGACCCTTTGCCCGTTTGTTACCCTCGTGGCCACCCAGTGACGACAAGGAAAACGAAAAGGACTAAGAAGTGAGGCGAAAGTTGCACCGCCAAAGGAGGCAGAATGATGGTGTCGACAACTTCGCCAATGACCTGTCATTTCAAATGTTTGTCGTGGCAGGTTTTGTGGATGGTGGGAAGAGTGATGTTCGTGCCTCTGTGCCTACTTCAAAGTTCTTACATTTATCGTGATAGTGCGAAGCGAGCTTGGCATGTGTCAATAGGGAACATTGAATGGTAAAAAGGAGGAAAAAAGAAAAGAAAAGAAAAGAGAAGGAAAAAGACGGGAAAAAGAAAACTAGACAGGCATGGCGAAGGTGCAAAAGTCACCGACGTTCTGGGCCATGGCGAAGAAGATTCCCTCGTTACAAGCAAAGATGGATACAATGGATCTACGGATGTACAGAGGAGACCGCTCGTGCTTGAGGGCGGAAATGACTCAGGAATCCTGCTTCAAAGGCAATCGGCTTTCCCTCACACATGTACGCTGTACGATGATGACCGCTGGCAGTCATTACACTTGCCTGGATGAAGGTTCGTTGGGGGAATGGATCCATCAACCATGGCAGATTCAGAGTGGTCGATGATGTAAGTTGGGCAGCAATGCTGGATAGCATGCCTAACGCGCATCCTTCAAAATGTCGGATAACTACAAAGTTGGGCCAACCACCAACAACAAGAACAAAGACACCGCCCATGACGCACCATTGCCAGGTCCGACGGCACCTGTCTTCACTTCCGGGAAGATGCGGAATTCAACAAAGAACCCGATGGATCAATGTTGAGGAGGTGTTGGAGTTCTAGGCTTTACCAGATCCCCTTCTGCATCGGGACACGAAGACGCTTGTCCGCGAAAGGAAAGGGTTCGCTGCTTCGGAACTGGAGTCCTTTCGTACCTGACCGAATCGTCATCCTACCTAAAGTTTTCTGTCCCCGGGTGTGGGGATGGGATGCGGTTCGTCCTTACGGACCCAACCCTAGGAATCCTGGCCCCTCCAATTATCGAGTCTTATCGGTCGAGTCTCCAAAGAAGAAGAGAACAAGAAGCGTTGCGGCACCGTGTCTGGTCCGGATAGTTGTACCTATCTGAGAAGTGATTGGGGCTGGGGAATGAAAACTGCTCAAGATCTTGACTGTTTTAACCCCCGCCCCCGTTTGCCCGTTGATGCGACAAAGTAAAGACCCATGTGAAGTCTCCAGCCGTTAAATGAAGGCTAGGAGCTATTTGCTCGGCGACAAGAGAAGATGGTGTCCGAGTAAGACTCTGGGTAATAATACTCAGCAAGACAAGTTCGTCTGCACGAAACGGATAAGCAAAGAATACCAATTACACATCCATCAATCGACTTGAGCCGGAAGTGGCAGAAGGGGCGGATGGCGTTGCTGAATGAAGGTCATCTTTTCTCACTGCCCTTTCACGTTGTCCTTGGGCTGGAATGGTCCAATGGTAGCGCCAGACCCCACCTCTACGCCCACCCTCGAATGCCATCCTCGCCATGGCTCAGGTGACCCCGCGGTCAAGGATTCGTTGGAGAGGCTGATAACGTCGGGGGTGAGCTGGCCAATGGGAGAGTCCATGGGGCAAGCCTGGTGCAAAGAGTGACCAATCGCTGGAGGTTTTGGTTCCCCTGGCTACGGGTGACTGGTGGGGTAAGCCTAGCGAATCCCAGAAGGGTTTCAGGAGTCTGACTCCACTCAGCTTCCAGCCCAGCATAGCATGGCGCTGAATTGTACTTGTATGTTCTTTGGCATTCGAGGGGACGCTCTGTATTATTTCTGGAACTTGTGCAGAAGAATCCTTCGTACAAAGCACAACGGTATTTATTAGCGCGTGCACTCTGGAAAATAAGGCCACTATTCCGGATGGGTCCAATGAACGTCGAGTATTTTGCCTTCTTCCCCCAAAGTCCTCTCTGCCTTTTTGCTCGAGGCGAGACTGGATCGCTCGCCGAAAAATACTGCCCAACGAGAGCCTGTAACTCTAGCGACAATAGCAAGACATTGATGCACCCACAAGTATTGGAAAAAAATTCTGTGGGCGACGGAGGACGAAGAAAAAAACAAACCAAGCCTACACTTTCCCTTTCTAGCTTGAACGCTCAACTCGTATCCTATCTCGACATCCCATTCGACTGACTCTTTTGCTCTTTTTCCTCTTTCCTCTCTCTCTCTCTCTCGACGAGACATACGAACTACCCAAGTTCTCCCATCACATCACGGGCAAACTCCCGAAACGCGTTCAGTCCTACACCTTGTCGCATTCTCCCTTTCTCAAACCGCAGCAAGCGAACAGTTTGCCGAGAGAGAGGCTACTCCATATCTGGACCACCGTCTTTAGCTTGCCCTTCGGACTGGCTTTTTCTGCTTCCATCTTGCTTCTTTTATTTTTTTCTTCCCTTCTAGTCTTTGAGAAGGTAGACCGCGGACCGGATCATCGTCGCTCAGTGTTTCTCAAACCCGCCTCGGCCTGGCCCGCACCACATCAACACCCTCACTCTTTTTCCCCTTCTGCTCATTTTCCCCACCTTTCCTCGCCTGCCCTTGGAACCGTCCAGCATCCAGGACGTATCTGAAGCACCGACGAGCGATAAGCGACTTTGTTAAACGCTTTCCCCTCCCTTCTTCTCCTCCGCAAAGCCCGTTGGTCTGCGCGCAGTGTCCCCGGATTGTCACCAACAGGGGCGCCTCTCTAGGATTTCAGTTATCTTGAAACACTTTGGCTCGCCCCCAGCACCTTGTTCCTACCGACCTAGTTTCGGACTTTCCAAGCACGACCTTTAATCCTTCCTCTGCCTCTCAATACCTCGCTGTTCTAAATTTGTCCGGACCCAGAGACACAGTCTATTATCGCAGAGCTGGGGTCTACCTTTCGCTTTTGCACCGCCTCGGCAATCCCTCCGCTGCTGGCCTGACTTTTTGTGTCTTTTTCTGGCCCAGTTCCGCCTTCTCGCCCTGTCCACAATCCACCGGCTTTGCGTAATACTTGGCCCCCTCTCGTCCCTCACCACACAGCCCGGCCCGTCCCAACCAATCCTGGTCTTTCAGCCCACCACCTTGGTGCTTTGCCTTGCCCCAGAACTGCAACGATACCATCATCCCTGGATCTCTCTCTGAGCGCTAACCCATTTACCACTCAATTTCTGCTTCCTCAGCCAGACAACGCGCCGACTCCAGCACGCAGACGGACAGAGGTCAAGCGACGAAATATTTTCACTCTTCTCATTTTTACCTTCAAGAAACAACCTCCGAATTTAGAGAAAACCACATCTGGAGGCCATCAATCTGCCCGGATCCAATCAAACAGCCCGCTAGACAAATACCGGCATCATGGTGTCGTTTTCCTGCGAGGTGAGTAAACTACACACTCTTGTCTTTTCTTAGTCCGAGCCGATCCCCATAATAGCATCAAGCAATAAGTTGGCTTTGCCAATTCAACCTTGCTATCTTGCCATGTACCCCTATTAGCGGCGCTTGGAATTTGTCCCAAACCACCCACCCTCCCTCACACCACTACGCCAACTCCTACACGGCTCCCGTCAGGAACCTGCCCCTCGCGCCCCTCGCGCCCCCGGTCCCCCAATTCTCACTATTGCCCTGGCCACCCTCCAGACACACACCCCCTCCCCACTCCTCCCACTCCCTTTGATCATCCTCCATGGTCCGTCACCTGTCTCGTCTTGTCCTCGTCCGTCTGCCGCTCCAATTTCCCAATCCCGATATATCAGACGCCACCCCCTTCCCTCCATCATCCGTCATCTGTGTAAATTACCAGCTCACGTCGTGTTTCTGTTTATTTGTCCAACCTGTCCGCGATCACCAACGCTAACCTTGCGCCGTTCTATCTTCTCGAACCTGCCAGTCGTGTGGTGATGTTTTGACCAAGAAGAAGCTCGATCAACATCGAAACCGCTGCCACGGCGCAACTTATACCTGCATTGATTGCATGGTTTATTTCCCTGGTACCACCTATCGTTCTCACACAGTATGCCTGAGCCTCACCACTTGCCTCTGCGCCCACGCGAAGCTTTGCGCGTTGGGTCGTGGTCTCCTTGCGGTCTGCGCAGTGACGCTAATCTTAATGGATACAGAGCTGTATTAGCGAAGAGCAAAAATATCAAGGCGCTTTGTATAAAAACAAGAAGGCCAAGACCGCACCTGCCCCTGCCGACCCTGTCGAATACATCGAACCCCCGATGCCGAGCAAGATGAGCCGCAAAAGCTATGTGGAGGACGTTCCGGACAACGTGTCTGATACCTACGGCGACTACGAGGATAATAGCGACGATGATCATAGGTCGCCCATCGAGCCGCTCCCCAAGGCCCCGACGCCTCCTCCCGTCCCTGAGATGGTCAACGTCTTTGACTTCCTCGTCGCCAGCAACACCCCAACGCGTCGCAGGTCGCCTTTGCTCGCGAAGAGACCCAATTAGTACGGTACGATTACGACGCCAATGAGTGCCTTGTCGAAGGTGACGAGTTGGTCCAGTACGGCGCTGGACCCATCCCCGCCACCGCGTACCAGACTCCCGCTGCCAAAGTTGCGCGGAAAAAGAGCAAGGAAGGAACCGATGTCAAGACCGACAAGAAGCGCAAGCGACTTCACATCGAGACCGACCAAGTCATGACTGATGCGCCCCCGTTCTTCACTCTGGCCTTACTGGTGGCCTGAATCGCATGATGCGACCCATCTTCCCCCTCACCTGACTATTCTGGCGGTGACGCCGCACCCACGAGCCCCATCAAGAAATCGAAGCACTCGAAGGGCTCCAAGGCTAGCCGCCAGGAGGCTGCTTCATCTATTGGCAATAATCTGCTCTCCATGATGACTGCTGGAACCAAGCCCAAGACCAAGAAGAAGAAGCCGACCGATAAGAAGACGCGCGCGCGTGCCGACAAGGCGACGAAGCTCATCGAGTACCGACCCAGCTCCCGCGATAGCAAGAACGAAGCTACCAATGATGGACAGATGGTCGTTTTCAAACCCCGCGCCGACCTGTTCCTCAGCTACATCACCAAGGGACCTGGAAGTGAGCGCGGCTGCAGCATGAACAAGGTGCTCAAGCGCTACCACCGGGACAGGTCCCAAGACCGCGAGGGCTTAGGAAAGCTTGCTGAAGAGAAGGAGCTCTGGCGCAGCCTTCGCATGCGGAAGAACGAGCGCGGTGAGATTGTCCTGTTCACTGTCTAGCGACGTGAGGGACTGCGGAACCGCGACTCTCTGCCCCAAGAGAACAATACAATGGGAAAACAAACCGAACCGGACAATCCTCTTCCCCATGCAAAAGCAAAAAGAAAAGAAAAATACAAATACAGCAGGCATTACAGAAAAATGAGAAAAATCCCCCACAACTATACCACGGCGTCACAACGAGGAATGTAATGAATTGGGCATATATGGACACGGCGTTTCTGGTTATTTTCTTTTTATCTTTTTATTTTTTTTTATCATCTTATTTTTTTCTTTCATCTCAAGATTTTTTTGGGGCGGTTGAAGAGACTACAAATCTGGAGGTGTCCGCGTTGTCGTTTCCTCGATGGCCGTTTCTCCTTCATGTATGTTGGAACGATGGAGAAGGCTAGCAACCTGTGCTGTTGAGAAGAGGGTCTAATATTTTCGGCGGGCTTCCGTCACATGTATTTTCCTTCTTGACACCCTCTTCTCCTTCCGGAGCGATTGCAAACGTGCTCAAACAGACTTGAGCTATAGAGCTCAAATCACAACACGAGCAGCTGAAAGGCACTATATCCGCGCTTCAAGCGTTTCCTTTGGGGTTGCTTTTCTTTTTCTTTTTTTCTATTGATGGCCGAATCGGCATTTCATAGGAAGCTCTTTTCATTTCTTTCCTTTCCCGCGCTTGCACCGAATGTTGCCGGCGCTTTCTTACTTTGAAGTTGTTCTCTTGTGGCTGTGTTAATATTGTTTGACTACTGTATCCGGCCGGGGATAGTCTCTCGTAGACTACCGAGCCCCTTTGTCTTCTCCATTTGGACATGTGCGGGCGTGGACGTGGGAAGACTTTAGCGGTTGCAATTTTTTCTATTCGAATTTCGCCTTTACGGAATCGGCTCCCCCGTCTTCTTCGTTCATTTGACGAAGTTCCTTTCTATGATACAGTATGGAGGCATCAGATCAAATAATGCGCAGTCGTTATATCCTTCTATCTCTTTCTCTTGACCCAAGCCCAGGCCAATGTGTAATTATGTTTTGTACAATGCAAAGTCAAGTGGTGAAGCATATGCGAAGCTCGCGCTTCTTAAACAACTCGCAATGGTAGGATGTGTTGTACCATGGTTTCCCTTCTGCAAAGCGGGCATTCGGGCTTCTCACGCACCCAATCTCCAATGCACTCCCAGCAAAAGATGTGACCACATTGTGTTGCAGAGGGGTCTTTAAGTTCTTCGAGACACAAGGTACACTTGCGTTGTTGAGCTCCTTTGATGAATCCCATGACCGAATCATTGGATAGATCGTACCGAGCGCTGGGAAGGATAGGAGTATGCGTCGATCTCTCGACGTTGAGCTTGGCGGGATTGCCACTCGCCGCGCCTGCACCGTTGAGAAGCTGGTTGTTGGAGGCGTAGGCATTGTCACTGAGAGACACATCCAGCTCGGTTGAGTATGCATCGGAAAGACGACCACGGCTGTGGTGGTGATCGGCTACTGCCGCCGCGGGGCTGGACAAGACATCTCGGATGTGGAGATATGTCTGTGTGGCGAGCTGAACGACTAAAAGGGCTCCTAGGACCTCATAACCGGCGCGGTCCGGTGTATCGGGTACCTTGTGAGTAAAGATGTACCTGAAACCGAGCAGGCGTTTGGAGAGCTCGTAGTAGGTCCCCGAGAAGTAAAATACGGCCAGGAGATGGCGTATATGGGCGTGCCTGAGGTGATGGTGGTGAAGTGGTTCAGCAGGTACCCCAAGATCCTGGCTTCCCTGCTTCGCCCCTTGCCTCGATGCGCGAGCTTCTCGATGCGCGCCTCGAGCGCGGCGCGAAGCCTGGAGCGCAACCTCGGTAGAACCTTGGCAGCGGCATAGGGCGCCAGAACGGACGCGAGAATGTAGGCAGCCCTCCGGGAGACGGCGGGCAGGGTGGACGACGGGGCGTGGATCTGGACGACGTCGGTGTACTCTTCGCCAAGGGTTCGGTTGCCGAGGAGGGTCGTGAGGGAAAGATAAAGGAGGGAGGAGGCGAGCCTGGACTCGTGGGCCCAGGTGTGCGCGGAGCGGGCGCCGAGGACGGAGCGGTGGAGCGAGGAGAGGGCGTTGGCGAGGTAGCCCGTAAAGTAGGCGTCCTTTTGGTGCGCCCTTATGATGTCGGGGGCGGCGGCGTAGGGAAAGGTGTCGCGGGCGAGGTGCGCGACGGCGAGAGTTTAGGGCCTAGGATGGGCTTTTCGGTGGGCAATGCCGTCGGAGGCGCCTCTGCGCTGTCCATTGTCGGATTGTGTGATGACATGAGGGAGGGGGTCCGGGGCGCGAGTGGTGGGAGCGGACAATAGATGAATTTCGGTGGGAGCTCGCGGCGAGTGCGGGGAGGGGAGGGAAAGATAAAACCCAGGCGAGGGATATAGAATAATCGATCGAAAAATGGTTAGTCGCGGCCTTTTGTTGGGTGGTAATGGGTTATGAGCTGGTTGAGGAGTTGGGGTTCGTTGAAGAGTGCTTGGTTCGGCATCGTGATGTAAGTCAGTGATCGCACTGAGCCTCGGCTGCTGGAATTGAAAGTTAGCTCTCGGGAGAGCGAAGCGCGTTGCCTCTGGCCGAGGGACATATCACGTGTCCTGCATATTTTTAGTGCATTGTGAGCTGGCAAGCTCGAGCTCCTTTCACAAACTCGAGTGGTACTTTGTAGATATTGATTGTCTGTATGACTAATCACAATGACCCCTTTTGGCTTGATGACGCCGCTCACATCAGATGCCAGGAGCTGAACCCCGATGCAATCGATAAGACAAGTCGAGATTAGACACCTCAGCAAGCCTCTTCCCCCTGAGCCAACTGAATACGAAAAATTGTTTCTTTCTTCGTGCTCATCCTAACAGGAGGACCCAACGCGACCTGCCCGTCTTCCACTCCGGTTTGCCTTCACATTCCCCACCGAAGGATTCTTGATGATTCTGGAGGGGAATTGGCGGCGTTTACGTCCTCTATCTCCCCATAGATGAAACGCGACCGAACCCGCGTGTGTGTATCGATATAGTCTTGAGCAATGAGCAACGATCACGATGGTCACGAGCTCGACTCGTTCGGCCTGCGCTTCCCTCTACCGTACAGAGTTGGGTTCATAATTGTTGCAGGTATGAAGCGCCATCCTAATCGCACCAGCTCAATGGTTTCCCGTTGCATCAAACGGACGCGCTCGCTAATTACCATTTTTTCTTTCTCCGAATAGGCATCTGGGGTTGGGGTGTCAATCTCCATCTCCTCTACCAGTTCCGGATAGATGTTCCCGCGCTCATCCGATATCCGCCTCGGTCGTCCACGAACCACGCACCTCATCACGTCTCAGCGTACCGGCTCGCCGCCCTGATCTCGGTCTTGTTTTGCTTGTCCCTCCTCACATTCTGGACTTTTACCGGCGGAAGCCCCGAACGCGTCGTTGCGTACGACTGGATGCCCGTGAGCTTTCTCGCATCACTGTGCATTCTCTTCCTCGCGCCCGTCCGTAGTTTTATTCATGGCGGCCGTAGCCGGTTCATCGCGACCCTCAAGCGCATCTCTGTCGGCGGGCTGGCCGAATCTAAAGATGGAAAGTTTGGCGACATTATCCTCGCCGATGCGTTGACGAGCTACGCCAAGGTCCTCGCAGATCTGTACGTCGTGATGTCGACGTTTTTGACGCCCAAGGTGTCGGCCACGGAGGTCCCGAACCGTTCCGGGGCCATCGTCCCTATCATCGTGGCAATTCCCAGCCTGATCCGGCTTCGGCAGTGCCTTATTGAGTACTTTCGAGTGCGACGGTCGCCGCACAACGCAGCTACGGGCTGGGGTGGCCAACATCTCGCCAACGCGCTCAAGTATTCGACGGCATTCCCGGTCATCATTCTGGCGGCTCTCATCTCCCGCGTACCCGCGGATCAGCCTAACTACGAGCTCAACCGCGCGTGGGTTATAGCCTCGCTCATCCAGTCCTCATTCACGTTCTACTGGGACGTCGCCAAGGATTGGGACCTCACCCTGTTCACGTCCGCAAGGGAGCGGTTTTCGGCCGAGTACCCTGCGGGGTTGAGGTGGAGAACGGTATTCGAGCCGTGGGCCTACTATGCTGTTATCGCGTTGGACCTCGTCCTCCGTTTCACGTGGGTGTTTCGACTCGGCCCTGGCCTAGTTCGGCTCCGCGATAGAGAGAAGACGGTATTCCTCCTGCAATTTGTCGAGGTCTTTAGGCGATGGGTTTGGATCTTTTTCCGAGTAGAGACGGAATGGGTCCGGAGCACATCCTCTGGGCTAGGCCTTGATGACATTTTGCTCGGCGACTACGATGGTAAACATGACGACGAGGACTAAGCTACGTTGAACATTTCTCACTGGCCTTTCTCGTAGGCATAGGGTATAACTGTATGAGAAATGTGGACAAGGACTATGCCAAGGTGAAGACGATGCCACGAATTGGCGCAAAATATAGATAGAGGTCCTATGATGGATGGTTGCTTCCACCACCGGCCATACTGGCGAGGCTACGATTAGGCGAAAATGTACATTATGGTATAACTCACGGGATCTAGATATGGTCTATTTGAATTCAAAGTTTGGGGGCTAATGCGCAGTGCTCAGCCCAATGAACTGTGCTATATCATCATCATGTGCAAGAAGAGATGGCAGGTGAAAGGGATGTGCAAACCTAGGCTAGACTTGCCATGGAGGAAGACCTTCTCCAGGGTTGTCGCCGAGGTCTGATCATAACTCAAATAGCTTGTGTATACCCAGGTATCGTAGATGTGTCGTACGTTTTCAAGCCACCGAAGCCGCCATTATCCAACCATATAAGCCACCTTCATAGGAAGCTTACTCCTAACACCAACCAGGATGAAGGGGTAGGCGTGAGGGGATAAGCTAATCGACAACGACGATTGCCTCTCAGCTCAACATTCGATACCGCGGTCATCTGCTGACACGTATGCATCTAGCCCGACAATATAAAGCGTCACCCAAGCCCAATATCATTCATTATCTCTACGTCATGGAAGGGGCCCTTTGTTTGGTTGGAGATTTCCGCTTGAACGGTCCGCCATTGTCAACAAGAGGCACCGGTTGAAGGCATTCGCGCCCTCTCGCGTACACCTCACTCATCTCGAGACCGGGTTGAAAAGGCATCGTTTCGAAGCAAGTGAAGTAGATGGAATGGCCACTGGTGGATACCTACTCAACAAAAAACATGCAAAGTGATGTGATGCGTGAGAGCTGCTATGAAGAGAGTTGGGCTCATTGATGAAACAGCTAACAAGAGCCAGTTCAGCCCGGGTTTCACGATATGCATCCTATTCCCTCTTTTTCATTTACTCCCTTCTCCTCCCCACGGCATTGCTTTTTCCGTTTGTAGACCTTCTCGTATGACAGGCTACTCGCTCGAGATTCCCCAGCCTCCCTCCTCTGGGCGTCCAATGCGTGTGCTGAAAGTGGCGCAAGGCCTTTAAGGCGGCGGGGTGAGAACCCGAGGGCCGGCGGGTGCTAGGCCGGCGCACGAGGATGCAGCGTGTGTGGCCCTGGAGGCTGGGAGCTGGAGGGGGTCTCACACTGGCGCATCTGCGGTTCCAAATGATGACGCTCCTTCCACCCGCGTATGACCAAATAAAGTGAAGAAGAAGACTCGGCGGATATAGAAGAAAAGAATCAAGGGAGCGGGGTAGCTTGTGATGTTTCGAGTTTGAGGTTGAGACCTAGATCCATGGCCGAGCAGAAGTCGGGGAGGAGAGGCATGTGAAACCGGGGAGAAGAAACACAAAGGAACAACATACGGTTGAATAGCTAACACGAGGTCTCTCAGCTCCAGGACACTCAATCCCTTGATTATGTTTAATTCTTAATTTTTTCTACCCTAGTTTCTCATACACGAGGACGGGAAGTGTCCATGTGGAGAGCTGGAGGTGCGGGCCGGAGGGGAAAATCCGAAGCCCCGGGGTTTGAGAGAAATCGATGGCTGCTGATGCGGGCTCCCGGCGGGGCAGCCAGTTGGGCGTGGGGAGGCAGGTGGTGGGGGCGGAGGGGGCGCATCGAAGCGAAGCGATCACGAGCAGCACCTTACATCCAATACTTTACAACTTTAAGAGGACGGTGGACTGGCCCGGAGGGGTTAAATGGGAAGCGCCGGGAATATCCATGCCAAGTTTATCCTCTGGCCACATGTCGGGTCCTCCGTAGGGCAGTTGATGGGTGGATATGAAGGGAGATTAATTACTTTCCACCAACGCGGCGTCAGCTGGGACGAGAGCATGCGGAAGGTGATGGATCAGGTTCAAGACGGATAATATTCAAGGAAAAAAGACACTTGTGGCCCTACTTGTGGACGTCATCGATGCAATAGATTGGTGCTTCGTACAGATTAGATTCCCGTGGTGTCGGGAGGGGGCCAAGTCTCCCAAGTCCCTCCTTCCCCACAGCCGTCGTTCAAGTCCGAGGCCGTTCTTACTGCCCGATTGGGGAAGGGGATACTGGCGTGTCTCTACCTTTGAAGTGCCTCGGGCTTTAGCGTAGGTGGGCGGGTGCGGTGAAGGGAGGGGAAAGTGAAATCGGTGGGGTGGGTGGAATGGAAGCCGCGAAGGGGAAGGAGCACTAGAGGGGAGAGGAGACGGAGAACTCTAAACTTGGAGGAGACCGAGCCTGCAGGAAGAAGAAGGAGAAAACAAAAATAAGAAGAAAAAGGGAAAGCGATTGGAAAGGAGACCCAAAAGAAAAAAAGAAAAAAAGGAAGAAAAAAAAGAAAGAAAGCCCAACCACCGTCTAAAACAGAGACATAAGGTGGAAGCAGCAAGGACGAGCAGACGACCCCAGTCTTGTGATACGTTGAGGGCAATTTACATTTACATTGATGGAGCTGGTCGCCCCGGGTTTAGCAAGATTTCCATGGAACGCAAGCCACCATGTCGCCGCACGGCCCAGTATCTCCTGCTGGGGGCAAATGTACAAGGTGGCACGAAGTCTTGGTGGAAAACATCCACCATGGATCAAACAGATCAAATGGATCCATCTATTTGATCTGAGGGTTTCCAAGTGCCCTGCCTTGATACTTGGAAAGCAGCCAGCTGAGCCTGTCCAGGCAACATAGCACAAGCAAGGTCAGGCAAGAGCAGCGCAAGGCAAGCAAGGGAGAAATACTCTCACACGCAGCACTGAGTTTTGGGAGGGGCAGCCACGACGGTGGACGACGGTGGTTGCCGCAGGTCACAAGTTGGTCCAAAATAGTATCGGATGCAGCGAAGCGAGATATGGCTTTGCTTAGCTCCCTCTGTCTGCCAAAAAAAAACGATTGCACCCTTGGCCTGCTGAGGGGATTGGCCAGGTCCCCCAGCAAATCCTTCCGCATTCCGATCTGATAGCCCCAGACCGGGAATGCAATGCAACAAGGGTTCCCACGGCACGGCGGGGAACGGAACGCGGAATATAGATGAGCTTGGATCGAATATACCTAGCCAGACCCGGGATCTGGACCCCTCACCACAAGCCCCAACAACATCAAGTCCATGGACGTCCTTTTATCATTATTATCCATCCATCCATGTTGACACCTTGGCTGACAAGGCCGCAGCCCGGGCACCCAAAAATTCGAATCCTTCCTTGGTTGATTGGCTTCCTCTTCGCCTAGCCTATACCAGATCAACGTCTTCTTGCGACGATGCTTGGTCTGGTTCATTCCGGCCGATGCAACAGCTCGCTTAAGCAGACCTCGCAGGAAAAGAAATGCGTCCAACGTATTACAGCAGGCTCGAGGGTAACACTCCATCCATGTTTCCGTTGCCTCTTTCATTTCGCCGATGATCATTTGGAATCAAACGCGTCCTCTCTGTGTGATACATCTTCTCCTCTTCTCTCACTCTGACCTGTTACCCTTATTTCCTGGTTTCCCTTTTCTCACTCCTCCTTTCTGTTTTCAACCACCCCTCCTTTGTTTACGCCCGTGCACTGGCTTGCTACGAATATGGGATGCCATGGGAGGCACCGTGGGCTGTCAAGAAAAGGGACCTCGAAGCTCGTTCCATGCATTACATGCGCTGCCCTGCAAGGCCGAGCGGGAACGGAGAGCCGACGTGGCTGTTCACCCCAGTATGGTGGCACTGGTGTTAATCTAGATTTGATACTCTAGCAGCATCAAAAGTGTACTGTATCGACTGTTGATGAGCCGAGTATTCGAAGATCTCGAACGCTGTCGCCCATGTCATACTGCGTCACCATATCCAAGACTCCATCCATCATTTCTACATGTCCCCATCCTCCCAACTCATCCATCCAAGTAACTAGTGTTCCATGATTGGTAATAAGTTTTTTTTGTGAAAAGAAAAAGAAAAGAAAGAAGGAAAAGAAGAGAGTCGGAGGCCTTCGAGTCATTGGCTTAAAGCTGCCGAGATCCCCGTCAATGGAGGAAGGTAGAAAGGCCGGGAACTAGGAGGAGGAAAAGCAAGAAGCACCAAAAAAGTGGAAACAAAACCTTTCTTTTGAGCCTCAGGAGGCGAGGCGAGTGCCGGAAGAGAGTGTTTTCTGCCTGTCTCGCTTGCCCATCTTCCTTTTGTCATTGCTGCAATTAACCGGAGAAACGTGCCCATAAAAAAGAAAGAAGAAGAAGAAAATTGAACCAAACGTCACAAGATATCTTCACAGGAGTGGGTGTTTCCAGAGAGCTGGTTCGGCTTGAGCCACCGAGATAGTCCCGCCCCCTGCCCAGAACTACTACATACTTGAAAGCCAAGTTGGCAGTCGGCGATGCCTTTCTTGTCAATGTGTGGGATTTCCACCCTAGGTGTCAATAGCCAAAGTTACATGATGCTAGAGAGAAGGCATTCGTTGCACGTTGCCCTGCCTCCTTTGGGCGGGGAACGGACACAGAGATGAGCCCGTATGTGGTGGCGCAGATGGTGACAAACCTACCAAAAAGAGCACCGCCAGTCGCCGGATCCGTACGTAGCTCTTCTGTTTGCAGCTATGAGCAGGTACGTGGCTGTATCCGTGGACGTTTCTGAGAGTTGACCGGTGGACTGAAGAGGGAGAAGTAGCTGGGTGTCTCAAAGACAAAAAGACTTGACGGGCACAACGAGCCAACGAGCCCAGCACCCAGCCATCCGGTCGGAGCTTGAGAGGGATCAAATGGGGATTGTGGGCCTTGGCTGGCCATGGTTCCACCATCAATGGATGGCTCTCCGCCTAGCGCTCCATTTATCTTGACGCCGTCCTCGTTGCTTGTTGGCGCCGGCGGCTCCTCCTTCGGCTTGATTTCCCACTTTGTTCTCTTAGTTTCACGGTACTTGCTCGTCGACAATGAATCCCGTTGGATCCGATGATCCTCAAGATTTTAGTGGCATCGCCGTGAGCGTGGAGCCGCTTGCACTCTGCGGGCACACACTGGCACTTTATGACAAACGTGAAGACATATATATCCAGATATCGCACCCACGTTTTCTAGAGAACTGTGGTCATGGAGGGGAGGGGAGAAGGGGAATAGATAGGTTCAATATTCCTTCCCATTCTGCCCATCAATGTGCTGTGGCAGACTATATCTGGTTCCGTGGTCTGTGTGAACAGTGTGTGTGTGTGGGGGAGCGGGGAGGGTCCAGAAGGGAGAAAAGACCCTTATTCGGGGATTCTGTAATGGAACATTTGAAGCTACGTCAATCAACTTGAGCGGAGCACCCGCCCTCTACGCGCCCACCAAACCGAAAGGGGAGGGTGCAAAAAGCCAGTGGCGCCTCGACGCTAGTATAGCCACGAACAGGTCCTCGTCGTCCGTACTCTCGGACCGGCGTCTCCATCAAGATCTTGCCGGAAACCAGCCAGTTGGGGCGGCCCTCATCCACACCATCTCCATCTTTTTCTGTCTTTTTTTTCTCTTTAGCACAAGTAAAGTTTTTTCTTTTCGTAACTTTTCCCTTTTTCTCTCTCGTTCCTTTGCTACCATCACCTGCCTCGTCTCTCCACTAGGTAGGGATAGAGCTATACGCACCACCACCAAACACGTACCCAATACCAACTCGAGGGTGTGTGGGAAGAGGGCATGGAATTCTAGTGGAGGGTTATCACTTTAGGAATGCAAGTTTTGGAGAGGCCTGCACCTTCTGACCTTCCGATGGCTTAGGTCAAGATGTGCTAAGATTCATGGAGAAACGAAATGACTGATTCCTAAACAGCCAGTCTTACTTCCTGGGCTAGCCAAGGGGAGGGAGCAAGACAATGAAGGGTAGAGACGAATAGGCAAGATCATCGTTTCTTCAAGGGTGAGGAGAGAGGGAAGAAGAAGCCGGAAAAAAAAAAAGAAAGAAAAAAGAACTTCATACGGTAATCGGTAGGTAGCCCGCTCATGGATGCTTTCGAGTCTCGCCCAAATTCAGACTCCTTCGGGATAATCAATGCATCGACTTCCTTTTTCGAACCTCTTTTTCTTTCTTTTTCCCCAAATCGCCTTTTTTCTTTTCTTTTCTTGTTCTTTTTCTTATGTTTTTTCTTTTCCCACCCCACCCTCTTTGCTCGGTTCACCCACTCTCTCCCTTGTCCCCCTCTCCCTCTTCCACAAATCATCTAGTCCCCAATAAGTTTCTCACCCTCCCCAAGCCAAAGCCAAACCCATCGATCCTAGTGCTGGTGCTGGTGCTGGTGCTGGTACTGGTGCGGGGCCTGGCGTGGCAGCTCGTGATACCGAGTCATTGATTTCACTTCCTTTTTAAAACTTGCAGGAGCCCCATCCCGTCATACCGTAGATACATCGAGGACGTTGTTTTATCGATCCCACATACTATGTATTTGTTCGCCGTCCGTCTCCCTGGCTCGTCAACTTCCTATATCTCTCACAAACACATCTAAACAGGATGCGCACCTTCTTCTCTGGCTGCATTCCTCCCTACCGCTTCTACATTTTCTGCATTGGTTGATGCACCGCACCACACGGCCGCCCTCCTTCCATGCTTGCCATATGAGTCCCATGGTTTTTGTTTGTGGCCTCATCCGTTTCCCTACCACCTACGTCTACGCCTCTTCTACCTCGACGAAACATCAAGCCCCCAATCAGTGGCAGAGTCTTCCTATTCACCCGCCTGCAAGAAACCAAACAACATTGAACGCAACCAAGCTTTCTTCAGCAGCAGCAATCTCGACCCTTAGCATCGCTTTCCCGGTTGCACTAGCGGAACCATCAATTTTGGTCCTCTCTTTTTTTTTTTTTTTTTTTTTTTGGTTGTCTCTTTTCTTTTTCTTCCCCTTTAACTCGGGCTGCCTTCATCGCCTTGCTTTCTTTCGTTCTTTTTTTCTTTTTCTTTTTTTTTAATCCTTGTCTTTCTTTTGTCCCCAATCCTCCTCCTCTTTCTCATCATCCTCATTCTTCCCCTCTCTCTTCTCATCTAGATTGCGCTTTACAACCGGCGAGCCTCTCCGAAAGACAACAAGTGCGCCTTCCCAGTTGTCCGAGGACAACCCCCTCTTCCCCGCCAACTATTGAGCGGATCCGTTTCCACAAGATCCATCACACTTACTTATATCAAGAGCAAGTGTCCCCACGCCGACGGCAGAGTCCGCAACGCTCATCCCCCTTTCTCCAAACTTCTCCAAACACCCTTTACAACTTTATCTTGCCCCCTAGCCCCGGCCTACCCTATCCTCTCGGTACTATTCGTTCACAGGCTACCTCTCGAATCTGGAACGGCAAGGACGAGAGAGCGCCGATATCTCTACTACCAGCAGGGCCATTTTTACGGTGACTTGGCTCCAACAACAACGGTGGCAGCCTCCTTTTTCTTCTTCTTTTTTCTTTCTTTCTCTCTAGGCCGTAGCAATGGAGGGCCCTACACCCCCGATCCATGCTCTCCCGCCCCAGCTGTCGTCTGCACATTACCAGACCAAACCGCTTCCACCGATTCCTAAAAGCCAAAATCCAGGTCCAAGTCAACTCCAGAGAACCAGCTTGCGGAGCCGGCCAGCCCGCCGACGCGGTGCCACTCGGTGGTTATGGCGGGGAGTTCTCGCGGCTGGCACGCGATGTCGCCGGCCCAACTGCCCGCCAGAGGCCACCGCCCATGGACTTGACTTCGACCAACCGACGGTATAGCTACCTCAAGCACTACAGCAAGGCGATCGGCCCCCTAGACTCCTTGTCTCCCCTTCCCGGGGATCGCAGCTCGGTTGAAATGCACAAGCAGGGCAAACGCCGGAGTGTGATCGTGGCGACGGACAACCCAAACCCACGTCTAGCCACTGTACAGGGTTGTGGGGCGCCGCGACCTGCACGGCTCCCACATCCCCTGCGTCCAGCACATACTCGAGCGACGGAGTAGAGACGACAGTGTCAGAGCCTTCGACATACCCCCGGCCAGTGACGGCTGCGAGATCTACTCTCTCGACCATATCGACCACGACGCCGATGAGACCCTTGTCGGCGAAGGCTTCCAGCTCTCACCCAAAGGGCTTCCAAACTCCCCGCCTCCGCACTTGTGCACCCTCTGACCATACGGCGGCCAGCCGACACTCAACCTAACAGGTACAGCGGATACACGTCTTCTTTGTACAGCGACGCCGGCCCGGCACGCCCCCACCAGTCACAAGCAAGGCATGAACCCGAGCACGGGTATGACAAAGATGACGAGCCCGTCTCGCCTTCCACAGCACCCAAGGGTATCCAGCGTGTTAGCACACACAGCACGTACTCCAACTACAACGACATGGAAGATTATGCCATCAAGGACATGTACCACGCGACAGTGGGCCAAATCGCGGCCTCCACGCGGGGCAGTACCAGCAGCACCGCGGCACAGGCACCCTCGCCCTCGCCATCGTCTAAGCGCACATCCTGGGCCCACGTACAAAGGTCAGGGAGAGACTCAGCGGTGCCACAGCGCCCATGCTGTCCCGCAGCCAATCCATCGGCCACCGGCGTCCGGCGAGCGTGCAGTCGAATTCGACGTTTGGCGGGGCTAGCGGGCAGACTTTTGGCCGTCCCGGACGGCCTGTGGCGCCCGTGCTCACGAGTACCTTTGAGGAGGACGAAGATGTCCGGCCTGGATATATGTCGCGGTTGCTCCGGAGGCGTAGTGTCGTCTACGAAAAGAGTCCAGCCTGGACGCCCGCGCCCGCGCCCGAAACGACGGCACCGATGTTCGCACCCGCACTACCGAACCTGGTGCCCAGCCGACCACCTCCATCGACCCCTACGTCCGGATCGACGGGTACAGCGACGCCGACAGCGACGGCCCCGCGGGCGGGGACTGATGCGGCGGCTGCCAGCACCAAGCCCAAGAAGAGGGTGTCCAAGTTCGGGGCGGGGTTGCAGGGACTGGTCGCGCAAGCGAAGAAGGGCGCAGAGATGTTGACCAAGTCGGAGAGGAGGAAGCTGGGACTCCGCCACAAGATCCGAGTCCTACCCGAATGATACCCGGGGTAAGACGAGGAATAGTCTGGGCCTGGGGGACGGTGTGACCCAACACACATTACCCTTCCTGCAAAGATCTTGATATTGCTTGCCCACACAGAAGGGCCCAGAAAGGCACACACGCCTCGTCCTCGTCCTTACTTTTTCCCTTCCCCACCTCTTTGCGTTCTTTTTTGTTGTTTGTCTCTCTCCCTCTGTCTCTCTCACTCTCTCTCTTAGCATGGGTTGCATTTGGCGTGATGGTTTTGTGGCGTTTGGCGCACGCCAATTTCTCTCGCTTCTATGTGGGGAGTTTTCTAGGCTCGGCTTCTTTTTATTGAACCGCAAAATATTGAGGAGAGCCCTTTTCAATCGGAGATTTATTACTCGATTTTGCGCTCTAGCAACGAAACATTACGACACCTTGGATGGATACACTTTTTTTTTTTTTTTTTTCTTTTTTCATGCTTATACAGATAGAACCTATAGAATTCCCAGGGAATGAAGAGAAGAGTTACAGTTTCATTGGAAGATGGATTTGGATTCAACGTACGATATTGATACTCATGTAGTGATTTGTGAGGCTTGTGATGACTGTATGTTTCGGAGATGGAATGCATGGGGGAAGACTATGAAGGATATACATATATACATGTGCATGTAAGGAGAAAGAAAGAACATTGGAAATAGAGGAGGCATTCGACGATGTTGGATACGCACGCGAGTGGCTTCAATCTTGACCGCTTCATACCAACAAAGATTGCACGGCGTAGTTGTCCGTACTCCGGAGGTGGTCTCGTGGTTCCATGCACCCATTGATAAATCCATGTAACCAATTGGCCAATGGGTTGACCTTTTTCCATGGATATGTGTGCATGTGGTTTCACGCACGTATCGAGGACGCCAGTTGGTGGTTTGGTCGGGCTCGGGATCCAACACTGCAAAGTTGCTTGACTGAGCCCCGCGTGGGCCGACGGAGCACTAACTGAGACTTACCTCGGCCCCCTTGTCCATCCCAAGGCACCTTGCCCGCGACATCCATCTTTGGATACATGTAGATCCAGTATTCAACTAGGTCTTCCCAGCTATGACTAGTGGAGAACCGAGGGGGACAAGCCAGGTTCAAGTTCGAGTCCAAGGCCAAGTCCACTAGGTCTGGCCCACAGCTCCTCCTCCTAAGCGCCCAGTTCTTGAGAGGATTTATTGAGGCGAGTGCTTCGTCGATTGCGTGGCTTGGCTGACACTTGGTTGTCCGAGGCGGTGGGCGTTTGACCTTATTTTGAATATATATTTTTGTTTAGCTGGAAGGATAAACGACACCGCGTCTGTCTTTGCAGCCAGAACCAGGGCAGGGAAATCGTTGACAGCAGCCAGGACCCCCACCGATTATTCCGGGGTGCCGGTAACCAGCCAGGCGGTGATGCAGATGCCGACCGCAGAACGACCAGGCACCAGACTATGTTGATTCTCGCTGGCCCTCCACTACCTCGGGCTGGGACCCGTCTGACACGAGTGTCGCAACATTTGAAAGCAGCATCTATACCTCGGAAATTCCGCTCTTGCCCTTTCCTATTCGCCAACGCCAACGCCCAAGTCAAAGAAAAAAGTGGAAGAAAGAAAGAAGCCCTTTCCAGCGTCATCCAGGTCTCTTACCTCTCCCCTTGATCCGTCCTCTCCGTCTGGCGCACCCGCAGGCTCCGCTCCCAGCCTAACCCACGGATGCCAGCAAAGCAGCAGGCAGCCCTGGCCCCAGCCAATTCCGTTGTCGCTGATTCCCCCATTCGGCTTACTCCCACCCAATCCCACCCCCGCATTCTCCCCGGGACCGGACGCTGCGCCAGGGGAGGCAAGGGGGTTTTATTTTCTCTGAGCTACCTCTGCGCAATCCATCATCGCACGCCTGTACGCCCTGCACGCACAAAAGCCGACCACACGGACGCTTCATCCACTCCTTCCCCCAAGATCGTTGGAATGAGAGCAGAAAAGTAAAAGAACAAAATTAGTCCAAGCCAAGCTGGCGCATGAGCCGAAACACCCACCCTGGCACCAACTCGCACCCTCGCACACACATATACACATACACACACACACACACACACACGCATTCATTCTCCCTCTCTCTTCTCTCTCTCTCTCTCTCTCTCTCGCGCACTCCCCCTTCTTCTCCCCCTTCCGCTCTCTTTCCCACCCCGATATCCCCCATCTCGACTGCCCACCAGCACGCGAGCTCAGGGCCAAGCCATGGGTGAAACGGAAACGTCCACCTCCTTCGACTCGCCCTCCCCAACCCATCCTCCTCCAGCTCCCGCCTCGGTACCTGCCGCGCCTGTCGTCACCGCTTCGGCATCGCTGCCAGTCTCCGCCTCAGACCCGCCTCCCCTCGCGGAAGCCGAGGTCCAAAGCTTCGCCGCCGCCGTCAGCGCCGCCGCACAGGCCGACTCTCTTCTTGCACTCGACACCAACTACTGGGACGTCGAGATGATGGCCCTCCCAACGCCGGCTCTTTGGTGAGTTATGATGGATGACTCTCTATTTTTCCGTTTTTGATATTGTTCAATCCTTTTTCCGTTATTTTCCTCTTCCGTCCCAGCGCTGTTTCTTTGTCAAAAGTTTCCCCTTTTACAGTGCAGCTCCGCACACTGCCGGTATCATTATGTAAATCTAGAGACGATGCCTCTTTAGGCTACCGCGAGCTCATGTGTAGTCACGCATGTCGTCATCACCATCACGAAACTCTCTCCCCTAGCTACCATCCTCCCCCAACGCGCGCCTCATGCAACCATTCTCCCTTCACAGCTGTTCCGTCCTCGCTACGTTACGCAACCCTCTTTTGATCCCGTCCGCACCCTGCCACCGTTTGCTCCTCCTGTGTCCTCACCCTTCCCCAGGGTTTGACCCCTCCCACCCGTCTTCCCCCAAAATGCCATGATCCCCACAATTACCGCTGCCGCTGCCGCTGCCGCTGCCGCCGCCAGCGCCGCCGGGTTCCCCAAGCTAACGCGGAGCCTTCTCCGTCCCGCCACCCAGGCCGCCCTCGCCCGCTTGCGAGCCTACAAGGCCCCGGCCTTTCCCTCTGGGACCAGCTCCCCGCCAGCCGTCGCGCCGCCGTCCTCATCCTTCTCTACGCCGACCGCCATGGCGACCTGCGCGTCGTTCTGACCATGCGCGCCGCCAGCCTTCGAGCTTTTCTGGCCACGCTGCCTTCCCCGGCGGCAAGGCCGATTCTGCAGACGAGTCGCCGTGTAAGTTTCTCCTGTGTCCTTTTCTAGCTTCTTTCTAGAAAGGACGGTGACCCCTTCCCTGACCTCTCTTTCCTTTCCCCCTCCTTTCCTTCCCCCTCCTTTCTCTTTGAGATACCTAGCTAACAGCGGCGGCCCACATCCCCCCTCTGTACTAGACCAAATAGCGCGGCGTGAAGCCTTTGAAGAGATCGGTCTGCCCATGGACGACTCCAAGCTACCCGCCCCCTTCAAGCTTGAATTCCTCTGTTACCTACCCCACAGCCTCGCCCGCAACGGCCTCGCTGTCCGACCCTGCGTCGCTCTCCTCCACAACCCTCTCACCCAGTCCCAGCCCTCGTCGTCGAGTACCACCGCCGCAGCAGCCGGCGGTAGCCTCCTCCTCCTCCCCATCTTCGCCGCCGCTACCGCCGCCGCCACTACTACCACTACCACGACCACCCTGCACTCCTCGCCCCTAGCGACCACCGCGAACCCCATGGTCCCCCGCCTCGACGCCAAGGAAGTCGCCGCCGTTTTCTCCGCCCCCTTCTCCAGCTTCCTACGCGACACCGACGCTCCCGTTCCCGCGGGCTCCTCCGCACCGGGCCTACCCCCGGGCCACTGGTACGACGGCACGTGGATCCACTGGAAGGGTGAACCCTGGCGCGTCCACAACTTTTACGTGCCCGTCAACAACCAGCGCGTCGTGAAGCCCGACCCCGACCCCGTGCCCAACGACGACCTCGCCCAAGTCGCCGACGACGCGTCCCCTCCGCCGAGAGGTACAAGGTCTGGGGTATGACGGCCAAGATCCTGGTCGAAGCGGCATCGTGCGCGTACGGAACCACTCCGACGTTTGAGCACAACCCCGTCTGGGGCGACGAGAAAATCATTCTCATGGCGCATGACGAGGGCCAGTTCTTCGACCGACCCTCTACAAGGATTAGGGTCACGGGAGACGGGGCTCCCGCTTCGGGCGGGGATATGACGCCCACGGAGGAAGCTGTGGAGGAGGCCAAAAGGGCGGAGCCGGCCAAGATATAAAAGGGCGAGGATCCAAACCCGAGCTGTCGGATCGGGTGGGGACGAACGAGTGTAGAAAGGGACGTATTTGGAGGGTTGTCAACATCAGAATCAGCGCTGGGGGCTGAGGGAGATTATCGGCTCCTCATTTTTTCTTCTTCTTGTTTGCCTTCATGTCTTGACGCAGGGCCAAGGAAGCGTTCGTTTCATTGCAATAGATCCCTTGTACACAGCAATAATTCCATTCATGCTCTGCCATAACCGTGGTATCTGGTACTGGACCTCCTGGTGCCAATGACACCAGCACTCAAGATAACTCAAAACAAACCACCACCGCCCGTTCGGGCCTCGTCTCGTACAGTCAACTGGCCATTTCCTGGCCTTCAACCTCACTATGTTTGGCATCACCCTTTGGTGCTGCGCGCCGAAGGCCCGCACGCTCCCCGCACTCTACTTGCCTCCTGCTTCTCCAGTCACGCATCAATGCGAGTCTAGTGGCAAGCGGTATCCTTGGTAGAAGACGTGCTGTTCCCGAAGAGAAGGTATCCCACGAACGCCCCAACCGAAACTGCAATCATGACCCAGCCATTGTAGGTCATAAAGACGAGCCTGTTTAGCGGTAACGAGAGGAGAAGAATTCCATTAGCAAACCAACCACCTCCTCGTGCTAGACCCGGGTCGACCCTTGCTGGTGGAGTATCCAACTTACATGAGCATGAAAGCATAGAAGTTCTGGAGACCGTATAGGGCTGCCTTGATGACGTGTGTGCGACGGCTGATTTCGGGCTGGTTTTGTCCTGGCAAAAGGAAAGGGGTTGATTCGTTAACTTCGTCTTCGCGGCCTCATGGTGGTCACAGAAATCTTAGCTCTCTCTGCTCGTTATGTCTCGTCTTCTTTGCCTCTTGATGTATTTCTTTTTCATTCTTCTTCTTCTTTCGAGGGGACAGGATGCCAAGAAAGGCTAGCGATAGCTCAAACACTTGGATCTCGAGAAGCGAACAGCAGACGACGCAAAGGAAAAGCGCACGAGGAGTGCTATTGGGTGGATGGGGTCAAGACATTCAGGGCAGAGGGCGGGGGAAGAATGTAGACAGAGCAGAGGGAGGAAAGGAAAAAGAAATATGATAAAATGCAATTAGAGCGTAAGATGGGATGGCTTACTTGGCGCAGCCTGGACACGCTTCGACGCAGCGAGCTCGTAGGATCTGCTGTATGCACGGATAGCTTCGTAGCCCGCACCGATTGCGACAACCGCGATGAGGGAGAGGACGAGATCGAACGTGGAGCGAACGTGCCATTGGCGGAAGACAATGCAGAGGTTCTCCGTGTCCCAAGTGAAGAGCATCTACAAGGATCGGAGAGGTAAGCGGTCAGTCCGTGGCGTCATCAGGGTAGAGTCAAGTCGGGGGCCAAGGGATCGAGGGGGATGAGGATACTCACGTTCATGCTGCACATAGCGCTGCCGGGGTCGCCGTGACCGCCATCGCCGTGGTCCATGTCGCCGTGGCCCATATGCTGCATGTGGTCATGGTGAGAGTGGTCCATCTTGTCGAGGAGTTACGGGTGGGTGGGTGTCGAAAGATGCGCGCGTGTTCCTTGGGGGAGCGAGACAAGCAGATTGCAATTGAGCCGCAGCCGCTAGCTAGGTCTATAGAGAGGGACGTTAAGGGAGTGGGAACTTGGAGAACCAGGGAACCGGGCTTGAGATTGGAGAAAAGAATGAGGGGCAGTGGCAGGTCCGGGAGGAAAACAACTCGAGGTCAAGGAAAGAAGAGGGCTGAAAGCACGGTCGGCGCGGTGGTTTAATAAATGAACCCCGAGCGAAAGTAGATGGGGAAGCACAGCTCTTGTTCACACAGTGGGCTCACGGGGGAAGCTCCGATTAATGGCAAGCTTCTCCACGAATGGGGCGCTAAATCAACTCAAACGAGCGCACTTGCTGGGAACGATTAGGGGCGGGAGGGGGGAACATTGACCCGTTGTCGTCAGCCTGCACTACGAATCATGGCGGGCGACGCTGCTGGGGTAAAAGCAACAACTTCAGTATGAGTAAGCCAAGGAAGTACATCCTCGATCGCGACATGGACTCGCTTTGAACCCAACTTGGAACTGGGGTTGTTCGGCAGCATCACGTCGGTTTCGGAAAAGTCAGCACTGTCGCTTGTTTGATCAATTCGTCTCCTCGAATACATCCACAAAGTCACTGCTTGAAGCGGAGGAACTGAATGCGGACCTGTCCACTGCCGCACTACATCTATGGATATGAATAGTATTTGGGAGCAAGTACCGTGTGCCCCGAACTGCACGAAGCTCTCCTATCAGAGGATCCATTGCAGTACCCTCAGAGGCATTATCTGATCAATTGATGCCAAAAATGTGGAACCGCCTCTGCTTCGGCTCGTCCCATTCCAAGGCGACCTCGGACATCGCAACACGCCAGCGCGACTGCATGTTGAATGAGTAACCTGCTCCGAAATCCCTTGCCTAGCCGCGATTGCAGAGCCTTTTTAAATCTTTTCTTCTCAGCCAGCGGCCTTCTCTCTCATCGATTTCTTCTTAGTTTCGCCTCCTCGAACTTATTGTCGCATCTTTTCACCACGCGCCCTCTTTCCCTCCCCCGCTCTCTCCCTTCCCTCTCTCTCTCTTCTTTTCTAAACCTGTGAGGACAAGCGCACCGTAGAAATCCGCCAGCCCACCACCCTTGCTCTTTGCTCAAGGACCCCTCCCCCGCCCTTCAGGGATCTGTTCTCGCGACAAACCAGAAAACTAGGGAGGAGAAAACAAAAATGCTGGCCTCCCCAGTTAATCTGCCAAAGTGGTCAGTTTTTGCGAAAGAAATCACCTGTCCATATTCCCGCAGTGCGTGACAGAAAGGAGAGCAGCTCTGCAAATACATGGCTAACATGCAGTCCCTGGTAGGCTGGAGGAAAACTCGCATCTCCTTCAGCCACCCGTGAACAACTACTGCGTTTACAATGACCACTGCACAGTCATGGTAAGTTGTCGTAAAGCAACCTTCCGCCGTCTCATCGCGAGGCCGGCATTACCCCCCCCTTTCTCAAACTTTCATTTCTTCTCTCCCTCCCCTCATGTGGTCACGCCACTTGTTAGAGACACAAGAAGAAGAAAAAAAGAATGAGGAGCAGAACGGCCCTCTCCATCTTCTTGGCGGCCGTGATTCCTAACGCCCCGGGCTCCCCGCGCCCCCGCTCTCCTTGTCCAGATTGTCGGCGGCCCCAACGCCCGTACCGACTACCACATCAACGAGACCCCCGAGTGGTTCTACCAGTACAAGGGCGCCATGATGCTCAAGGTCGTCGACGATGGTGTCTTCCGCGACATCATCATTCGCGAGGGCGACATGTTTCTCCTCCCCCAACACGCCGCACAACCCCGTGCGCTTCGCCGACACTGTTGGTATAGTCCTCGAGCAGAAGCGACCTCCCACCTCGGTCGACCGCATGCGCTGGTACTGCCAGAACTGCAGCGCCATTGTCCACGAGGCTAGCTTCCACTGCACTAACTTGGGCACCCAGATCAAACAAGGCGTCGAGGACTTCAAGGAAAGCACAGAGGCCAGGACATGTAAACAGTGCGGTACGCTAGCGGATTGGAAGCCGGCGCCAGGATCTATCAAGGATCCCAACTTGGAGTAGAGAGGAGAGAGTTCAAATCCGCAGGAGGGCAGCGGGACTTGAAGAAACCACACAAAAATAGGATTCTGAAGAAAGAGAAAAAATTACGAAACAAATGAAGCAATGAAAGAACCATAAAACAAGAAAAGGTCACGTATTTAGCCCCGCGAATTTGTTGTTCTTTTCGTCGCAAAATCTATTTATATTGGATGCTATTGATGCGTACATGTAACTTCTCCTCGGGTATCGCCCAGCTATCCAATCGTCGGGCTCATCAGTCCGTCGACTGTTGGCTGAGCAGGGGGAAAAAAAAGAGAAAGATAAGAAAAAATCTCATGCAGCGTCCCATGGTCTGCTATCTTGGCTTCAACCTCTCAAGTACTCTATGTCTCAGTAAATACGTAGGAGGAGGTCGATTCTTCGACGGGAATCTCAATCTTAGCCTCCTCGAGCTCCTTGCCATTCACCCTCAGGCCGGCCCTCATGACATCGCCGGGGATAACAGGACCGACGCCGGCAGGCGTTCCGGTAATAATGAGATCACCAGGCTCGAGCGTCATGACTCTGGAGATGTGGCTGAGGATCTTGGGGATTTGGAAGAGCATGAGGTTGGTCGAGGCATCTTGCTTCGTCTCGCCGTTGACCTTGAGGAAGAGCTCGACGTTGTGGGGGTCGGGAATCGCGGACTTGGGGATAATCTGGCTTAGGGGCAGGAACGTATCAAAGCCCTTGGGAATGTCCCAAGGCAGGCCCTTCCTCTTCGCCTCGTTTTGGCCGTTTCGGGATGTCATGTCGATCGCGAGTAGATAAGCTACAAGGCGGGGCGCGAAGCGGTTATTAGTCTGAGCAACAGAAGTAGGCGGGGTCTTACATGGCGGCATGGAGGCCTCAAGAAGCAGTAAACCTTGTTTATGGGTACAACTTACACTCGATGGCTTCAAGCGCGCCCTTGGTATCGGCACCATCAAAGTCCCTAAGCCTCCGGTTCAGGATGAGACCCAACTCGACCTCGTAGTGAAGGTCCACGCCCTTGGGGCGGAGGACGGGTCCTTGCCCGGGAAGGACGATGGACGAAGGGGGCTTAAGGAAGAAGAAAGGCTGCTTAGGCTTTGTGTTGTTCAGCTCCGCGACGTGATCGCTACAGACGAGAAATGAGCGTCAGCTAGGTTACACATATCTGACGTATATGTGCGGCTCCTCAGCACACTCTGGAGACGGGAGAGGAGATATATAGACAACGACGAGGAACGGGGGACGAGGGCCCTTACGCATAGTTACGGCCGATGCACACAACCTTTCCAGGAGTGCGGTAAGTTGACGAGGAAGCAGTGGCAAAGGCTCTTCGTAGGAGCGACATCTTGAGTAGCAGAAAAGAGGGACTAGTCGAGGCGCTGGTAGTAGAGGAAACGTGCGGCCTACGAGGTGAGGGTCTGCGTCGATCTCGGTCGCAGTCGATACTATCTCGTGAATCGCGGTGTCGCCTATTAACGTTGCAAGGGCTCCGGCGGGTTTTTTCGAGGTTGCTACAAGTTTGACGTTGCTCCTTCACGAGGGGAGGTCCGATGCACGGGCTCGGCAATAAAGGCTGACAGGAGCCGGTGGAGCTTGGGGATTGGCCAATGGAGTCCCGAGAACAGGGGGTTCCCGCACCAATGGTCGATGACTAACCTAGCAAATCAAGTCCGAGCCGAGATGGTCTTAGACTGTCGCGTGAGCACATCATCCCCGGCTTCTTCAAGGCCTGCCACCTTCAGACAAGGCTATGTTCGTCTATGACAGCCACATTTCGCCCGTCTCTCCCTTTCTCATTTTGCCTTTGGCCCCTTATCGTATGGGAGGGGTTTCTTCTTCCTCCATATTCTAGTGTTAAAACATCAAATTGCCTTGTTTACAGCCCTGAGCACTTGAAAACTTAGCCACGAGCGTGTTGGTGGGAGTTCTGGATATCGTTTCTTGTTCACTAAATGCATCTATGTAATAAGTGGTCAAGCCATCCATGGATTCATGGTTTCCCATGTAACACACTCAATAGGAGACTACCTTTGAGGGAAACTGTATGATACACTAGGTTCTCGACACCCATCTTACCGTCCAACTTATTTTATAGAGGTAATAGATGTCTACGGACATGATGCACACTTGATGCCTCCTCTCTCGGTGGAAGAAAGCGATGGACAAACTCCTTTCCTACCTAACCCTATTATAATCTAGCACTATGCGTCGCAGCCAGCGCAGAGAAACAAGAACTCGAGCCTTTCCGAACCAACGCCTATTTCTTCACTAATATTGAATCTCACTCCCTGCATACATTCCCAGGTTCTCATCCCGAGAAGTCGGAAGGTTTGAGGGGGATGCAGACTTTGGCGACGGCAGCCTACGAAAACCGGGTAGCACGACAGGTATCTGCGTATAGGTTCAAATTAAGGTAAGCCCGAATATGATCAATCTTCCCGAAGCTTCCCGAATGGGAGTGCCGGGTGAACAAAAGGGGGTTAAGATGGCAATCCAAAATTTGAAGAAGTATGAGAGAAGTGTATGCTTCCACCCTGCATCGAAGGCCAACCCATTGGAACATGTGTCCGTGTCTATGTATTAGTGCGGGTCCTGGATGAACATCCGGGGTAGCTCCTCCAAGCTCTTCGTTGGTTCAACCTCGCGGGCCACTCAAACTCTTTTCCCCGCCGCCCCTTCCCCCATCGAGAAGTGAGGCCTTCTGACCTCACCGCACCTTTATTCCGCGCATGACGCCCCGATTAACCTCACCCAGTCATATCTAAGGACAAATAATGGCCAAGAGATGGTACGGCGGTAGATAGAGGCTTTCAATTGATATGGAACTCCTGTTTTCGGCATCCTCGCACTTGTGTGGTCCTCGTAATACCTCAGCCGATAGTGTTGGTGGACGCAAACAAAGTTAGGTTGCCACTGTCCTTTCGTCTATTTCACAGGGAGAAAACATGATTAAATGAAATGGAAGAAGAAAAAGGAAACAGAGGCCTGCAGTTTCGTTAATAGGAAAGTAGTAGGAGAATGGTTTGACGATCCTGCGTCATGAAAGAAGTGAATTTATAAAAACAGGTGAAGAGCCGACCAGCGTGTGCCCTAGCGCAGCCACGCATGGACGGATTTCATCTGGCCCATCTGAGATTTGTAACGTGAAACAGTGACGCAACTAGAGGCCCCCGAGAACACCAAGCCAGGGTGAACGCCTCTCAGCCTTTTTTGATATTTTATCTTAATTATTGGAGAGTTTAATTGCTTTTCCCACCATTAGCCTTTTACCGCATCCCCTCACCGCGACACAAGGAAAAAAAAAGCTCCAACCCTGTCTCGCCGGTTCGTGTGACGAATTAATACGATTATCCGGAATGGTTTACATGGACTTCGACTAAATATTCCTCGCAACACCTCTTTGCAAGACTGGTAGGTTTCTCATCCGAACAACAGACCCCCGCGCTCTTTCAATCCTCTCCACAGCCATCTCGGGCACGCGAGCGCCGCCCCTCCAACGCTGCCGCAACATCGCCCCCACCTCCTTGTCCCGTTCCTGGAAGACATCAGCCATGGAGAGCCTCCAGTTGGCTCAGATGCTGGCGGATTTGAGTAGTCTTAATGCGACTGTGAGTTGCGATGCCACGGGGAACCGGGATATGGGCTACCCCGTCGCTCACCGTCCCTGCCCGTTTCTGGCCGAGCCCACCGCCACATTTACATTCACGACGAGACTGACGCTAGGTGCCACCAGGAACCTGCCGCCGCATCCTCCCTCCTGAACGCGAGCAAGGCGATCGACTCAGCCATCGAGAACATTGAAAGCGGGAAGCCCCAGTCCCAGTCCCAGCAACACGATAGGCCAGGCGTACGACGGGCGGTCTCGTCGATCAGCTCCACTGGTTCCGGGACCGGTCGATTTGACAAATTTGGTCGGCATGTCTTTGGGAGCCAGCCGCCCTCGCGGCCGAGCTCCGTCGCCGCCACCATGCCCGGAACACCTACCGGTCCTCAAGATGTATGTGCGCTATTACCCGAAAACCATCTCATGCCCCCTCTGTTTTTCTTTCTTCTTTATACCTTTCTTGTCGTCCACCCCAGGTTCACCCCAGGCCCAAGCAATGTCACGTATGCTGACGAGATGGGGTCCTCCTTGTGGGATTCTTCTTTGCGACTTGACAGATTGAAGACGATGTTGACAGAGCCTCGACGCTCATGGCACTCCACGATATACGAGCCAAGCTTAAGCAGCAGGACAACCGGAGCCTAATGAGAGCGCGGGAGAAGATCAACGCCCTAGTAGCTCGTCAGCAGGCGCAAGAGATGGAGCAGGCCAAACACAAGGATCTTGCTACTCGCAAGCCCAAGTACACTTACCCAAAGTAAATCGACCCGCCTACAGCTAGCCATGCCATACCCAGGGCTTGGATTGCTCCTCGCCCGAGCCTTGGGTTGTATTCGCCTTTTCAAAGCCCTCCATCAAGGTCCACTCTGTCGGGATATCAGCGGTTTTTAGCAGGGTCTATCCCTCCTCTCTCCTCATCCCTTCCATTTCTTCTTTTCTACCGACGACTGGTCCCTTTGCTCTCCTTTTGCGCCTCACGCGATGACTTTTGCACTTGGAAGAAAACATGGCGTTTCGAGGTCCACATGCATTCCCAGAGACGGTTAGGGTCCGTGGCCTGCGCGACCCGAAGCCGGAGTTTCTTTTCTCTCGGAGGTTATGGCGCTTTAGGAGTTCTTGTCTGTGTGTTTACTTCTTTTCCTTCCCTTTATTCTTATGCCTTTCTCGTCACGAAGTGTCACATGGATGGAAATGAACGCGAGGCGCATACACGGCGGCTATCAGTTATGCTTTTCTCTTCTTTTCCTTCGAATCCATCATTCGAGCTTGATGCATTTGTGCCTCAACGGCTTGTGTGAGATTTGAGGGCATTCGCGCTTTCTCTCGCGTCTCCGAGCGCTTCATACGCTACATGTAACCCACGTAAACTTAATGGAATATCGATTTCTTAAATTCTATGCTCCGGTTTGGTACCAAACCCATTTCTCCTCTATTTCTTCCGTGGCGGTGATATGTGTATACCTCGACACTGGCTGGCGATCGATGCTCACCTATTCTCCTCACACAGTACATGTAGTAATATAGGCGGAGGTGTCGCACATCGGAGGGAAAGAAGGATCAGATTGCACGTCATCAGTCACCACTAAAAGACGAGACACTCGACTACCTCTTCCGAGTATCCTGACACTCGAGGATTCTTCTCCTTAACTAGCGCGCGGTCACTTGTACTTGTATGAACGAAACAGCTGGCCATGGCCGGCATTGCAAATCGCCGAGGCGGATCTACAAATTGTCACGAGGCAAAATGGGCAAGTCTAAACCGACAAAATATCTTGGCGCTGAACCCCTTTTGTTTGTATGCCCGACCAAGTAGATGCAGGGTCCTGATTGCGGCGCATGCATCCATAGACGTACAAGAACATATTTGGTCGGAGAAGAGTCGATCTATCTTGTCGAATTGATACGTGTAGGATGCATTCCCATCCATACCTTGTCGCAAGTCGAAAAAAGCCGTCGAGCGAAAGGCTGCGCCAGGTCAAAGTCGGCGATAAAGAACAAAGGGCGAAAGGCCGAAGTGTAGACAAGGGCCACGCATTTGAATTTTCAAAATTTGGAATCCCAACCACCATTTGAAGTGCTCTTTGTGGAATGATGGCGCGCTCGCTCTTCAGTTTGGCCCATGACGTGGCGCTAAAGAGGGCTGAGTGCACCCTGGCTGGCCTCGTGGGGCACCTTCACGGCCCAAGTGCTCTGATCATTTGTTGTCTCCCACTCACCCCACATCCAGGCTTGGCATCCATTGGATCGTAAAAGAACAAACCCTGAACAATGATGGTTTTGATAGATGGATGGATGGATCCAGGTATTTGTATTACCACCAGGCACCTTTGGTGCATGTGAAAACCGAATGTTCGAGATGACAACAGGGGGTTTTCCCGAAAGGGCGGCGGCGCCGTCCCACCCACCCAGGTGGCGTATTTTTGACGGCGAGTTCTTGGTATGACGTGAAGGCTCGCTCAACTTTGCGGATGCAATATATGGCTTGATCTTGCTTGAGATCCTGGTCGACATCTATTGGATTTGGCTTTTTGTTTCTTTATTTTTAAAAGCACTCCATCTGTGCATCATCATTAGCATTAGGATAGAGGACATTGGGCTCTTTCCAACTCCCAAGCTCATCTAGAGCTTTCTACCGTTCGCAGGATGTGGTTTCAATAGTACCCTAGAGCTGCCCTTTGAACAGGGAGGGAAAAAAGGTTCAAGCGATTTGTAAATCTCATCGACACCGCCCCGTCCTAGCTCCCTAGCACGGCTTCCTCCCGAAGCCACGGGACGAAATTGACCTCAGATCCACGTTCACCCCAGGTTCTTTTGAAGGGTGAACGCGAATCGCGAGGCCGAAGCAAGGGGAGGGGTCAAAACTCCAACGCCATCAGAGGAACGGGTGCAATAAGCCCTACTACTAGACTGCTGAGAGAGGGAGACAAGAGGGATAAGCGTGGAAATCCCCGAAAGCACAGCCCTGCGCCGGCTCACCTAGGTCCCCACATTTTCTTCTTCCCGTCTGCGGTCTTCGTCATCTCCAGAACGTATTGGGGCTGAATCAGCATTTTTGTTCTCTCTGGCCTGATTGCCTGACACTCTCGATGGTCATGGAGACAAACTGGGAGACCATTTGAAAGGGAAGGTACTTCCAAGACATTTCGATTCTCCAAGTCCCACACCCGTTGGGAGGAGGCGGCGAGTGCCGAATACCCCCGTTTTGGCGGGTCCGGCCAGCACACCTGATGTTTCGCAACGTACACACGCCGAGTCCTTTAGGCCTGAGCCAAGACTCCCGAGATGTCCCAAGTTGTCCCATGTTCCGGCCCGCCAAGCCCAGAAGCTTCCTCCCAAGACCAAGAGGGAAAGGTAGATGGAGAAACACCCAACTTCACTGTGCCTCTTTGGGATGCTATAAAGTCGTCCCGGATCTGCTGTTCCTCGACAACATCATGTCCCTATGCTCTCCACCTTTCCTCGATCAACACCACCCATCCTGCTCTCTTCCGCCCAGGCCCGTCATCAGGACTCGATTTCTTCTCCTTGCTCCATTTCCCCACCACCCAATCTATTTTGCGATCGCCTCCCACAGGGGCTCTCTTTAGTTCCGCTAGCGAAAACCATCACTCTTGTGCCTGTCGTGGTACGATTGGAGAACGAATTTCCGATTCGCTGCCGGCAAACCATCCGCAGTGTGTACGAGCCGCATCACGTCACCGACTTGGCGACAACATAAACGTCACCCAAAACCTAAACTACAAGCCATTTCATTTTCTTCGCGAATCCACCATTGGATAAAATCCATTTGATTTATTGGATTGCATACAAAACCAAATCAGCACCCGGTCAACCACCAGATCGTTGTCTTTTTTCCTTTTTCTTTCATACCTCTCACATCCGCCATCGCGCGCACAATATCAAACATGGAAGTAATAGGAGCTCAGCTCGATTCTAGGTATGTCAACGTTGTAATCTGCAGTGTCCTGACGCTGAGGCCAGCTGGATTTCCTCGACTCCCGCTTCTAAACACTTGCTAACACGGCAATTTCTGCAGAGCCATTTGCCCCTCGGGTTCTTACTACTCTCGAGGCCAGTGTTGGCGCCGCTCAAATTGGTACTACTGGGGCCGCTGGGTCGTCGCCGGCGTCATCATTTTCGTAGTCGTCTTCATCTGCCTGATCATGGCCTGCATGAACTCGCGCCGCCGCCGCAAGCGAGGTCTCCGGCCCATGTACGGTACCGGCTGGATGGCCCCCAACTCCAAGTTCGGCGGACCGCATCCGCCCAACCAACAGTGGGCCGCCGGCTACGGTAACACAGCCCCGCCACCTCCCCTTATGGACAGCAGCCCCAGTACGACGGCTCTCACGGACAGCCTCCGCCGCAGAACGGCTACTTTGGCCAAACTGAAGGCGTGCAACAACCTCCCCAAGCATACGGCGTCTACTCGCCCCCGCCGGGCCTCCTCCCGGTCAGAAATAAAAGAGAATTCAGGGATGGCGTGGCTGCGTAATAAATACCGCTCATGGAGAGTAGGTCTAGGCACTTTGGTGAACGAGACCGTAATGATGAAACGATACCTCTTTACGGAGGATGGTCAGGTTGTTTTTTTCCCCCTTTTCCTTTTTCTTTTTCCACATCTGTCTTTCCCTGCTCCGCAACTTGCTTTCTTTCCTATTTGTTATCAGTATCCCCTATAATACTTAGAGGAGGAGGACAGCAATGGTCGATCGATCTCTTAACGAGATCTTGTGGTTCGGTTTTTGGCTTATCTCGGTAAAGGCTTACCACCGGATTTTTATGTATGCTTCGATGACGACGATAATGGATATGGCGCTTTACGCCTTGCTCTTTCTAATTAACCAATCCTTGCCTATTCTGTCTGTGATCCAAATCGGTGGCGAAGAAAATGACAGCCATAACTTGACTACCTAAAAGTTTTATCGTAGACAGAGAAGCGAGCTATACCGCTGCTCCCCACCCTGCCCACGACCCCAGCCAGCCAACCTTGGGAGGTCATGTAGCTGCAGGAGTGAGGGTTGATATGCGTCGCTAAGGAGACCGGTTCCAGGTGGGGGATGGAGCGGGCCGTCCTCGAGAAGAGCGTCGAGCAGCTCATAGAGAAGCTCCGCGATTTTCGGGATTGGCTATATGAATGGGATCACGCCGCACTGCACCGCGCGACTACATGGCAAATGGAGATAGAACAGACCCGGTCAGGGCGCCGGGTCTCAGATCTGACTTCCAAATTTGAAAACTGTTACATAGGATCCCTCTTTACCTCTTATCATGGCTTCGTATCGTCGGCCCGGTGCGCGTGCGAGGCTTTTGCAAAATGTAGGAAAGGGAAAGGGTACAAGATCACCAGCCAATCCTTCAAAGAGAAGGAGGCACCCAGCATGGAGATGCAACACCAACGCTAAGAATACGATTTCTTCCCTAGGGAAAGTGTGGCGTGAATTTCAGACCGATTAATCGAGAGAGAGTCGGGTCAGCAACGTCGAGGGTGCATCGCATCTTTGGTAAGATGCCAATGGGAGGGGGACGCTTGGTATACTTGCTTAACACGATCGCCATTGTGAGCTTTCTAGGATTCCGGGAACTTCAGTAACTCGCCTAAAGCTATCCCTCTTGTGTCTGAGAGAGGATAAAGTAAAGTAGTTAAGAGGTCCATGAAGACGGAGACTGATACTTGATTCCTCTTCACTGGTTTCTTCTTGGGCTTGGTTTGCTTGGTCTTCATTGTCTAGCATGCCCTCCCATTCCAAGCTGCTTCCTTCTCCATTGTATTAAAATCCTGCTTCTGTCAAGCACCGAATTTTCTTGTCCTTCTTGCCAGCACCTAAATGCGGCCTCTTATATCGGTATGCTCATCCGCCTCTCTTATAGCCGCGTCTTGCGAACTCTTCGTTATGGAACCTCCTGCCGATAGTTCTCTGAGCGTTTTCCTTCGACCTCATCACCATCGTTTGGTTCCTCTACTGCCATGTCTGCTTTGCCTGTAGTATGGCTGCTGGCGTTGGCTTTCTTGACTCGTATCAACGCTTCCGCGTTCTCACCTATTCTCGTCACCCACTTGTTCACTTCTTCCCTGGCTGCGGTCGTGCGCAGAGCATTCGCGACTCCGGGTTCAGCAAGTCATAGACGATGTTCATTTGCTTCTGAGGAGCATCTACTCCCTACTCCTTCACGTATCGCATGCACTTTCCCATGAAGTCCGTAACAGCTTCCCGTCCTGTACTTTCGCGATAGTATACGCGTTAGGACTGCGAGCTGCGAGCTGCGAATACCAAATATTATTTTGGTGGGTTGCTTCCCATGCTGGCAAGCTTCGTTGTTTAAGCGGATGTTTTTCCCACTTTACCTGGGACGAAGGGCATCACCAACGTCAAAGAGCGGATGTAACGGCGACTAGTGTTTGTTCTAGCTCACCGTAGCGATCGCGGTACCCTCCCTGTATAAAGTGACTAACGACCCTCGAGGTGCATCAGACGCTCACCCCTATCCTAGAATGGCTCAGGATAGCGAACCAGATACTGGGCGAGGAGTGCCGCGTAGATGGGGGAATGGCCACCGCTCCATGAGACGCTACCGTAGGCCTTGACTTGGCCCGCAGCTTTCATATCGGATCGGCGTGCGTGCTCACTAGATAGTCTCTTGCGTGTGCTATAACGGCATCCGGCCTCTGTTCCTAGCGTATTAGTCGTCCACTCTTGACAGACTGGTGGCAGCAACTCGTCTCCGCTTAGAGAAGTCTCACGCTACGCAACAAGCAATCAAGTTTCCAGCAATGGCGTGCTGCCCTGCCTATGCCAGTCTGCGGCCAAGTCTGACCCCAATTCACGTCGACAGCCACATCCGGGACTATCGGAGAAACAAGACAGAGTGGAGGGCAACGCTTTCCTCAGGTCTAGCTCGATCGGCGTTAAGGCTGAGAGAAGGCTGTAGGACACAGCACGAAGCGCAAGTCCTTCAGGAGGGCTCATTAGCATGCTAATAACGTTTAGCGAGGATCACACATGGGGTAGGAGCGGGAACGGGGATGGATTAAAGGTGTTCCCAAGGTTTCGAAGGCAAGGAAGGGAAACTTCAGACAAAGAATGCTGCAGGCGCAGACCATGTCCCGGATTAAAGTGTGTCTGATCCCGGCCGCACGCATGGCTCAAGCTCCGTGTTCTTACAGCATAGAAGGAAGGAGCCTGACGCAGGAGTGGACATGGCTTTTTCTTCAAATCGCGGCCTTTGTCTGAGCTTGGATGGGAAATTGCCGAGGAAGATGCGGCTCCAAATGCTACGTTTGAAAGTGGGAGCGACAGCGGGTTGTTTCACCAACAAGGAAAACCCCACTCCAAGGTGACCTTAGTGCCGGGCGAGGATGACGACGCATGAGCTGGGGGAGAAGGAATTTGTTAGCAGCTCCGCGAATCTGGGTCCTTTTTGGTGTGTCTTTGGATTCTGCCTTGGTCAAAGATCGAGAGATGAGCCCTTGGTGGGGAGATTGGAAGACACCACCAAGCGAGCATCTCGGAGAGGTGGGCAAGAAGGATTGCACTTGTTTTTTTTTCTCTTTATTTTTATTTATTATTATTATTATTATTTTCTCTTCACGATGGATTTTGCCTTGTCCAGCCCGCCCACTCCAAATCTCGTACGGATTCTGGGAGTGAAGTTGCGGGTTTAGTAAGTATCGGGCGGAAAGGAGCCCGGAATATGAGATATGCCATCCTCGACCCACCAGCGAAATGGTATTTGCGGGCGGATATCGCTCGAGAAAGCCAGAGCAATTGGGCATCATCGTTCAAGTCATCCTTCCGCTTGTGTCTCGTCGGACTAGATTGTGGCGATGGCTTCGCTTGTGAGGTGGGGGAGGGGGCTCGGATGTCCTTGAGCGGGCTGTCTCCTTGGACTATGGGGCCGAGCCGCCTCTCCAGCTGCTCGGAGATTAAACGATGGAGGCTCTCCATACAAATTGCCCACTGGTGTGCATGGGAATGCAAGGCACACGGCGAGGTCCCTCCAAGTGCAGACGGACCCTCGCGTCACTCAAAAATGTTGCGGATTGGATGGGCTGGCCACGGATCCATCCTATTTACGAGACCGAACTTGGTCCGAAAAGGGAGGCGCAGCAGCCAGCAGAGAGGTAAGGGGGCTACTAACCCAAGACAATCCTATGAAGATGGTCTTTTTCTATCGTTTTTGGGGATGTCATGGATGTTGGTCAGCCTCTTTCGTTTGCCCTCCATGAATGAGGGTGTCTTTGCACCAGCATACGAATTCTCACTGATGTGGGCTTGGATCCAGGTGATGACTCTTTGATCAATTGCTTTACGACGGTCGCTAGACAGTGTAAATGGGATATTATTCTTATGTCTGGCCGGGCCCAGTTCATGCGATCGAGAGATCGATATCGATATCGCGATGGCTTGACTTGCGATGCACCAATTCCCATATTCTCAAACCACACTGATATTCCATCATTTCTGTAATATAGAGGAGGAGCTGGAAGAGTCACTGAGAGGCGCAATATCGAAACATCAAAATATCAACCATAGACTGAGAGATCGGAGCGAGAGCCCGACTCCTGTCAAAGGTTCCTTTATTCAGGGTCCAGTTGTTCTTTTGCTTCGTCGTCTACTCGGAGCTATGGTCAAAGTCTTGTGCCGGCTCTCTCGGTACATGTTGGCGTTGGATTCCCACGGAGGATCGGATCGGTTTGATACCCTTCTTGGTCCCGTTGGCAAATGGTCTTTTTCCTGCCGCCTCTTCCTGTTTTCCCTCCTCCTGCTCCCCCAGGGCATTGCAGGCGTGGAGCTTTCGGGACCGAGTCTTTTCTGGCCCCCATTCCATCCCCACAGCCCTCAAGCTGTGTATGGATTGAGCTGGACCCTTTTCTGTCTTCCTCCACTCTAACAAGGCCTGTCCGAAGGCCAACGATCAGGAGGTATGTACTTGTAGATAATTGATCAATTAGATCAAATTGATCCTTGGCACGACATCAATTGATCTAGTATTATTTGACCGGTGCCCCCTATTAGCCTGATCTACATTCCTTCCCGCTGTCTCTTTTGGATCGCCAACTCGCCCTTGCTCTGAGGGGAAACGGAAGGATCTACTTGCGGTGTCCCGGCGCAGCCCACCCAAGGTTCCTCGCGCCTGTCTATCCGCATAGATTATATGTATCTATTCTCGTATACGCGTAAATGTGCATATGGGTCTATTTATTTCCCCGTGGCCAGAGGCGGGTCTAGCGGAAGATGAGCCGCGAAATACTTTGTTGAACACCTTTGAAGGGGAGGCAGGTATGAAGGGGGGCGAGAGACGAAAGGAGAAAGAAAGAAAAGGGCAGCGATTGTCATGACGGAGACGAGACGCCACGCATCACGCATCACTGCCCCTCCGTCGCGGTTTTTTTTCTTTTTTTCTTTCTTTTTTTCTTTCTTTTCTTTGGGTTATGTTTCGTGTTGTCTCCAGGCTCGCTTTTCGAATAAGATTCATCAAAGGATTATGGGATGCTGGGCTCGATCCATTTCGGACATGGGGAATATCTATCTGTAAAAGGTCTCAGCAAAGTGCGACTAGCCGACGAACCTGCCCTTGTCAGGATGCAAGGATTTGTTCAAGTTGTTTGCGTACACTATGTCATACAAGTACCAAGTACACCCATAGTCAGCGCCCTGCCCAGGTTTCATGGTGGAGGGTTCCCGACGAGCAAATGCCAGCTCCCACTCTCTCCCAAGACATCCATTTGAACTGATGCCAGCGACAGGGGGTGCTTCGCCACAGCCCAGGCCGCTGAGGGACACCAATCCCGGCTCGTCCTTCCCCACAACTTGATCCATCGACGAAGTATTCAAATTGATGTTCTCTTGCTTGCTGGAATACACTCTGTTGGTCCACTTCATCAAGTCCCAGACATCTTGACATGTCGGGATCCGATGTTCACCACGAAATCATCCTTGATACTTTGTACGTTGGGTCATCGGCCGGATTGATCGAGACAAGGAAAGAAACCTTTTCAGATCAACGGAATCATTGGCGCTCTCGCTCACACTCACCTGGTAGGCCAAGCCCTTCCGGCCAGAACTAATATTATTAGCAGCCCCCAAACGTGGCTGGTCTGCTTGGTGCACACGTCGTCGTGAATTCCATGTGCAGTTCAATGGTCTGTCTAGTGTGCGTCAGCCACCTCCCCTGTTCCTGAAGCCGGCATCCGCTTGGCGACAGCGCTCGAGTGCGTCCAGTACGATTAGTGCAGATTGACGCACGCCTCTGCCTCACCGTCGCCAGCCGACACACAGCCCATCAGCCAGCGGCATGAGTTTCAATTGATCCCAGCCAACATCTGTGCCTGTGTCAGCCAGTCTTGTTGCAGGTCCCGAGCCCGAAAATACATGGATGGAAGTCACTAAGCCAAGCCAAGCACGTCAAAAAAGGAAAGAAGAAGAAGAAAAATTAATGAGTCGTGACCCGACCAAGGCGTAGATAGATGGGGGCTAGAGGGGCCATCTAATGCAGCTTGATAGCTAATAAACGGGTATGGGGGAATACATTAGGAGAAAGGGAATATTCAAAAACAAAAGGAAAAGGAGAAAATGAAAGAAAGAGAGAATTAGCCTGGTGGGAAGGAAGAAAAGACGCGATCGCACCCCCGCCACTCTTCGCACTCCGCCAAGGTGGCCAACCTCTCTCCAGTTTTAATCAAGGGCCTTCCAGTGCTGGATTATTTCTCCCCTTCCCTTCCAGTCAGGTTTCGAGGCCTCTTTCAACTTTCCATTTTCCCCTTTTCAACACTTGCCTACGCGTCAACAGAGTCTCTTCGCTCCGACTCATTGATAAACGGACCGGCGTGGTCGTTAGCGTGTCCTACCACCGCTTGTGCCTGACGCTAGTTACTAAATTTAAGCTCGACCAGACGAGTCCGCACTGAACGCTCCCGACATCCAGGCTCTGCTCCCCACTCACCCATTCCAGGATCTTCACCTTCTGTCGATCAGACAAGCCAGGTCTCGCCTTATTACTGGTCTACGAACCTGCGTGTGCTGTACCTCGTAGCCCGACGTATACTTGTACATACACTACATAGCGTACATGTAAGCGTCTCCACCGAACCTGATCCCAGCACGCACAGCACAGCTCGTCTCCTTCCCTCCACCACCACCTGCCCTGTCAGGGGAACAACAATAATCGCCCTTTCGTTTAACCCCGTTTACGCTGCAGCATCGATCCCTCCCTCCTTTTTTTTTTTTTTTTGCAAGCTCATCGTCGTCGGGCCTCAACCCTCCTTCACTCATTCGGCTTTTGTATTTTCTTCCCCTTCCTTTATCGACAAACTCCGATCATTTTATTCCTTCTTCTTCTTCATATTTTCTTGTCTCTCTTTTTCCTTTCCTTATACACGACACTCTCTTCTGTTCGCCAACGATCCGTGTTACCCCATTGCTGCGCACCCTGGGGCACGAGTGACGGCAAACACCGCAACGATGCCATCCGTCGACGTCGCCATGGTGCGAAGCCTGCGAGGTGGCCTCTGGGGCACTCTCACCCAAGGTCTCACGTCTAATCTCGGCCGTCGCAACACCTTGGAGGATCTTCAGAATAGTGCAAGCGAGGCTAAGACGGCCTTTTCGAGTTGGGACAATTGCATGCAGGCCACTTTTTGCAAGTAAGACATTGCCCCCATTTCTTCTTCAACCTCCCCGCCGTCGCCGTCTCTTGCAACTCGACGCCCACTACTGTCTCGGCGTTTAGCCTGTCGCACACCCACCCGTACCCTGTCTTGCTAATCCCAACGTTAATCTGTAGATGGCCCGTCATTGCCATCATCATCATCGGTGGTCTCATCATCTTCTCTATTGTCTGGTGTCTCGCCCGATGCCTCTGCTGCGGTCTGTCGTGCTGCTGCGAATGTTGCTATTGCCTCAAGTGCTGTGGTAACTGCCTTGGTTGCTGCGACCCCCAAGGGTCGCGCTCACAAATACCTCGATAACGAAACCCTCCCGCCCAACCACGGCTACCGAGCCGAACCCCCATGAAGGCCCCCGTCATGTCGCCCGTCCGAACCGCTCCCGTATACGAACCCCCTCAGTACGCCGAATTTGAAGTGGCCAAGAAGGGCGGCGAAGACTCCCTACCCTCCATGCCTGTTTGGAACGAAGCCGGCTCAAAGAAAGCCACCCTCGAGCAGGAGGCCGTGGAGATGAACCAACTCAGCCGAACCGCCACCGGCCAACAGACCGTCGCATCTGCCTCGGCCGCTGCCGCTGCTTCTGCCGCCGCCGTCGCCGCCGCTGCCGGCCAGCCAAGCCCCGGTATGTCTGGTGGCCACCACAGCCCTTACCGCCAGCCTTCGCCCATCGGTCCCACCGGCTACGCTACCCCCCGGCGCCAGCGCCTACGCGAACCAAGCCAGCCCTCAAGGCTACGGCAACGGCTACTCGCAAACCCCCGCGCCGTACGGTGCCGATCCTTACATCGCTGCTGCCGCCGTGCCCAACTCTCGGATGGCCTCACCTCGTCAAGACTACCGCGGTAATGGCTACAATCAAGGTTATGGCAATGGCAATGGCCAAGCCTATCCTGACGCGGGCCAGGGCTATGCCAATGGGTATGACAATGGACAGGCTGGACAAGCCTACGATAATGGGCACGTCGGCCAATCGTACGACAACGGCCAAGCCGCCTACGGAGGAGATTACGGCCACCCTGCAGCCGCTTATGGAATGGATCCGAGACGGGCCTCCCCGCTTCGGCGGCTTATGCCGCTGAGCCTCTAAGGCACTCGCCCGCTCCCCAGGCTGGCTACGGATACGGCCAACAGCAGCAGCCGCAGCAGCAACAACAGCAGTACGGAGCCGCTGCGGGCTACCGGCAACCCCAGCCTCAACAACCACAGCTCCAAAATACCGGCGGCTTCGATTTCAGCTCGGGGTACAGCCGCCCACAGGAATACAATAACTATCGGCAACCTAGCCCCGTTGAGGTTCAACCCCAGGAACTTCCTGCCAGCACTGGATACGCCGCCTACTCCCCCACCACGACACAGCGCAACAACGGCTATTAGATGAACTACCACCTAATGGGTGTACATCAGGCCATTAATCCCGGGGCCTCCAACTGTAGTCTTATCTAAAAAGCTTTTGTTTTATCTCGGGGCTCACGCGCCAGCGCGGCTAGATGGCGTTTTCTTGGTTTTTTTCTTCTCCCCCTTGCTCCCTCGGTCGCCGTTTCATCCCGACAACCCTAGACAAAGGTGCCGGCAAGGTCCCCGACCCACTTCCTCTTCACGCTTTCCCTTGCTTTTCTTCTCTTTACGGAGTTACAAATATTTGGGCACGGTATACACGGCGTTCTTTTGCTTTTCTTTCCCTTTGTCTTTTTTTCTTGTTCATTTCATGCGGGCATTGAAGACTATGGATCTGCGATTAGGCATGGCCGGCCGGTGGTGCGAGAAAGCAAGCGAGCCACGAGTAAGGGGATGCGAGGCTCGGGACCTATGCTGCAATCTTCCCACGAGGAGCATGGCTGTTTCGCCTAGTACCAGGCGACCTCATGTTGATTCAAACATTGAAGCCGGTAGAGGCGACGTGAGGGGTTGGGGCGGCGCAAAGCAAAGAAAGGGATGTATGTGTATTGGAGCGCTCGCAGAACCCGGCTGAGGCGACAAAGTGTCGATGCAGCCCCTCGCAATATGTATTCAACTCTCGACGCCTACTACACATGGTTGGGAGGGAAGAACTAGAACGAGCGGGTAACTGTACCCAGCAAGATATTAATATCACACATTCTCACGCCATGTCTCTCTATTTGCGTCACTTGTAAGCGAGCCCGACGTGAAGGCTCGTATAGTTATCACTGCTCCTTGGTACGTGGAAGAAAGATATTGGCCTTCATAATTAGCACAGCGAGCATATATACCCAAGGAATTGGAATGTGATCTATTCGAAAAGGTATGTATGTATCCTTGATTTGTTCGCCCTTGTCACCATCCCAGCCGCGGGCGCGTTCCCTGTAGAATACTGAAGAAGCAGGCAGGAGCGAAAAGCAAAAGAGAAGTGGAGAGAGAAACGCCTATTCTCCACTTGTTGCGATGTCATTCAAGAGAAAAGTGCAAAAGAGGGATAGGGAAACAAAAGGCACGGAAGACGAGCAACGGAGTAACTCCTAAAACAAGCTAAGCCTACTTGAACATATGATAACTCCACTAGTGATTGTTGCTTGAGTGATATTGACGCCAAAAAATGAAACAGAGGCAAACGGAGAGAAGGAAGCAGCCTGATGAAAAGAAAAGGGACTCCAATCATACTATTTTGTACAAGCAATAGATTGATTTGGCGAGAGTTGGAGAGAACAAGGGTTGTTGTTGTGGTAGAGGAGTTTGGAGCAATGAGAATACAAGGTCGATAGAAAGCAAAACCGGCTCCATTCCGTGTATCTCGACGTGTGTCGTGGTGTGTATAGATATTCCAGAAGCGGGTCCCGCTTTGTGGATCTATGAAGGTAAGGGATTTTCCTTGATAGCGCATATCTGCTTACAAGCACGATAGGCATAAAATTTCGGCCAAGAGGGAGTGTATGGTGGCAGCTACTAGTGAGCAAGTCACCTCTCACAGGCCATGCAACCCCTGAACAAGGCTGTGTGTGCCTACTCGGTCGTGGCAGGCGAGAGAAGGAGGATGAACCTAGGAGGTGGTCCGGTTCCGGTAGGCATTGCCTACTCCTTGGGGTAGAGGGAGGACGGCAGCAGACTTCCACGCTCACTGCCCCTGCTCGAGCCACTACTCTGAACAAGAGTATCACCATCACCCTCGCCTTCTGAGCCGTAGCTACGGCGTGAACGAGAGCGGTGCAGGCGGACACCGTATGTGTCGTTCTCAGTGCTCAGGTCGTCGGAGCTCGTGTCAAAATGATCGCCATCATAACGGCTGGCGGATGACCGTCTCCTGTTCTCGTCGTTATCGTTGTGGTTGTGGCTGTTGCTGTCGGCACCATTGTCGTTTTCGGGATCCTCGCCGGGGATAAGCTCGTGTTCTATTAGGGGCTGCATCTTGATAAACGAATCGATGATGTAGTATTGCAAAGCATTCATAATCAAGGGGAAGAGCATCATGACAAAGAAGATTTGCAGCTTCTCGTTGCCTTCAGTCCAGCCGAGCGCCCAGTCCCCTATGCGGGAGATGGAGGGGAAGAGAACGAGTATAATCAAGACAACGGTTTTCATGCCGAAGAGACCGCAGAAGTAGAGCAGCGACTGTTTGAGCCACCATCGCCAGTTGGGAGGGTCGCCATAGTTGCCGGACTGGATCGACTGAGGAGGTTGGCCGAAGCGGGTAAGGGAGGCGACACCGGTCCAGAGGCGGAGCAGGTATATTAAAATGGGGATGCCCAGAGTCGTCTGCCCGGCGCGAGAGTGACGTTAGCAACCCGCCCACTTTTTGAGACACGACTGCGAAGACAACGGGGGAGAAGGACAAACTCACATCGATGCCTAGATTCAAGAGATAGAACGAGCACGGGTTAGGACTATAGTCATCGTCGTCACGACGCAAAAGCATCGTGGCCATAGGGCCGATGGGAGAGTCGGCCGTCTCAAAAGAGAAGCGACCAGAGGTAAGCATAGACATGAAGACATTGGCAATATGAACCAGCACGGAGCCAAACACCTGCTTGGAGACGTCAAAGAACCAAATCTTGACGGGCCTCTGGGGCCGTTCTCTCCACCGCTTATACACTAATGACAACAGGGCCAGGCCACCAAGAGCAGCTTGAATGATTAACGCGAACGAGCCCATCAGGCGGCATTCACCTCTGTAATCATCGTCGTTATCGCCGACATCAGGCACGCTGGTCGCGGTAGCGGTGGCGGCAGCGGCAGCGGCGGCAGCGAGGATGTTGACTGTGGGGATAGCAAGGGACACATCGGTAGGCGTCGGGGCGGCCGCTGCGGCTATCGAGACGGCATCTTTGGCGAGTTGGAGAACAACAGCGGAACCTTGCTCGAGTGGCGAGAGCATGGAAGGCGGTAAGGAGGGGCCGCGAAAAGGCCCTTGAGATGAGAAAGGAGGAGGGGAATTGAGGGTGGCGGCGATAATGAGCAAGGAACAGCGCTGTGGGGGACGCGAAACAAAAGACGTAGTTTGTCCCTAAACCGACTCTCGGGTTGAACGAGAGGGGCAGATGTGCCGAATCGTCACGCCAAATTCATCACTAGTGAGGAGCAGACGGCCCGCGACCGGATTCTGAGGCGGCCGAGGAGAGGGATCCGTCGTATGCGAATCGGTCGAGAAAGAAAGGCTGCACTGGCTGGGGAATAGTCGAAAACGGAGAGATAGTGTGATGCCAAGCGATGAGACGGACGGGAAAAAGTAATATGAAGGAAAAGGGTTTCACGAAGGAAAGAGAGAAAGAAAGAAAACAGGTCTCGATCACAATCGGTCGTTGAAACAGCGAAAGGCGATGGGAGAAGGGAAAATAGAAAAAGAAAATAGCAAGTTGTCAAGGTTAAGGTTGAGCCTCCTGACAATCTGTTACACCTTTCGGGAACGGGGGCGAGTATCCTAGCTGCCTGGCATGGATGACAGAAAGGTAGAGTTGAGGCGAATTGGAGCCGACGAACCGACGAGGATTCAGGGAGGGCAGGCAGCCCAGTCCTGGGACAATGCAGTGTCACGGGCAAAATGTACTAATTGATCCCATCGAATTTGGTTAGTCAGTGGTAAAGTGCCCGGTATTAAGCTGGCTCGGCTAGCGTTCATCCCTCCCAAACCCTCTATACCCGTAGCGCTAAGCACTGTGCCTCCTTTATCGCTGATTCCGGTCGAATTAATTCCTTGAGGCGTTTCAAACCAGCAATCCTCCACCAACCTTGCCTGTTGGCTGCAGAGGAATACAACCTTGAAGATAACCAAGAGGAGAGAGGGAGAGAGGGAGAGAGTACCCGAAATAGGACGGCCCTGCTAGCGCTGCACCCAGCTACAAGACAGATGAAGCCACACTGTTCATGGCATTATAATCACCGATGCGACAAATAGAATGTCGGCAACGCCCCATTCCTCCATGCTTCATCTCAGGGTGACTCCCTTTGTCAACCTACTAAAAGAGTGCTCGGGGCCAGCAGAGTGGATGCGTCAACTGGAGGTTCGTTGTGAACATACAGTGCTACTAGACTTGTCTTCCTGGATCGAGCCCCGCAACCTGGCGGCGCACTCCGATCAAATCGTGAAGGGAGGATCGAATCGCTGAGCCCTCGCGAGATAAGCCCAGTTCCCCCAACGCCCCAACGCCCCCAGAACTGCTGATGGTTTCCGATGACCTCAATCCGGTTGGGTGGAGGACTTGCACTCCTGCTGCATGGCCCCAGTGACCTCAGTCCATTGGTGCAATTTGTCCATGCGCCACATTGTCAGACCTGTGTCATGCCCCGCTCACGAACAAGACAAAGTTCGTTCCTTGGAGACTGCTTGCTCTAGCGCCACCAGCAAATCAGGAGGCAGCGGCGTTTTTGTCAGGCGGTCATAGCCAAAAGCAGCCAAGAGCTCTTGTGCCAAATAATACCCGTGTGCTCAGTTGAACAAATGTGAATGCCCGCGGTAAAATCTCGGCTGATATCTATCGCCCTCAGAGCTATCTTCGAGCTTCACAAGTGCTGATTACTAAGCGGAAGCTCCTCGCCAGCCTGTGGTTGGTCACTGTGACGAAAAGGAAAAGAGAAAAAAGTTGCCATTCGAGCACAGGGACTGGCGCATCACCCATTCAGACAGATCCATTGAGCCATCTCCTCGTGTCAAACCCTTCTTCCAACCCATACGGAAGCTCTCTCGGGAAGTTCCTGAGGAATCCCTTGTTTTATTTTCTCTTTCCAATCGCAGCAACGCCAATCCGGGTCTCGCCCTCTCGACAATACACGCAGTCATAATGTTCCGATCGAGGATACGGATACCGCGTGTTTCCCTCGCGCAGCCCGTAGCTCGAGTCCAGAGGTCGCTTCACACCGTACCTGAGCTCCCCCATTCCTACAAGGATGGCGTTCCCGGTCTCTTGTCTGCCGACGGATTCGACATGGCCTGGACACAATACCAAACTTTGATGATTGAGAAGCTCAACGCCCTCACAGCCGGTAAGCGCCCGATATGCACGGAATAGAGCAGCAATCGAACCGAACAGCTCACCTGACCTTGGGGCGCGCGATATATCCCCTTGGCGACGTCTAAGGAAACGAAACCAGGCTAACGAATAGACCGCAGGTACCGAATTCGAGCAAAAGGACACCTACTCGACCCTCACGGCCACGGCTCGGGAGCCCTCCAAGGCCCCCATCTTTAACCATGCCTCCATGGCTCACAACAACCACTTCTTCTTCAAGAACCTCACTCCCAACCCCACCGCAATGCCCTCCGATCTCCGCCGCGACCTGGAGCGCTCCTTTAGCAGCATCGAGACCCTTCGCCGCGAATTTGTCGCCACCGCCTCCGCTATGTTTGGTCCCGGTTTCGTCTGGCTCGTCCAGACAGCTCCGAACGACTTCTCCATCTTGCCCACCTACCTAGCGGGCTCACCTTACCCCTCCGCGCACTGGCGCCGCCAAGATATGGATATGAACACCACTGGTAACCAGGGCAGCGCCGCCACCTGGCTCAAGAACACCCAGGTCCGGGGCATGCCTCAGAAGAAGGATGAGCTGCCTCCTGGCGGCGTCAAGGTCACCCCTCTCCTCTGCCTCAACACTTGGGAACATGTCTGGCTCAGGGACTACGGTGTCGGCGCCGGCGGCCAGGGCGGAAAGAAAGCCTTTGCTGAGGCCTGGTGGGAAGCCGTCGACTGGGAGGCCGTCGCTAACTCCTCCCGGCTAACTAAGGGCGGCGAGGGAAGCGGATCCGGTGCCCCCACAAGGGGTCATTGCAGAGACCCCAACCCGACGAGGTCACAGTTTCCCGTGGGGAATCTTCTCCTGTCCCTAAGCCCGCGGAGGAGAGGGAGCGACAGAGCCCTCAGGATGCTTAAGTGTACGTATAACATGAAAGAAGAGACCCCTCCCCCAACCAATGGGCGGCAGACGAAGCCAAAAAACGAAACAAAAGGAGAAACTACCCTCGCCGGTGCATAAAGGGAAAACAAGAGAATAAAGGAGGAAATAGAAGAGGGAGGATAATCTTGTTTGAATAGTAGCGCTCTCGGTCTATCCTTTGGACTTAACCCAATCGTAACTGGGAGGTAGAATCGGGAACAGGCCTCGAGCTCTGATACTGTAGGATCGAAGGAGGGCGGAGGCAGAGGAAAAACCTCGAAGACGGATTTGTACAACAGTGTTATATTTTCACAAAAGAAAAGAAAAAGCCTATACAGACAAAGAAAATAGGCTCCTTGCACGCCTCACACGCGAATAGATCACCTTGCTACAGTACATCTAAATCTTCACATAGGGCAGGGACGTGTATGAGTCAATGATCTCCTCGCGTGATTTCAGGGTTTCAATTCACATCACTATGTACTATGGGAGTTACTACCTGGTGTTCAGGAGGTATCATGGGCAGTAAACTTTTACCCGTTTGCATATCTTTAGATATTATGTTAAGTTACCAGGGTCAACAATTTCCCAAGCCAGTCTCTCGAGAGGTCCAATCTTGCAAACGCCCCTAATTCCGACCATCATCTTCCTGCCATCCTCAAGTGGTGGAAGTGAAGAGCAGAAAAGAAGGAAGACAGTGATACATCAAAGAAAATGAAATGCGTAGCTATCAGATATCGACCGCGCTCGGCTAATCCAGGCCAGCACAAGAGTCGAATTGAGCCCCAACACACATAAGAAAAAGTAGGTATGAGCCCCCAGGCAAAGATGGAAGTAAAGAAGAGAGAGAGAAAAAGATAAAAAGGCCGGGCCCCTTTGGCCCGAGATGCGAGAACACCAAATCCATGCAGGCGAAGTTTTAAGAAACGAGGAAGAGAGGGGTAGAGTTATCGAATAAGTGTTTTCCCAAGGCCATGCGTGAGCGGGCACTTGAGGTCGAGCAAAAGGTAAGCCCATGTGTAAACCGGTGTTTTCTTTGCCCATGATGTAATAAGAATGAAAGAAGGAAAAGAAATAGAGATGGAAAAGAAAAGAAGTGAAGTGAGATCATGCGGAAGAAACAGCTCATATAGCCCAGGCGGGAACATGGGGAAGGGAGGATAGGTTTGGACGGGAGGGAATGAATGGTTGGATGGGATGGGACTTTCAAATCATGCTTCCATTGACGCTGATCTGGAAGCCCTCGCCCTTCTGCTTCAAAGCCTTGGCGAGCATGAGCTCTCGCATCCAGTCAATGCGCTCTTCACGGCCCTTGACGGCGAAGTGGTGAGTTTTGCCAGTACCGTTGGTGCCTTCGATGGGATTGGAGGGTTGAACACTCTCCCTCTTCTTCAACCTGCCCATGTGCTGCTTATCTTGGGGGACGAGTTGGAAGGCAAATGCCGCAACGTCAGCCTTGTCGGTCTTGCCCTGACGGATGTGCATAGTTTTGAGAGCGGCGCTGAGCTTTGATTGGGATGCATAACTGGAGCAGGCAATAGCATAGTCGTCAATATCGACATACTCTAGAGTGCGATCTATTTCTTGCGCATCCTTGTGCATGGCAAGCCTCGTTCCCTTTAGGGTGAAGTAGCCATCCTGCCATTCGTGCCGGAGGAAGTGCGTCTTGCGCTTCTTCATCGGGCCTTGGTAAGTGGTGCCATCCATGGTATTGGAGCGAACAGCCTCCTTGACTGGCATGGCGTGAGACACCATGGTTGGGAAAGGAGGGATGGCGGTCTCGAACGGTTTTGTTCGCTCGATAGGCGACCATGGGTAGTTGACCCTAGGGGGCGCTCGGAGAGGCTTCTGTTCAGACCTTAGCGTAGGAGAAGGTGTCTTGGATCCCTGTCGTAGAGGAGCGGTCGCTCTGTTCTCATCGACCGCCGGCATGACGGGGAAGGAGGGTCGCCTTGAGGAGGCTCGAGACATGCTCCGCGCCGGTGCCCTGTAGTTCATATCTGGGGGCACGGACTGAGACACATCTCGTGCGAGAGGATCAATGGGCATGGAGATGTAAGGCACATCCATTTCTGAAAAGGGGTGCCCCTACGAAGGTTAGATACCGGAGAGACCAGATCGCGAGCGATAGGGGAAGCCTTGTTCATCGTATACGGGATGAAGCCGCCATGGACTTCGGGACTAGCCTCGGCTAGTTGAACCGGCGACTGGGACACGGGAGCAGGGGCTTGTACAGGCTGCACCGTGGAAGGGCTGCTTGAATTCCCAGGAATCGAAAGTTTCGGGAGGCGGCGGAGCCTGGTGTGGCGACTGGGCCTGGGGTAGAATCTCGAAGGGTGGAGTGGGGGCACCTCAGCACCTGCTGACTGGGAGCGCTGGAAATCGAGAAACTGCCTGACATGGTCCGGAGAGCCTTGTTTCGGGGGACTGAGTGGCCTGGCGGAGATACTGAAGAGCCGGGAGCCCGCCAGTGCCCATAATGTCCGAGGACGCAACAATGGAAGGAACGGCGTCGGAGACCGGACGGAAGTCGTCCGTGTCAATACGGTTAGCAGTCTCGGGGTTGCCAGGGTTGCCAGCAATAAGGACGCCATTGTCTAGGGTAGCGAGAGGATGCTCCATCTTGAAGGCCTCAATGAGGCGCCTCTGCTTCCTAAACTTGGAGCAGGCCTCCCCTTGGGGCAGTTATGAGGCTTAGGGATCACTTGCTCAATCCCGACAATGGATACAGATTCCATCGGGCTAATGATGTCATCCAGAGCGGGCTCCTTTACGTGGCGTCTTCGGCGAGACTGGCCCCTGTTGACGCTATCGGCGGGAGTTTTGCAGATGTCGCGGCTGGGAATGTCCTCAATTGGAGTGGGGGCAGAGGTGATGCGGTCTTGCAGTCCCGGAGAACTTGGATCTGGTTCCAGATCTTGATGCGAACGCCAAAGGATTGAATCTGGAGCTCTTTAAGATCCTCAAACTTTAGTGTCATGAGGATGGCGCCGTTGATGTCGTTGTCGATAAAGGCCTGGGCGACAGAGAATTCGACTCCAGCATTGATCATCGACTGGGCTACCATGCGTTGGTCCCAAGAGGCAAGGTTGAATGTATCCAAATGCCTGGTCGTGAACCTCGCGGGAAGTCTGCGCGAGAATGCTCGCGAGTTCAGTGTTGGGAGAGTGAAGGGCGGAGTCGTCAATCGCACGGAGGTAGTTGGAGTCCTTCACCGTGGAGGGCGTGATTGGTGAGAGGGTCAGGATATTGTCTTCCGTGTATGCGCTCAGCAAGGAGTTTCGAAACAAATGAGGGCCTCGAGGACCTTCAACTGGCCTTTCCTCCATCTCGACAAAAATTCGGGAATGCGTCCTTGGCTTGATCGGGGGTCATTGCCTCGTCATAGGAAGAAACGGTTGCTATACTACCGCGCCCAACCTGAAATCCATCGTGTTAGCAAGCACGCTACGGAAGCAAAAAAAAAAACCGGGTTGGAGAGTAGGTACCGAGTGCAAGCTGGCGCGAGGAGAGTTATCGAAATGGCTCGAGTTTGGCAGAGGCTCTTCGAAATCGGTCAGGAAGCCATCCTCCTCCCAATCAGTGTCTACAAACTCGGTCGCAACCGACATTGGTCTTTTGACTGGTTCGCGGTTCATCCTGAAGAAAGTGTCCCGCACGGGGTTGAGTTCTCGCATCTCTCCTTGGGTGTATCTTTGATCAACCCTTATGGGTCGGGAGTAATCCTAAGAGTGTATCTCGTGTAAGCTCCCGTGCTTAGGTCTTTATGGGCCCAAGGCTAGGCTTCTATTAAACTACGAGGCGGAGGCCTGGATATTCTTACCATTGTGTCAAGTGGATTCGGGCGCCGCCGCAGTGGATCTGTGGCTGGGTGTCTGGGTGGTTAGTTTCGACCACCGCCGCTCTGATACCCCGCCGAGATTAGTCTGGGGGAGTAGGCAGTCGCCACGGCCGGCTGAGGTTATCGTCGCCGGTCCGCCTCGGAGAGGAGGTGAGTTTCAGTCTGGGACGAGTGAAGATTTATAGCAACCAGCAGTACATAAAGTAAGAGGTCGGAAAAGGATGGTAGATCTAAATTGAGTTGTCGCTAAGAAGGCGCTGGCTATGGAAGCAGAAAACGAGAGCTTGAAGGGGTGGGGATGGGTGAGGCCGGGTGGTGCGCTTGGGTAGTTAAGTATTGACGACGATCTCTCGTCCAAGAGAAAGATCGTGGGCGGGCCCCTGGATATCTGCAAGCTGTGGGTTTGTGTGATTCGGTTATGTACAGGGAGCACGGCGGATCTGCGGTTGGAGTTGGTCGCAACCATGGGCAAAAACGGAGGAGGATGGATGGCGAACGGAACCGGAGCAGCGCTAGGCGTAGGAAGACAGGAAGAAGGGGGGTGAGGGGTTGGCCGGGTTGAGCGGTGTAAGTGGGAGCGAGAAGGGTGGGATCCATGGGCTATTGATGGATCACATACTCGGTTCAATGGGCCGACCTAGTGAGTCCAGGCCGTGCCCTCAGTAAAACTGGAGAGTTGAGGTATTCCGTCCCCAGGCCGTGATTGTGCTGCGACCTCGATGGGATGCCCGGCCCTCGTATTCAACCGACCGAGCTACTCAACCGCCGTCCGTTTCTAGATAACGTTTTTAGATCTATCGACGGTGGAGGCGGCTAAGAGAATTGTGCAAGAGCAGGGTTCAATGTGACATAACTGAACCATTGTTACAAATATAGTAGCAGCAACTAGCACAACGATTGTGAGGATGCAGACGGCCCAATGCGTTGTGGTGTACTCTGCTTTCCCCACTGGTTGTCGTCGCATCACACATGACCGCTGTGCTCGCCGTCGGTTCCTCTCACCTCTCGCATTGCTCGAGGAAGGCGCGAAGCGACGAGACATCATTGGAGAAAGAGCCAATGTGGGGCTGCAGGCAAGAGCCATGCAGATCTTATCTTCGCCTGTGATTTGCCCAAAGTTGGCTCTCAACCCCAGAGGCCTCGAGGAAGAGGGGCTGGTCGGCTGCTCATTGGCTAGAAATTAGTCAAGGCGTCGTCCGATTGCCCAAATATAGACGGATTTTAAGCGCCGGACTGGCAAACTCTTCGTGAATCTCGCAAGCGGACGAAAAAGAATCAAGAAGGGAAGGAAAAAGAAAACGGAAGGACACCGTTTGACGTCTGGATCGTGGCACTCTCCGTCCTCTCCGTCCTCTCCTTCCTTTCCCTTCGCCTTGTCCCTCTATGCCTCTTTTTCCTTTCTTTCTTTTTTTCTCTTTCGTCTAGAGCTTCTTCTCTCCTTCTCATGGCCATAGGGCCCACCACCTGAAAGGTACTTCGGCCAACATCACAACTAAGCGTTTACTCTCGTCCTCTCGTAGTCCCCGAGCGTTGCGTTGGCTGTAAATAGGGTCATCCCTTATGATACCTCCAAGGGCAAGGCATAATAGCATTCGTTGCGACAGGCTACCCCAGTTTAACGGAGGAAGCAGACAGCGTATCACATCGAGAAAGATTCATTTTCTTTTCATTCCATCCGTCGTAGTCCCGCCCATCTCCAGTCACCTAATGGTGGTGGCTTTCTCGTTGTACCCTTGACATGTGTCGTTAGGACTTTGATAGAGCTGTTAATGCCACCAGCATTCTATCAATGTCGCCACAAGGTCTTATTTGCCGGTCAAAGGCGGATGGCGCAAGGCGAGACTCGAAAAGACCGGCCACTTTTGCTGACCAACTGGCCCCTTCGACGACCAAATGCTCCGAATGCGACCACCCCGGTCTCGAGACCAATAAATCCTTGACGGCAATGAGAATTGTGTGGTATTCGAGCATGGTTGAAAGGTGTCGGTCTGCAGGCCCGTCACAACTGTAATGTGATGTGATTGCCCTTCCTTTGAGGCACTTGCATCTCGACCTTATCTGCTATTGTCTTGCATTAGTGCCTCCGTGACAGTTCCGCTCCTCTTCATCTCTTTCTCAATCCATTTACCCCTCGTGCCCCTCCTTGCCCCGGCCACTGGCCTTTCCCTCCCCACCCTTCTCGTTTGGGTGCCCCAGCTGGAAAAATGCGGCCAGAAGTCACTCAAGGTCTCCTGGACATGCCTTTTGCGAACAGGCGCGGCTCTCTCCTCCCCACTACTGGCTCAACTTCAGTCACCCACGATCGACCTGCAGCACGACGCAAGGGTTCGGGAGATTGCCAGCAGGTGCCTCAAACTCGTGGGTGGAGGGCGATTGATGTGGCCTGACGCACGCCTCCAGCATCTGGAGAACAGAAAGGTGGCGCCTGACCGAAGCTGTCGCTCACCGATGGGCGCCGGGCATTTCGGTGCCAGAATGGAGAAGTTCCACCCAGCCACCACGCACTGAACGCGGCTCTCTCTATTAGGCTCAAACTCTCAGACTCTAGCGAGCATCGTCGCCAGCTTCAATTTTGGCTTTGCGGGTCAGCGTCGTGAGTGCCCCACTCCACTGATGGACTTGAAGGAGCACAGGTCTCCACTCTGGAGGGGGTTTGTTGAGTGGGGCGGACCCTTGTCAAGTGCTTGTAGTGTATAAGAACGTTTTAGGGGATTAGTCGAAGAAGGCTTGAAGACTGAAGTGATTTTGAACCCTGTTCATTGTCGTCGAGTCACTTGGCTTCCCCACCTCTTACGCTTCTTGGAGCGGAAGAGAACCGAACAGACACGACCAGGGGAGTGTATCATTGTCTACCTCATGGAGGAGCCTTTTGCCGAGTGCGATCTGATGAGCGATAACATCTTTTTTTGGAAGGCAGACGAAAGAGGTAACCGAAAAGGGGCCCGTGGTTCCAAGATCGTCATTTCAAGATTATCACAAAACGAGCGCTTTGTGGCGCTCAAATTAACACGTTGTTACTAGGCAGAAACAGAAAAGCCACCACGCCCCATGGAACACATCAATTCTGTTCTGAGGGAGTTGCCAGCTTGACAACGTCAGCGTTTTGGTTGGCCTGGTCAGTCGCGGCCACCCGCCGCTCGAGGCCGAAGGTTACTATTTCTCAAGGTGGTGGGGAGCAGAGGTCCTCCGGGAAAGGCCGAGGCGGTGGATTACACTCTGTACCACACATTCGTGCAACACATGCAGTCTCGTGACCCTAAATGGGAACTTCAATGCAAGAGCAAGCGGAAGCCGCTGTGGCCCTGCTTCACACGGGATGTTTAGTTCCTTACGACTAGCCTATAAGCTTCCCCAAACCACTGTTAATGAGCAGTCGCGGCTGTTACGGAGGCCAACGGCCGATCGCTCACGGAGTCGGCAGGGCCCGCGACATCACGAGTTCCAGGGCAAGGGTCCAGCTCTTTGCAACACCGCCTTTCGCAGTGGCGAGTCGAGGCGAGAGACGGACTCATTCTCAGTGATGCTCAAAGTCCTCTGGGTATTTGAACATCCTGGCTACGCGATTGCGCATGCTCGATTGGCGTTGAATGTGTCTGATTCACCCTTCTCCACCACCCCTGTTAAGAGTCCTTGAATGACCTCATCAGCTGTGGTGGGGTGGCTTGTGAAGGAAGGGGAGCGGTCAAGGATCTGGACCTGCAAGCCCATCCGAGTCCGAATTGGCAGGGCGCTTCTCGAATCCCGCGCTGACCCCATGGCGAAGTTAACTGCTTTTTCTGCACTTGGTCTAGGTGAATGCCGGTGGAGACCGAGAGCACGGGGCATCATAAGGTTGCTTTGATTTGATCCTCTTGCAACACACTTCAAGCAGAGCGACCGTCGATCGCCAGACCTTGCAAGTGCCATCAAATTTCACTCTTGTATGGAAAGGGAGGAGGCTTCAAAATTATGGGGAAACCAGAAATCGAAGAACGGAACATGGGGAAGGAAGACGCCACGGGAGAGGACGTGCATGCGAGAGAGAAAGAGAAAGAGAAAGAGAGAAAAGTCGATCATTCCTCAATGAATAGGTTGCTTTTTTCCTCCCCTTCCGCACCCTCCCTTCGCCCTTTGTCGATCGGCTACACTACTTCAGATTTACAAACCTCCGAACCTCTTCGAGAACAAGAATTGGGCACGAGCTAGTGCGCTCAGCTAGGCCAGCCTCAACAGTTCATGTCCGGAAAGCATGGGAGGGAGGGGAGGTTCCTGCCCGTGCCTGACAAGGGTGCAGGTTGCAGAAGCACTTCACCGACGACATACATTGGAAGCAATTTTTATTGCCTGGACGGATGCATCTCCGAAAGATAGAGAAAACGGGGAAAGGAAGAAAATTGGAGGCAACACCCAAAACACTCTTGTACTAAAAGCACTCATCCATTGATTGATACCGGCTGGGTTAGCGGCGAGGATCCGTCCCAAGCCCTATCGGCGATTCGTTCTCCCGTTACCCAGCTAGGAATGTCACGGGTTGAAATAAAACTTGGCCACCCAACAACCTGTCCCAATCATCGCCCAGGTTCGCTCTGCCCTCGTGGCCTTGTTACCCGTATGACAAAGAGAAACAAGTCCTTTGGCCTGGGTACTGGTGGATTTTGAATTTGCCTGGGTGGCTGGGGTGCACCTAAGGGCCTCCGCAATCCATTGCCTGAGGCAACGGCATATTCAGGAACTCGCGCGTCGGTGGCGTAACGGCGGTGAGAAATGGCTCTCTGTGCCGCACCCCATTGTCCATTTGGCCCTTCGAGCCTCAAGTTAAGAAGCTTGGGCAGTGAGCGATTCCGACACAGCGACCTTGACGAATTCCAAGACAGTGTCTTGGATAGTGTCTTATCCTAGTCGCACCTCCAAACTGCCAGACCCCGCTTGTGATGCCCGAGGCGGGGCTGAACATAGAGGAGCACCGTGCCAAGCAATGGTCTTGAAGAGACCCATCGGGATGTTGGTGCACCTAGAACCCTATTCCACCATCTTTCTGTTATCAATGTTTGGAAATCTCGCGAGGATGGCCTACCCTTGGCCCCGCCCATCCATTGGATCCATCTTCGTCGGGCGAAATACTGGGGCCTATGAAAGTACAAAACCCCCATCTCCAGCCTCGCTGATACACGTTCGACGCGGGAAAAAGCCCCAAAAGATCACAGATTGTGAAAGAAACAACATGGCCTTCATATCAATATTGAGCATATTCCGGGCTTGATCCCCAAGCCCGCACGGCCTCCGACCTTGCTCCCTAGCACTAGGGCGTGGCAGGGAAGACACATGTGGAAAGAAACACAGAAGCATGCCGCCGGACTAGAGCTGCATGGGCAAGCATCTTCCCGCGCACCCCCGCCCGCCCGCGAGGACTTTCTTGCAAGGAGTTTGGGCGAGGCCCACCCCCTTCCTCTCCGTTCTCCCTGTCGTTCCTGTGCAAAACTGCATTGTGGTACGACATTCAACGTGGTGGGTGAAATATTGCAGCTTGACAAACAAACAGATCCTTCCCACACAATACGTACACATTCCATGTAAGCAGCGATACATCTATGGATGATAAAACAAAGTACATTCTTACTTGTCGAGGAGGTATTAATGAGAGCGCAGAAAGATCGAGACTCCACGGACGACGCTGCGTCTTTGTCAGCTTTCTGGCGTACCTCTCAATGCAACGCATCAGGTGTGGGGAAGATGGCTTTATTCCTTTACGCAGATCAACCTCAGGGAGCCGCAGACCCTCTCACAATTTTTCTCAATTGTGTGAATGGGAATAGCTCGCATGGAAAGACGAGAGAGAGTAAAAAGCCTCGAGGGTAATGAGTGAAGAGCTCAAAGGGAGTCACCATTAATCTCTTCGGAAGAGAGAATAAAATGATTGCCACCAGATGTTGTTGAATTCGAGAGGTAGCCCTAATAATGAAGATCTTGTCGTGGAGTCCCTTCATCAGTGTCCTGTCTAAGCAATCTTGGTATGTCTACTACACATCCTGGTTCAATGGTGATGGTAGCTGACAGGGGACAAGATGTTCATGTTCGGCTCGACCCAGGATTCCCCGGAGTGCATGATGCGGGATGCACAATCTCCCGCGCTCGAAGGGCCATTGCCAACGCCTAGGACCGAGCTTCCTCCGCCCGCCCCGGGGCCAGAAAGCCAGAGGTCAGAAGTTATCACCATGTCTCCGATTGCGAGCTTGGAGGTGGGGAGACGTACTCCGTGCATGGACAGTGCCCGGGATGGGCCAAGGAAGGGCGGGGCGATGCGAGGTCGGAAGGAAGGGGGGTGTGCTGAAGTTGACCAGGATCTCATCAACATGACCGACCGTCACCAGTTCGCGAACTTGAAGGTCCTGTGGCTTGTCTGTTCCGCACACCACACCGTCTTTCCCATGGCTTGAAGTCGCTTTGCTTCTTTTCTTCGATAAATACACTAGAACACGCGAAATAGTGGTGTTGACTCTTGAGTCGACTGTCGCAACGATAGGAAAAATCTGCCTTGAAGGTCGCAGTCTCCTCTAAACTGCGATTTCCATCCGATCGAACGATGACGGGCGCCGGGAGCGGATTCTCGCGGGGCTGGAAGAGGATGAAGAGCCATCGAAGATTTACCTCGGAGCCAGCGTTTGAGAAATTGTGTGGAGAGAGAAGGTAGGGCCAGCCCGGACTCGCACTCGGACAGGCGATGAAAAAGCCGATTAACACCTCTGTTTGACTATCTCGCGGCCGTCGTCGCATTCTCTCTTCGAGGGGGTTTTTTTCTTTCTTTTCAATCTTTCCGCTCCAACCCTGCTGGGCTACCCCTACTTATCACTTCAGCTCTTCTTACCCGAATGAGCTTTCCCCTCGCGCCCGACCATCGCACAGGAATAGCGAAGGATATGGAGGTCGTGAGGTGAAGGGTGGCCGAACACGAAGTAGGAGGACGCGAGGTAATAGAGAAAAAACCCTCATTAATTGTGCGATCATAATTTTCTCTCCCGGTCCCATATTTTTCTTCTTTCTACCACATTATTCTTTTATTTTGCTTTTCTTTGGCGTGTTTCTCTCCCCGTCTCTTCGTAATTTCGTGAACCCTGGGACGATCGTCAAGTGTGAATGCGAGTCCGGGGTGCCTGTGCGCAATCGCCATCCAGCTCCGCTCCGAGCCCCGTGGCTCGGCTCTCATCAATCGATCTTGGTTCGTGCGCGCGTTCGTTCAAGTTCTCTAATGCCACGGCTGTAGGCGTCCCGACCAGTCGACGTTTGTTGCTCAAGGGGAGGGGAAGGGGTTCAGTCTCATCCCACCACTGCCACCTTGGTCTGGGCGGCCACCAACCACTAAGCACTCTCCATTAGCTAGCTCTTGAGGAAACCCACTAAAGCCACACTATGCCGAATCTCCTTGCCCCTTCATTCGAGTGCCAGATCCAATGAATCACCAAGATCGGCCTCTTCTTTCATCCTCGCACCCTCACATGACGGCCTAGCAATGCGACCCTCCTCTTTCACTGGCTACTCCTCGACATGAGGATGTGGTGGGCACTCAGGTGAGGCATATGAGCACCATATCTGTGCCAGCTTGGTTGGTAAATGACCCTTCTAACCTTTCCAACGAGCGAGGCCAAGCCTATTCTCGCGATCCTGTTCCGCAATTCCCCCGAGGGAGGGTGACGGGGAGGAAGCACGGTCCAAGTTGGGAGGGGGACCAATTCATGTACAAGTATGTTGAGAAAGGAAGGTGGGTCTCGATTGGAGGGGGCGGGGATCCCTAGAGTTGATGTGAACAATCGTGCGAGTATCTTTGTCACCTTTCTCTTTCACGCCCCATGATTTTCCCCCTTTCGCCTGTGTTCATCGCTAGTAGGAAGTGTCCTGAAGGTCGCATCCGGAATTACGTCGACGACTCAAGGGGGCGGGGTGGATGAATATTCTTACCGGACAAGGGTTCAAAGTTTGCTCGATAAAGATGATCGCGGGCAATTTAACCCAGTAACAATGTCACATAAAATAAGGTGACAGAAGACAACGGAGGGTGGGTAAGACAAAGTGACTCTTGTCACTGAGGGTGGTCAGGCCAGCCATCGATGGCTTGAATGGGAGAAAGCATTGAAGGAAGAGACGAAAGGGATCCAAACTAGATTACATGTACACTCGATGAATGCCGATCAATGTTAGCATGGAGACCGTCGACAGCGGCGCTATCCCCGTCAGCATCCGAGATGGAGAAAATCTTCTCTCAACATTGATTTGAACTGTTCAAGTAACATTGAAACTCGCGAACCTGCCTCTGGAGGGAAAAGAACGTCGCCCCGGAAGGTCTTCCATAAGTCGACGGCCCTCGACTCAACCTCGACACCACCTCCGATCGGGGCTTCACGGACCTGGATGGTATGCCAACCGACCAGCCACCCCCACCTCTTGCATCGTCGCCTCATCGCACCTTTCGCCCCAGCACCAATAAATAATGTATTGGAGGAAATTTTCGTATCCAAAAGCACCCTCAGACTATCAATGTATTGATTCGACCACCGGGCATATTTGGCCCCCAAAGATGATCAATTGCATTGTAATACTACTTATCTGGATCCTTCTTCCCTCCTTCATCTTCAAATATACTGCCGATGCAGCCCTTACGGATTTTCGTGGCCCCAAGTTGTTCATATCGACTCACTGGTGAATCGGGTATATTGGTTCGGGCGATCAATGCAACCCGTTAATATCTCAAGTGTCTTTTTGCATCGAAACTTCGTTCCGCGGTTGCCATCTCGTGGGGGCGGACTAAGGCAAAATACAGATAAAAAGCAAGATAGGTGGGGGAGCAACACTGCGTTCTTTGCAGATGGTCTTCAAAGGCCCATCTGCATTTTGAGTGGGGAGGAGGGGAGTGCGCACTGTCCACAGTGCACTTTGACGACCACGGGCAGCGGGTGATGGGGGTCCACCTAACAAAGCTTGGCATCAAGGCTCCTCTTGCCTGTTGCGGAGCGCACCGGCCTTCAAGGACAGTGCAGCCCGCGCCTCCCCTGTTTCTCTAAGCACCTTCAAAGCTCCATCATCCCATTGATTCAAGATTTATGAGTGGTTGAGGGCGGTATAGGGTGGTATTACAGCCAGGCTAGCAGGGCGGGCCCCTGTCTCCGCCTGCAGCAACCCAGGTTTGCTCTACCAGGGTCGAGAAGGACGGATGCTGGGCAGGCGGATGAGGTGGCATTGAGGCTTCTTCGCCAGTGGGCTTCTGCCCGATTCAAGAGAACCTGGAGACTCTTGCTTGGAGAGTGATGTGATCAATGAAATTGCCAAATTCCGATCGCAAAGGATGTGCTCTTTGAGAATGCAAGATTCGGCTAATACTTGTACGCCAATGGTGGTCGCATTCTCGCCAAACCCGAAAATGATATCACAAAAAGACTGTGGAGCGGAGCATCTCGTGAAGAACGATGCTCCATCCCATCAAGCAATCCCTCTAAAGCAAGAAATCGACATTCGGTTCAGAGGAGGCCATTACTGATTTCGCTTCCTCCTTCTTTTTCCAATCCGTCGCATAAGGCCCCGCCCCCAATGTCTACATGTCGGAAGTAGTGGATGTAATTCTCACATCGAGGTCCGATAAACAAGCTAAGACCGACCATGTCGTCGAGGCGGCGGAATTCTAAACCCGTCTTCAGTCTTCCTGGAGAGGGGTCTTGAACTTGGATGCAACCATGAATCGAGGCTATTCGAAGACAGGATGCGAAGAGGGGAACCCAAACTCGGTTGGGAATACCTTCCTCAATTGGGAAAACCAAGCCTCTGAGACATGATGGCCGCCGTAGAGCGCACCCCATGATTCATACGCTCCCCATCATCTTATCGCCGGAACTGTGGCTCGAGAGCCAGAGATGTTCGAGGTGAGGCGAGGTGAAAGCAGAAAACAAAGTTCTTGATGTTTCCAAGCCCGGCCCGGGCGGTGGCTCAGGCGTGGCTCAGGAACCTTTTCACACTCGCCAGAGTTTCGTCTTGAAGATTTCGTTGCGGGAGAATACCCGCACCGCCCGGTGCCGTCTATAGGCATGAAATGTGGCGTTGAAGGCATGTAGAATACGGGCCGAGTGGGATCGATTGGGTTCAATCGTCCCCCTCGCTGGACTTTTAAGTTTGTGTGAGCATGCACTGCACTATACATTCACAGGGAGGTTAGGGTGTCGACGGCTCTCAACCTCGCGGTTTCTGCCTCGTGCCTGCGAGTATCTTGGTTCGCATGAAAAGATCTAAGGTCTCGGGCAAGATTAAGCCGAGAGAAGAAGCTATAGAATATACCCTCCCTTCGCCCCAACAGACGGCCCGGTTTCGGCTCGACATTGGGGGATCGCTAACCGGGAATGGGCGTCACTGCCACCCGGCTTGATTTTTAGAATCAAGCCCCAAACCACAGATTGTGAGCCTCACTGACAGTGCATCCACTGGACAGAAGCAGCCGAATCAGTTCGCGCATTTTGTGGTTGCGGATAACCTCAGAGTCATTCTCTTTCCTATTTTCCCTTTTCTTTTTCCACTTCTACCCCACGACGTATGGAAGGAATGGTAGGCTATCCGTGCTTGCCGTGTTCAAGGCGGTCTAAATGACTCGGACAGAGGTTTAGCACCAACCATTAGCTTTCAGTCTCAGCGATCATTGATGTTCCCATTAAATGTTTCCCTAGCCTTAACTTGGGCTTGATATTCATGCCGGGCCTAAAGCCCGCAAGGCTTGGCAGGTTGTTGTATATCTGCGAGGGGCTTGGCTTGGAGTCAATCAGTGTCTGCTTTAATTCACGGCATCTCAGAATATTTGAACAAATGTTGCTGTTGGACTGGTGGTCTTCGCAAGAAGATAAATGGCTAGTCCTAAAGTTGATTCAAAAGGTAGAGCGGTCGGCGAGGATGCTCTCATGCGATCAAGAAAACTGGCCGATGTGAGCTCCATTGTCGTCAAGCCAAGAAGAGTTGACCTAAGAAAATACTAATACCAAACAAGCATGTTGCTGAGGAATTGATATAATAAGGACATAATTACACTAAAAGTATAGGAGCTATTGTTCCTCGTTTGACGTTTGGGGTTGCTTCTATCCTCTTTCGTAGAGGAGTGGCTTGCGAAAACACTTGTAAACAAGGAACGGCTAAAATTGAGAAGAACTGGCAAGTGCCAATCTTACTGACCAAGACTTTCGCGTGCTGCCAGCCATCATCACCCAACGGCTTCGGTTTTGAAGCGGGCTAGTTTGAAGTGTGGGGGCACGCGCTCGTCCGTCCCGTCTCGTTCCTCTCCAGGATGGATGGCCAACTGGTTTCTTCAACTGCGGGCCGGCGGACAAGAGAGAATGAGCATGACATCCCTTGCGGCCTCGGCCGCTTTGACGACTTTTTGGGAGAATAATTAATCCCAAAAAGAATGTGGGTTAAATGGTTCTAGAATATGGGCTAAATAAAAATAGCAATCCATGCTGGCAAGATGCATGTGTGCGTGCACATGCAGAGATTGCAGCCGATGTTCTCTCATGCTCATGTGCACCACGCGGTGATGTGACGAAGCAGTGTGATGTGATAGAGCTAAATTAGCCCACAATGGATGATATTTTGGGCTAATTATGTGATTAAATGTGGGCTAATTTTGTCACGAAAGAGCCAAGACATGAGGGGAAGTGACTGAGCTGCCGGAAGCGGGATGGTAGAATCCGAAGAAGCTGTGAAGAAGGCGTGAACGGGTGAGGAGTAACGTCACGGGTCTTAGCTTCCGCACCTCGATGACTTCGCACTCGCATTTGAGTTACGTGGAGGTGAGAGGGCTGATGACTTCCAGCCTAACTCGGCTAGGGCGGTGAAGAAGGCACGAGCCAACCTACACTACACCCACCTTCCCGGCCCTTCCAGCAGGAAGAATCCGTCTCAAGCTCTCAGCTGCTGTGCTCCAACGTCCGTGATTGGACAAAAATCCAGCAATTCCTCTGATAATCAGCTCACAAAGGGCCTTTTTTCCTCGCCTGTCCACCACACTGTCTTCCCCTCTCTCTCTATGATCCTTGCTCCCCCCGCCCCACCCTGCAGCAACGCTAAGCACATCCCGCCCCCGTTTCCTTAAGAGCACCTTACTCGTCGCAATGATCAATGCACGACCTTTCGGAGCGCGAGCCAATCCGGGGACGTATCTGCCATCTCGCCTATGCCCTTACCCCTGTCCCATCACACACTGTGGAATCGGTTGGTCCCGCGTCCCTGTTGCTTCTGCACGAGCCTTTCTCTTGTCACATCGAATCGGCCAACCACGGCTTGCGATTGCCCATCTTCCGTGTTAGTGTGGGTGGTGGGTGGGGAGTCGAGGACAAGAAGCGAAAGAAAAGAGAGAGAGAGGAAAGAAGACAAAAATTGATCAGGGAAAAGGACTTGCCATTTAGACTGGCCGAAAAGTGAAGACTGTTTTGTCGTCTCCGCTTGATCACGCTGCTTGACGTGCCGAACACTGCGAGAGAAGTGGAATAGCCTACGAGCTGGGGTAGGGCCGAGCCTGACAAGAGAAAGGCTTGAACTAGTGTGGCATTCACGCTCTCTATCCTACCGCTTGACCTTGGAATTGGTATTGTGAAGCCACAGAGCTAGTTGGTGGGTTGATAATACTCGTGAAAAGGAGGCACCGTGTCAAGCACTCTTGTCTCCTTGCCCTGAGAGTCCCTCCTTCCCGAAGGGAGATGGATCATTCACCACCGGCTTCTGGCCCACTTTCGTGGCCAACCCACGATATGGGGGAAGAGGGGCATTGAGATAATACTTGAGGACCGCCCCCTCAGCTTTCAAAGTGTGCTGAGGGGCCGGTCGAGGGTGAGCACTGCCAATCATGCTGTGTCGGTGGAGAGACAGCAAGGGGTAGGGGTGTAATGGCCCCCGACCCCAGGCAATATTATGTCTTCTTCGAGGAGTTGAGACCTAAATGTCTTCATTCGGCTCTTGCTTTTGGGGTCTCTGGCTTCTGGCTGGCCAGAGGCGCCACTCTGCGAACTAATCCATTCATCAAGTGAGGATCCACGGTCGAGGTCTGGTTCTGTTCGCCCAATGGGCAGTGATCGGCCAGTGGGTTGAAGTGGGCGAATTATTATTATTATTATTGAACAAGAACAAGCCGAGAAAAGAGAAACGGCAACCAAGGGTCGATCGGACAAGCATTCTCCTCCTCGACCTCGGGACAGTGTTTTTTTCTTCCTCCAATACCTCTTGCTCCACAGGCAATATGCCTATGTGATAGGTTGTCTATCCTGGCCCTTACAAGGGCACCTGATTAGAGGCGATCCTACTTCTCTTGTGTGCCTCCACTCATATCTGATGAGCCCACTCCGACATGGCTCCTTCATTCTCTTTCAACATTGGATAATCCAATATCTTTGGTAATCTCGAGGTTTCAAATCCCTCCGTGACGATGCCAGGAGACGATTGGGGACTCAGAAAATGACCGGTTCGTCTTGCCCGACATAATGTGAACCCCCAGATCTTGTCATCCCACGGCCAGGCCGTCCACTGCGGCCACACCACTCCCCAGACATCGAGGAAACCATCGGCATCCTTTGGTGCGGACGGATGATGATGAATAAACGAGTAAAGAAGGGAAGGGTACCTGCAAATTTCCGTAGAGAGATTGGAATTAGCGGCCTCAGGCTTCGTTTCTCTCTCTCTCTCTTCGCCCGGCACTCGCGTGTGGAAGCAAGGGCTGCTAAAGCTCTGGTTCTTTGAAGAAGAGATTTGTGGGTAGCCAAAGGGGCACGGCACTGCACAAAGGATCAAGCTATTTACCAGTGCGGTTGTTATTCTGGGTGAAATGGCGCCAATCCCACTAGACAAGACCTCATGCGCGACTTTGGTTTAGTCCTCGCTCTTGCTGAAGGCTTCTATTTTTGGGGGCGATCCTTCAGCATCAACCTTCTCGCTCTTGTCCTCCGCACCCAGCTTGGTTTGGGGGGGCATCAGAAGAGCGGAAGAGGACGTGCGTGGGGTCTTGCAGCTTGATGGAGAATGCCAGAGAAGGAGGGTTGAAGCGACCATGCCTAAATTGAATAGTACATGTGCACTAAGTAAATCTCCACAGAAAGGAATCATTCCATATTGATCCCATGGATAATAGACGCTGACGTACCCGCTACTGTTGCGCGTTGCTGTTGGTGGCTGTTGGCTGACTTGGCTGACTGACACCAACAACACTGATACCAGACGTACAAGGCAACAATGACCCATTGATAGATTGATGGATCCATTCCATCCCACCTGCTCCACACTGGATTGGGTGTACCGAGGTACCCGCTCAAAGAAGATGCCAATTTTGTGGAGCAAACATTGAATCAAGAATTCCCTCATCGCGTTAGCCTAATCTTCTGGGGTGGTCCTCGCTCTCCGCTCGAGGCTCCGAGTTGAGACGAATCTACGGCGGGCTGTCACGCCCAGCAAGGTGACGCCAATAGAATCGCTAAGGTGTTCTCGAGCCCTATCTAGAGTCAGAGAAATCCACGCGTTTCCGGTATGTACTAATGCGCGTCGAAGTGAAAGCCGACCTCACATCGTTGATACATGCTATATAGTCTTGAAGGGTTGGGAGTCGCGGGCGATCTCTCCGGAGATGTCGAAAAGTGCTTGAAATATGCTGGAGTGACGATACCCATCACCCACCGTCTTGGATCCAGCATCTGTGTGGGATGGTTGCATATCCCGAAAGTCCAGCACTCGCACAGAGAGAGACGCACGTAGCCTGGCCAAGTCCAAGTTCCCGTGGTCGACAGATCCAAATCTGAACACACTATCAATAGGGACAAAATTGGTTTTCATTGAGTTGGCCAATGTGCAGGCCCGGCACAACAAGGCCGGCCGCATATTGGTGGTAGCCCTAGCTGCACGACCAGCATGGATGCGACCAACTCGCTGACCAAGAGGACTCGCCATTGGTCTCTCTAAGCGCACATTACCACATTGAGCGGACGGCGAGCAGATCCTTTGTGGTGTGTCCAAAATTAGAAACAATTTTTAGCAGCAATAGATCAGAAGGCACAGAGACAGCCCAGCCAGCCAGGTTCGTAGGGCCATCTCCAGGTCGTGGAGATGGCGGCCTGTCGATATAAGACTTTGCGGCCATCCATCACCATCCTCGAGTCCCCTCCTCTTGTTCTTAGAAGTCAGAAGTTTCCGTCCGGGTGTCAAAGTTGTCCTAGTGTTGTTTTGATCAAGTTTATCTTTTCTCATCATTTGCTCTTGTTCCATTCCAATCATTGCCTCGCACGACCAATACATTTCACGAACCTCAACATTAATTCAACTCTTCCGCGATCCAACGATCACTCGATCCCCGATCATCCGAAGAACCGCCCCCATTTTGCAAGCTGGACTTGCCCTTCACTCGTCGATCCACTCCAAACCACCACGCGAACGGGTTTTCCGTTGGTGACTGAAAAAAACCAAATCACAATTTCCTTGACGGCAATTACAATCATCACGACATTTATTTCCGCGCTGGCTACTGCGAAAAAAATAATTTAATCTTTTTTACAAAAGAAAAAGAAGAACGAAAAAGGAGGGAAAGCCAAGTGAGAACAAGAACAAGAGGCAGAATCGCCAGCTCGTTGCTCAGTTGCTTCGCCTTTTTCTCCCCGCCCTTTTTCCCACCCACCCTTGCTCTTTCCTCGCCCGCTTTCGGTCGGCTTGAACTTGTGGTTATTCATCCATATACAGTGTCATCTTTGACAGACAAGCACTGTTTTCTTGGTTCTATAATCTACCCCTCTCACCCCTGTCGACCACACCCCCATCACCCACCCCTCTCTTCACACCCCCTCCCCGGCCGTCAACCGTCGACCGTGCGCAAATCTCGCTCGCCCCTCTCCACGCCCCCCAGTCACTAGTCACTGGTGCGGAAAGGGTCGCCCTCGCATTCGAAGCTCTTGTTCCCATCAGAGGAGAGGAAAAGAGGTACGAACCAGAGCAGAAATACAAAATGGCGACACAACCCCCAACACTACCAGCAGACAGTTATCGCGAGGCCATCATCTGCAATCATGGCTGCTATTCAGTCCACAAAGCCAAAGTCGGCTCCCAAGGCCAACACAGCAACCAAGACTAAGACTCAGCTCCACCGCCGCTCGAGAACAGGTTTGTCTCGCCTTCCCCTGGCTTCACTTACACGCTTATACGCACACACACACACAAACACACACACATCCCTCACCATACCCTCGACCCTCCTCCGCCTGCAGCCCAATTCATCCTTGATTGACACCGCTAACTTGGGAATTTTACTCGTATCTAGGATGCTATACCTGCCGACTAAGACGCAAGAAGTGCGACGAGGGCACTCTCAAATGCTCTGCCTGCAAACACCTCGGACTAGAATGCGAGTACAGGAGGCCGTCTTGGTGGAGCAATAACGATGCCCGCAAGCAGCGCAAGGACGAGATCAAGACCATCATCAAGCGCAAGAAGCTTTCCGGAAAGTCCACACACACCATCCAGACCACGGTAACAACCCCGCCAGGCCTCTCGCACTCTCTACCCACATCGGCCACTCTTTCGGACCCGCTAGAACGGGGCCGATCGGGGTCCATCGACTCCCACTTCTCGTCGGCCTTCAACTTCAACAGCCCACCCACAGAGTTTGATGCCTTTGGCTCTGCACAAGTCCATCCTGGTTTCATGTTTGATGCGCCCTACTACCCTTACCCCTACGCGATTGATGTCAAGACGGAAAGGCAAATGTTCGTCAACGACGTGCCCACCCTCAAGGAGTCGACCATTTCGACTTTCAACACAATTCACACCCCTCCGCCCCCAGGCACTGTTCTGCCGTCTGGCGAGTGGGCCGAGCAGGTTCTCGAGGAGAAGAAGGGATCCTTTACCGAAGAGGCTCTCAATCCTCACTTCTTCGACTTCTCCCATGGCCCCCAATGACCTCACGCCAGGTGGTGATTGAGCTTGATGAGACGGATCAGAGACTCCTGGACCACTTCATCCAGGCCGTGCTTCCCACAATCTTCCCCATCCTTGACAGCAACCAGCATGGCTCCGTTGGCTCTGATCTCGTGCTACCCGCGCTCCAGACCAACAGGTCTTATCTTCATTGCTGCCTCGGCATCGCTGCCCAGCACCTCAAGGCGACCTCGGTGACCTCGGATGATATCGATCAAGATATCATGAGGCATCGCTATGCCACCATCTCTACTCTTTGCGAAGCGCTCAGCCAGGACGAGAACCACCAGGAGATCCTTGAGGCCACTTTGGGTCTCATCTTCTTCCAGTCCATCGTCGGTCGCCTCGATGACGGGCTTCCCGATATTCCCTGGCACCAGCACTTCCAGGCAGCGGTTAGCCTCGTGCAGAAGCTTGACCTGCCCCGCCTGGTAGCGGATCCTACTCAGGCCATTTCCCAAACGCCCTTCAACATGACGCTCACCTCGTGGATCGACATCATCGGTGCCGCGATGCAGGGCACAGCCCCCATGTTTGCGCACACGTACCGCGAGAAGCATCTCTCCGGGAACCCCAGCCTCGGACTTCGCGAGCTCATGGGCTGTGACGACAAGGTCATGTATCTCATCTCAGAGATTGCCTGTCTCGAGGCTCTCAAGCGTGACGGCATGGACGACATGATCTTGTGCCAGCACGTGCATGCCCTTGGGGACCAGATTGGCTTGACCGAGATTGGCGAGTGCGGACCCAAGATCCCCTTCAATGCCAATGGCACACTCTCTCCCAAGCAGCTCTCCAAGAACATGACGGCGGCCTTTAGGCTTGCCGCGCGCATCTACCTCTGCAGCCTGGTCCCCGGCTTCAACCCTGCCCAGAGCTCCTGCATGGGGCTTGTGGATAAACTCACAACCATCCTCCAGTTTATCCCATCGGGTCCTCATGGGTTCGACCGCAGCCTTGTTTGGGTATATCTCATCGGTGGCTCGGTCAGTCTTCCTGGAAGCAACTTCAGGATGTTCCTCGAGGAGCGCCTAGCACTTCTCGGAGACGTAGGCAACTTTGGAGCCATGGGCCGCGTCGCCACTCTTCTCCAGGAGACATGGATGCAGACTGAGGCTCAGGCCAAGATTGGCACTCCCACCTCGGAAGGTGGCGAGACGATGCCCTACATTCACTGGCGAGACGTCATGCAGATGAAAGGCTGGGACTTCCTCCTCCTGTAAAAGGGGACCTCTGTGGCTTGCCTTCTACGGAGAGCAACCAATCTTCACTTCATTGTCTATATTTTCTTCTTCTCTTTTTTTTTTTCTACATTCTACACATTCCTAGATGGAATTGCCGCAAGGCAACGATGGATGGCGAGAGCAAATGGCTCATTCAACACTTGGATAACTTGGACACTTCAATGGAACGACGAGAGGGTGGTGGTTGGAACGAGGACGAAGGTGGACGGAGCGCTGATGACAGTCTTTTTTTTTTCCCCTTTTCTTTCCCTCTTTTTCTTTTTTTCCTTTTTGTTTAATATACCAACCAATGCATTGCATAGCAACCCTGGCGTTTAACTGGGATGCTACGGGGGCGGGCAAGGGGGCAGTGGACGACGGTTAGGATTGGGTTGGCAGATCAATTGGTCAAATGGCTGGAATACCACCTGGAACTTGGGATTAGGAGCTCCAGGAGCCCGGATTAGCACACAAGCAGTATTTGTCTCTGCCTTGCAAATATCAATTACTTGACCTTTCACACAAACTTGATCTCTCAATCTTGTTCGCTTTGCCTCGTGTTGCATGTCCTCTCAGTCAGCGCAAACTTGCTCATATCCGTTCATTCACTGAGCATACAATACATTATGCCTTGAACATTGTTAGATCCCACGGATCAATACCAATTGCCGTATGAACATTGAATCTAAACACCACCATCCTCACCACTGGTCTCCGTTTTTGGTGCACTTTTACTACCTCCTCATGACCCCGATTTCGTCCATACTTACTTTCGTATCCCCCATATTCTTCTGCTCTGTTCTCTTCTTCTTCTTCTTCGCTCCTCCTCCCCCTTCCAGATCAGTGTCTACATGTGTTTTTCAACAGCCGAGAACTCTGGTGAGGGCCGGCGTGACATACCGGGGTCATCCTCTCCTCCCGCCCAGCCCATCCGATATTAATTAGCAATACATCCGTGGACCTATCTTACATGTATTCCAGGTTGAAAACCCGAGGGCTTGTCTCACGCCGCGCTGCACCATTTTAGTTGTTCTCATTGACTCGCACTCACCCCTCCCCTCGCCCTTCGTTTTCTTGCCCTTCTTGACTTGCAGGTTTCTCACCTTCTTTTTTCCGAGCTCCCTCAAATAGATTAGCACACCTTTCTGGTTCCGTCCCCCTCATGTAATTCCGCTCATCTGTCTACGTACGGTTTCTTTCTCGGGATATTCGGTGCTTATCACCCTCCACGGCAACGACTGTCTACACCAGAGGGGTTTAAAAACGGCCCTCAATAAGTCTTCGGAAGGACTCTAAAAATAGAGAGTAAAAAAAAAAAAAAAAAAAAGGAAAAAAAAAAGGAAAAAAAAAAAGATGGAGCCACCTGCGTTTTGCCCTTTTGTCACCACCTTTTTCTCCTTTATTTGGAACACGATAAGACATGGGCCACACACCCATGTGGGTTCTGAGGCATGATGGGATGGAAGTTAAGCCAGGGAAGAAAACATCCCGATATGGATCAGAGGGTGATCTACCATGATCTACCCTCGAAGCTGACCAGGAATGTCGTGCTCTACAAATGTTCCCCTCAATAATTCTCCATGCTTGCACGCCCACGCCCCCTTCTTTTCATTCTCCGATGTGCTCTTCCCCCTCCTCCCTCCCTATATTTCTCTTTTACCAGGAAAGTGAAGAGCGGGAAAAGAGAAGGCTTTTCAGTTTCTTTGGCCTCCATGTACATATGTTTAACACCCCACTTCTGCATCATCCCGTCTTTTGATTTTGCCTAGGACTCTTCTCTCTCGTCTCTCTCGTCTCTCTCTCCTCTCCCCTCTCTCCCAATCCTGTCTACACCTTTTCGCACACCTAGTAGAGATTGAGGCCTGTGTGCCCCTACCCATCGCTATTTAGAAAAAGGACAGGAAAAAGAAGATACATGTACACTATCTCGGATCCATGTCGTGCCACAACGCACGTATGATAAACAGGCCGAAGACGGCGGGGCATTTATGGCGAAGAGGTCTAGGCCTACATGCAGTCAAGGCCCTTCCGCGCTCCAGCATCCATCAATTGACCATTCAAAGAGGATGGGAGACGGGAAACGGGAGCTCTGACTCCAGTGAAAACACCCTGTTCCCATCACAAGTTTCACGTACACTACACTACATGTACGATGAGAGGGAGGGTGGAAGGCGACATACTGCGATTCGCAGACAGTAAGCTGTGTGATTCAACGGTAGTGTGAATCCCATGTACGACCATAAGACAATGGGAAGCTAGCCATTCAGCATATTCCGGAGGTCATGAGTGAGGACGATCCGATCAACTTGCACATCCATGTGGCCATGGAAACTAGAAAGAGGGGGACGAATTACCCCCAGCAGCCAGCGATGGAAGCTGTGGCGTTGGCTTTCAATTATGCTCTCGTCGTGGAACCCATGTCAAGCTGAGCGCCATTACGTAGTCTCCTCATCTGTATCCTATTAAAAAGAAATCCCGAAACGAAGGGAGACAAGGCGAGTCTCGCGACATGATGCAAACGCGCACTAGGGCTTTCATGTAGGTACGCCCCGGACAAGTTTAGTGGATGGGGAAGAAGGGACCATGGGGAGGAGTACGATCAACTGATGGGCTCAGGGGCGAGAGATGGTGTAATGGCCTCCGGTCCTTTCAATGTTCAATCGCGTCGTCGGGGAGTTTTTTTCCTTGCCCTGCTCCCTTCTCACCGGCCCCTATCCGCGAACCAATTCACCTCACCCTCCTCGAGATAAATGGAGATCATGGTATGCATTACGTCCGAAACCCCAAAGGATGCAACCGGGGGTGCTCGGGATTTCTGCGAAGTGATGCACGAAAGAATGCCTCGCTACATGTAGACTTGCGTGGGGGAACGTGAGAAACTCCCACAATATCCTAGCTCTACATAATACATCAAGTAGTTGACAGGTTTACGGATGCATGAGAGAGCTGAAGGGGCTGGAACGAGGATTCTCGATGCGAGGATGTGCAAGGACATTAATTGGTTTAGTGTCCTCGAAAAGGGAGGAGGGGGCCTATAACTCATTCACTACAGGCAATAGAGATTTCATGTTCACAAAGAGGGCCGATCAGCGGAACTGACCAAGCAAGGCCAAGCAAGGGTAGCAATCCGATGCTCGCCGCGCCCTCGCGACCCATGGGACGACGGGGCAATGGGACCAGCGCCACCCGGGCCGTGGATGGCGGATACGACCCTCCAAGGGCTTTTGCGGTTGTCAAAGATTTAGCGGCCTTGCGCGATCCACGGTGCTGAAAAGGGCCGGAAGAGACGTCAAAGTTGACCAAGATGCACCGTTGCTGTCGCACTAGCCCTCAAATCGCGAGATCTGGGACATGCTACTTCGACGACTGCGCGCGCGCGCGTGGGAAGAAGGGAAGAAGGGAAGAAGGGAAGGGTGGAGGGGGACGGGGGACGGGGGACAAGAAACATAGCCAAAAGATCTATGGATGGGTGAAGCGCCAAGCCGCGGTTTCGAGAGAACTTTTGTCGTCTTGAAAACCGAACCTTGACCGTTAAAAAATTCCTTTAGAGGGGGTTATGGTTGTGGTTGTGGTTGTGGTTGTTCTGTCTTTCCTCCTTCCTCTTTCCCTCCCCTCCTATTACTCCTTCTGTCGCTTTGTTCGCACGCCGTGCTTCGTGATCGGTCGCCGGCAAAATAGAGCAAGACACACGCGCGAAAATGGAAAGGGAAGAGATAACATGGTCGCTACTAGTAACGGCGATGGGTGGTGTCGGGGTTCGAAAGAAAGGGGGGCGTATGAATTGATCTAGGTAAAGGCAATCAATATTACATGTGAGAATGGAATACAGATTTCGGTCGTTGTCAGATCCCGCAAGAGGGGACTGACTACACGAGGACGACACGAACCGCGATAATGAATGGAATTTCTGAATTGAAGGGGCAAGCGAACGCGGCGACGGTCCGGTCCCGCAATGGTCGGGCGCTCAAGCTAGCAGCGATCAGTGATGCTGATGGGTGATGGGGCAATAATAGACCATAGAAGCTGCGACACCCTTGGTCCAATATCAATCCACGTCAACTCATATTCGCCAGCAGTGTTCTTCCTCTTCCGCTCTCCCTTGGCGAGGGTCTTGAGGGGCTTGGGAAGGGGGGGACGAATGATGACCGAGGGGACCCGCGGGATTAGTCGAAGTGCTTGCTTTCCCGCTGTATATTGCCGTGCCGCGCCTCTTCTCTTCCACGGAGCGGCCTGGCTTTCTTCTTGCTCGACAGGCGGGCGGGTGAGCGGGCGGGCGGATATGTCGTCGCCCAGTCATGGACATATTGTGCACACTCCAGCAACTGTGAACCTTTGGAAGATTATTGATAGCCCGCGTTCGGGCCTGGCCAGCGCCTCTGCGCTCTCCCAGTATCGCCATTATAGATTGTGCATCTATAAAATCAGTGCCCCTTGTACATATCAAGGCCAGCACTTGAGGGCCATTGGTATCAAATGCACGGCCCTTTCAAAGTCCATCCGTCCTTTTCGACAAGTTCAAAGCCCCGCTTAAATACGGATGAGTGATATGATAGCAGTTATTATTATGATTGACACCCTCCCGAGCCGCCCGTCGCGGTAAAATAGTGGCGAAGAGAGCGGACGAAGAAAGAGGCAAAATAAAAGAAAATGAAGGATAGAAGAATGGACGTGTGCAAGGGCCTCCGCACAGGGACACTAGAAGGAAAAAGGAGGAGGGGAAAATAAATAAAAAGACGCCGTGCCGCGTCAGACGTGACAGTGACGGCGCAGTGTGCAACTCGACTAACACGACATAGCGAGGAATTTGTCCCGCCGATGACACTATTCCAAGCGTGGACGTTTGGCGGGTGGGCGGGAGGATCAAGAAGCGGCCTTGGGCGGGTGTTACACTACCCTAGCTCGGACTCTTCTTCCCCGTTACGCAGCCGAGAATATAAATTGTTCAATGGTCTGCGCGGTGCACGGAGTCCTCCGCACCTCGTCTCTCTTGACCGAGTTTGCGATAGTCTTGCGGAGAGGAGCGAGCGGCTCGGGTGGTCTTGACCCGGAGGCGTCGGCGGGGGAGGGCAGACGTATAATTGATTGAACTTTTCCACTGAGCTGAAGAACTAATACAATACAAGCTGAGGGTGATTTGGTGGACTACCTCTATTTCCACCGTTCGGGGCCGTGGCTCCCCTCGGCCAGCCATCTGAAAATCTCCCTGCATGTCGCGATGTATTTTCGGGATTGGCAAATTAGACCATCTGCTACGCACGCAAGGGGGAGGTTAAGAAGAGAAAATAACCCTTTTGAGTCATCAAGTTCATTTGAATCTCGCCTTGGATGTTTGTCGGGTGGGCGAATCATCTTGGTGCATCCTGCTATCGGCAGAGGCAACCAAGAGCAAAAAGACCGTCTATTGCCGTTGATAGGTTCGCAGGCATCCCAACAGAATTTGATCAGTCCTAAATAGCACCCGCGCCCACGCAGAGGAGGGCCAAGTTGGGGGATAGGACGAGAAATATTGGACCCAGTCGAGGACAAGAAACGACCACGGCACTGGACCTTGCTTCCAAAAACACACCCTCTTCGCGATGACTTTAGTAGGTGCCTTTTGAGTCGCAGGCTCAATATTGGCGGTTCCTCGCCTCTCTGCAGGTCGCCACCCACACCCCTCCCCCTATCGGCTCACGCTCATTTTGCTGGCTGGATTGAGGGGAGGGGTGACTCTCACTTCAAATGTTGAACGGCACAGTACTCTGAACTGTGGCCAGGGTTCGGAGTTCTCGGCCACTGCTCCCTTTGAATTAGTCGTCGAGAATGCGACCATTTGAAGCGAAAACACGAGGAAGGGGGTGGGTGGGGGTGTCCGAAAACGCAGGAGTACGCAGAAGAAGAGCGTGGATGCGATAGGAGGGGGATTCATTGATGTTGAGTTGTGGAGGGTGTCAAAAGCAAGAGAGGGAGCTCGCTAGCACCAAAGAGAGAGAGAGAGAGAGAGAGAGAGAAACGAAAGGAAAACTCCCCGACGAAATCCAAAGCGTAAAAGACGGAAGGGGCATTCGAGAATGGGAGCCAAGAGCCAGCATCCTAGCTAGCCATGAAAGCCCGGCTTCAACCTGGACGTGAAAAAAAGGCTGGGATAAGGTGGGCTGCAATGCTGCACCTGATGTGCGCGTCGATCCGCGAGTAAGTTGACCTTGGGTTGAGTCGCCTACCCTCTACCCGATTGAAGAGCAAGCACGACGGTGAACGCCCATCGGTCACAAGGTGAGCTTGGCAACCCAACTCCCAACTCACCGCTCCGGCCCTCATGAGCGAAGGTCCTTTTCGCCGCCCGTGTGCAGCAGGTTATTACGGGGCGGGCAAGCTTTGGATGCCGGTGTAGCGCTTTGCACCGAGCTTTCCCAGCAAAAGTTTTTGCGAGTGTAGATTGAGTGCGTGCAGGGTAACCGGACAAGCGGCGCCCAACGCAGGGCTAAAAGCCCACATTCTATGGCTTGTACTTCGTACGTGACGCTACGTCATGTCCTGGCGTGCGCTTCCGTCCCAACTGACCCTGCGTTTCCCAGAGGCAGCACGCACGCCGGCTGCATGCGTTGCACAGGCCCAATCCGCCCCGTTGCTTTTTGGGTTTCCCACCGCCAGTCCCAGGCTTCAATGGTGCAAATTGGGTGTCTCATTCGCACGTGAGAGCCCTGCGACAGGCAGTGCCCACCGCGGGGCATCCAAAGCAGCTTGGGCGTTGGCCGACCCTCATTCAGTACCGCGGGCTTGAGAATTTGGGTGACAGCATTTCATCACGGGATACCTCGCTGGGGGACCGCACTTGAAGGCAGGCCCAGCCCCGAGTCAGTGGGGCCTGCTTGGGCTAACACGGATATGGCCCCCCTCGAGGGCTGCTATTCCCGTCATTTGTTTCTGAGGCCGGCGTGCTGCCTACATCCCTGTGACCTTGGGGCCTGCGAAGGGGGCCGCAGAATCCCAAATGGCAAAGGAGCCCTGGCTGATGTTTGCAGCCCGTCACCCCAGGCGAGATTTGGCTTCGCCGGCCCCCATGATGGAATGTATGAAGACATCGGCGCCTGAAACCCTCTATTTTGGGAGCCCCCGGCAACTGATGGCCCCGGAGTCCTTCCGGGGTTTTGCGGCTCGGCCCCCAAAAGGCTGTGTAGGGTTCGGTGTCTTCGTTCCCGAGCCAGAGGCCACCAATCGTAGAGGTGGTAGAAGGCCGATGGGATTCAGCCCGACAGAGACCCCAAAGTTGCTCCTCGGGGTTTATTTCTGTATCTGATAGATGTCACGAGCTCGACTTGGTTTTGTTTGCCATCCTTACTGCATCCCACTTCGCAGCCTTGCAAGCCCAACGGATTCACGGAAGTTGCGGCCCTTCGCAAGATCACCCGTCAACCCAATAACCCGCCCTGCCATTCCTGGCAGATAGTATACCTACACGTGACCTCTTGAGTAAAACTTGAAGAATCTTTCGGCTTGTCTGAATCCAAGTCAGTGAGTTTGACATTGATGGCCTGCGCTCGCTCACGGCTCTCAGTTGCACCGGCGATGCTACGTGGATGCCTTGACGATTTCCAATAAGCCCGGCGAAATATCGGCAAAAGTCCGTCTTGTCTGACTCTGTGACTCTGTGAGGCAGCACCCCCTGCGTCAAGGGCAGGTGCGTTTCTGCTTCCCCGACCGTTCAACCAGGGCCAGTCGTTCCTGCCCAGCTCATCCGCCCACCAATCAATAGCGCGCGCTTCTGCCCTCGCGCTTGCGTCTGAAATTGAAGCCAACATCTCACGCACCATTGGACGAAGCCCAAAGACTGCGCGCACGACAACCTCTCGTTTGCCCGACTCTCTCGCTGGGCAAGACGGCACCGCCTCACCACCTCGATGGTATCGCCCGATCTAGTCGCCGTGGGTGCTCGCCAAGTTCCACCTTGTCGTTTGATTCCTTGATCTTTTTCGTCTCTGCTGCCTGCCTATTCGCTCTTTTTTTCTCTTTTTTGTTCGCCCAAGTTCCCACCCATGTCGAACGTTGCCTCTTTTGCTTCTCCGCCCAGCCGCGGTAATCCGGGGCCACCACCTATGCAGTCAGGATGTCGCAAGTTAAGCGGAGAGCGAGAAATCGTGGTCCCATGTCCTCGATGGACGGGGGATTCGAGGATATTCCAACCTACCTTCCGTTCGCCAACACCCACGCGGGCTCCCGATATGTGGTACGTATAAGGATCCAAGTCCATGGTCAAAAGGCTGCCTTGGGTCCGATTTGATAGGGCCACAATGCATCGTTTCGTCTTGAAGAAATCCTCCCTGGCGCGTTTCCGCAGCACTTTGGCAAACAAAGCTGTGGCTGCCAGTCTCCCACCTGAAAGGGGAAACAAAAAGTGGTTCCAGATGGAGCGCCAGGGTGGCTCGACTTTGCGCCCTACTTGACGCGGTATCAAGTTTTTCTCGAGCTTTGTCGTTGAATAAGATCTCCTAGCCAAGCAAGCATAGCCCTTTTCCCACTCCCACACTAGTCGGTCGAATAAAGAGGGCTGCTTTTCAGTTGGCGAGGTTTGTCTCCATATTGGCTACATTTGCCAGTCTTCATTGGGCTCGGCGTTTCAATTGACCTTGTTCATGTGGCCTCTCTTATTCCGTCATTACCCAGCTATTGTTAGATTCTATAGATTCTAATTGTTTCTCGTGTGCCCTCCCATTCTGTTTCTCCTCCTCCTCTTTCCTTCTTCTTCCTCATCTTCTTTCTTCCTCCTCTTCTCCATCTTGGCGCTTCACCTTTCTCTTCTTCTCCAACATCGAACCCAATTTTACTCTCATCCTTTGATCTCGCTTCTCCCGATACCGAACACCCTTGGCCTGGTCACCTTTATTCTAGCTCTCTGTAACAAGGCTAGAGCCGTGCCCAACTGACACAGGAGAAAGACAAAGGCAAGCCATCTCCACAACGCCATCCACCGGATTGGTTCCAGATCCTCCCAGCTTCTAGTCACTCCGAAGAGCTCTCGCGTCCCAACACATCGATAGAACGCGGACACGCTCCCAAAAATCACCACATCAAAACTTTATTGCGCCCCTTCAGAGTATCCGATTAACTCGACCCATAAAGCGAACGCGTGAGGGGCAAGCTCCGCCCTTGCCTACTAGCTCACTCGAGCGCGCAGCCACATCGCAAGGTTTCCGGCAGGTTTTCTGCTGTTAGGAAACCTCGTCGCGAAACAATGATGCACTCACTACCCGCGGGCCTTTGCGCCCTGGCCCTCTTCACCCTCCTCAGCCCGGCCCATGCCCTGCCCCCTCGGACAATTTTCGCGAGGCAGTCTTCCTGTCCTGCCGACCAGGTCTCGTGTCCTTCAACCGTACCGGACAACTTCTGCTGCCCGTCCGGTCACACCTGCATGGCCCTCGCGGGGCAGACCACCATCATATGCTGCGTCGAAGGCAAAACATGCCAGCAGATCGAGCCCATCTCCTGCACCATAGACCTTCAGGACGCGGAGAAGAACCTAGTGCCAAGGTCAAGACGACTGCTCTGACCAGCGAGCTTCCTAAATGCGGCAGCCTCTGTTGCCCGTTTGGATACACATGTGATGACACGAACAAGGCCAAGTGCGTCCTAGATGAGGACCAATCGGCGGCGCCACCTCCCCGCATCAAGTTCAAGTCCGGCAACGACATCCACCGCCACTAATCCCAAAGAGCCCTCCGCAACCGATACCAACCTTGCTCAGGAAACTGATAGCAGCAGTGATGATGATCAAGCAAAGGATTCCCCACAACAGCCGTCGTGGTTGGCGTTCTTGTTGGTGTCCTGGTACTAGTGTCCGCCATCGTCTTTCTCCTTATCTGGCGCTCTAAGCGCCGCAAGCAGCCTAGCGAGGACAAAACCTCCCACGCGCGCAACTCCAAAGCCTCTTCTTCATTTGGAAACTACATTAGCGAGCCCATCGTGACGCATGGTGCTTTCCGGACCGATTTTATCCGCAAACCGGAGACGTCTTTCCTTGCGGGCTCTGACCGGCTATCGCGCATGTTTAACCGCCACCGGAACTCGGACATGGTGTCACCCATATCCCCTTCTGACTCCCCCACCCTCCGAGGTTCCTCCGATACCCTCCACGCCGGCGCGGTAGCCCCGCTCGGCTCCACCGTTGCTATCCCGCCAATCCGCACCATGAGCAATGCTCGGCGAACCCCGCGACCCGTGACGCCGCGGCTGCAGCGCGAACCCAGCAGCGAAAGCATCAACATCTTTGCCGCTCCGGGGACGGTAGAGCGCGGCAACGGCAGGCCGCTGACTCAAGGGACGACGTTTACCGAGATGATGGATCAAGCCGACCTAGGCCCCATACACAAGGGTAGGGGCTTCGTTCCGTCGCCTCTCAAGCCGGGATCTGGTGAAAACGCCTCGAAACCCCGGTATAGGTGGTAGGCCTTGTCCACCTCAGGCAGCGCTCAGAGTAGCGCATAAATTGAATTGATGGTGTTACACAACTAATAGGATGCGGACCCTCTCCCTATCTGCAATTGTCAACGTTTTTTTATTTTTCTTAATTCAAACCACACACACACACACACATCTCCACTTTGATAGTAGACAAGGAGTTCTAGCGTTCGTTTCCCAGGATTTGCATCATCTCGTTTTATGGCTCGGTTGATTAGGAAATCTTACCATCCTTGTCTCTCATTGTCATCTCTTCGTCATTCCGGATCTGGTTGCATAGGCGTCGGTCGGCAATCGCGTTTCTATTGTTTTCTTCTACCCCCTTTCCCTTTGTTCCCTTTATACCCTTCAATGTTCTTCTCTATATGTTTGACAAAGGCTACATGTTGCCGAAAGAAAAAGGAAAAAAACTTGAAAGGGAGGTAGACAACTATGTTAGCCAACCATTATACCATGTCATGAGGTCAATCAATACCAGTTTGTCAAACATATATTTACTAGACTTGCAATGTTTTCTATCAGGGACATCACTACATGTTCCAAGAATGAGAGGCTAGCATTGTTAGATTGAATATAACTACTATCAAAAAGCCTGGCAACCCCATCAATTATTATGTATATCCGTCATCAAAGTCATCAACAAGGCCGCGCGCATCGTTTTGTCTTTTGGCGTCAAACGGGAGCCAAACACCCGATTTTCAAGAAGCGCAGCATATTTGGGGGAGTGGGGAAACAGATGGAAACAAACCAAACATCCAAAAAAGAAAGAAAATCCCAAGGTATAAACGAGTGGTATATCCTCCAAGAAACATTCCTGAAACGGACCCTGACAAGGGCGTACATGTACTGTAGACAAGCAAATAAAACAAAGCAAACATTGAAGCAAAGAAAACCAAGACCGGGGGCGCAAGCGTGACCAAGGGGGAGGGAGATGAAAGATGCATTACATGATGATACACTTCTTGTCCTTGCCCTTGTCATCGAGACTAGGGTCAAATTCATCCACCCAGTCTCCGGATTGTTCCGTCTCGGCCGGCTGCCGCACAGACGAGGGGCTCCGCTTCTCGCGTTGGGCAGCTTGACCCGGCGAGGCGCCTTGACGGGCCTCGTGACGCTCCGTCTCGAGCCCGTACGCCGAATGATGCGGCTGCGGCGACGGTGGATCTTGGCCTGTCTCGAGGATATCGAAGTGCTATGCCCCAGCTGCTTGTTGTAGTATGATTCGAGCTGGTGGACCGAGGGGCCCGGGACACCCGGTTCTGTCCTGGGCTGGGGCCGGCGGGGCGTCGGGGCGAAAACGGGGGTTTCTGCCCGACGCAGGGACGGGTGACGGTCCGGGGATCGTAGGCGCCAGACACCCCCGTTGGCGTGCTGATGATGAGGGGCAGCTCGGGAGGGGACGGGGGACGGCCCCACGCTCCAGGCGTCATGACGCGAGGGTGCTGCGCTGTAGCGGACGATGGTCCCGCCTCTCCTCCGGGCGCCACCGGCAGCCACGACGTAGTAAAAGACCTAGAAGCTTCCGGGCGAGGGGCGCCGACCGCGGATATCCCATCATGTCGGTTGTCTGGTCGGACTCGAGGATCCCCAAGAGAGAATTGGGCGCGCCCGCAGCGGCCTGCGCCCGCACGGCAAAGGAGGCAAGATCGCTCCGAGTCTCTCTGGGGAACGAAGCGATGTGCCGGCTACCGAACCCGGCGGTGGACAGGGTCGGTGAGGGGATGTGCAAGTCAAGGAGAGGCGCGCCCCGCGGCGTGGGGAGGACTGCAGCTGCGCGCTGGTGGCGCGGGCTCCCGAAGGCCGCGAATCCCGGGACGAGCCTGATGGCGGGCTTTGCGCCTCTCCGTCAGTCGACCCTTGCGTTCCGCTCCTTTGCCGCCTCTGCGGGATTCGTGGCAGTGGCTTTCCAGTTGAAGCCGCGCCCGAGGACGCACCCGAAGCCGCACCAAAGGGAGGGTTCAGCGCCAACGGATCCGAGTACGGCCCTCGAATGCTATAACGGGCAGAATATGTCTCGGCCGCGGAATCGCTCACGGGAGATTGCGTCAACCGACGATCCGCAACAGCAGCCTCATCCCAGTAGCGCGCGGCGGTGGCACTCGTCGGCGACTGCATGGTGGAGACGGTGAATCGGGCGTCGGAAAACGTGTCCGAGAGGGGCGACGCCGTTGCGAGGAGGACTCGCTATTGTTCCGACGAATCGAACCGCTCGGTCTCGTGCGCAACGAGGCGGCGGCCGAAGCGCCTGGATCGGTGAACTGTCGAGGAATAGTTGGCACGGGCGGAATGCTACCGATGCTGTTGATTCGGGCCCACGACCGCTCGGCTCGGCTAGACGAGGCGCCAGAGGGTGAATCCTGGGGTCGGACGGGTTGCCGGGCGGGATGGCGGGGTGGCGTAGGAACGCCGGCAGATCCACAATGGCATCCTTTTGGTACGGCGGCGGCGGCGGCACCCAATTATCGGCGTCGCTCTCGTGCGGGTGCTCGCGCCGGCCATCGGCGCGGCGATATTCGAAACGGTTGTCGCGGAGTCGTTGGTTCATGGCGGCGGCGGTGGCAGCCCGACGCAGAGTCGAGACAGATCGAGGATTAGCCTGCGTATATGGCGCGTCCAGAGCTTCCTGTTCTTCGATGGAATCGACGTCGTTATCATCGTGGAAAGCCACCCGATTGTGGTGGGGTAGGGTGCTGGGCAGGACGCCGATTCTCCGGGGCTGCAAGGGGTCGTCGTCATCATCGTCATCGCTTCGGAAACCACCTCGGCTCGGGTGATTTGGCATGGGCGGTAGGCGAGGGTTTGCGGGAGGGATGGGCGTGGTAGCCATCCGTTGAAGGGCTCCTCGCGGCCCACCTCGCCGCTGGGCAACTGTGCGCCTCCTGACCAGGGCTACCTCGGCATCAATATCACGCTGCTCCTCCTCTAGGATTTCAGGGCTGTCGGTGCCGACGTCGATGGTGATGTCGGTCCTCTGGCCATTCTCAAAGCCACAGTCAAAGTCGAGAAGCGAAATGATGCCGCCATCCACGAAATCAATGTCCTCCTCTTCGGTGATGGGTTGGTAGCCGTTTACTCCGCGCGCCATCACGACGAGCCTTTCCTGGGAAGCCCGTCCGCCGAAGCCGGTGACCCACTTGACATGGGTGATGGGCTCAAGTTCGGTAATCTTTTGGCCAGAGATGAGGGTGTTTCTTTGATTGTCGCACAGGACTTGCCACTTGGGAAGCCTAGCTTCCTCGGTGCCCGGCACCCGGGGACGGTGCGTGGCGAGTTTCCACCGCTCCGCCGGGAACCAGGCGTGGGGGTAAAGGCGCCATTAAAGGGGACTAGGGGTGTTGAGAGTTGACCGCACCCAGGTCTTCGGGAATGCCGTAGACCCAAACCTCGTTTCCCTGAAAGCCAGCCGACACCAGTTCGCCGTTGTACGAAGCGGAGGAAGCGTGCTTGGAACCAAGGGAGCCGAAGACGAAGACTTGGGAAGTGGGCCGGTGAAGTAAGTGGTGCCGTTCCGCAGGTCGCCGATGCGAACAGCACGGAAGGTCTCAAAACTTCGATCGTACGTGAATGTCCAGCTCGCCTCCTCGTTCTCGGAATCCTGGATGAGGATGGCGTGGCTGCAGTCACGGCTGGAATTGGGAAACAGGATGGACGTGGTCCAGAGGGCGCTGATGTTGTCCTCGGCCATGTGGCTTCCGGGATCGTAATAGGGCGCGGTCAGGATAACGGTATTTTGGTGTGGTGAGTGGGTGGTGGTACCGAGCAGCTGGGTGCCGTCGGGGGAAAAGGCCAGCGAATCTACGGCATCGCACTTGACGGCGCGCTGGCCCGTGATGGCATCGGAGCTGAGGGAGGAAACCTCTATACCACCCTCGTACGCGGCGGCGAGGACGCTACCGCAGGGCGAAAGAGCTATCGTGCGAGGCTTGTGGTCGAGAAGGACGGACTGGACGCGTTTCGGGGGCGACTTCTGGAGATCAAAGATGTCGACCTGCATCTCCATGGACAGGACGGCCAACAGGGTGGCATCGTCCTTGATGCAAGCGGCGACAGGGCGACGGAGAATCTTGAACTCCCGCTTCACACAGATCTCGGAGGCGGGGCCGCGGACGTCGATGACATAGATACGGGACGAGTTGTAGGCGAGAAGGTGGTGACCCCTCGGGGAAGGACTGAAGCGCAAACCCTCGCCTCCGGGGCAGGAGGCGGAGCTGATGGAATTGGATATGAGCTTGATGCGGGTTTCGGAAGGACGAAGGTAGGCCTGGAACAGGTTGCGTTTGATCTCACGGGCGAAAAGCCTTCTCAGCTTGGGAAGCTGCGCGTCATCGACGAGGGCGGGGGAGAGGGCGGCGTGGCAGGCGGCGTAGGAAGGGCACTTGGAGAGATGGTGGGCGTAGAGATGGGCCTGTTGGGAGACCCTTCTCCATTTCGAGTTGACGAGGGTAAGGGAGGCAAAAGAGTCGGGGTCGGCGAGGAGAATGATCCTATTTGAGCAAAGCGAGGAGAGGGGTTAGTCAGGGCAATGGCGGGCACGTTACGAGGGGACCAGGACTGCGAGTCCGTCATGGGTGTATCGCGTACTGTTCGATTATCTCGTCGGGCAAGGTATTGAAAGGAGACTCGCAAACGTCGCTGTCGGCGTCGTCGCCAGCGGACGAGGCTGCCGACGACGGGGGCGAGGTAGACGGCGACGAAGGAGAGGACCTCGGACTCGCCATGGTTGATACCATGGTCGTCACCACCGCCGGTGATTAGGGCAGGTAGGGTAGGCTCGTAAATCGGGGGTGCTGTTCGCTGACGAGATTCGGCGGCGGTGGAGGAAGGCGAGAGGGCGGCGTTGGACGACGTTAAAGGGTGGAATAACGGAGAAAGCTCATTGTCGTGGCGATTACAGGGCAAATGGAGAGCAAGAAGGCCTGGGAGGTGGACCACGGAATTGAACGATTCGGAGGAGTGGGAGACGGCGTCAGTTGGAGCAAAAAGATTCAATCCCGACTGGCATTGAAGAAGGAGGGACGAGGTCAGATGCGGCGCGTAGGTACGAAGTATTATTACGAGATGGATCCAACGAAGGAGAAGGGAGCAGGGAGGAGGATTGGAGGAATGTTGGTGTTTGCAGAAGCCACTACGTCGACATGTACAGTAATTATCAATGGTACTTGGACGGTTCCGGTGAGTGCAGCATGTGTGGATGACAGGTACCGTTGAGGTGCACAACGTTCCTTGACGAGTATTTTACACGAGAGGAATGAATCAATGGGTCAGTGGTACTCGGTGCCTTGGAACGAAGGAACTTTTCAAGGATCGGGCTATTACCAGGCTCAATCAAAGAACTCGTGGCAATTTAGGGGCCATCAATTGATGGCAGAAGGTGGCAGAAGGGAGGGGGCAGAGGTCCCACCGGCCTTGGAGGCTGGCGATCCTAGTGGATGGATTCGAAGGGTTGATTCATCATTGATGGAAGAAGGGACTAAGGGGGAGGGGGGCAGTTCTGCTAGTTCTGCTAGTGTCCAAATGTCGTGTGTAGTAGTGACCCTGAATGCACTGATGCACTGATGCACTGAGGTATTAGCGTCGGCGGCGCGAGCTTGAACTTGAGTGAAGCTGACAGGGATCTCGAGAACCTTCAAAGTCAAGTCGGGCCTAGTCTTGGCTTCAGGCGCCCCATGTCGATCATCGTGTGGGTCAGCAACATCGAGACGGGCAAGACGGGCAAGACGGGCAAGACGGGCTGGGTTAATTGCACGATGAACACAACAATTTGACCAGAAGATGGAAGACGTATAATTGCCCATCCAAGCCATCTATGGATCCATCCATCCATACATACCAGTTGACATGCATAGATGGATGATGTATGTACAAAGTAACCCTCGACTTTTCAAATGCGGAGACTGCACGCTTCTTCATCTCCGAGGATTGAAGATTTGCCATCAAAACTGGCTGGAGGTTCGGCTTCGGGTTTGGGTTCGTGGCGGAGGCGGAGGGTGTCGTAATAGTGCTCAGGCTGTTGGTGGTGACCCTTTCTCACCCACCCAAGCCACCCTGGCACATGCAAACCGATAGATATGGACCTGTCTTGATTGCCTTGATTGTCTTTCCTTTTTCTTCAATGTTCTTCTTCATCTTGTCCCCTCGTCAGTTCGACAGGGCTGCGCAAGTGAGACAACGTCTCGTCGGGTTCTACCTCGGTAGTGTGATTTGTGACCCGGCGCGTCTTTGGTTTCATCTCTTTCAATAAATGTTCAAATGGTCATGGTGGGCTAATGGAGGATATATCCGGACATGTAACAGCAGCGAACGAGGTCGTTGAATGGATGCACTGGATGCACGCGCTGGCGCCCGGTCCATGAGCTGCAAAGATCGGCAGATCACGATGTGAATGACAATAATTGAAGACTTCCAGCAGGGTCCAGCCGACACGACTATTTTTCTTTGCCGCAATTTTATTGACTTAATCTAATCCACCACGATACACGTTCAACGTGGCGACAACCTCCACTCCAAGTAATTCAATGTTACATACTGCTCTTGTCAGCAGCTTCACGCTCTGCTTGCCTGTGCGCACCATTAAGCGATCGGCTCTTGAACGGGCTCTTCCATGGGGGCACAAAAACCCTACGACAATCATTCCGTAGAGCCGCAGCCCGCTGGCGCTGGGAAGTGGATGCCCAAGTGTCACACAACCGCACGGCTGGTCTTCATCGAGGCTTGTCCATCGCTTGTCCCGTCGCTTGCAGACAACGAGGTGTAAGCAATCAGGCCACCCGTCTTTGTGCGAGGCGCAATGGCTTCTCCGACAAAAATAAAACCTCGGCTGGATCAAACCAAGGCTCCTCCCATGAACGCGGTTACCGTCCATCACGAGCTGGCGAGAACGTGAGGGATCAAGTCCAAGTCCAAGTCCAACATGTGTCTGCAGTCACTCTCCCCAAAACCCGCACGCACGAACCCTTTTTCTTTTAGAGAGGGAAAGAAAAAGGGTGCCGATCAATGCATGGCTCGCTCATCTCCCTCTGATTTTTCAACCCAGCACGTAATCATCCTCGGGGCTGGGCCAAATCAGGAGGAGCATGGGGCTCTTTGCTCGGCTAACCCGGCTTGATAGACCCGTACATGCAATGTATCAATTGATCTCACTGGTGGCATGGCCATGCAACACACGCTCAGCGCCGTCTCACGATGCGTCTCCTCAACCATGTTCACCCAGGCTCAAGGGGGAACTTGAAGGAAAGACGGGTAGCTTCTTCCCCCTTCCAACTGGTTGGTGAGAGACAAATGTGACCAAGGCTGCTCATCCCCGGATTCGACCCAATTGCCTGAAAGGGATAGACAACGGTTCGGACCCCCATGGCAAGCCACATTGTTTCATCATGTTGGGAGAACCTAGTGAATAGAGGGAAAGCTACGAAGTAGCTATCATTTACGAAGTAATACTAGAATTCCCAGACAGCAGCAATATACCGAGATATGGCAGTCCGGGATCTACACCAGTTCGGTGAACAGACGAAAGCATGTTCTCAGATGGAATCTTTTTTCTTTCCCTTCATCTCCCTTTTCTCTCTATCTCTCTCTCTCTCTCTCCCTCCTCCCTGTTCCTGCTTTTCTCGTGAACGCACATGTCCGGGTTGACAAAAACGGGACGGCCCAGGCGAGGCTGGTGCAGGGAGGTTTGAAATAAGGGTGGCGAAGCTCATGCATCCATTCTCGATGTTGTCCTTAATATACGTCAAAATCCTCCATGTCCGGACAAGTATGACACGACGCATCGAATTCGCCAGTCAAGCCGTCACGGAGAAAGAAGGAAAGAATGAAGCATGGGAAACAAAGGCAATCACAGGGCACATGTATCGTTGAGGAGACCGAGGAATGGAAGATTTTGAGGCAGGACGGAAAGAATTTGGACGTGGGAAGAGTTAACCCTTGCGCGGCATGGAATACCTACCAAAAGATGGGAAATCGTCCTGCTGGGGATTCTTCACCGCGCCAGTCCCTTGCGCTATTTTAGGATCCCCATCGTTTGTTCAGGTCAACAACGCATGTGGGTCCGAGGAGATCTTTCGTCTTGCCCGAGACATGGGGATGGGGATGGGGATGGGGATGGGGATGGGGATGGGGATGGGGATGGGATGGTGCATTAGCTTACAGCAGCTGTCGTTGTCACCATCGTCATTTTCGGTGCCTTTCTTTCTTCGTCTTGGTGTATTCCCCTCCCTCCCGACATCTCCACTATCACACCAACTTTTATGATCAATGTGGTCAGTTCGTTGGGTTGGTGTGATTTTGCCCGATGCGGTCCACGGCGATGGCGCGTAAGCTGAGCTGCGCCTCACACAGGAGGAAGGAGATGGGGAATAGTACTCAAGAGAATCGAGGTTAGCAGAAGAAGTGAGAAATGGCCTAGAAATACAATATAATAGAGAGATCCATTGTCAGAAACAGAGAGAGGAGAGGAGGGCCCATGAGTCGGATTTCAAGAACACATTGATGTGCTTGTCTTGTCTTGTCACATTAAAAGGGAAGAAAAGGGCCGCGAGAATCTCACGGAGAAAAGCGTGTCCATGAATGCTTGAAATTTGTTTCTATTTTTAGTTCCATCTTCCACGATATTTAAACTACCAACTGAGCTTAGGAAAGAGGCTAATAAGACATAGATCCATTGGAGTAGGATCGAGGTTGGCCACGCCAAAACCTTGGAAGGGCGACATCAACAATGGGGCCCTTGTTGAGCTCAAAACCCCTTTTTTCATCTGAACAACTCCTTGTGCACAACCGGATCTTAGTCAAGCCTCTCTTCCTACTCATTTGACCAAGGAGGGACGAGTATCGACAAGGAACACGGATCAATCTGAGCAAAGGCCAACGACCATGTACAAATAGAGAAACAATGCATTGTCCGCCATGGCACTCATTAACAGCTGATGCCGGCCGACGGCCATGTGCTCCTCCAACCCGCAACTCCGAGTGTTGGTTGGTCTGTCCTGGATTCGCTGTGTGATCTACCCACGCGATGCTCCCCGCATTGGTTCGTTCTGTTCCGCGTGGTTTTAGCCGTGGTCTGGCGGTTTCTGGCGGCCTTCAATCTTCCAGGTCGACCTTTCTCTAGGTTGCGACAGCCTCGCCAGTTGGTTCTTCATATCTAAGGCCTTTCCTCCTCCCCAACTGCCCAACCCTAGTTAGTTTCACCCACGCCATCTTCATCCCCCTCTTCCCACAACAAGGCCCGGCTTCCCTACGGCTAGCCCTTCACCTTGCACGACGCTTTCCCCTCCCACCCTAGCAAAACCATGGGCCTCTAAGCGCCTCGACGGTGAACCTTCAATCTTCGTCTAGTGTAGTGTGCCTCCCGGGCCGGTTCTCTTCTTTCTCTCTTTGACCTCAACCCCCTCCCTTCGACCATGTCGGAACCAGAGTCCGAACCCGAGCCTCTACTGCAAGCTCAGTCTCCGCACAATGAATCTGCGGCCCCGCGGGAACTCTTGTCGACGGACGATGTAGCCGATATCTTGCCAGCCTGGATGCGCCGAAACCCCGGCCGTGGAGCCGTATCATCGTGCGGGGCTGGCTCGTCTTTTCCATACTCTTGCTGCTCGCCACCGGGCTTACACACCTCTTCCGCTGGGCTCTCTCCAATCCTCCCAAGGGCAAAGTCGAAGTGGTAAGCGAACCATGCGAGTGCGCCTTTGGGCAAACTTTTCCTTGAATCTATCAAAAGCTCTTGCAAATTTCGTAAACTTGTGACCCCCTTCGCTCCTCGCCAGCGGGCAACAGCTCTCGTGCTTCCCTTCTATCCCTGCTGCTCCTTTTGTAAAAATTGTGCTCCCTATACAGCTGCTCGGTATCCCCTTTCGGGCTCCAGAGCAAACCCTCTTACTAACTCTACCCCTTCCAGCAGCCGAAGCCCCGCGTCGATCTAGGATACGCCCAGTATGACGGCCGTTACCTTTCCAACGGCGTGAACCAGTTCAAAGGCATGCGCTATGCCGCACCTCCCTTGGGCGACTTGAGATGGAGGGCCCCGAGGGCCCTCTCCGTGAGAGAACCCGGGACGCCGATGCTGTACGTAGCGCGGAATCCTCCTGGCACACGACTCGCCATTCACCACCTCTACCGTTCCCCCTCCTCCCCCAGTTCGCTAATATCTTCTTGACACGCACTTCAAGTTCGGCCCCGCTGCTACGGAACAGATCATGGGGCGTGGTCAGCTTCCGAATCGGAGGACTGCCTGTTCGTCAATGTTTGGGCACCTACCGACGCCAACGAGACTTCCAGGCTCCCCGTCTGGGTGTATATTCAGGGCGGAGGTAAGTTATCCCCCTCCCCCTTCCCGGCATTGAAAACTCTCCCAAGCTGCAGAAGGCCACCCTATCTAAACCCTTTCCTAACTCTATACATCATCATAGGGTACACGGCCAACAGCAACCCAGATTACATCGGCGCCACGGTGGTCGAAGAGTCCGGCATGAATGTCATCCTCGTCAACTTCAACTACCGCGTGGGGCTTTGGGGCTTCCTCGCCGGCGAGCAGGTCCGGGAAGACGGAGACCTCAACGTCGGCCTCCTCGACCAACGCCAACTACTCAAATGGGTCAAGACTCACATAGCCAAGGTCAGTTGAGATCGTCATCATCCTGCCCCGACGCCGTCTCCAGTTCCGCGCGGTGCTGGACCCATCGCTCTTCTCCTTCTCTTTTTTATTCCACTTTTGCTAGTAGCTAAACGGCATTCCTCCCTTTGTTTGGTTTAGTTTGGCGGAGATCCCGACCGCGTCATCATCCACGGCGTTTCTGCCGGCGCCGGCTCCGCAGCCCTCCACCTCACCGCGTTCGGAGGCCGAGACGACGGCCTCTTCTCGGGCGTCATGACACAATCCGTCTTCTTTCCCGCTCACCAGAAGCTTCGCGATCTCCAGTATCAGTTCAATAAAACCCTCGAGCTTGCCGGATGCTCACCCGACCACGAGCCCATGTCCTGTCTCCGAGCAAAGACGTCTCGGGAACTTCAGACGGTCGTCAACCGGGCCCTCGCCTTCCCGGGAGAGCCTCGGCCTCGCGCTGGTATTGGACCCCTTGCGTCGACGGCGACCTGATTCGCGACCTGCCCTCGGCCATGTTTGAGCAGGGCAACTTCATCAAGGTGCCCCTCATGCTCGGCACGGCGACGGACGGTAAGTTACGCGCACTACAACCCCCATTCTCCCCTTCCCCGTGCTATCCAGGGTGCATCTAACTGACAAGCGGCGCATCAAATACAGAGGGATCGATATTCTCCGCCAACGCGGAAACCCCAAGCCAGTTCATATCCTTTATCCAGGACAACTTTCCGGGTCTCGCGGACGACAAAGCCCAAGAGATGCTTAGCCACTATCCCCTGGAAGCCCCACGCCCCAGGCACCAGTCCTGGTTTCCTTCGACGTACCGGGCCTATGGCGAGACCACCTTTATATGCCCCACCAACCTAATCCTCGACGCCTTCTCCCGGACCCGCTACGCCAACCAAACGTGGTCGTACCGCTACAACGTCTGGGACGTCGAGAACGACCGCCGAGGGTTGGCGTGACCCATACCTTTGACTCCGCGGCCATCCTGGGTCCCGAAAGCCTCACAGCGCCCATCAGCTATCATACGTACAACGCGCCCGTCATCCCGCTGATGATGAGCTACTACATCTCGTTCGTGAGGTCGCAGGACCCCAACACCCACCGGTTCGAGCAGGCGCCGCGTTGGGAGACGTGGAGGGGTGGTCAGAGGCTGTTGGTGGAGCTAGGCAAGACGCGCATGGAGTCGACGTCTGCCGGGCAGAAAAAGAGATGCCAGTTTTGGAAGAGCGTCTCGAGCGACATGTGCCACTAGGATGGGTCAAGGTTGGTAGAATGTAGAACCTTCTCGGATCTTATCTTGATAATTTTGAGGGCTTGCGGGTGCGCGTTAGCCATCACATCGGTAGCTTTCGGGGAGTACGAGTTAATAGCCTTACGTTTTAATGATTGATGAAGCTTTCAAGTTCTCTTTTTGGACAACATCTCTCGGATATGTCTGCTACTCAGCTATAGCTCACTTCATTCGCCGCCCGGCACCTCGGGATACTGTGACGTAGCAAAGAACGTCCGTCTCGATACTGGGCAGGATGAATAGAGTGAATCGCCCCAAGGCGCACCCCATTCAGCCCAGCCAACCAGATAGTTGATACATAGAGGTTTTGGTCTATAGACCTTCTCCGAGCAACCTGAGCTTGTCCCAAACCTTATCCGTAGCATCTTTTCTTTTTCTTCTCCTTTTCTAGGAACTCAGATCCATCCTTCTTTTCTTCATACGATACCAGTCCGGTGCAAAGGCGCACTTCGATGCCACAAGTCCGATTCCCATGCCATTGGAGTAAATGACAGACCAGAAAGTATGGACCCACGGCCCCAAGCCTGGTGTCAGTCCTCTCGTCATTTGGTTTCCAGAAACTAGGCCACGACGGCTGGAAGACTAGATACCGTCCCCTACATCGAAGAAGTTCACCCTTGGCGTGCCCTCAATTCCTCCTAGCCCCTATTTCTCCCCTTTCAACGTTTCTTCCAAGGTCGACGCTATAATATTATATAGCTAAGCGAGCAAGTGCATACATGACCTTGCCGATCCTAGAGCGGTGGACATAGCCAACTCTACAGCAGAACAGTTTCAACCTCTTTCCTACATCACCGAACCGAATCTAACCCCCAGTTTCCACCAGGGGTATAGATCAAAAGACGGGATGGACGAGGTATGCCCAGTTCATCAGAAAGGATCGGCCGCGCAATTAGGGGATACAAGTGGCGTTTCGAGCCGCCCCTCGTGCAACGGCGATATTCTCTCGCGCCTTATGTGTGTCAGTACTCCTTCAGAATTCGCGTGTCGACTTGCAAAATAACATCCATGCACGAGCGGCAGCCTCGAGCACAGCCGAGTTCCCGGCCACCGAGGATCCATGCCTTGTCCCTCAAAGTTCAGCAAACATGCCTCGTGGAGGGCACATCCCACGCTCGAGTTGACGAGACTAGGCTTCGAGGCGAGATCGTAGCGTGGGTCCCCAGTTCCCCTTCCCACACCAAGCGCCCCGTCTCTACTTTAGGGGAAGCGGAGGACTGGAAGCGAGCCTCGCTTATTCGACGACCAGGGCGTGCTCGCAGGCGCATTGCGGTCGAGACAAGCATCATCTCGCTCCCTACATGAGGTCCCAATGCTGGATTTGCCATCTCTGCAGCTCACTATAGTCCTCTTGAACGGGATGCGCAAACGCTTCTCGGGGGAGGGGCAATGGCAGTCCTGGCTAACGGCAAGTCCTTTGGGTTCTCAAGAACACCCTCGAACACAACTTACCACAACACTACCTTTAACTTGCAACTGCCTTCAACTCCCGATAATTTAAAACGGCCATCTGTGGCATACTCAACATGCGGCTTCCTTGGCTGCATATATGTATATACCACCAGCAATTTCAAGGTAAGGGACGCTACCAAGTCCAACACGAAAAGCTTCATCGCCAGGAGACAGCGAGTCAGGAGGCGACCTCGGCTCCAGAACTTTGGAACGAGGCATATTGCCGCTTCCCCGCGGGCAAGAAGTCCACGAATATGCCCGAGGCCCCAACTCCGTGCCTTCTCTCTCCTGACATCGACACCGCCGCCGGAAAGCGTCCCGGTGACGAAATATAGCGGCAGGCCCCATCCGCCTCGCAGAATCGAAAACGACCCCCGCCTCTCTTGCAACACCACGCGGTGCCGCGATTGGGACGGCTACTTTCAGTCGGGGAAGACCAACCGTACCGGAAAACGGACCTCCTTCGTTTATGGGAGATGTCTATTAGTATGTATTAGTATGTATAACCGCTATCCGGCTACCGCGTCGCCCCACCACCGCGGGCGGCCTCGCGAAGAAGGAAGAAAATGCTCCTGCCGAGAATGTGTTCCGTCTTTAAGGAGCCCTCCTACAGTCTGATCCATGTCCTCTACCTGAACGAAAATAGCAGCGGTAAATTTTGGGAAGGGAAAAACAATGAACCGCAGCACGGGGAGCAGATGCTCAATCTCCGGTCGTTTGGAACTCTGCACATGGTTGTATCAAAATCGCGGCCCACGTGTAGGCGGAGCACCGTTAAGCCGGCCCCAAGGAGCCGGCCTGTACCAGAAGCCTCGCTTATCTGCCCGAGATAGAGAAGAAAAAAGAGGGCATTAGGCGAGGAGGACGGACACGAGAGGATGGGCCGGTTTGGCCAAGGGGGAAACTCGATGAAGAGGCGAGGTGAAAAAGAGTCTAGGCGATTGACTCTGACCTTGATTTCTTTTTCTTCTTTTCTTTTCTTCTTCCTTGCTCTACCCTAGAGTTTACGTCTCTTTCTCGCCCGGACGACACACGGGCTGCCGGTGCGGGCCTCTCCATAGGCTCGGCCATCCGAGCGCACACTCTTCACGGACACCACACTCACGCACAGCCATGAGCGGGCACACATGTCACCAAATTCTCCATCTATCCTTTTAGGGTTATGAAGATGAGAGTCTTGAGAGGATGTCCTTTCGAGCATACATGGCCGACGCACCCGTGGCCATGCCCCTCCTGAGAGCGCACACACACACACACACACACACACACACACGGATGCGTGCACGCACACCGTGCACGTTCATCGTGAGAGAGGGGAAGGGGAGGAAGGAGAGAGAAGAAGGAGTCCGCATTGCAGAATCCGGGGAGCAGGTGCACAATCACTACTGTTACATGCTGATCATGGATCACCGCGGCTTGTCGACTCACGGAATGGGACAAAGTAGATCACCTCTCCTATGGTTGCTGGTTGTAAAGTCGCACATCTTTCGTCCTAAATGACCCGCTCTGTGTCTTCTGCGTATCATGTTAAGCCTCATTCGCCTTTAGTTGGACTTTGGGTCATACGTTGGAAGCGGCCATATGGTACTATAGTGTTGGCCCGACCGTGGTGAGGCATGGCCGCGACGCGAAAGGAGCCCTCGGGCTGCATTGTGATCTGCGCTGTTCGGACGAGGGAGAGGGAGGGAGGTATCTCGAATTCGGCACTTTTTAGGCCCCCATTTTTGCTGCAATGGATCCAATGGATTCCTTCCAGCCTTCCTCCGCACAGTCCTTCTGCCATAATGGTTGCCCAACTCTAGAGGCCTCTTCATCCGCTTTCAATCCTCTATCCGAGACCCTCTGAGCAAATGCCCCTCTCTACGGAAGGTCCGAGCGCAGCGTTGTCGAACATTCTATCGAAGCGAACAAGTGGTGGCCGATTTCTCGATGTACCAAGTCTCTTAAGGCGGGTGTCATCAACGCCTCATGGTGCAATAATATTAAGAAAAAAACGTTCGCTACGGATTTGTGTGAAACTCAATACTCAGGAGCTGGGGCTGATGGCACACAAACACTGGTGAAAGCAGGGGTAAACTAACGCGCCGCCACCATCGCCTGGCGATTCAGCTTGGAGATATTGTCCAAAAAGTCCTGGAGCGTTGTCTTCACCGATGATCGGGCACGCAGCCAAACTAAAAGTCTTGGTCGGACTAAATGTCATTCATTATGTGCCAAACCCGACTTGTTCGATGTTCGGCTTGATTCCTTACTTACCAACCGCGAAGTATCTCTTGCTCCCTCCTTACCCAGCAGAAGAAAAAAAGAAAGTCATTAAGGAAAAAAAGGAAGGAGGGGCAAAGGTGTGCCAATTCACATCTTCGTCGGCCTCGTCATGCTTGCCGTCATTTCAGCACGACCCAAAAACTCGAGTGCGTGCAGAATGAGACTCTGGGTCGAAGAGGGGCTATGGCCGGAGAATCGACCAAAGCGGGACTTAGCAGCCCCCTACTATGGCATATCTACTAGGCGGAATAGGTCTACGTGCATGTCTTTGCATACTAAAGTGATCGAAAAGGCGAATCAATGCTGGATTCGGACGCAAGGCGACCACGCAGATCACAACCGGTGCATGTCATAGTGCGCGATGAGACGAGTCGTACCTCTTCCACTCATGCGTATCGCACGGGTCACCGGCGGAGGTCGTACCGAGAATGCATCCGACGCGGTTCCTAACCTCAAGGGCAAATGATGGAAGTTCGGATCGATATCATGGCCGACACAAGTTTGAGAGAGAGGTTTTGAGAGTCTTGACTTGAAGCGGCTGGATCCCTGCGCTTTCGGAATATCCGGGAGCTGGGAAGGGTCTCGGAGAATCCCTTATCATTGTGCGCTTTGCTGCCCCGAGAACTCGTTCCTGTCGGAAAGGCTGCAATACAGGTAGAGGGGATTCCTGCCCTTTTGAGGATGGTCTCAAAGCCGGATGTCGGTCGGTTCTGAGGTGTCATATCTCAGGCAAACAAAGAATAAGATATCGGCTATGTTAGTGATTTTGTCTTTCTAAACCAGACGTACACTCAAATGCGACCGCGCAGGAGCCAACCAACCAACCCTTGAAACCTTGGGATGGCATCCCCACCATTCCGGTATCAACTTTGTGGGCGATCATGGTTGTAACCATGAGCACCCTGAGCGCCCGAGGCCAAATGTTGAAAAAGGATAAACCTTGGAGGGACAGAGAGGCAGGGAGGACGATGGCATCTGATCGACCTCCGACGTCGCAATGGACCTGTCGATCTGGCGAGTGCACCTGGATTTCTCCTTCCCCGCCACACACCTTCACGTGCATTGTTCGAAGGGCTTGTCCTCCAGGCCAGTTCTGCGACAGCTATGCTTTAGTCCCTTCTGCTCTACACTATGGAACGGTTATAGAGAGCCGAAGAACTGGTTTGGCTGGAGAAAAGCTAGACTATTCTCGTGCCCTTCACGGGAGAAGGGCACTACTAGCTGCATGATACGCCCTCAGGAACCATGGTCCCTCCCACCTGAAGCGACGGCCCAGTATTATCGACAAGCCGAGATAGTCTGCTCTAGTGCACACCCACTACCCACTCGCGAGAGCCAGAGGGAGCATTGCAATGGAGGATCTGCACCAGCACGGGGCAGGTAAGAGGCGAATAACAGGACGATTAATGCCACTTCCTCAACCGGGAAGGCGAATAATAGATGGCACGCTGGCTGAGGATAGTGCTGACGGGGAAGCCGGCCTTTCCTTGGCGAGCTGGCAGTGGGGTCAGCTTCGGGCAAGGCTGCTTCTGGCTCTCTTTTTCGACCCCATCAAAGGCCCGCCCAAGGGTCGCCCGCCCTGAGCTTTGATGCCGATAGTTCTAGCGCATGGACCTGTTTCTTGGTCGAAATGGGCTAAAGAGCAGCAAGACCGGCCGCCAACACCGCGCGTCAAAGTCTGTGAGGTACACACTCGTTTTGCGCCCACCGGAGCATCCCACAGCTGAAGGAACCAGTAGCGGCTCGATAACTAGGCTTGCTAGGACAGGGCATATACGACGACTGATTTTGACAATCTGCATTCCGTCCCGTCTTTAGCTTCGCCGGGGACAAACGTCCTTGTCGACGGAGGGTACTGGTGGATGATCAAGCTAGAGAGACCACTATATTGGGATCCCAAAAATTGAACTTCTCTGGGAAAGGTGACCCCTCGCCCTTCAATCCTCGGAAGGAAACCAAGGTTGACGGGAGTCGAACCCACAGACCCGAACCAAAAACCACAATCTTGGTGGCTTTTCTGACATGGCATGCATAAAGCGGTAAAGGTGAGAGGAGAAAGAAGGAGGGGAAAAAGGAAGAAAGCACTAGAAAGAGCAACGTCAAAAACCATTTTGATCTCGAACCCTGTCTGAGCATCTGTTGGGGCGGACTTGTTATTGGAAACTTGTGGGGTGGTTCGATGTGGGAGTTGCTACATAGAAAGGGCTGATCAATTGATACGTGATCAAGCCTACCCACGCTCAGCTCCGAACCGTTTCTATATTCTACACAGAAGAAAAACAAAAAGAAACAAACTTTCCCAAAATTGCTAGGGGAAATGGCGTGATGGAGGGCAAGAGAATTTCGTGCGGAAAAAGGCAAGTGGAAGAGAACAAGGGAAAGAAAAAAAAAAAAAAAAAAAGAAAAAAAGAAAAAAAGAAAAAAGGAAGAGAAGAGAAAAACCTGCTGCAAGAGCAGCGTGATGTGAAGTGACTGCTCATCGACCGTGCGGAAAGCAAACACCCGCCCCTCAGCATTCTGGGTCATGTCATGATGGTGGAGGTGTGGAGGGATCGGGTCTTGGACTCCCATGAATCAACACAGCGATGTGGACCCCTGCTCACCGGAGAGAGCCGGTTTGCTGGAAAGGAAGGCGCCGGGCTTGTCATGCCCGGGACCTCTTCAACCACCTCAATCGGGAAGGGGATTCCTGCAAAGGGAGGAAAAAGCCCTGGCCCGGTGTCCTGTCACGTTGATGCACTCATTCCGTCTGAGAAAAATTTTGCTCTTGTCCTCTGCCCCGTTCCTGCATGGAGAGGTTGGCTCGACCCAAAAGTCGATACGACGCTGGGCAGGAACGTGCAGATGCACCTCCCACTCGGTTCCAGCAAGCTGATTGAGCAAAACTTGCGGGTAAGTCTACCGTGCGAGCAGAGAATCGAGCGCATGCCACGGCAAGGAGTAAAAAAGTAAAGAGAATATGATATTGAGCATCAATTGATGTGGTAGGGAGCCTGCGGGCATGAGAAACTCAGGTGGTGCGCAAACAGAGGACCAAATAAAAACGCAACAAGGGCGAGGCGGTTTCTTG